AGGATCCCCACTCCCATTATTGTGAAACGCGGTTGGAATGTCCACGCCTTATTAGCTAACACATTTATCTTAATCGGATTTGAATATCCGTAGATGAGGGTATAAACCTAGATACAAAGCCTAAACGGTTAGCAAATAGGAGTGAGTAATCCTGCTTGGACAAGCTGGCGAGACTGGACTCTGTCTAATTTAGCGACTGTGGCTAAGAGCTACCGAGGCGTCTTTGGGCTAGTAAAGACCGGAGCTTGGAGTCCTCTTTGCCAATCAGCGTGTGACCGGGTCGACTATCTACTACACTATCTCGAAATGCTTTGACACCTTACATGTTGCATGCTACCAAAGCTGGTGGCTCACATCGACACCTACAGAGCTACAATTATTTAGTTCAAATAGCTCGGAATGCCGACTTGCACGGTGACATTCCGCCTTATTTACAAAAAATCTGTTGCGGATCGGATTAAGCACATGGACCAGATGGTTCGATTAGTCTTTCGCCCCTACACCCAAGTTTGACGATCGATTTGCACGTCAGAATCGCTACGAGCTTCCACCAGAGTTTCCCCTGGCTTCACCCTACTCAGGTATAGTTCACCATCTTTCGGGTACCAACATATGTGCTCAAACTCAAATCTTTCACCACGATGGTTCATGATCGGTCGATAGTGCTACTTGCTAATCGCACTGATAATTCCTAGTCTAAAATAGAGGTGGGGAATCTAATTAACCCCTCTAGCCCCATACTGTATCCTACAGAATAAGCATTTCGACAGGATTTAATATCCAGCAAACTTGGTTTCCGCGAAAAACTTCGCATATAGTTTTTTGTATAATGAGTAATCAGCCCATCATTCCTGTTGGATCTGTGATGGGTAGATAGACGGGGATTCTTCTGCGGCTATAGAAGGACGAGTATAAATCCTCAACAGGTTGGAAAATAGGGGTGTAAGGCCATAGTGACCGTTTGGCAGCCACTCGCGGTGCCTTTCACTTCGGAACGAGAAACCGCCCTGACCAGACGTACCTCGAGCTCTGCAAGCCCGGTAAGAACGTGCTAGTGCTGCTGCGTAGGCGAGGGCCAGGCGCTACTGGGAGCTCGAGGTCGCCATAACAGTCTACTCGTGGTAGTGATGCTAAAGGTAAGCAAGTCTATTTACAGTCTGTTCGATATATTGTCTAAGGTCAGTCTGGAATTGTATTCAAGCGCGCGCGAGCCCATAGCGCGCCGTGCGAGGCGGTGCTGCCGGCTACCACTAAGTATCGAGACGCGCGTTCGTCACTCCTGGGCCAACCACCTCCATGAATGCATCCGCAGCGGTAGCAACGGCTTCAACTAGCGCTCCACAGCAGCGCATGCGTCGTCCAGGCGCTTACCAGGTAGAGGATAAACGGCAGATGGAGGCGATGCGATAGAGGGGCTAGATGGAAGCTGCAGACCAACGTGTATTGACTGAATTTATTGTGATGGTACCTACAGAATAGACCAGTCCGGCAGCGATGGATATGACGGATGCTACAGAGCAAACCAGACCAACCCAAGTGGATACAGCGGAAGGTACAGAACAAGGCTTTGTGCTGATTTGAATACGACGGATGCTACAGGGTAAGGCGGCCGTGAAACGGAGTCTACTGAACAAGGGACTTCTAGCAAACGCTTCGACGTACACGGCGCGAAGCCTGGGGTGACTACCGAGAGCGTTTGGCCCGCATGCTGCTGTATATTTAGGATGTGGCAGAGCTTATCGATAATACATTCGTATATTACATCTTATGGATACTGTGCATGCGACGGACATGAGCGAACACCACAGCGCGATAAAGTGATCACCAGCGCTAGTTAGCAAGACGATGGCGAGGATTCGTAAGGAGCGAATAGATGCATACACGAAGTCTATCGGAGGTCTAGTGACGCTAGGAAATAATTGCCCAGTTCCTCCTCACTCCGTTAGTTAGGAACTGGGCATTTTTTCCCTCAGCGCCTGGGCCTCACCCGCCGCGTGGCATGAAGGACGGATGACTGGTGCTGTTAACGCTTCTTGGGTCGGACTCATACCGAACTTGACAGGTATTGCAGTTCTAAAGGTACTAACGTGTGTGTTACGTTTGTTTCGCCCAATGAGCACACACCATTTTTATCAGATGGTGGATACATTGTTCATCTTTTGTCCACTTTCGCAGCTATTTTGTGCTGGAAGTGCACGATTGCTGTACCGTCACCCTGGAGGGGGTTGCAATAGCATACCCCCAGCAGTTTTGATGTATAATCTAATAATCATGTCATCTTATTCTGTATAATCGCTACAGGATAAGGTTGGGGCTAGAAGGGTTAAAGTGCTGCGCTCATAATGCAGGAAGTAAGCAGTCTATCCGTTCTCCTCGATGCTTCCTCTTGGCGAGTGAGCAACAGGAAAAAAATGGTGTATGTGATAGGGGAGTATACCCCTTTTCACCAAAGATTATGGTGTTCTTTAGTTAAGTAAAGAAAGCGGAGAAGACTGTAGGCAAGTAGGTGAGTTTTGGTCAAGGTGGTTCTCGAAGTGTGGTCCAGGTTTAGCTTTAGTACTGCCAAGTTTCCCATAGTCGACGCCGGGTTGGGTGGCGCCAACTTGTCACGGATACGCTTCTGTCCGGGTAGTAAGGTGTGAGGGCTGTGGCATGCGTGGTGGTGTCACTATCCCCAGGATGTGGATGGCGCGTCCATCTCAAACCAGGAGTCGACATTGGGACATTGTCGTAAGGGACTGTACCGAGGTCACTAAGGAAGGGTGTACCGCCCCAGGCTGGTTAACAGAGCAGGGAAAAACCCTCGCTCTTGGTAGTGGGAGGATCTCGTGCCAGAATTCTGATGTGCCGCTACTACGCTGTAAGCCACAGTTCGATCACCTTGCGTAACACCTTTTGTGTTACACGTTACTATTACACCTTCCCTCAAGCGCTGTCTTTTGTGTGGGTGTGAGGGCTCTTAGTGCATCAACGTTAGTGTTCGACTCTCATGAAAATGTGTTAGCCACCTAAAATGTATTTATGACCACGCACAAAAAGGGACCAATCAAAAGTAATCCACTTACCGAGTGGGTCATTCCTAAATGTGATACGTAGTAAAAGTGAAATACACGTAAAGCAAGTCTGCGATTCTGTGTTGAAACTTGTTGTGCAGTTGCGAGAAGGAATGATTGCTTTCAGGAATGACCTAGTAAAAACAAACCAAGCAAAATTTGATGTTTTATCACCAAAATAGCCTTTCAACTTCAACGCGTTGTAATTTCCTGAAATAAAAAAGTTGGAAGAGGCATGACCCCCCCGCATCTGCTACCAGGTTAAACTTAAACTTTTTTTCGCTTTATGACGGAGGGAGGCGTCAGTCGAGAGCAGGGATTTAGATGGGGGTGGGGTTACAGCTGCAGTCATCGGATTTCGATGGTCATGGCTAGAATGAAGAAGCAAGGAGCACCTAGCCAGTCTGGAACGAGCGGACAATTTCACATAGGGAGCATGCGTTCTTAAGGTTTTGATATTCTAACTCCCATTATTGTGAAACGCGGTTGGAATGTCCACGCCTTATTAGCTAACACATTTATCTTAATCGGATTTGAATATCCGTAGATGAGGGTATAAACCTAGATACAAAGCCTAAACGGTTAGCAAATAGGAGTGAGTAATCCTGCTTGGACAAGCTGGCGAGACTGGACTCTGTCTAATTTAGCGACTGTGGCTAAGAGCTACCGAGGCGTCTTTGGGCTAGTAAAGACCGGAGCTTGGAGTCCTCTTTGCCAATCAGCGTGTGACCGGGTCGACTATCTACTACACTATCTCGAAATGCTTTGACACCTTACATGTTGCATGCTACCAAAGCTGGTGGCTCACATCGACACCTACAGAGCTACAATTATTTAGTTCAAATAGCTCGGAATGCCGACTTGCACGGTGACATTCCGCCTTATTTACAAAAAATCTGTTGCGGATCGGATTAAGCACATGGACCAGATGGTTCGATTAGTCTTTCGCCCCTACACCCAAGTTTGACGATCGATTTGCACGTCAGAATCGCTACGAGCTTCCACCAGAGTTTCCCCTGGCTTCACCCTACTCAGGTATAGTTCACCATCTTTCGGGTACCAACATATGTGCTCAAACTCAAATCTTTCACCACGATGGTTCATGATCGGTCGATAGTGCTACTTGCTAATCGCACTGATAATTCCTAGTCTAAAATAGAGGTGGGGAATCTAATTAACCCCTCTAGCCCCATACTGTATCCTACAGAATAAGCATTTCGACAGGATTTAATATCCAGCAAACTTGGTTTCCGCGAAAAACTTCGCATATAGATTTTTGTATCCTGGTAGTTCACGACACAATGGAGTTATGCGCAAGTTCGGGTTTAGTGTGCAGCTTGTCAGGAGGGCCACTCCCTCACCACGAAGCTGTCCGTAGTTGCAGCATTTATGGGATAAGGGAGCTGTTCATTGTATTTCCGCTACTGTTGTGACGAGCTAAACTCGTTCGCTGCAGCCACCCTCTCGCCAGCTGGGCTACCGGTATCCACAGGGCTATCGCTACCAAGCCAATCCGCAACAGCTTCAGCATAAAAACCAACGTCTCCATTGTGCCGTACAACGACGTGAATGCGGTAGAGGTCGATACAGCGAGGTCTAATGGGAACTCGACGTTGGAAGAGCTATGTTTCGCCATAATTGCTTACTTTCCGTCGCGGGCATTGACCTAGAGCTAATGCTACGTGAAGAAGTAGTCATATTGGAGATCAGCTTACAGAGACAGGGCTTGGAGCACGAAATATGAGAGAGTAGCTGCATTGAAGAACAAGGACTGAAGCTGGATATGCGCTCGCAGCAGTTGCTGACTACACTCACGGTCATGCTGAACAGACTCGAGTAAGGTTTGAGCGGAGAATTGATACGTACCTCTCCGGTCCGGTAAAGAATTAACAGTTCTCTAATCAGACTGTATCTTGAGTTCTACTGCTCCAACAGAGCTGTAGCTGCCCTTAAAGTAAAGCTCTGGATCCGCAGCATCACGCAGCATTTTTCATAAATGCATTTTCCCGCCTTGTAATGTTGTTATCGGACGGTTTAAACAATCGGTTTCCACAGGTGTGAAGTTTAAATTCGCTGAGCCATCAAAAATGATCAGATTAGAACTTGGGAATACACGTGAGAAAGCGGAAAGAGAGCTTATTTCTGTGATATAATGCTGTAAATAATCGAATATTCCAACGCTAGAAAAACAGCCAATCGTGTTTGAGTTTTTTTGCATACAAATCACTGAAGTTGGCTTTTTGTCCAATGAAATATGGTACATAGGGGCATAGCGCGGTACTTCGGCCAATCAGACATCGATATTTTTGAGGTTTTTTCATAAAAAAACTTAACTGCTAATTCTTTTCCGGACCGGAGAAGTACATGCAGTAGAGGCGTTGCAAAAACAATGTTGAAGACAATATTGGAGAGCAAAATCAAAGTTGAGCGCTTCAAATTCAAATTCAAGGGCAGCTCTGCATCGAGAGGAGGCACGATATTAACGACATGGAAATGCGCATCTCGCAACAGCCTTCTGTGTTTCGACAAGCACTCCAGAATATGAAAGAGCGCAATCGTCGTTCGCCAAATTGTGGTGGAGTGGATCCACTGGAATTAGCAGGGATCCCACACTCACACACTGCGCCCAGACACCGACTAACGGAGGGGGTACTCCGATAACCGTAGGTTGCTGAGTGGCTCACCTTGTGTACCCGTCGGCGGGCTGGATCTGCTCTCTCGTTGACACGAGATGCGCAGCAGGTGAACTTGAACGTCCTTGGCGGGGACTTAGGGAGATTGGGGTAGATCCGCAGTGGGGGTTCCTCCACGCGGGTCTGGGTAGGTTGATCCTTGGTCTTGGCCGTAGATCTTGTGGATCCGATAGGTAATATACAGATCCGGAGTTGTTGCCTTGTTGGGGGTGTTGTATCCTTTTCCTTTACGTCGCTTGCCGCCTACTATTAGCGGGGAAGTTGGGGGGCGAGGGCCGAAGGGCGCGAGCTGCTGGCCAAGCTATCGGATAGCAGTCTGTCACGTGTGCGGGGGGCAAATCACTTGATTAAAGTATGGACCAATACTAATCCCAATACTAAGGACCAAGTGTGTGGTCCCCAAGCAAATTCGACTCTGATTTATGTTAGCCTGTATCCTACCTTCCCATCCGACTTGGATCCTATCCATGACTGGCTCTCCTTCCTGCCTAATTTTCCCAACCTAGTCACTGTACCGATAAACTGGTACGGACCCGCACCTAATCTAGGGGGTCCTAATGTAGATGACCGGATCTGGGTGCACCACACCACTCGCACCTGATCCAAATTCAACTGTCCTGATCCAGCAACCGTACCCCCCCATCCAGCAACCATGACTTCATCTGAGGGACTGAGCACCGTCACCCACTGCCGGATCCTATTACCTGGCCAACTGGCGGATCCAGTTCCATCAAAACCATTCTTGAGCGGATCTTCTCACGACAGAATCGTGGCAGCTCAGGTTCAGGCGAGGACTGCGATCTCCAATTCTGCGAGGAATATATAGCCCACGCACACATAAGTTTTGAAAAGAGTGTGGATAAAAACTGAAGCACTCATGGCGAAGCACAAACAATCTACCCCGATTCAAAGAGGAAATTGGGTCGAAGCGTGTTAACTCCTTAGTTACTTTATGTTGGAGCGCTCAACATAAGCAGTGTATACCCTAATTCCCTCTTGTCGCAGCGTTTATGCTATGTTGGAACGCTTAACATAAGCATAAATTTCACTTGGAGTTTGTATTGATCATTTTTCATTATCCTGGTATACAAAAAGGAAGAAATTTTTCTGTGTGTAAAATGGGCACATGTACAGGGCTAGGTTTGCCTTTGGTGCGGGCTTTTCCAAAGTGCAAGAGAAAGGATACTGCCACCCATCAAATTGGTGGCCGACGGCCACTGATTCCCCTCATTCGAGAAAACGACCGCCAGACGAACAATGGTCGCCCCCGTCGGGAAGACACCGCGCCACACGCTCACGCCGGCGGAGAAGAAGTGCTTGGAGGCACTGCGGCGAGAGCGACGACTACGCCGCGCGGAAGAGAAGGAGGCGAGGGCACGAGCTGCGGCGGCAGTACCCCCGCAGAAGAAGGCGGCGGCGAAGACGGTGGCTGCAACGGCTGCGAATACCGCTCCGGCGGCGAACCTTGCGTCTGCAGAGGCGAAGCAGACCGTGGCGGAGGCAATCCCCGGCGCGGAGGAAGAGGGGGAAGCCCCAGCAGAGCCGAAGGCGACGGGCAAGCGCGGAAGGCGCCAACTCGGAAGAAGGCGCCTGACCAGACGCCAGGAGCGGGCCAGCGCCGGCCGCGACCGCCGTACGCGCTGACGACGCCGCGCCAGCACCAGTCGCATCGGAGGTCGCAGGCGCAATGGCCAGCATTGTGGCGACGATTGTGGAGGAGGCGACACCGGTGGAAGGAGCGACGCCCCGTGTGGCACTTGACTCCGTGACGAGCAGCACTTGGCCAGGCACGAAGCCATCCAGCTCCGGCGGAGTTTGCGTGGATGGCGTTGAGACAACGGAATCGAGGAAGCGCCGACGCAGGATCCTCGATGAAGACAGCGCAGATGATGAAGGAGACAATGATGAAGAGGTACGCTATGCTGGACGAAGGTGGTGGATATTGTCGTTTATTCAAAACATATTGCTAACATAAGCTTACTGTTTATTTGATACTAGGTTGATTCAAGTGAGGAGGCGGGTGTCAGTGCAGTCGCTGCCGGTGTGGACGCGCGTGTTGATGTTTCACTGGATTGCGTTGTCGACGGTGACCCCAATTTGATGGACGACGGGGCCGCCGCTTGTACAGGCCTCAACTCGGACGAAGATCCCGACGTGCGCGAGGAACCGGAGGACGAAAAAGACGCAGAGGACGACGACAGCTGAGACGGCGACTGGGATATCGGCCAACTGACTGACGAAGGAGCGGGAGGAGCTTCCTGAGTCTGTGTGTTCGTCTGCCGCGAAAGACGGCAAGTACATCACGGCGATGAGAGATATCACGTGGGAATATGGTAAGTTGGACTTACTCAACATAAGTGAGCGGCTGTGTATTTGTATCCAGCATATTTCCTAACATAATCTTTTGGCACTATTTACAGATGAATCGAAGTTTGGCCCAGACCCCACGTATGCCGACCTTTACGAAGGTCCATACGGCCCAACCCCCAGCGTTCTCGACGTTGCCGAAGACCCATTGGCGCTTCTGTTCTACTTCATACCGCATTGGTCAGCGGCGAAGGTGGGTGCCATGCCTGTGAATCGCTTCAGCTTGTTCATGAGCAAGAACCGATTCTTCCACATCATGGGCTACATGCACGTTTCCAACAACAAGTCTCCGAGGGCGAAGACGGACCGAGCCTGAAAGATCCGTCCGGTCGTCGACGTGCTACAGAGGACCTTCGCCCGCGGTTACCGTGTCCCTCCTATCATCAGCCTCGATGAAGCAACGCTGCCATCGCGTTCCCGATACAACCCCACTCGGCAGTTCAACAAGGACAAGCCTCACAAGTGGGAGACGAAGGTGTTCGTCGCAGCTTGTGCCAAGACAGCTTACTGCATGAGGTGAGGAGACCCGTGGCGAGTCGGAACTCGCCACGGGTATTGTTTTTGGCCGAAGTCCTTATGTTGGATGGTAACCAACATAAAAGCTACTAGGAATGTGCTTGTCTAACATAGAGCTAACTTTATTGATGTGATTGCTTTACTACCAGAATTGAAGTGTACTGTGGGGGACAAGGCGCACTTGCAGACGCCCGTGCCGACGGACAACAACTCTGGAGAAGCTGCAGTACTGCGCAACATGAATGCACTATGCCCGCCGTCGCCAACTTCCCCGTGGCGACTGGTGATTACAGACAGGTTCTACACGTCGGTGAAGCTGGCGCTGGAGCTGCTGCATCGCCGGCTGTACATCACCGGCACGATCCAGACGGAACGGTCCGGCTACGCCAAGAACGTCATCACGAAGAAGAAGACCAAGCAGGTGAACAAGCGAAAAGTGATGGTGCCTCCGCAGGGGACCACGAAGCTAGCGGAGAACAAGCAGTTCCCTCAATTGACGGCAGTCATGTGGATGGACCGCCTTCCGGTGCACATGCTGTCGACAGGAGGCAGTCGACGCACCATCTCCATGTGTACGTATGCTCTTACTTTCTACAATGGACCGATTGCTAACCTATCTAATGATGTATGCAACAGTGCGCCGCATTCATGGCTTCATGCAGTCTGTTCCGGCGCCAGAGATAGTTCGAGACTATCACCGCTCAATGGGCGGCGTCGACGTTCATGACCAACTGAGGATGCAGCGCTACAGTGTCCAGCTAGCCTACAAGACGCGCAAGTACTACGAGACCCTCTTCTTGGGCCTTTTTGACATGGCGTTGGTGAACGCCTTCATCATCTACCGCTTCTTCAGAAAGGTGAACAACAAGCGGTCCCCCAAACACTTTGTGTTTCTGGAAACGGTGATGGAGCAGCTACTCGCCGTCGACTCTCCGGAAGCGTTCGCTGCAATCGAGGTATGTGATATGTTGTCGGTTCAACATAGACGTCCACGCTTACGCAAATATCCAACATATTTTGATTGCAGCAAGCGACAAGTGCTCGAGAACGGACGGCGGCTTCCCCAGTCCGAGATGGAGCTACTCAGCGGTCGGCTGGCTTGCACCAGCGGATTGCGACCACCGGCTTGAAGAGAACCCAGATACAGTCGACTGTGAGCAGGGGACGAAGCGCCGACACCGCACATGCAAGGTGTGTGCCATCCTCAAGGTGAAGCCAAGGAAATTCACCAAGTACTTCTGCCCAGAGTGCTCCACGGGTGATCGACGGTGCATGGCAGCGCTTTCTACTTCTATGATTCTGTAATGCAGACTAACGTGTTATGTGTTGATGCAGCAAGTACCTGTGTAATGTAGCACGGGAGGGGAAAGCCAAAACCTGCTTCCAGATCTGGCACACTGACTGGAGCAACGGAAACGACATCCCGAAGGCGCCCCTGCAAGAGCACAAAATCCGCAATCGGCCGCCGCCCTCGCGCCCTGGTCAGAAGCGACGTCACATCACACAAGGGGTGCGTCGCGGAGTCCGAAGGAACGGCGGGAGCAGATGGAGGTGGCGCGTCGGCTAGCGAGGCTGCCGAGGAAGAGAATGATGAAAGTGCAGGGGAGGCAGACGACGAATTGTCGTAGGCAGTGTGTCTGTTCTTTGGTAGCTTGCAATCAATGGAAACTCTTCTTTTGCAGTTTGCAATCAATGAATGCGTTACTCTTGCTTTCCTGTCATTGGCTGCAACACGCGAAGCCATCGCTGCTGGACGTGTGCAACGATGCAAAGATGGGCTCTCCAATAACCGGGACATTCGTTCTGTTGATTTCGCCACCATACGCACTGTTACTGCCTCATTTAGGCTGCATAAGATGACTTTATGTTGTAGGAGCCGCTACTATACCCACCTGTCTTCTCTCACGCACAACCCCAACCACCATCTCCAAATCCGTACTTACGCGGCGACACATACAAAAACCAATATACTTGTATACGGGACGGTAGAAATATACCCTCGTAAAGAGACCCGGGAAGTAAGGGGCTAAATAGCCAACGGGACACAAAAACAGACCAGGACAATTTTGCGAGTTTGATGGAGAGTCATGAAGAGTCGCATCGATGCCAAGGTGGGCTGTAGGATTGTGTTGCACGAATAGCATCTGACCGCTTCTATTCAACAAGATATCCAACGCGATCACGAACGTGTAGCCGAGATATTGGCCAAGTGGATAGATGCAGCCGATGGAGCAGCAGGCAACAAACACAATCGTGAATGATTACCGTCACATTCCAAACCTGTTGGGGTGCAACCGAAGTGTAGCCTTGTCTCAGGCCAACGATGGAGCTAGACCCGAATCTCTCCAGGAACTGTAAAATACAGCCAACAACTGCTTTGCTCCTGGGCAAAGCCAGAATGTGTGGGATGGTGAAGCAGTGTCGCCGTGGCATTCAGCGATAGGGCAGCCTACTCTGTAACGTGTCCCATCGCGAGAACGCTCTCAACTTGAGGCGATAGAGTAGCTGCCCCCCCACGCGGTCGCTCCTGTAATTCTGCGGATTGCCTTCCATGAGACAGTGTCTAGCGACGTACCGTAAGTCACGGCGGTCATGTAACATAGGGTTATCGATCGTTGGCTGGTAAAAAGTTTGATAATCTGCCCTTTTTTTCTAAGACTACAAAAATCATAAAAAGTGACACCCCTATCACAACCAATATCCGACTACATTAATACGATTTTGCAACCAATCCTTCACTAGCGGCCTCGGAATTGCAAATATCCCTCTCTCGCACGCGGTCCCATCGCTACGAGGCCGGCTTTTATAAGCCGTTACAGATAGGCCCCTTGTCGACCTCGTCCCACGCCTGCAGCACTGAAGCGAAAATATGTCGCCGCTTCTGGTCTGCATCCGAGAACGTGCCGTTTTCAATAACAAACGTAGTGTATATACCTCTAAGTCTATCCTTAACCCCCCCGCACTCATACGTTGTATATGACTACATGTTATGAAAAAGAACAGCACGTCTTTTTCTACGTGAAATGCACAGGTGTAGGTGAAAATATGCACAAAGAACGAGTAGTAATTGCAGAGAATGGTGGATTAGACTGATTATTTGATTGCTTACAGATTGCTAACAGGAACCGCTCTCCCCATCATGCGTATGAGACAGTGCTACCCCTACTATGCCCTGGGTACTCCGATCAGATTAGACAGGATATGATACATGATTGTGCATAGTGGATCGAAATGCAAGATGAATCTCGTCCGATATACCAGGGTATGTATAAGAAGAGGTAAGCTGAAAAGAATGAACACCGTAGACACTCTATTTTGCTATGTAAGGGTTATATTGCGCATGTAAGTACTAATATGCACCCCTCAGAGAGTATGCAGCCTGATGAGGTGGCCCAATCCAATAAAACCGAGCAGGACGTGCGCTATAATAATGCTAAGACGCCATTAGCCCGCGGTTGGGAAGACGTGTCACTTGATTGCTAGCTAGGTACAGCAAGTTTTTTGTTTTTAAGGCATGGATAGCCTGGTATGTTGGGATGCAATCATAGGATACTTCCAGCATAAACCCGCCCTTGTGTTTGATTTTTGTTCACCATCAATAAAAAGGACACTGCAAGTTGTAGTGTATACACCCTGTTGAAATTCAGCTACCCATCCGAGGGCGTCTTAGACAACATGTGTGTAGTGGGCCTACTTTGGCTCACTACTTTAGCTTACACGTGTGCGCGTGTATGTGAGGAAGCGTAGCTTAGTTTAAGTTAGAGTTAATTATACTCGGGCCTCTGAGTATAGATTAATCTAAATAAACGATCCAAATAATGTTTTTGGGTTAAAATGAGAACTGCTATTTTTGTTTTATGTTTCTGACTTCCTCTAAATGTAATATTCTAAGATAGGAATCTGCCAACGGCTGGTTGGTAGAATTCCAATGCTATGCATGTCGCTCATTGGCTAACAGATGCTGTTCTCAGCCAATAGGAATCCTAAGTCTCTATGGACCATCCGTCGTGGTGGTCGTAAATGTATGTAGCCTTTGGTGTGTTTACACCAAGGTCGAGAAAGTCTTTCGAACCTCTAACAGACGTCGTGTCTGTTAGAGTTACAAGTGACTGTAGCCACTTGTGCGTGTAACCCTGTTACACCATCCCCCCCTCAAGGTTAGACTCGCCGAGTCACGGCACGTCAATCAGGAAATTGACCATTCGTCAATTCTTCACGTTGGGAGAAAGAAAACTCGAGCTCATTCCGCAATGAGCTCGCCGCAGAAGAAGACCGCCGCCGCAACAGAGGGTAACCTCTCTGTTGCTCAGTACCATGAGCGCCAGCAGGCAAAGCGCGATGCGCTCGCTGCAAAGGCCGCGTCGGGGACAACCCAGTCGGAGATTGTCCTCGAAGGTTCCTCTGTAGTCAACGACGTGGAGATGGAAGATCTTCTAGCAAGCGCAGGGAGCCTATCGACATCGATAGTCTCGACCCGCATGCTGGGTCGAGACGCCCTCGTGAAGGAGACGACTCGGACGCTTCGAGCTCGAAGCATTCGCGCGGTGAGAGCGACACTCCGCTCTCTGCTGCTGGGGCTTTAAGCTCCCCGCGTGAGGTGGCGCCTTCAAGCTTTCCGCGCGCTGCTCAGGCAGCGCGCGATCCGTGGATGCCGTCTGCGTCAGAGATCGCAGACCGTGTGGGCAACACTGTACCTCCAAACGAAATCCCGCTGTACGTATGCAGCGGGATCCACGATGATGCTGTGGCGGAGGAGCAGCACTTTGATCCGTTAACGAATCAAAGGCGCGATTACTATATCGGACTCTTTCACAGCTCCGATACTTCTCCAGCAAGAAGACCTCTTCTCGCAGCAAAGTGCCTGAGTGGCAGGCACTTTGTCAAAGTTGGAATGCTTTTGTTAAGAACTTCAACAAGATGCCGGCTGCTTACCGTGAGCGGGTTAAGCACGCCCGTGAACGCTTCGAGACATTCTCGACGCGCGGGAGGTTGGAGCAGCTCCACAGATCTTCTGTGGACGCTGGTATTCCATGCGCTGTGCCTGAAGGCCAACAGTGCACGTTGTGTCTTCCGGGTGCGGCGCGCTTGAGCGACCGCGACCTAAACGGGTACACGACGATTCGTGTACCTGCGAGTCTCAAGGATCTCCGTGCCAAGTTCTTGGCACGTGAGGAACGCGACGATCGTGGGACCTCGGGCGCTGTAGGTGACCACAGCGCTCGCACTACCTTCGCGTCGGCAGTGCGTGGTGAGCTTCGTACACCTTCACCATTTCCGGAACGTCCTGCAGCAGGACGTCCCGTGGCTCCCATGTATCTTGGTGGGGCGGAAACCCTCTCCAACAAATACGATAACGAACCGGCTGCCGGTTCGTTTTCGGGATACTATGGTTCACAATACGCTCAACAATCCAGCGTGTTGAGCCGCGGGCGTCGCGGATCGGAGGCGGCGGTGGTGGGAACACGCTCCGGGTATGGCCAACCTGGGGTTGACCTTGCCCGACGCTCGAGGAGCGGGTCGCTGCTGTGGAGCAGCTTCAGAGCCGTGAATTCGCCGCTCTGAAGCAGGAGATGGCGACCCTGAGAGCTCAAGTTGCTCAGGCCTCGCAGACCGCGTCGGACATCTCTGTCGACGTGGGAGGTCGCGTCGTGCGCTTGGCACAGCGCGTTCACGCGTTGGAGCAGAGGTTCGCTCCCGCTGGGGCTTCCGCTTCGGGCCAGCCGAGCTAGGTGACTCGTGCTGCCGGTATGGTTTCAGCCGCCCGACGTAAAAGGTCGGATGGAGGCGCATGCTAGATGGAATATCTAGCGTGTAGGCGTTGCCATGCCGTGCCAACACCGTGAACGGCCCGATGAAGCGCGGAGCGAGCTTGCTCGCCCCGAAGTCGGAAACTGCATGTTTAGGCAGGTTTTGAGTTGCTAACAAAACCAATGAACCCTTCTTGAATTCATTAGTGTTGCCCCTACCAACATTGTCTGCGTTCAGCTTCTGTCGGCCGACAGAAGCTGCAATAGCGTCTTGGACAAACCGAATGATGGCTTGTCTGCGCTGCACGAAGTTGATTGCGTCCGAGATGAACTCGTTCAGCTCGTTTCTAGCAGTAGGCCCGGCCTCTGCGTTCGTCTTCGCGGTGTCTGTGCCCTGCACAGGCCCGTTCTTCTTCTTCTTCTTCTTGCTCTTGTCGGCGTCTGTGCCCTGCACAGACGCGTGCTTCTTCTTCTTCTTGCGCGTAGTCGCGGCTGACACTGTGCAAGTGTCAGCGGCATTCTGTGGCTGCTGCGTTGCAGTCGTAGATCCTCCCCCACTTAGGGAAGGAGCCACCATCCCGAGTAGACTCGGGAGGCGTGGGGGCCTGATGGCATTCACGTAGAACGGTGTATGCCCGGTCGAGGCATGCACCGAGTTGTTGATGGCGAACTCCGCCATCGGCAGGCACTCGCTCCAGTGTTGGAACGAGTGAGCGTAGCTTTTATGCACGTCTACGAGCACGCGGTTCACGCGCTCGGTCTGCCCGTCCGCCTGCGGATGGTCCGCACTCGACATCGAAAGTTGACTCCCAAGAAGTGTAAACACTTCTTGCCAAAGGTGTGCAGTGAAGCGCGGGTCTCGATCCGACACAATGTCGATCGGCATGCCATGGTGTTTGAACACCATGTCAACGAACAGACGCGCCGTCTGTTTCGCAGTCACTTCAGCGGGTACCGCAGCAAGATGTACCATCTTGCTGAAGCGGTCAACAAAGACCACAACGCCCGTGTTCCCCTGGCTGTCCGGGGGAAGACCGAACACGAAGTCCAAGGACATGGACTGCCAACACTCCCGTGGAGTTGGTAGTGACTGCAAGGGAGCCTGCGCGAAAGGCGCAGGCTTCACACGTTGACAAACCTCGCAAGCACGGACGTACATACGCACCCATTTATACTGGTGGGCCCAGTAGAAGTCTCGCGTGAGAAGAAGGTATGTCTTCTCACGGCCCGGATGCCCCGCAGTCGGTGCATCGTGATACTCATACATGATCCTGAGTCGCAGGTCATGGTCATTGGGAACGACAACGCGGTCCGCGTTGTCGTCGACTGCACTGTAGAGTAATAACCCGTCGTGCACCCGGTAACGGTGTGCACGAGCACGAAGATGCTTCGGCAGCTTCTGACGAGCTTGGTCAGAAGGCGCTGAGCCGTAGGCCAGCATGAGCTTCGCGTCCGCGTCGTGCGCGTACGCGACCTCCACGTCGTCCAACAGTGACGACGTCGGGGTGCTCGATCGCATGGCGTCAATGGCATTGACGTCGGCATCAGTCGTGGCGTAGTCAGGTCGACGCGAGAGCGCGTCGGCCACCACATTGAGTCTTCCGGGTTTGTACTCAACCCGGATGTTATACTCTGCGAAGAATGAGAGCCATCTCGCCATCCGTTGCGAGATGTGCGGCGACTTCACAGCCGTCCGCAACGACGCGTGACCCGTATAGACCACGAACGGTTTGCTTCCGAGTAGATACACTCGGAACTTCGCGAGTGCGTACTTCATGGTAACGAGCTCCTTGTCATGTACCGGGTAGTTGCGCTCAGCTGGCTTCAGCTGACGCGATTGGTAGTAGACGACACGATCACGACCCTCGTGATCGTGCTGCATCAGCGCACATCCGATTGCGAAGTCGGATGCGTCACACACAACGTGGAATGGGCGATCTTGGTCGGCCACCGCCAAGATCGGCGCCTCAGTCAAGACCCGCTTGACTGCATCGAAGGCCTGCTGACACTCAGCAGTCCAAACCCACTCGGCGTCCTTCTTCAGGAGCTGTGACAGCGGGCGTATCATGCCCGCGTAGTCCTTCACGTACTTGCACAAGTACGTGGCCAAGCCAAGGAACTGCCGCAGTTCCTTGACGTTCGACGGCGTCGGCCACTCATTGATCACTCTGACCTTCTCAGGGTCAGGGCGGACACCGTTCTTCCCAACGAGACACCCGAGCACGGGTATCTCGCTCGCCCCGAAGATGCACTTCTTCAGGTTCGCATAGAGCTTGTGCTTGCGCATGAGCGCAAGCAGCTTCCGGAGATGCACCTTGTGCATCTCAACATCGCTCATCCCGTCCGCAGCCCGGCTGTGGACGAACACATCGTCGAAGTAGCTCGGTGCGAAGTCGCGCACCGAGCGCAACAAGTGCGTCACGCACCTGTTGGAGGTTGCAGGGGCGTTCTTCAGACCCTGCGGCATCACTAGCCACTCCCAGAGCATGCCGCTCGGCGTGCTCACAGCCAAGAGAGGGATATCGCTCTCACGCATTAGGATCTGATAGAACCCATCGCGCAGATCAAGAGCACTGTAGATAGTGCTCCTGGCCATCGAATCGATGATAACATCTTTTCGAGGTATCGGCGTCTGCGCCGGTATCGTCGCATCGTTCAGCTTGTTATACGCATGAACGATGCGCCAGCCGCCCTGTGGCTTCTTGACACAGAACGTCGGAGCACTGTGCGGGGATTTCGATTCCCGCACTTGTCCAGCTTTGCGACGACTTTCGAAGAAGTCGTCGATCGCTTTGACCTGCTCTCGCGGCAGAGACCCCCATTACGGAGGGTGCGTCGGCTCCCCGAGCCGACGAATCAAATTCACCCAAGCCATCGACTCCCGGAGTCGACGGCGTTACGTTACCTTGGCTCTTATTATTGGCCAGACCTGATCCAATCAGATTCGCGTCAGCCTCCACGGTTGAGGCGTGTGACTCGTCTGCGTCATCCGTGCCCCTTGAGGTCGGAGACTCTTCCTGATTCGCTGAAAAGCGGGTGTCGATCTCCGAGATCAACACATTTTCTCCTTCAGCCGTCGGCGGCGATGCCGACGCTTGCTGCTCTTGCGCGCGTGCTCGCGCGCGCCCAGGGCGGTCCGGGACAGCGGCATTAGGCGCTGTCTCGAGTGGGGAGTCGCGCGCACCTGTCGGTGCGTGCGTAGCGGCAGCAGGGCGATGAAAAAAGTTTACAAGAAACAGGTATTGTGTTCCGCTGTCGCGACCGAAGCGCACGAGAGTGCGCTCTCCCAATCGATGACCGGATCATGCCGTGCAAGCCACGGCATGCCCAATACAATGTCAAACTTATCGTCCAGATCCAGGAAGATAAAGGTCTCGACAAACTCTTGATCTTCATACGTGAAGCGCACGCGTACCATACGCTTCTCGGTCTTTACGATGGCACCCGTTGCCAGTCGTACTTCCAACATACTTCGAGGTACCTTTAAATCCTCGAAGTTAAGCCTTGATAGACTTCGCAGTCGAACAAAGTTCTTCGACGCGCCAGAATCTACCAAAGCACGGTTGCTCTCATCGAGTTCACGTTCAGGATGACAAGGTCAGGCTTGTCATCTTGGTTCTTGCAGTGAGAATGAACCTCACTGGGGACTGCAGTCCTCAGTGTCGCGTGTCCAAGGTCGACACGCGGAACTGCATTACCAGTAGGGCGCCCCGCGCCTACTGGCGTCCAGCGTTTTTTGTTTGGTTGCGACGGTGCCCGGCACCGCCGCGATAGCCACCCTGCTGGTGCAAGGGGCCGTGCACTCCCGAGCAAAGTGACCGATTCTACCGCATCGGTAGCATCGCACATTGTTTCCTTGCGACTGTTGGGGTCCAGCAGTTGCAGCACTCGAGAGGTCCATGGGTTCTGGGCCTCCCGTCCTCACTACTGGGCGTGGCTGTGGCCTCGGCACATGTGCATGCAGCTTAGCCTGCCGCAGGCTAAACTCCTCCTACATTGCAAGAGTAATTGCAGCTTCGAGAGTACTCGGGTACTCACGGAAGAGATAGGTCTTCACAGGCCCATCTCTCAGCCCCTTCATGAACGTGACGACCTTGGTCGCCTCGTCGATCGGATTGGTCACGATGTTCGAGACCAAGTACTGTGCTCTCTGAGCGTAAGCATGGACATCATGCTTGCCCTGCTGCAGGTCGAGGAACTCCGCCCTCGACCGGAACTCGTTTTGCGGGGGCTCAAACGCTTGTCTGAGCTCTTCCTTGAAACCCTCGTACGTGCTAAAGCACGTAGGATCCGAGAGTCGGCGTCCATACGCCCAACTTCTTGCACGTCCGCCAAGACATGACATGGCGAACGCAACCATCGACAACGGGTCGATGATACGTCGAGCCGCAATGGCGGTGTCGAGTTCGACAAGCCAACGGAGGAGAGGTTCACCCTCTCTTCCGACATAGTTACTCACATTGAGCTTTAGCGATTGCGCGCGTGGTGTCGTCCTGGACGACACCGCGGTAGTAGCAGCAACATCGCGTTGCTCCTTCAAGATGAAACCCAGAGCAACACCGTGTTGCTCTGTCGGCGTTAGCGTACGCAGCATCGTAGCTACAGCCGCCTGTTGACAGTCGTTGGAGAGCCTCCCACTCTGGGTCCGACAGGTGGGGACAGTCAGCGCGTGCAACGTGAGTTGCAGGCGTAGTGGAGCTTTCCATGGGCACCTCTGTATCCATGGGAAGGTTCTCAGCTCCGCGTTCGTGCGGTGACGTACGAACTCAGGTAGTCGGTCGTTGGACGGACTACAAACCAGGTGTAGTGGGCCTACTTTGGCTCACTACTTTAGCTTACACGTGTGCGCGTGTATGTGAGGAAGCGTAGCTTAGTTTAAGTTAGAGTTAATTATACTCGGGCCTCTGAGTATAGATTAATCTAAATAAACGATCCAAATAATGTTTTTGGGTTAAAATGAGAACTGCTATTTTTGTTTTATGTTTCTGACTTCCTCTAAATGTAATATTCTAAGATAGGAATCTGCCAACGGCTGGTTGGTAGAATTCCAATGCTATGCATGTCGCTCATTGGCTAACAGATGCTGCTCTCAGCCAATAGGAATCCTAAGTCTCTATTGACCACCCGTCGTGGTGGTCGTAAATGTATGTAGCCTTTGGTGTGTCTACACCAAGGTCGAGAAAGTCTTTCGAACCTCTAACAGACGTCGTGTCTGTTAGAGTTACAAGTGACTGTAGCCACTTGTGCGTGTAACCCTGTTACAATGTGCGTCTGTCTGTGCCAACCAGTTTCCCGCAGGTTATAGAAATGTGTCGTACTTACGGAAGGCAATAGTTAGATCAAATACGCATACTTTTAACATTTAGTATACAGCTTTAACATGGTGTATATTGATCAAAGCCAGGGACCGAAAAACCTCGCGAGTGCGGGGGGGGGGGTTAAAGGGCTTCATGACGGCAATGCCCATCGGCTGGGCTAATCCTGTCACCACAAGAAGAACGTAGACCACGCTGGTGTGAGCATGGCCAACAAGGCGAGTCCGCATGGACTCCATCTTGTGCGTCCTTAGGCTATCAAGAGCCACGTTGTCGATCCACTCTTTCACCACCTTTTTGTCGCAGTATGTCGTCGCCTGTACTGCATAGTATCCTGTGTCCCAGTCGTAGTGCTTGTCCTCCTTAAAATCCTCCTGGTCAATCGCTCCTGGTGTCCCCGCAAACACGATCATCGGCCGCAGCTTACGCCCTGTCGCAGAGGTGCACAGGAATACAGAGGCTCGGAATGAGCCAGGCGTTGTCGATATAACAAGATGCAACAGCCATTTAGTCAGCAAATTAATTTTAATCACATTAATCAGATCAATACACATACACTGAATACGTTGGAACCCCTACAAACTCAATCGTGCTGTGTGGATTCACACCGATGTCTGGTCCATGTTAAAGACGAGTCGTATCGATCTGGCATTCCGATAGGGAAGAAAGCGCCGCATTCAATGCGATGCAACATCGACTGCGAGAAACGATCAGCGACAATCTAGTGTAAAGTTACTAACAGCATAAAACATACCTAAAAAAAAATGTTCCTGCATTTTAGGTCGCGGCAATCAGCCTCGGTGCGTGATGCGTCGGTACGTGAGTCGGTTGCGCGGTAAACTAGAGGCGAGTAAATGTTGACTGACTTACAATGAGAAAATGCAGCTATCCTAATTCTGATTTTCCGAATAAATTTCATAGATTCAAGAACAGTTTGCTATAGTGTGTAACACCCTTCACTCTAAGTAGTCGTGCTTCGGAATTAGTCATGCTTCGTACTTAAAAGAGCAAGAAAGGTATAACTACCATAATTAGTCGTGCACCACAATTAGTGGTTGGCAGCCTCACAGACTGCGAGCCCAAGCCACCACCACTCACCACTGCGAGTCCAAGCCGGCAGAAGTCATCCCACAAACCAAAATGACCGACAACAAAGGCCGCACCCTCCAACAGGTTGTTGCTGTGACCGACCAAGAGCGTTGCGTGCAATGGATGGAGGGGGACCTGCTCGAGAACGGCGAGAACGGCCTGCCAGGGCGTGCAGTCGAACAGTTCCCGGCGCTGTTTCGCGCAGCAGATCGCCGTGTCAACTTAAACAAGGCTAGAGACTGGTGGAGAAAGCGCGCTTCCCTTCAACTCGCCCTAGAAGGCCAAGGGTAACAGAAGTATGCACGAACGGCGCAAGGAGGAGGCCACCAACTCATCCACAAGGCCTTGGCAGGCCGCGGCCGGAAGATTGACCTCCACTGGCAGTGGCTGTACCCCCAGCTACTCGCCGAGTTCGAACGACTGAGGCATGCAGGGGTCAAGCTATCCTCTCGCCTACTGATGGACATGGTGACTACCATGATCGAAGACAGCCAACATCCTGTCTACAATACAGTTTTCGACTTCAAGGGCAAGCTATTCAGGGACTCAGCGGCGCATCCAGGACTTTACGGAGCGTTACAATATCGTGTACCGCAAGCTGAAAGGCAAAAAGCAAGTGTCACGAGTGAGAACGGTGGAACGGTGGCCGACCGTGTTGGGAACGGTTGGGACCGTTGGCCTCGGCGCCCCGTCCCATATGCGACCTTCATGGGAGAGAACAACTGGGCGAACGGGGGCGAGACGAGCAGTCATCGCAATTGGGTGCCGCCGTGTCAGATCTCATTCGGCACGAGCGGGCTAACTGGTGGCCCCGCGGCGTGCCTAGCCGCCATGGAAGCAGTGGCGCATGCGCCGAACGCGCGCCGACTTGAAGAGCAGGACGGAGGTCACGGTGGTCGGCGTGGCTCGGGCCAAGCGTGCGATGCGAGCCAAGGACGAAGGGGTGAAGTGTAGCCAAGGGCGAAATGGAGCAATTGAAGTCGGCAAGCGTGCCGGCAGCGGACTTAACGAGAGAGCGCGGAGCGAGCGCTCCGTGCCAGGTTAGTCAGGACAGTCGCGAATTTGCTTTGGGTCTAACAAGTCAGAACGCTGTGCATATTGAACCGTGCTTAGCTGCTTCTGCTTGTCCGTCTAATCCTCCTCAACCGCTCGTGCCTCGCTACTCACGGCGGCGACCGTGCCCGACCCGATTCGACTCGCGACACGTGGTGGAGAAGCAGGGTATTGTCGTCGCCGGAGAGGCCATCTGTGCTGGGGAGTGAATGTTGGTGTTCGTCGAAGGAGAAGAATGGTGCGGAGATCTCGTGGAAGGCTGGTGCAGAAGCTATGGAACGGTCGGTTTTTCGGAGTCAAGTTGGTGAAGATCCTGGAGAAAAGAGTCGAAGGCCACGCATTTGTCGCGTTGAAGGCCTGATCGAGTTTGAGTCGGAAGTTTGTGTTCCCCCCGAGTGAAGAAGGGCTGCGGAACGGTCGGTTGGTTTGGTGGAGTCGGACTAAGGAGATAACGGTGAGAAGCGCTTCGAGTGGTTGACAAGGACGGTGTACGAGTGAAGATCCGCGAGTTGGAGACGGTTGTTGGTAAGCTGAAACGGTTGGAGAAAACGGTCGGTGTCGGAAGAAGAACGGTCGCCAAGGATACGGCGGCGTGAGAAAGACGATTGGAGTGAGGTGTCGAGCGTTCTGGAGAGCATGAGCGGACGCTACTACGACGAGGAGTATGGGAGCCGTGCCTGGGCGGAGCCTGCTGAGCGTGACGTGGGCGACGGTGAAGGACGGTGGTTTGAGACTGGAACGGATGATGAAGAAGAAGGTTTTGTAGGTGAAAACGGCTGCTACGAGGATGACAAGCTGAACCTGGAGTGCACTATGCTGAAGCTGATTCCATTCTTCAACGTGAGGAATGCGAGCACGGAGAGCGCAAGGGATTTCTGGTGGTGCTTTGAGACGGCTACGGAAGGATTCGACGATCCAGTACGGTTGCGGGTCTTTGCGGCACGAATGAACGGTGATGTTGCGGAACGGTGGTGCCTGAGCTCACGGTGGGGCGACTTCGAGACGCTGAAGCGACGGTTCTATCATCGCTTTATCCGTCTCTCGGAGGAGCAGTTGCTGCAGCGGTTGTGCGATGCTGTGCAGGAGCGTGATGACCCGGTAGACGAATGGGGGCTACGTGTGGCACGGTATTGTGACGAAGCTCAGTGGTTTAACGAGTCGATGCGGTACACGGTCTTCAAGAACGGTCTGCGGAGTGAGCGGGTGCAGAGATGCCTGGATTGTCTCCCCATACACTCGATCGAAGTTGCATGCGAGTGGGTCGTGGCGAAGGAACTACATCGGCCTGTGCGTGGTGACTGGGATGTCGAAGGACAAGCTCGAGGTTGTGCGTCACTAGGCTCCGGGTACGGTGGAAGATCTGGCAGCTACGGTGTTCACGGCTCGTCGACAAAGAACGGTTTGGCGGCGCAACTAAACGTTCTGACGGATATGATGAAGGCAATGCAGTCTGAGATGGAACGGTCGCTGGAAGAGCTACACGGTCATGGGCAAGCGGTTCACAACTCGATGGACGAAGAAGACGAAGGCGCCGAGTTCGAATCCGGTCACGCGTGTGATGCTGGGTATGACGAGTCATATGTGTACGGTCGCACGCCTGATGATCGCGGTCTTGGACAAGGGATACACCGCTGGATGGTCGAAAAAGAAGACGAAGGTACCGAGTTCAAGGACAATCAAGCGTTTGTTGCTGGTGATGGTGAGTCGCGCTGGTACGGTCAAGCGCCTGAGGACCATGGTGCTGCCATTGATGCTGGCTACGACGAGGAAGAGCTGCACGGTCACGAGCATGCAGCACAGAACTGGATGGTCGGAGAAGACGAAGCTGCCGAGTACGGAGATGATCAAGAGTTTGATGCTGTTTATGGCGAGTCGTGCTGGTACGGTCGAGCTCCGGAAGAACCCGGTGCTGCTACTGTTGCGGATCGTGACGAGCCTGAATGGTACGGCCAAGCGCCAGTTGATCACGGCGCTGATGGCGACGTTGCGTACGGTGAACTGAAATGGTACGGTCAAGAGCAACATGGTCACGACGGGGCTACGGAAGACACTGAGCGTGAGGGTCATTGGTTCGGGGCATCTACCGGTGAGGGCGAAGCTGAAATCGAGTGTGAGTTCGAGGTTGCTGAAGATAACGGGCGAGGAGTTGCTGATGAAGCAAGCGGGAACGGTGGTGTACTAGGTCAACACGGTGGTCGTGTAGCGGGAGGTGCATCGGATGAAGATGTGGACGAGGGCAAGTCGAGTTACACGGAGGCTGAGCACGGTCCTGAAGTGTTGTTACAGAAGGTCAAGAACGGAATGGTCGCTGAGTGTCTGGAAAAGTGTGTGAGTCTGGAGACGGTTGTTGGGGAAGTGGGAACGGTTGTTGCGCCCCTGGTACGGTTAGTTGAATCGAAAACGGTGAGCTGTCAAGAAGTCGAAGTGGAAGCGGTCAGCGAAGAGCATGCGAGAACGGTGACAAGGACAGATGAAGAAGAACGGTTTGGTGCTGGAGTGAAGAGCTCGGTTGGACAAGGTGCTGGAGATGTTGAAGACGTTGGTACGATCGATGAAGAAGGCTTCGACACGGTGGTAACCGTGACTTCGTGTCAGGACGGTCAAGTTTCGGAAGAAGACGACGAGAAATGGGCAATGGTGAACTTTGTGCCTTTGGGAAGCAAGACGGTCATCTGTGGGGATTATGGAGTAATAGCAGGAAGGAGTTCTGGACTGGTCTACGGTTGCGAGTTGGAGAATTGCTTGAGCAAGGACGGTTGGGTTCAGGTTGAGGCGATCCCAGTGATCGAGAGCTGGTGCGTGGTGCCTCCTGAGAGAGACAAACCGGTGCGAGCATGGTAGTTCGGTGTGGTCAAGGTCCAAGGGCCTGGTGCGACTCGGTTGTGAGGCTGTGTTATCGACTGGAAACGGTTTCTCAGAGCGGGATCCGGTGTAATCAGAGTGAGGTGTGCTTTAGTCCCGGTCGGGGAGCGGTCAGTACGGCCAAGCGATGGAGTTGCTACAGTCGAGGAGCTTACATTTGAACGACGGATGCAGTTTGTACGGTCCGCGAGCAGTGACCACGATGGAGGTCCGTTGCCGGTCATTCAGAACGGTGCTTCATCTCCGGGTGATATGCAGTGACGGTCGAAGGAGAGCGGTTCAACGGTGACATGATGAGGTGTACGGTCTATTCTGCACGGAAGTTTGCGCGACAATAGGGACTCGACGAACGGAGGGCTGTAGCCCGAGATTGTGCAAACGCTTTGGTCAGGGAGCGCTGCCTGGTCGCGCTCCACAGCGAAGCGAGTTGGAGGCACGGTCAACCGTGTGTCCAGGAGGAGTGTGCGATCACGCGGTGAAGAATCGGTCTACTGTGACGTCGCTTGTGCACAAGATCTTGAGAACAAGAAGTTGCTGGGGCTGTTGCGGTGAGTGAGCGAGCTGGACAGGACAAGTAGCTACGGTCGAAGAACATGAAGTGGAGGATAATGATCTGCAGAAGCGGAAGCAGAGTCGATGGAGGGGGCGTTTGAGTACCGAAGAACGGTGGAGAGCGGACGGTGAACTGCTGGCAAGAACTCAAGGACAGAACGGTGAAGGAAACGGTCTGCGTGTTTGAATTTGAAATTGACGAGGGACGCGTGGAGTGAGCAGAAAGAAGACAACGGTGAAGAAAGCGTCCCTATTACGGTGTTCGTGTAAATGGTGGGCTGTGGATCGAGCGTCTCGTCACGATAAAAAGAGATGGGCGTTTGGACAGCTCGACGAGGACGTCGAGGTTTTGGTCGGGGAGGATGTCACGAGTGAGAACGGTGGAACGGTGGCCGACCGTGTTGGGAACGGTTGGGACCGTTGGCCTCGGCGCCCCGTCCCATATGCGACCTTCATGGGAGAGAACAACTGGGCGAACGGGGGCGAGACGAGCAGTCATCGCAATTGGGTGCCGCCGTGTCAGATCTCATTCGGCACGAGCGGGCTAACTGGTGGCCCCGCGGCGTGCCTAGCCGCCATGGAAGCAGTGGCGCATGCGCCGAACGCGCGCCGACTTGAAGAGCAGGACGGAGGTCACGGTGGTCGGCGTGGCTCGGGCCAAGCGTGCGATGCGAGCCAAGGACGAAGGGGTGAAGTGTAGCCAAGGGCGAAATGGAGCAATTGAAGTCGGCAAGCGTGCCGGCAGCGGACTTAACGAGAGAGCGCGGAGCGAGCGCTCCGTGTCAGGTTAGTCAGGACAGTCGCGAATTTGCTTTGGGTCTAACAAGTCAGAACGCTGTGCATATTGAACCGTGCTTAGCTGCTTCTGCTTGTCCGTCTAATCCTCCTCAACCGCTCGTGCCTCGCTACTCACGGCGGCGACCGTGCCCGACCCGATTCGACTCGCGACACAAGTTAGTGACGCAAAAATGGCCCAGATCGAACAGTTCGTCGCTCGTCACCTTGGGGAGCTCAAGCGCCTTTTCGATGATGGAATACTAGACCCGAATCAGAAGTACGATATGGACGAAAGTCATTTCGTCATTGACTTGGACGACGGGAAACGCTCGACATTCGTGGCGCGAACAAACTCAAATACCGCAGCATCGTATCAGGTAATAAGTACTGATTTATTGAAGGGTTTGTATGAACTGAATAGCCATTGATTTGACAGTAATGATCACAAAAGTCATATTTAAATAGGCCGCGAAGGGATAACCATGTGTGTGCTGATTAAGGGCGGCTCGGACGCCAAGCTGCTCTGCCCCATGCTCATTTTCAAGAACGCAAAGTCCAACTATCCTATCCAAGGTCTCCCGGACTGTGTCGACGGCGACCGCTACCGTATGGCATCGAGTGCATTCATCAACAACCGAATCATGGCTGAATGGCTGCGTGAAACGCGCTGCTGGGGACCGGTTGACCCGTTCGCGAAAGAGCACCAATTGTGGCTCGACAATGCCAGCGGTCATGCAGGTGAAGAGGTATAAAAAAGTTGGTCGTGAGCTTCGGACTCGCGCCCGATTTTTTCCGCCTAATATCACTGACTTTGTGCAACCAGCCGACCGCTTCCTGATCCAGCGAATCAAGGCCCACTGGAGGCGCTTATGTGAGCGCCGGAACATGGAGGTGATTCGGCGCGGGGACTGGATGCAAGGATCGAAGTCAAGCGGCGCGCTTGCGAATCCTGGAAAGCGCTTCTTCTTGGAGACCGCGGCGAAGTGCATTCGTCTAGTGAATGCCGAGGAAGATGAGAACGGTATGAACTGGGCCAATAAATCCATGCTTTTGTGTGGGCTAGATGTTGGTAGCGATGGGGTGTGGAAAGTTGAACAGCTTAGCAAGTCCTTACAAGACGTGGTGGCGAGATTTGGTGAGGAGTTCGCGAAGGGATACCAGGAAGCCACCGCAACCGCCTCAGTTTAACGAATTGACCGTAATGAATTCACGTGCACCAGAAATAGTCGTACACATTAATTAATCATGCATAAATTTAACTTTCACGGTTCATCTCCATAATTAGTCAGGGTCAGACTAATTAGAGTGAAGGGTGTAACAACCAGCCACGAGATATACCAACTTCGTGATGTAACGGTAGCCATAATCTGTGGACTATGGACTTAGGCGACAGTTAGCAATTATTATTATTATTATTATATATTATTGTGTTTTTTTTTGGGGGGGGAGGCCGTTGAAATAAAATCGGTTAGGCTGTTCCTCCACATATTTCGTTTTACTGGGAAGACAGCCTAAGCTAGTGCCTGTAAAAACTGCTTTTGGTTTGGCTGCTTGTAGAGCTGCCAACTGCTGTCCCCAACGTCATATAGTCACTCGTGTGCCACCGTACGACTTCGGAACGGCTTCGATTGATTCGCCGCTGTCAACGCGCTCCAGAGGACGCAGCTTGTCTGCGTTCTTAGTGCTAAATTTCCTGACCCCTGTAATCGGGGAGATGAAGGAATGAATGGCTCCTCGCTAAGTAGGACCCCGTGTTCACAACAAGAAACATTTTACGAGAGTTTTTACACACCATAAATTTACTTTTTACGTTACATGATCGCCGTGATTCACGGCAGCAATCAGCGGGTGCTGCTATTGCTAGTCTTGCGCTCTGCTCTTTATGTTCTGTTTCGCATGGCGAATGCGATTTAACCACGACTACCAGTTTGTGGTGACTCCGCGTTTTGTCTCCATCGAGTACGATGAAACCATAGACACACCATCTTGCTGAAGGCTGGCTGTGGGTGGATGCTGCGGACATGTACCTCCGTCCCGGCGAAGGTGTTCAATGCTAACACCGCCTCTGAATTCGATGTCGCCTGACAAGCTGTGGTCGGAGCGGAGAGATGACTCCGGATACAGAACTCCCATCCGAGCAGGACGAATCGGATGGGACGTGCGCTATCAACGCGTTCGGGCACTAACGTCGAAAACCCTGAACGCGCCATCACGGTTAGCAGGGGTATTTTGCGGACTCAGCGGACGCAACGCTGCTGGTAAGCTCACAAGCAATAACATGAATTGCGCTGAGCTTGGGGGCACTGACAAACAAACCATATTCCAGGGGCTAGTCGAATCCCGTAGAGAAGTTACAAGGTAACCGTTATGCCAAACTCCCGTTCAATCTATGCAGATGAGGCGGGGACCGCAAACGTGGTGCGAGTTACACGAGGGAACAACAAGTACGTCTTGCGCTCGATATGGTGGTAAACTAAGGTCTTCGGTGATGACACCATGGCCGCATTCGGTGTAAGTCAACTTGCAGGTACACGTCCAGTCGGACGTCGATGCAACCCACGTGGCGGTGCGATACTGTGCTGAAAAAGTGGTAGAGCGACACAAACAGGATGTTAATGTTGCCGGTAAAATTGTCCATAGCGTGCAAGAGACGCGGAAGCCGGAGCTTCAATTTGAGCTGTGATGACGGGTTCTTCACGCAGCACCAGTGATCTTCCACGAGGGGCTCAGTGCCATTTGCCTCTTCAACATCACCGCACGTAGTTTGCATACGTGGTTGAGAACCTTCTCGTCGGGAATCTGGCCTACTGATCGAGCGACCTCTTGGACGACTTCATCCGTCGCACCTCCAATATGCTTCACATGAGGACACAATAGCAACTACATTTTAAAGCGTATCAGATATCTAGCCACGGTCCGTGTACCGTCGAAAACAGTTGGTGTAGGACGTCTTTTGCAGCCACTTGCATGTTGTTAATGCCTATGGAGTCAACCCATGAGGCTGTCTGTAGACAGGAGCCGCATACGGGGCGTCGAACCGGCGATATATATATATATATAAATATAGAGCGACGTGAACTTGGTTGGTATCTTCTCCTTGAGCGCACTTGTTAAAAGAATAATTGGTATCAAAATCGACAGAAGCTGAACGAAATGCTGATATCAATCAGCGAAGGAAATGTAACTAAGTCCGGCTGCTTTGCCCGTTCATTCGCGGATTTGTCACCAAACCAGCACCCCGCCTCAAACCCAAGCACACCACCCTTTGTTACTTTGACCCCGCGCAGAGCCCAGCGTTCCTAGCAAGAGCACCATCGGCCGATATTCGACGAGCGTAAAGTTGAGCGCGTGCCAACTTTGCTGAGTTCTCTCGCTAGCCGCCGCACGAAGACGACCAGACCCCCCCCCCCCCCCCCGTACCCCATCCTCGACTCTTGGTACCACAAGGATGAGGCATAAGTTGTCCACCGCTTGACATACTTGCCACCACGCGAATTCAATCGCATATGAGCCAGCGTACGCCCTCACGTGACCCAATACAGGAATGTGGGCTGGAGGCGGTGTTCAGCGTTGGTGGGAGATTTCTTATGACGCTGCCCGTACTAAAGCACGGCGAGACGTGAGGTATGAACGCTGACTTCGTCCGCACCAAAAAACGCTGACGTTCAGTAGGACCATCACAGCCTTCCTGCACGTCCTCGCCCCGAGCCTGTATCAAGACCAATGAGTACACGATGCGAAGCTTGGTCACGTCTGGTAGCACGCGCTGTACGTGATCGACGTGACGTATCAGCAGCCGAACCGCCCCGCTGGGCTAATGGCGAAGGCGGTGCCGTTCTACTGCGGCAAACACGACTTATATGGTCTGAAGGTTGAAGTTTCAGTAAACCCGCGCAATATTGCCGTCAACTGCAGCAATCACGCACACGGACACCCCGCTCGACACTACAAAGCTCCACGACGTCATTCGACTGAAGGCCGAAGCTGATCGGAACTTAGCTAGTCGAGGGCCTCTTGGCGAGTTTTTTTGCGGACGAAATGATGGACCTGTTCGTGTCACGGCTCATACAAAACCGAGTCATTTTAAAGCATCTGGAACATCTTTACTATTGAACTACCCATTTTTGTCAAAAATATACTGAAAATTGCACCAAAAATTGGCATCGTGCCATATTTTCACGTCATTTTATTGCGATCTACACGCGGTCAGAAACGGTAACGTGCGGCGCAAGAATAGCGTGAGGCAGAACGAGATGCTTCAACATTCGCAAATTCCCTATTTCGGAGAGAATGCTTTTATGAAAGGGATTCAGACCATAGCAGCCGCATCATCTTTTGACTGGAAGACCACCTTGAAGAGGAACGTTTTTGACAGCAGAATTGCATAGAACCTATAAAGGTTGAAAGACAACCCCATGCGAAGGTTGTAGGATGTCCAACGTGTGCGCTGATAGGACGAATAAATGAACACCATGTCCCTCAGCCTATTTGACCGCAGTGAGCGAGACATGAGCACAGTAGACATCCAGGACCTGCAACTGAGGACGTGCTGCGGGCAGTTTCGACGCAAATCACTTCACCCATTTGATAAACAGTCGCTGTGTTGATGTTCGAAGACTCCGCTACCCGAAACATCATTGAACAGTGCACATTCAAGCAACTGCATCTTTTGTTGCGCCTCTGCGTAGATGAATATAGGCGGAATACGATCACTAGCAGCATTAACGCAGACCATCGTGCCCACGGTATCACAGTCGCCCGTTGGTAGCAGATAAAACTTCCTAATACCGATCTAAACTGACCTAAATATCCTAACGTAAACCACACGATTTTGGCGAATTTTTCCTAATTTTTTTCTAAATTACCAGTAATGTAATTTAACGACACATACTTACGTCAAGTCATTTTAGGATCTATTCAGAGCCAACCAACACTTAGACGCTCTAAAATCCTCATTTCACATTCTTACTTCTACAATGGAGCACAACGGGTAGAAGTTCTACTGCTAGCGCAAGGTAGAGGAGACCAACGTCACCTACTGGGTCTGCATCCGCCACCGCGGCCTGGGGTGGGCGGGTGGGGGGGGGGGGGGCAAGGCCCGACCCATCATCCGTGACGACACGATCCGAGCCCGCAACGACCACACCTGCCGCGCCGAACGTCTGCCTGAACTCACCGATGTGCGAGGCGAAGTGTGCATCGCCCTCTAGGCTGCCTGCCTGTCGAATCTGTCGTTGCCGCCTGGTATGGTATGGGAGCGGGTCATGGCTAGCATGAGAGAAGCGCACCCCGGCGCTACGTTTAGCACCATCGCCAGGCAGTCAGGGATCCCCATCATCGCGTACACTCGCGCGCAAGTCACCAGTAGCGACGCCCTGCGCGCGATCGAGAGCGAGTCGCTGCGCAAGGTGGCCCAAGAAGAACCAAGGCCGTTTTTGCAGTTCAGTGTTGTCCACACCAGTGGGTGTGAACAACACCGGTTTCTCGGATTTGGACATCCCGAACTCGTGAGGCTGCTGCACTACTCGGGCGCTGATGTGTTCATTGACGGCACCTTCAAGATGGTGCCGAAGCCTTTCACGCAGTGCCTCATCGTCATGGTACGTGACCCCGGCGTCGACCTCTACGTCCCGGACATGTATGTGCTGATGGACTCCAAGCAGCAAGACGTCTACTGGAGTGCGCTAAACTACATCATCATCCAGACTGGCCGTCTGATGGAGCCGTCCACTGTGACCTGCGACTTCGAGCGTGGCCTCATGAACGCGGTCACGGAGCAGTTTCTGGTGAAGATCGTCGGGTGCCTGCTTCATTGGAAACAGGAACTTAGACGCAAGATGCTCGCTCTGCGCATCCCCCTCGACCAGATTGCTGCAGCCCTCACGCCCGATGTGCTTGACGTCCTTACAGTCATCCCCGTCAACGAAATCCCTGAAAAGTTACATTTTTGGAGTTCTAAAATTGAAAGTGTGTGTGCTAATTTTGACTTGCTCTATTTTTTTAATTTAGGGTACTCGATACGCCCGCAGCCTGGTGGACGAGACTGGTGCGAAGACGATGTGGGACGCCTTTTGGCGTTACTTCAAACGTACATGGCTGAACAGCCACGGCGCGGACCTCTGGAACGTGAACAGCATGGAGGACGCGGGGATCGATCTCCAAAACTGCACGAACAACCCTCTCGAACGCTATAACCGCGCGTTCGGGGAGCTGTTCTATGCGGCGCACCCAAGCCTGCTCGTGTTCGTGGAGCCGGCGAAGGCAGACGCCCGCCGCTACGTCCAAATGATCGACGACATCAAGCACCATCGTCGTGAACCGCCTCAGCACGCTCCCTATGTGGAGCCACGCATCCCGGGCCGGTACGACGAGTTTGAGTGACCGATTGCTCGCTCATTCAATTGCTAATCAGTGTTAAATCTGACAATAGTACTTTGACTTCCCTGCAGTTAATTGTATTGTCCCAATTGGTTTGCTCTAATTTCCCTGCAGTTGCGTTCTAACCTGTGTCCTAAAAACCGTAAGATACAGCAGTATCTTACTTTTTTTTAAGGAAAACTAGAGGTGTTTTAGAACACGTTTTAGGAACGTTTTAACCAGCACCCGCCCGTTCGCGGCACGTTAGCCCCTCGTTCTTTTAGATATAGCAATCACTCAGCACCATTTCATTCAGATACTATCGCGGTTTGATCGCATTTCCAGATCCGAGAGGACTCTTCATCCAGAACCAGCTCAGCTATCGCTTTACTTAGGTTACCATTGGTAGTTGCGAACCGTGTTCTCGTTTGAGCACTCGACAAGCTTTACACCCAAAATTTGTCCTTTTCGGTACAGTATGATGTTGCGGTGGCGCTTCACTCAGCGCATCTGACCCCGGGGAAGCTGTCCAATGTTGGTTTCCGTTATGTGGCTAACGCGACTTGGCGGACCTTGGGGAACTACGAGGTTTCCATGCACATACCCTGTGTCGCCCGATACTGAATGGCCTCGAGAAGGCCAGCACCCACTCTTCATTGATATATAGTAGCTGGGGCCCGGGCGGCATTTACTAGGATGCAGTTCCTGGAACCCCATGCCAGTAGCCCTCGAGCGACCAGGTAGCCATCAGCAGCCTTGCGATCCGACCTGCCGCCGTCCATGGTGCTGGTAGCGCTCGGTCTTGGGCATATGCGGGGTTATCAAGCTCGTATTGGTGCAGCATGACAGGGGACAGGGTATAAGAGCATGGTGAGTTATTAAGTGCTGTAACGTTTGTATAATAAGGAGTTCAAATCCCGTTGGGGGCTTAAAATCCTAAAACAAACTCTGATCCAATCGAAGTATGTGCTGGATAGACGCACTGGGTATCTTTACGGAGCGACTGTTTGCCGTGCTTTATCTGACTAGAGTGAGTTTGTATGCTGGACGAAAACCATAGAGATATCCTGACCACAATCATGTCCGTGGCAGATACGCAAATGAAGGTGATTGGCAGTGACCAAGCAACTAAGCAGAGTACAGTTGCACTGCCTAGACCTTAGTAACCAGAAATATTTTTTTGAAGATTAACCTCTTCTTGATCTCTAGCTTTATTACTTTGCTCTTGACATTCAATCTTGACTATCCGTTAAACCAGTTTCTGGCTGTCACATCATTAACACGTGTGACAGCCACAAACTGGTTTAACGCCCAATTACATGACAAATGGAAATATCGAGCATATCTTTGAGACGGTCTGCTTTACTAGCCCAACTTTCCGGATCAAAGGATAGTCGTTGGGGTTCGACTAAAATATTGGGAGCATCTGTAGTAAAGTCAAGTCCAAAGTAAATAAAAATGAAGTGCTTATCAATAGCCTTTGTCTTTACTGTCATTTTCACGGCATCTGAAGCGACGACAAATTGAGGGGTTATGACCCTTATACTTGAGGGAATGTTTTATTATTTGTTCACCATAGAAGCCCAGATCCGCAGCATCAATTATTAACTAGCCGAGCGCCGCCGCTACGCGGCGGGGAATTTTTGGTTGGTTAGCGCTTCGCTCGCTATGCTCGCTCCGCTATTGAAACAGGCTGCCTACGCTTCGCTACGGCAGTAGTGGACCCGTTCCGCTCGCCTCGTCGGCTCGCTGCACTACTCGCCGTCCTAGGTTAATAATGCAGGTTAGTGCGGGCCCTATTGGGGGTCCGCAACGCACTATGAGGTGACCGGCTGGGGGCTGCCTTCGCTGCGCCCGGCAGCTACTCGTACTTAGTGGAATTCGTACTTAGTGAATAAGTGTGACGATTTTGTGACGGACGGACAGCGCGTCTTTCTGATTGATTCTTAGGATTGATGTTTAGGATTGACAGGTGACCACATCCATTTATGGCTACAAGTCAAGCTGAATGTTCCAACAGCACCTGCAATTGTATTTCGCGGAGCAGTTGTGCTAGCCTTGACGGTGAAGAATTCAGCGTTGGTAGTTTGAATGTGCGAGATGCTGGCGAGGCTTGGCGTTCGCCGGGAGTGGGAGGAGGTTTAGTGGTGTGATGTCTTTTTTAGGGGTGTTAAGACAGTTCCACGTGGTGATCGTGGACGACGTCGACAGATTTACGTGAAGTATCTCGATAATCTTCTTCTACAACCGTGACAGCTTTATTGGAGGTGCTACTTGTCAGCGATGAGCGCTCCGAAGGGAATCCCTCAGAAGCTGGTAATGGTGAGGCATCTGCAAGTAGGGCCAACTGCGTAACTAGCGGAGATGTGGTGAATTTTCCGGCATCGACATCAAGAGCTGCCGGCGATGATACGACAGTGCAATCGTCGCTGCTCAAAGACCTGCCAACATTGTCTTCGTCTTTTTCCGCTACAGCCGCCTGCGCCGTCGACGTAGAGTCAAATGAGCTGAGGAGAATAGTAGAACAGTGCGCGTCCATCATGACAAATGTGAACTCCAGCGGTATCGACAACTAACCAAACTTTCGATTGAGACCTTTACTTTGTAATGCTAAATTTTTAACGTTTCGCAAAACAATGAATGACCAAAAACCGGGGTTACAAAAGTTGTCACCTTTTCCTGATTCCTGCTGTTTACTGGGATCTGCAACTTGAGATTAAACAGAGACTGTCATTTCTTGGGTGGCCCAGAGAACTAGGAAGCAACGTTAATGCTGCAGCCAACATCGGATTATATCCAAGCTAGATGTGGCTTTACACAGTCAGACATGAAGTCCTACGTTTGGATGTAGGTGCATGCATCTGGGCTAGTACGCGCAGACGCGTGATAAAACGAGCCGACCGACGCGCTCCACGAAGCTCATGCCACCATACCAGTCGTTGGACCCCTACCTCAATTTGAAATTGAAACTCCACGATTACGTAGCTTTTCAGATTGCATAAATGTAGGAAGTACTTGGAGCATGCATGTACGACCTCTCTATTGAACGCGTGCCAGACGCGTTTCGGCCCCCCGCCGGGGGCCTCGTCAGTGGCTTTACCAATCGAGAAGCTCTCTCTCTCTCTCTACGTGCCCTCCTGGGCGGTCGCCCCTACGACGCTTCTAGAATTTCCTAAAGATCTGTCGTGGGTACGACTCTGGTGTCGTAACCGTGTACCCCCACCATGGGGTTACACCTACGTGCCTGCAGCACTTCCAACAATAAATATATCAGATTACATAATGTTTTTACAGTACTCTGAAGCTGAATCCTAACTCAAGCGCGGTTTTGAAAGTTCTCTATTGAAGCGATTTCCGCAGCCTGTTAAACCGGTTCAGATCCAAAATTTGTGACAGAAAAGAGATAGGTATTGTATCGGTCAAAAGTCATGATTCCAAGAGCTTCGGTTCGTTTTGGAGATCCCTACCTCGACATACAGGGTAACTCTGCGCGTAGAATCCGAAAATAATATCTATTTTAGCCGATTCCAAGCTGTCTTGGAGATATGGACCTTCGAATGATGCGGCCTCGGCCAACCGTGACTTCCGAACAGGGTTGCTTCGTTTTTACAGCAATAGCGAATGTTCATTGGTCGAGACCACAGAAACATCTGTAAAGTAGCGGGCTCAAAACTACTTCCCATCTGGAAAAAGATCCATTTTATCATAGCATATTTAAAGCATAAATGTTGGTTTTCATAGTAGACTCTGCTACACAAAAGACTGTCATTCATTAGTTATTTCTCGACAAAAAAAGCTAGCACGATGTCGAGGACTCCCACTTATGTAGCTGCCTGTCCCCTGCTTCGAATACGTAGCCGAAACGAAAAGCTTTCGAATGGTGGCCTGCTTGTTCTAAGCTAGCGAAAACTTACCATGTTATGACCGATTGAAAAATTGGTATCATGTTTTGTGTCCGATACAATAACACTCGGGAAATTCGATACATTACAGATATGACAAGACAACAGGATACACTTGAGCTACAGGATACGCTACGGATATTTTACAAAACACGGTGAGCTGTCAGAATATCGATTCACTTGAATATTACGGCCCCGAAACAGAATTATTTCAAAAATATTGCCCCGAAAAGGACCCCCCCCCCCCCAAAACAAAATCGAGGTCGATAGATCGATCTATTTGAGCCCTATTTGAGCCCTGGTTTGGATTGTCGTAGCTCGATTTATTAGCCGGCCTAAATAGACCGATCTGTTCCTTTCTTTGACCTCATTTTATTAAATCGACCTCGATTTATTTTAACTCGAGGAGAGCTCCAAGAACACTATAATTATAGATACATACTTCAGTTCTCCTCTATGGTTCTGTGGTTGGATGGTTGGATCTCGATGAAGCGTGCAACTCTAGTTTCAAGAACCTCTGTACTGCTCCCATTAGCGAAATGTCGATATCCCGTCAGGTCGGAGATGCCGTATCGACGATGAACAGCGTCATCGGGTCTTCTGCAGAATAGTAAGCGAGACGCCGTGGGGCCCCATCTTGTTCTTCTACCTTCCCCGGTACCAGCAAGACCGACGGAGTGTTCAGGTCGCGGAATTGCTGATGCAAAGCTCGCGAGTTCTCCAGCAAGGGCAGCACATGGTTGCGGAACTCCTCGAAGCCGAAACTCTGTCCGTCCAAAAACAAATACGTCTTTCATTAGCACACAGCCCGCCTCTTAATCTCGACAAAGGAATAAAAGAAACTTGCCAGGAATTCCAGCACAAACCTCCCGACTCCGACCAGTCCACCACCTGGAACTCTATTGACGTGGCCCTTCCAGCTCTTTGCACCTGTCCATTGCCGTCGCGTGTCAGTCATCAACTAGTCAACTACTGCACAGCAGTATCCACCGCTAAGTGGAGGACATCGTACCGAATAAGCTCACGTCGAAGCTCCAGTCTCGGATACCGTAGAAGGGCAGCGAGAAGGACTGGTAGGCACTGCCCTCCTGAGCCCTATCCGACACGAAGACGAGGCGGTACTGCGAGACGTAGCAGCGTCCTTCGCCGCCGTAGAAGCAGCCGCCCTGCCCCGGATAGCCGCTGCAGACAGACAGCCAAACGCCGCGTTAATAGGAAGAACCCAGTCCAGTTATAACGGCGACTACGCACTTGCCGCTCTCGACCGCGAGCTTCACGTGGTGGATCAGGAAGAAGAAGTTCTCGTACGGAGACACGAGGTACGGCACCGCCCCGTCGTGGAGCTCCACGTTGATGCTCATCGGGATTTAATTTTAGATAAAGCACACGGGTTTAGGCGAAATATACCCGATTCCCGGTACTTGTTTGGAATTCAAAGTCCCTAACCCCCCTTCGCAATAGCTCACTTAACTTTCGTCGGACGGAGGAGGAGGAGACTGGTCGCCGTTAGAGATGCCGCTGCTGTCGTACGAAGGTGCGCGCCAGCGGGCGCTGGAGGCCTGCACCTGACCCATAGAATGGAGCGCTAAGTCGTCTGGATGCTGCCACTTGCAGGTGTGGAGGTGGACCTCCCGACGGATCTGGCGGGCATCCACTTCGAGCTCACCGCGGGGACGCTCACGATCCACTGCCGCGGCTTCACGGGGGACGTCGTGCTGTCCAAGCGTACGTGCGCAGCAGTCGATACATTGCCTCAACGCTGTGATCTGTGTAGTTAACGCGCCTTGACTGCGACTGACAGCTGCGGTTGGAGCCTCCACTCGCAAGCAGCAGCAGCAACAACAGCAGCAACAGCAACAGGCTGCCGCCTCCCCTAGCAAGAAGCGTACCATTGACTTGAGCGCCAGCGACGATGACGATGATGATGAAGCGGACGCCAAGCGGCTGCGACCCAACTTCCTCAACGAGGCGGAGCAGACTTTGCTGCTTGCCCAGTTGGGGGACGACTCTCAGAGCTCAAGCAGCGGCCAGAAACCCAAGGGCAAAGGGAAGAAAGCCAAGGCGGAGCGTGAGGCGGAAGCAGCGCCTTCTGCCGACGAGCAGTCAGCTGACTCTGCCTCGGAATCCGCCCCAGTGAAAGCGGGGAAGAAGACGCCGACCAAGAAGAGCAAGAAGAAGGCCGCCACAGCTGCTGCGAAGGGGGCCATGAACTCGTTCTTCTCGCCGGAGCCGAAGAAGTCAACAGCCCCCAAGCCGACGCCTGACTCCAACAAGAAGCGTGCCCGAACACCCAAGTCACGCCCTGATCCTTCTCCGAGTAAATCCATCAAGGAGCTGGTTGCCGGGCCCCCAAAGCCCAAGCCGACAGGTGCGTTCTGCTACCAAAGAACAAGGGGGAGCTGCCATGCATCCGACTTGGAGGTGCATCAAGGCTCACATGTCTTCTCCGTTGATTTGTTGCAGCTGGCGCTAAGTGGGAAATGCTGGAGGCCTTGGGCAACATTCCACCTGAACGTTGGGGCCACACAGCAACCAAGATCTCAGAGGAGCGCGTAGCGGTCTATGGAGGTACCGATGACGAAGAGCGTACGCTCGGGGATTTGCATGTCTTCGACATGAAAACACACCGCTGGACGACCCCGCTTAACTGTGACACGATCACGCGCACGTGGCACGACGCCGTGTTCCTGGCTTCGAAGAACTTGGTGCTCGTGTTTGGTGGTGAGCGCAATGCGGAGGCTGAAGGCGAGCTTGACATCCTCTCGGACATTGCGGTGCTAGACACCGAGTGCTTCCTTTGGTACCCGCCAGCAATTCGTGGTTCGCCACCCTCTGCGAGAGGTGGTCACACTTGCACTGCCATTGGCAATGAGGTGGTAGTGTTCGGTGGTAGCCGAGGACGCAACCGACAGAGTTCCGTGCACGTCTTGGATACCGGTGAGAGAGTTGTGCGACCTGTCCAATGTTGATTGTACATCAGCTGCTAACACTATCGTTTTCCCGATTAACCGCTGTAGATGACTGGAACTGGAAGGCAGTACATGTAGAGGGAAAGCCGCCGAGTGCACGCACGTACCACAGCGCTGTGGCTGTGGGCGACGACCAGATCGTGTACTTTGGAGGCAATGACTCCTCGAAAAGCTTCAACGCGGTTCACGTGCTCACGAAAAGTGAGAAAAAGTCTGGCGAGGCTACGTGGTCGTGGTCTCACCCGTCTGTGGCTGGAGTACCCCCACAAGCACGTACGGGCCACTCGGCGACGCTGCTGGAGAACGGGAAAATTCTCATTTTCGGCGGTTGGGACCCTCAGCGCGACGATGACAATGCCTCCGCAACCGTGTTCGACGACGCCTTCCTCTTGGACACAAAAGCGTGGGGATGGCAGCCTGTAATCTTCGCTGAGGAGGGAGTTGCTGCGGCTGCGTACCGCGGGCGTGTTGGACATGGCGCTGTGCTTGACAGCAACGGACGCATCCACCTTTTCGGTGGGCAAAATAGCGCGGAACAGCGGCTCAAGGACATCTGCACGATTACAATCTCGCAGAAGGAGGACGAACAGCAACCAAACGAGCCCGAGGGCGAAGCTCAAGCCGCGAGCAGCGCAGCAGCTACAACTAGTGCTTTAGAGGCCAACAGCTCTTGAGATGCTTGAGCTCAGAGCTAACCTGGTGCCAATGAACCGTGTAACACAATTGTAAGAAAGTTGTGGATTGGAATTTGTCGTTACCCTTTTGAGTTGTTGGGGTTCTAAACCCCAAAGGCAGTGACGCCTACCAGCACCACTGTTTGTCACCGAATAAATGGAGGAGCGAGGAGAATGTGTGTGAAACAGTCGCTGTCGATCACTCCATGATGTCGTCGAGTTCGAGGGCGACGCTATCAAGGAAGCTGTTCATGTTTTCGTCGTCCATGGACACACTTGTGTCAGTCGAGACTGGTACATCAGCATCATCAGCGGCTTCAAGGTCGAGGTCATCTCGTTCGCTCCTCTCCTCCTTCATCTGGAGTAGCGCGAGGTTGGCCTCTTTCTCAGCAGCCGTGCCAGCGGACGAGTCCTTTGTCGGCGGCGGCTCAATGTCGGGTGAATCGTGCTGCAGTAGCGTCGGGAGGTGGGCAGGTAAAGGGAAGACTGGTCTGATCGCGCCTTCATTACTGACAGGCCCACCTGCCAAGTAGTGGAGAGTGCGGGTACCAGCGGCGGCATTGATCGCTGGAGGGTGAAAGAGCGAGTTGAGTGGGGGCGGCACGAACGTCGGCGGTGTTACCAATGACATCGACTCGTTCTTGCCAGCCTCCGGGTGCTTGTCGTGAACCTGACGCATGCGCTGCTCGTCCCCCGCTGATAGCGATGAACGCAACGCACCACTTGGGAGTAACGCGTCAGTAGCCGGCATTCCTGATGACAGCGTGTACTGCTGACCCAAAGTTTGACGTCCCAGCGGTGGCACCATCGAGTGCGCGTGGTGTTCCTGTCGTTGTCCAGCTAGTACTCCAGTCGGAGGAAGCGGCGTCACCTTCCCACCCGCGTACGAAACACTACCGACGTTGTAGATATTACCCTCTTGAGGCCCCGGTGGCGGCTGCAGTAACATGTTTTGTTGTGGTTGAAACTCCATGTGCGGTGGCGGATTCTGAGCAACGGGAATCGACTGCGCTGCGGCTGATTCCTTGTTGGCCTGGTTCATCAGCCACTTGCGGCGCGCGGCCGAGTTGAATCGGTTCTTCACTGCGTTTTCGGTGCGTCCAGGGAGCAGCTTGGCGATCTCACTCCACTTATTGCCCAGCTTTTGCTGCCAACGAAACACCATGTCGTCCTCCTCGGGGGTCCACTGGCCCTTGCGAATACGCGAGTCGAGGTGGTTGCACCATCTCTCTCGACACTGCTTCCCAATGCGCCCAGGCAAATGCAGCGCGAGATCGCACCAACGAATTTTCCCCACACCGTAGCGCGTAATGAGGTTTGTCAGAATTCGATCCTCTTCAGGAGTCCAGGGCCCCTTAATCAGACCTGGCTTCAGCACCTTGTTCCAGCGGTGAAGGCACTGGACGTCTGTGCGCCCATTTCCCAGCGTTTCTGCGATCATCTTCCAGTTTTTGCCGCCAAAGCGCGCCACTGCGACACGAAGCCGTTCGTCCTCGTCGCGAAGCCACTTTGTTGGTGTTTGAGCACTACCGCCAGCTTTACTTTGGCCTTGATGAGCCGACTTGTCCTGGGATGAAGGCGTGTGGTGCTGCTGCTCTCGAGGAAAATACCTCGATTCTTTCGGGTCCTGGACGAGGTGTGGGCGAGTGTCTTGCGGTTGGCCAAATAGCGGAGCACGGTGCATTTCCTGATTACTTCTGCTGTAGCCGGCACTGCGGTTCAGCCCAAAAGGTCCATGGGAAGACGAAGGAAACGATTGCTGGGGTATCTCCACCAACTCGGGAAGTCGTGCTGCGTGTTGCTGCTGATGTTGCGGATGCTGATGCATAGCACCACGTATGTCGGCCTCCAGTTCGTTGAAAGACATTTTCAGCTCGGAATCTGCATCCGCAAGCTCGGCGCCGTGACCTGGTGAATCATGTTCCCTGTTGTTGTTACTGCTATCGTCACTGAAACTCCCATCCAGCTCATCGTTGCTCGACACCGAAGTATCTCCATGCAGTTTGAATCCACTAGGACCAAAGGCCTGGACGAGAAATTCCTCACGCGGGGAGCATTCACTAGCCGATCGGTGCGATGGTGGCAGGAAAACATTGTGGTCAAAGCGCTTCGCTGAGAGCGCATCGTGGTCCAGTTTCAGCCTGCGCTCGAACACATCCTGGGGCTCTTGGGATAAGGAGAAGCTGCTCTTGTAGTCGTGGGCACCACCATAGCTGCCATGGAACTCGTTGTTGAAATCGTGGCTATGCTCTTCTTCATAGTTGTTGTCCTGGTCGTCCTGGTGATGTTCAGTCGTCTGGACTTGATTTGACGATGCTTGACGGTATCGAGAATCCAACGTTGACGAGGAAGATGGCACCAATTGGAACGCATCACTCGCGCTGATCTCTATTAGGCAAACCAAATGAGCAAGAAGATAAGCATTACCAAAACTTATACAAAGGCACGTACTCTCGCTGAACGGAGGCAAGTCGGGTCGGCGCAGCGCTCCAGGATAGGAAGCCGGGGGTGGCGGGTAGTCACGCTCTGACGGGGAAGATGGCGTTGCAAAGCTGGCAGCTGCGAGGTTGTTGTCGTTAGTGAGGCTTTGGTGGCGTTTCCGATTCGGAGGTGCGCGTGTGTTGTCAGTGCCGTGGAGTAGATCGTCAAGATCGTCCAGGCCCGCGCACGATAAACTCCTTTTGGGCGACGGCCTAGAAACACGGCAATTCATGCATTAGCCATCCAGATCATACGACAAACAAGAAATGGGTATACTAGCCAACATACCTGCTGAGCGCTGAGCGTGGATGCATGGCAGATGCGAGCGGCTCGTGGGGTCGGGAGCGTACGTACTCAAATATCAAAGGCTACTGGCAGAACTCACCAAGACGACGAATGCCACCAGCCATATCCTTGGCACCCTCTCGCTTTGTCGTCCCGGCTGGAGGAGTTGAACAGCTCGCGTGCTCTCCTCGGCTGCGAATGCGCTTTGGTGCTAGGAGGCTGTTGTCGCTTTTCTCCATCGTCGCACAACTCCCAAAAACAAAGAAGCATAAATAGGTTAAAACGCATAAAGGATTCTCCGCCAACCAGAAAAGAGTGCCGACCGTCGGCACTCTCGGTTTGCCCCACTTGCACGAGCGAGTGGCATCATCGTAGTCATGATTCGCACAAAAGTAGCTCGTGCTGGCTCCGATAGAGTCAAGCCAGCAAGAGTCTAATGCACGCCCCCCAAAAACCAGAGATACACGATCGATCCCCCATTGCTTCCCGTCCTGTTCACCATGACATGCTCCGAAGATAGCACAGCACACCTTTGCCAAAGGAATCGCACCTTCATTTTGTTTCAGTTTGCTTTGCTGCTGCCGGCCGAATCCTTGTCCTGGGGGATGCATGCCCCCATCCGCTGTCTGCGGTAGAGCTCTATGCAGTAGGAGCAAACGAGCTCCGACAATGCAGGCGTCCTGGTCCGAACCTTCAGTGCTCGCCTGCCTGCTATTCATATCGTCCATACTTACTCGCTGGGGATACCGACCGAGCGCAGCTTCTCCTCGAGCGTCTTGAACTCCTTCTCGTTGATGGCGTTCAGCTCCTCGTCGACCCACTCCTCGATGCCGCGCACCTCCGGGATGTAGTGCTTCAGCATGTTCTCCACGCCGTGCTTCAGCGTGACCGAGGAGCTCGGGCAGCCTGCGCAAGAGCCTGCCAGCTGGACCTGCACGAGCCCCGTCTTCTCGTCAAAGCCCTTGTAGAAAATGTCGCCTCCGTCGTCCTGCACCGACGGCCGGATGCGCTGCTCCAGCAGCTCCTTGATCATGGCCACCACCTCGTCGTCCTCCGGCAGGATCGTCGTGTCCTACGCGCGCGTCAACGTCAACACACCGACACAGTGACGCTATCAGTGTCCCTGTCGACAGCTCGCACCCCCAAACAAACCACCGTCTCACCGTGACGATGGGCTCATCAGACATGACTTCCTCGTCGGACGCGAAGAAGTCCATGATCGTCGCGAAGATCTCGGCATTCAACGCCTGCACAGCCACAATGCACACGCAGCACGCTAGTTAGTCCAGGCGCCAGGCAGAAACGAGCCAGCCAGTCAGCCACGTACGTCCCAGTCCTCGTCCTCCGTCTTGGTGACCGAGATGAAGTCCTTGCCGAAGAACACGCGCGTCACGCCCTCGATCTGGAACATCTTCTTGGCCAGCGGCGAGCGGCGCACCTCCTCCGAGTTGGGCGTAAAGTCCTGGCAAGCAACACTCCGAGAGTTAGTCTTCAGGTAGAATAGTCACAGCTGCAGAGCCCGCCGTAGACGTAGGCGCATACGCACCACGCCCGTCGTGAAGCGGTCGTCCAGCACGGCGCGCCCCGGGAGGAACTTGACGCTCAGCGGGTTGGGCGTCGGCTCCGTCTGGATGAACATGGAGCGCAGCGCGCCGCCGCGCGCCAGGAAGGGCGACGTGGCGCGGGCCTGCGGGGCGGCGAACGCGCGGCCGGCCACAGGCTGCGCGTGCACGAAGCGGGCGGTGGAGGCGGCGGCGCTGCGGCGCGCGAGGGCGCGCAGGAGCTGGCGGCTGCGTGGGAACATGGCGGCGGGCACTAAAATGATTACCGTGATGCCGAGATATTGGGTGGAGTTTTGGCCAATCCGGTGAAAGGCAACATGTACGGATTGCAAGTTGCAATGTTCAGGTTGTATTGAATTTATCATTCCGACGCGCCTTGAACGGGGGTTCCGTCTTTATCCCAGAGCGGGATGTCTAGCACGTTGGGCCACAGGCAGTTGTCGAGCAGCAGGTCGTACAGGAACGCGTGGAGCCTGGCCCAGAACGCGCAGTAAAGTTAGTGGATCCCATGTGCTAAACGGCGTTAAAGTGGCACGTACCACTCGGAGACGAAGGGCACGTTGGCGATGTTGATCTTGGCGGCCGTGAGCGAGAAGTCGAGCACTGGTCGACTGCAACCACCACGGGTGCATGCACAAGTTAGTAGCTAGTTCCGAGTTCATAACAAAAAAAACAGTTACACGCACTCAGTGAAGGACAGGTTGAGTCCACCGAAGCACGGCCAGTAGTCGGCCAGCGGGTTGAGCGTCACTCGCAAGGTACCGACAAGCAGCAGGTCCCGCAGCGACAGATAGACGGTTGCCCCCACGTGCGAGACCATCTTCAGATCGGCGGCAAAGGTCTTCTTGTTGGCGACAATGCGGATCCCGACGTCCAGCGTCACCTCGTCCGTGAGCGTGTTAGCGGACACGAACTTGACTCCGCAGATTTTTGGGGCATCCGACCCCAAGTCTAAGTGCGCGAGAGTCAACGCGCTCATGAAGGCAGGCTTTTGCTTTTCCAGAACGGGCTTCAAGGCATAATTCACTGAGTTCTAAGCACGCATACGACAAACGAAGCAAAGTCAATCACCCGAATGGCAGCCCCTTCACCCTCTCACACAAGGCTTACCTCGATAGCTTTCTTCAGATACGGCCAGCCACTAACACAAAACAGAGCTCATAAGCTTGATGGTGTAATGGAACTCTGGCCCCAAATGATGCTACGTACGCGACGAACACCTTGTTGAGCCACTCGGCTTGATCCACATCGGGATAGCGCATCCAATTCGGAATCTGTTACGCAAAGCAGACAAAGCCGTCAGCACATAAGACAAGACAAACAACAGGAGGGTGTGGGTGTAACAGACTAGTACCAACATGAAAGTGGTCGAGTTCAACTGTTGCTTGACGAGCTCGGTGGTCTCTATAGTGGACGAGAGCTCGTCGCTGCATGCGTCTTCGCCGCCGAGTCTTGAACGTAGCATAGCCCCAAATGTAAATTAGAACACTCGCGGCTCCGATGCCGAAGACCACGTTGCAGGTGCTCGTCAGGTACACGACCACAGACGACAAAGTCCAGGACGAAAATTGCTGGGGTTGGTTGCAGAAGTGCGCAAGAACTCCCGCGAGCGCAAGCGGCAGGAAGACAGACTCATCCGAGACGCCAGCAGCGACCGCCACGACTAGCATAAAAGCCAATACGCTAATTGAAGCAGGCTCTGGTTCAACTATCCCCTCAACGGAGTCATCGAGCTGGCTGGATTCATATCGGGCTGCTGCATTGGCATCCGGCTTCGTATTTACAGGAGGAGGTTTCACCGCGTCAGGACCTGGCGGCTCTTTATCAACAGGGTCGTCCTTGCCAGGCAATGCAACTGGCACGGTATCGCTTTGGTTGGCCTTCGTAGAGGGGCTTGTAGCGCGAAATGAGAGGGACCGAAGGGACGAAAACGCTTCAGTACTGTTGCTGCTGCTGGAAGTCGAGTCCGATGTCACATCCGTATTCGCTTTGGTAAATCGTTTCCAGGGGCTCGGCTTTGGAGAGGCGGTGCTTGTTTCGACAGGGGACGAAGGCGCCTCTGTCGCCGTACTGCTCATTGGACTTCGTGTCTGTTGCTGCTTTTCATGATGAGGGAAGATACTGGGCCAACGCATCGGCTGTCTTTCTCCAGTCATGCTAGAAGAGCGGGTTGGTGTCAGCATCGTTCTGCCAGCAGAAACAATGCGGGTTGCTGGGTCAATCACTAGGCGCTGTGTTAGCTTCTCGCGAGTAAATGCTGAGCTGCTTGTCGGACTGGAGCTTGGGCTTGCAACACTGGACGCGCACTGGCTGCTTTCAACTCCGGTCTGTGATCGCGATTCCTCGCTGTCACTATAGCGTCGAGCAGGTTCAATGGCCGAAAGTGTTGACGGGCTCCGAAACAGCTCACTGTCCAGGGTGGTGGCTCGCCTGATCGCTAAGTGGATGCATTTCACCCACAGCAGCATGCGAGCCTGGTTCTCCTCGAAGAATATAAAGCCCTGGGGCTGTAGGCGCAGCGTGTTCTTCTTCTTCCAGGTTCGCACCTCCACGCAGAAACATTTCTCCATGACGATATTGGCGTTGTCCGACTCGAAGCTCAGCACTGCGTCCGCAAGCGACAGCAAGTACACAAGCTCCGTCCGCGCCTCATTGCTGCGAACGCGAACACAACACAACACAAGGCAAAGAGCTTGTAAGCCACGAGAGCCAGGGGAGCGAGCCACTGCCAGCACAAACTCACACACTTGTAGATCTCCAGCGCGTGCTTCATGGTGTTGGCCACGACGAAGTGCGTGGACTTGGACAGCAGGAAGCGCTGCCGCTGCTTCTTCTTGCGGTGCACGACCATGTACCCTTCGATGGAGTTGCGCGCGAGCGACGACGTGTTCTCCGACGTGCGGGGCATGCGCACGGGCCGCTCTGCGTCATCAGGAGTAGGAATCGCACCAGCACCAGCACCACCACCAGCAGCAGGGACGCTGCAGTCGAGCGGCGCCTCCGAGCACACTTCCGCCACCGAGACCTCCTCCATCGCAGACGTCGGGGTCGGCAGTGGCATCCGGTCCAAGAGAGAAGTGAAGGAGGTTGCAGTGCCCAACCACGCTGGTGCGCCGCATATAGGCCGGCGGCGGTTGCTTCCATGTTGAAGTGGTCTCGTACTTAGTCGCGTTTTCAATGTGGTGTGGCGCACACAATCACATGGCACGCGTAAAGTGTGAGGGGGAGGGCGCTCATACGAACACGAAGAAGGCGAGGAGAGATACACCAAGCTCCGGTGCCCGCTCTCCTTCTACGGACCCACTCCGCCAGCATGGACGACACGGCCCAGCGCAGTCTGCTACTATGGGTACGCTTTGCACACGCCACCGCTGCTGCTGCTGTCTCTGTGTCCATCTAGGACAAGGAGCATGGGCAGATCCTGCTGTCGTCCCGGATTCAAACGTTTGAATGAGAAAGGTTCGCTCGAACTCACTCAATGCCAATGCTATTGCTGCTGCTGTTACTGCTGCTGCAGGTCCAGAGCTTCCACGAGAAGCTGGCGTCGGACGCGCAGATCTCGAGCATGGAGGATCTGTGCGACGGCGTCTTCCTCTCCAAGATCATGCACCACATGTGAGCTAGAGCTGCTGCTAGCTGCCGCTGGGGGCCACCGCCGCTGTTGCTGCCGACAGACGACCGACTAATTTCTTTTCCCTTCCCTGCTGCTATTGTGCAGTGACGCAGAGTACGTCATCTTGGAGCAGATCAACGAGCAGCCAGGGGGCAACTGGGCGCTCAAGTCCAACAACCTCAAGACGCTCCTCCGCGCGGTGGAGCTGTTCTACACGGACGAGCTGGGCCAGATCTGCCATGCCGACGAGATCGTGGACCCGCTGCTGATCGCCAAGGAGAACGACGTGCACGAGGTGGCCAAGCTCACGGAGCTGCTGCTGGGCTGCGCGGTGCAGTGCCCCAACAAGTCCGAGTACATCCACCCCATCATGCAGATGGGCGCGTCCGAACAGGCCAGCCTCATGCACGCCATCGAGAACCTCATGCACCGCTTCCAACCCACGTCTCCAGGCGGAGCGTCGAACGCGAGCCGTCGCAACTCAATGGCCCACGGGGCGTCTTTTGACGAGGTCGCGTCCCAATCGTCAATGTCGTCAGCGTCGGCCACTGCTCTGGCGGCGGGGAGTTCCGCGGAGGCTCTAGCTGCACAACTTGCGCAGGCATTGGAGCGAAGCTCTTCGATGGAGCTCAGGTACTTGGATATGGAGCGCGAGAAGCGGGAGCTGACGGAGCGATTCGAGCACACCCTGTCGGAGCACCGAGAGCTTGCTGACAAGTACAAGGCGCTCGAGAGTGAGCGCGACCAGCTCCGCAACGAGCGCCAAAACACTCTCACGCGCGACAACAAGAAGATCCAGCAGATTGTCGACAATGAAGTCCACGCCCTGCAGATGCAGATGGAGGAGAAGGACCTGGAACTGAACCGTGTAAAGCGCGAGTCGGGGGAGCGTCTCATGGTGCTGGAAAACGAAGTCCGTCGCCAGGCCGATGAGCTCGACATTTCGCGCTCGAAGCTCGGCACGCTGAACAAACTCGAAGCTAGCGTCACCAAGTACAAAAAGAAATTGGAGGAGATGAACTCGTTGCGTGGACAAGTGCGCGAGCTGGAGACTCTCAACGCGCAGTATTTGGACAAGGTAGTGGACCTGGAGAGCACGATCAAGACCATGCCCGGACTAAAGAGCCTCGTGGAGAAGTATAAGAATCAGGTTGTGGAGCTCGAGACGGCCAACGTTCAGGCTAGCTCGAATCTCAATGTCAAGGAGCAGAAGATTCGGAGACTGCAGGAAGAACTGGATAGCGCGCTGGGAGGCAAAGAGTTCCTCGAATCACAGGTGGAGGAGCTCCGCACGCAGCTCTCGAGCATGCAGTACCGGGAAAGCACTGACGATGCAATGGCTGCTGGTGAGAGCAGCGCGGTGAATGGAAGCGGTCTAAGCGCGGACGTGCTGCTTGGGCGTGACTCTGTTAGTGGCTTGAGGGAGCGTCTTGCTCGATTAGAGCGTGAAAATGCCGAGTTGAAGAGTGGGAACGCTGATGCAGGGCAGGCAGAATTGGCCAACGATCTGGATATGGCAGTCAAGGCGAAGAAGGCGATGGAGGTGTCACTGTTTCAGATGCAGAAACAAAACGATCAACTCTCAGAAGATCTACGCAACGCTCGGATCCAAAACGAGCAGCAGCAGCAAATGCTGTCACAGCTTCAGCAGGTTCAGGCTAACCCTCCCCAGCAGCTACAGGCGCAGCAGCAACAGTGGCAGAGTGCACCGGATGGACCCGAGCCGATGCAGGTTTCAAACGATATGGCTATGAGCGAAGGTGCAGCTGCAGCAGGAGCTGCCGGGTTTGGTACGGCTGCCGCACTCGAAGCTGGTGTTGCAATGGGGCCGGGCGTGGCCATGCAGGTCCCTGTAGCCACCCCTGGTTCTGTCGTGGTGACAAGCAGCAACAATGCGCTTTCGTCGGCCCAGATCGCGGAATATCAGGACAAGCTGGAGAAACTGGTACGTGAACAACGAGTGTCAGCGGTTTATTTGATTTACTCACTCATTGACGTATTGTGTGTTCGTGTTACTTCAATACAACAGGAAATCGAAGCGGAGGCTGTGGACTCGCTGCGCGCAACGGTGACAGAACTGACAAAGCGTCTGAAGGAGAAGGAGTCTGTGATCAACGAGCTTTCGGAGCAGCGCGCGAAGTTGGAGAACTACACGAAGAAGACGCTGCACGCCGTGCAAACCAAGTACATGGTGGCCGTGAGCTCACACCGCAACCAGATCAACGAGAAGCAGGAGCGGGTGGATTTCCTCGAGAAAAAGATGAAGGAGATCCGTGCCTCATACTCTCGCGAGCAGGCTCTCATGATGTCGTCATTCTACGAGGTACAGCACGATGACTTGGAGTATTATTTTCTTACTTTGTTGGTGCTAATCGATACGTGGTTGCGTGGACAGATTGGAACGGAGATGCAGCGCCGTACCATGATGCCCCAAGGTCCCGCTGCCGGAGCCCCTGGCGCAGGCTCGTGGCTTGCAAACAAGAGGACAGAAGAGCGCGCCAAAAGGCGACAAGGCGCATGAGCAGAGCCAAACTAGGCTTTGCTGTGGTTGAATAGCGCGCCCAATTTCACTCATAACAGGCAGAAGGGGGCGCGCTGTCGTGCTCTGATGACGATAAAGAAGGAAAAAACTCCGTTGTACGAGGTGGGGATATATCAATCTGAACAAACGAAGGGATTTGTGTCATGCATGCTGTTGATCGTGGTGGTTGTTGTTGCTGCTTCTCTCGCATATTGTCCTCGCGTTCTCCTTGATGGAACAACGGCTAGGCTCAGTCGACAACGTTGACGCCCAAGTTGACGAGCGCGCGCGTGGCCTGCTGGCATATCCGATCGTTGGTGGAGCGCACGAGTGACTGCAAAGCCTCCACTCCGCCCAGCTCCACGATCGCTTGCTTGTTTTCCGCTGTGCCACGTGCAGTACCCCCCTGTGTTAGTCCTTGGTGACGAATGCTTAAGTAACACAAAGCTAAACGTACGATTGACCGATAGGTTGCGTAGTGCACGGGCTACTTGGGACTGCAGCTCGACGGATTCCGAGTGCGCGCCGTCAATGATCGGCTTCAAGCCGCCTTTGCGTGCAATCTCCACCTCGTTGGCATCTGAAAGACACACACACAACAGCGTAAGTTGTTGAAAGACGAGCGAAAGGATGGGAGCTTGGACTCGCACCGTTGACCGCCAGATTCGCGAGCGCTGCGATGGCCTCCACAGCGACGCCGATCTGGCGGGAGCTGGCCAAGTCAATGAGCGGTTTGATGCCGCCCGCCTTGGCGATCCGCTCCTTGTTGTCCACTGCCAGCACGTATTGGATAGCAACAACCAGAACAATGATCAGATACGTCAACGCGCATATCACCTCACTGCTGTATCCGTTTCGCCACAAGCACCGCACCGTTCACTCCGAGGTTGGCGAGAGCCTTGGCCGCCTGCCGCTGCACGTGCTCGTTCGTGCTGCCCAGGAGGTCGATGAGCATGTCGATGCCTCCTTCCGTCGCCATCTTGGACTGGTTCTCCGCTGCGCCCAGCAACAACAGAAACAATCAGCCCGAAGCCCCCCCCCCCCCACGCGCAACGACGAGAGCGCCCCTTACAGTTGACCGAGAGGTTGGCGAGTGCGTGCGCTGCCAGACGCTGCACCTCCGTGTCCTTGGACTTGGTGAGCGGCAGCAGCAGCTGCAAGCCGTCCAGCTCCACAATCTGCACCTGTCGGTCGGCTAGCCGCAGCAAGCAACGCAAGCACCCACACGTCAGCCGCGCAATCAATTCGGCAGACAGTCAGTCAGTCAGCCAGTTAGCTACGCACGCTTGACGGCCTCGTTGGCCAGCTTCTCGGCCACCTCCCGCTGCAGCGCCGTGTCCGCCGAGCGCGCGTAGACGATGAGCCGCTGCAGGTTCACGCGCAGCGCTTCGGTGAAGGCCTCATCTGCACGCGCACACAGGAACAAAGTTAGAGGGCTCCGAGGCTACAGGCTCTAGGCTTCGGGCGGGCGCGCGCTGCCACCGCCGCCTGCTGCGCACCGTCCGTCTCGTCGAAGGTGAACTCGTCCTTGCTGCCCTTGGCGCCCTTGGCTCCGGCGTTCCCCATGGCGGCGCCGCTGGTGCGTAAAGTGAAGGGACGCGCGCAATTTAGCGATAGCCATAGAGGGCCACTAAAGATACTTTCGAGTGGGAGACCAATCAGCGTGCCTTATTTCTTAGCGATAGCGGTCAAATCGTATTACCTACAACGCCCCTGCACTATACAGGCAGGCAGGGGCTCGGTCGGAGCGGCTTGAGAGCGTTTGGGCCATGCCGACTGGTGGCCTGGTCCACGGACGTCGGGATCGGCGCGTCCAGTTGAGGTTTCTTGACGTCGTTGTCACTGCTGCTGGAAAACCTCCGAGTGATAGCCGACAGCACGCTACTAGACCTCTGCAACCAGCGTTGCCCGTCGTGTGATGCACAGGAGCTCCTGATCTCGTGGCGCCGAAGCGCCTTGAGCACCCTGTGATGTCCCGCGTTCGCAGCGAGACGCGCGGCGTTCCACCCGAAGGCGTCTCGGAGCTTCATGTCGGCCCCGTGCTTGAGGAGCAGGCGCACGAGCTTCGCGTCCCCGTTGGCGGCTGCTCGGAGGAGCGGCGTCTTGCCGCAGCGGTCGACTGCATTCACGGACGCGCCGTGCTGCAGCAGCAGTCGGGCCACCTCGAACTGCCCCCACGAGGCGGCGACGTGGAGAGCTGTCGCGCCGTAGCCGTTGCGGGTGTCCACCGCGGCGTGGTGCTCCAGCAGGAAGCGCGCGGCTTTGACGTCCCCGTCTCGAGCTGCAACTAGCAGCAGCGTGTACCCGTACGCGTCGGTTGCGTTGACATCCTGATCAGGGACTAGCTGCCGCGTCGAGCATGGACACTTGTGGGCGTTCCCCATATCGCCGCTGCGTTGGCTCGTCTCGTCGACTGCAAGAATGAACCCCCCCCCAAGGCAAGCTCGTTCGCAATGAATCCATTGGCACGGGACGGAGCTGCTCGCGAAACGTGCAGCGCGTTAGATAAGCTCAGCAGACTAAGTCTGTAACACCGGGTGGGTGTGGGGTCAGCTCCCAAGGCGTCACGACGAGTCGAAATCACGCGGCAGCACCGGCAACCAGCAGCAGGAAGAGCGGCGATTCGCCCCAAAGGGAGCAGTGTCGTACGACAGACAGCGCGTGCGCGGAGATGGCAAACAATGGACAGCCGTCGTGCATGTTGAAGCTACAGCAGATGGCTACATCCGAGAATGCTGTTCTCCCATTGGCCCACTCTCGAATTCTCCGAGGAGCTCTTGAGGCATGACGCCGACGGACTTGTCGCCGCTGCCGGGCGTCTCGGCCGCCGTGCACGCCGCCTTCCCGGCGCTCGTGGCCATCCCGCAGCTCGTGGAGGAGATCAGCGCCATGCTGGACTACTCGGCGCTCTGGAGCCTCGAAGACGCGAGCTCCATCGGCGACTTGCGGCTGGTGAAGCGCGTGGCGGCCCACGACCAGCAGCGCGCAACGGCTGTGGACCCTCCGCCGTCCGATCTGGCTCGCCGCGCGTCGTTCTCCGCCGCTGTGGCCGAGGCCGCCGAGGAGGGGCATCTGGCAGTGTTCCAGTGGCTGGTGACGCACTACGTGTCGAACCGTTGGGACGTGACGGACGCCATGGTGCGCGCGTCGAGACACGGCCACCTGGACGTCTTGCAATGGGCGCAGAGCCACGAGGAGCTCGCGCGGTTCCAGTGGACGACCAAGATGATGGTAGTGGCGGCTATCGAGGGCCACTTTGACATTGTGCGCTGGCTGCACGAGCACTCGTCCGCGCCCGGGTCTCCGCACGTGATGGACTGCGCAGCGGAAGCGATGGACCTGCCAATGCTGCAGTGGCTGGCGGTGAACAGAATGGAAGGCTGCACGCCGTACGCCATGGACAACGCAGCGCGCAAAGGGAGCCTCGAGATTGTGCAGTGGCTGCATACCCATCGGACGGAAGGATGCACGACCGGCGCGATGGACGGAGCCGCCATGAACGGACACCTCGAAGTGCTCCAGTGGCTACACGCCAACCGCCACGAAGGCTGCACAGCGTCGGCGCTGCACTGCGCCGCGGTCAATGGGCACGCTGACGTCGTGCGATGGCTGGACGAGAACGTCGCGGTGGGCAACCGACGCCGCGCCTTCGCGTCTGCAGTGCGCTGGGGCCACCTCGAAGTGGTCAAAGTGCTGGCCAAGTACTGCTCCGTCAACGCCAGCGTGGACACGTCACGAGAGCTCGCGGCTGCTCGTCGACGGGCCGAAGCAGAGCTGCGCGTCTCAGATACGTCGAGCCTGCTGCGGGCGAGGAGGGAGCGCATCCTGTACTCGCAGCGGATACTGGACGGCCCCGCCGAGGAGAACGCCGTGTGGTACGGCCACCTGGAGATACTGCAGTTCCTCTTCTCGAACGGCATGGTGTCCAAGCACGGCCGCTCCCGGGCGGAGCTGGCTGCGACCGCGACGGCGCGAGGCCACGCGACTGTGGCGCAGTGGCTTTTAGACTTTACATCGGCGTAAATCAGAGTGCCTTCACTTCAACATGCACCCCTAAAATGTACGTTTTCTGAAAAGTAGTCAAAAGCAAATCGATGGCAACGGCGTCGGTGGTCGATCGCGCCGTCCCCGGTGCAGGGCCGCTCGGCGACGTGCTCTCGACGGTCTTGCAGCTCTGCGGCGAGATGAAGGAGGCCAAGTGCGCGTGTACCAGTCTCCACGGTCGACTGAAGGGCGTCTTGGACGAGCTGCAGACGATGGAGGAGAGCGGACAAGTCCCACAGAAGGAGTCGATCGACAAGTTGGTGCGGATTGTAACGAATTTCCTGCGCCTTCTGGAGCGACGTCGAGAGACATCGCTCGTGTTCCGCCTGGTGGAGTCCGACACGATAGTGGAGGAGCTACAGCATGTTAGCGACGACATCGCGGAGCTCTTCGAGGAGTTGGGGGTCGTCACGGTCAACTGGGACGAGCAATGGGATCACGACACCAAGATACACAAAGACGTGCTCGTTGCTTCAGCGAAGAACTGCTCTACTGTACTTCGCGATCTCCCGGACCCACGAGCTCACGTGGAAGCGGCGCTAGTTCTCAAATTCGCGATGCAGCAGCAAGCAGCGGAGGAGGAGGAGGAGATCATGGAGGGCATGAAGTCAATGCTGGCGAATATTGCTGCGTATTCGAAGGCAAACGTGAATGAGCTGCCACCGTGGTTCATCCCGCCATACGCAGTGCAGCTCGACTCACGCCATTCGCACGCGGATCGTTTGGGTCTGTTCATCGAGGAGTGTGGGGACGTGGACCGAACGTGGTGGTCAAGCGCCTCTTTTGTGACGATATGGTGAACGATGAGCGCATGCGGCTCCAGGTTGAATGAGAGCTGAGTCTCCTTCACAAGCTCAGCCACCCGAATGTCATCAAGATGCTCGGTGGATCACACGTCAGCTCGCCGCCGTTCGTTGTGAGTGAGAATGCAACCGCAGGAAATCTCGGGGCGTTCCTCGTTCGCGATGAGGATAACAAACGGTGCTTGTGGCGACTGCTGTATCAGGCTGGTCTTGGCTTGGAGTACCTTCACCACAAAGGCATCGTGCATGGAAATCTGAAGCTGAACAACATTCTCGTCGGAGTGGATGGCGTCGCAAAGCTGTCAGACTACGGTGTGACTGCGGTACGAGCCTGTTGTTCTCGCTTGGTGGCGTCTCCAACGACCGTATCGGGTACATTGAGATGGTTCGCGCCCGAATGTTTCACGTCTCGACCAGGTTTTGCGTCCGACATTTACTCGTTCGCCATGTGCATGATCGAGGCTTTCATCGGTGAACCCCCATTTGTATTCCTCAGCGACGATGATGTCCGTGATAATGTGAGGAAAGGAATTATTCCACATCGGCCGGATGGGATGGCGACTGACGTGTGGGAGCTGGTGAAGTCGATGACGAGCTTCGACCCGAGCCGACGTCCGCCACTTCAGCACGTGCTGGAAAAATTGAAAGAGTTTGCTGGTGATGCAACAGTAGATCCTGGGTCGGTTGAAATGTGGTGCGGGGCTTGCAAATCGGTGGTGTTAAGTGCATCTAACTGTTGCTCACACTGTGGAGCTAAGCTCAGGGAACGGAGTGATGATCCAGTGGTTTTAGATGTATGCTCTACCGAAAGTGCAGAATCCACACCACGTCAGGCAAACCCGCCAGACGCTAGTCCAGATTTCGAGTTGCAAGAGTTCAACGAAGTGTCTGAATTGCAGGACGACGACGTATACGATGTATCCGAACCGGAAGACTCCAAGCCTGTGTTGACAAGCGACAGCTCGGTTCCTGAGCTTTTAGCCGCGATCCAAACTGGTGGCGCTGCTAGATGCGAGCAAGCGTTGCTCCTCCTCCTAGAAGTGTGCATTGACGACCAGCCACGGGAGCTGCTGTGTGAGGAGAATGGGACTTCGGTTTTGGTGGATGCGGCCAAACGTTGCCACTCGTACTTCGGTCAGCTCTCCGCGCTCAAGTGTTTAAGTTGGATCTCAAGCTTTGATTCCAGATTCCCGCGTCGCGAGTACGACGAGCTGCGAAAAGCTGTTCGCAATGTTACAACACAAGAGCTTATCTCTGTTACGAGTGCTCTCACTGACGGCAATAATGAAGACAAACTCAAGGCGCTGATGTGTTGCGCATGTGTGGCCACGGCAATCGATAGCGACGAGCTGGATGACTTTGGAGTGGTAGCGCTTATCATTCCGCTGCTTAGAGATGCCGATGCTGCCATCACAGCTTGGGCAGCGGATACTCTCGGAAATCTTGCGGTGAGGGGCGTGTTTGCGGACGAAAGTATCGTGGCAACGTTGGTGAAGCTCTTGGAGACCGGATCGGCGGCCCAAAAATCATCCGCTGCGTTTGCTTTGGGTCAACTCAGTAGCGTCAATGCCTTCAACTGTGAATCGATCACGAATGGCGGGGCGATTTCATCTCTGGGACAACTCTTGCAAACTGGTAACGACACGCAAAAAGCTCTGGCGGCGTTTGCTCTAGGCTCCCTTGCTACCTGTGAAGTCGGTCGCACAAATATTGTGAACGCCGGGTTATTACCTCGCTTAGTCGAGTTTGCTTCCACGGGAACGGATGCACAGAAGGAGTACTCGGCATTCGCCTTGGGTTGGCTAGCCCACACCGATACAATTTGCGTGTTGATCATAAGCAGTGGGGCCATCTCGGCTTTGGTGAGGCTCGTGCGATCCGGAACGGAGGAGCAGAAGACGCAAGCAACGTTGTCCTTGGCAAATCTTGCCATCGACTGCACTGACAGCACCGCGGCAATATTCGTGAACAAAGGGGTCGTTCCAGCACTCATGTTGCTACTGCAGCGTGGGTCCGACGATCAAAAGGAGAACGCCGTTCGTGCGTTGGCGAACTTGGCGGTGAACAACGCACGAAGCTGCGCTGCAATTACGAATGAAGGGGCCATACCGTCGCTGGTGAAGCTGCTTGGAACAGGGACTGGCGCCCAAAAGGGGCTGGCAGCGTTGGCTTTGGGACCCTTGGGTGCGACCAACAAGGACAACAGCACGCTCCTACGTGAGGCCGGAGTGTTCGGGCTCCTGGCCGACCTACTTCGAACCGAGGAGGTCGAGCAGGAGCAACACGCGGTAACTGCGCTGGAGCACTTGACTGCTCACAACAAAGACAACTTGAAGGCAGTCGCGCGCGAAGACGTCGTACCTCCGCTGGTCGCACTTTTGCGTGATGGTTCGGACGCTCAGAAGGAGCTGGGGGCGGTCATTCTTGGCCGACTTGCAGGAACGCAGGCCAGTCGAGAGAAAGTTGCTGCTGCAGACGAAGCCACTCCGCTGCTCGTGGGTCTCGTGCGGTCTGGGACAGCAGCGCAAAAGGAAGAAGCTGCTCTCGTGCTGGGCCGACTCGCCAAAGAAGACGCGAGCAAGGCGGTGATCACGAACTTGGGAGTGATCGGATTGCTGCAGGAGCTCCAGCGGGCTGGAACTACCGGCCAAAAGCGGAAAGCTCGAGTCGCCTTGAAAGCATTTTCCGAAGATGAGGCATGTAGCGGGGGCTCGAAGCGAAGACGCAGTGGCACGCCCGATGAGTAGTATTTGGGATAAACTGCGTCCCGAGTATATAGGCGAAAGTGTGAATGGTTGAGCGCTATTCCGCTTCGAGACAAACGGAGCAAGCTCGATGTGTTGCGTGTCAAAAAGATAGTTTTCAATATAACAATCTGCGTCTGCCTTCCGAGCGTGGCCCTGTTCCTGAAGACCCACGCAGCGGACCCAGCACCTGGGACGCAAAGTCTCTACAGTAGTCGCTAGTCGTCGATCTACTTGGAGTAGACCGGCACGTACTCGACCACGCCCTGCTTGTTCACGATCGTCTTCTTGATGTTGCGCAGCTGCTTCTTGCTCATGGTCTTGAGTCTGTGCGTGCGCGAGATCTGTAGTAAACACAACCAGCCACAGCAATAGCAACAGCAACAATATTGCATCAGCACCCTCCACTACCTCAGCTACCTCAACAGAGCCAACAGCAGCAGCAGCAGCAGTAGAGCACGCACCACTTGGACGGAGGCCGACTTGAGCTCGTTCTCCTTCCGGCGCTTTTCCTTCTCCTCGCGCGCCTGGCGCTTGGCGTCGCGCTCGGCCTGTCGCCGCGCCTTAATCTCCGCCTGTAGCTCCTTGAGCTCCTTGAGCTTGGAGCGCTTGAGCATCTTCTCCTCCCACGTCGTGCTCAGCACCTTGGTGCCCTTGAAGCCCTGCGCCGAGAAGCGCGTCTTCTGCACCTTCTTCCACACGCGCCCGCTCACGGGGCGGCCGCGCGGAGGCCCCGCAGCCTTGGAGGCGGTCGTCGTGCTGCTGGGCGTGGGCTCGGCGGTCGTCGTCATGGTCGTGCACGTCTCTTCCTGCTCTGCTGGAGCTGACTCGGCTGCCTTTCAGGTCGACTATTGACTGGACGGTATATCGCGAGTGTGTGGACCACCCGAACACCATAAATAGAGCTGCCGTGAGGATTTCATGTCCCGTGCAACATTTGCGAACTTACGTACGTGAAGTATTTACGTATCGGCAGGCAGGCAGGATGGTGGCGCCGCCTGGATGCTGTGAGATCTGCCAGATCGCCGAGGTGATGGCGGACCCACAGCTCCAGAACCGGTCGGTGCGGATCACTGGCAGGTGGGTATGATGTGTGGGCATGCTCTGTAGTTGCAGGGGTTGCTGAAACACGCTGCGATCGCGACAGACTGGAGGCGTACGACGCACAGCGCAAGCTGGCCAAGGTGTCGTTCCAGGACGTTTCCATGACGGTGGAGACCCAGAGGATGGCGCTGGGGAATCTGCGCCTGCAGATCGGCTCCATGTACCAGTTTCTGGGCGAGACGTACTCCAGCAACCAGGTAACGTTGCAAATTTGAATGTTGTTGCTGTTGGACGCGATGCTGACGAAGCATTTGGTGTGTTGTTGGTCAATAAGGGTGGGCAGACAGAAGTTCGACTGGTGGTTCGGGTGGGGCGCAACGTGGACAGCTTGGACATTGACCTGTTCCTCGAGGCGCTGGCAATGCGGCGGCAGTTCCTGGCATCTCGAGGGTAATGCAACTGATTCCATGCAGTAACATTTCGCAGATTACTTCTATGCTGCTCGATTGACTCAGCTCTCAAGAGTTTACAGCAGGTCGTCGTCCGAGTCTTCGTCGTCAAAATTGTCCTCGTCAAAGCTCTCGTAAATGGAGCGACTAGGAGGAGAAGCCTCGCTGTTCGTTGGCACTGCGCCCGCCTCCTTCTTGGTGTCTGATTCTGTTGATGAGGTCGTCGCTGGCCCCTTCTCAGCCGTCGCATCGGCATCATCCGTCTTAGTGGTCGACTCTGTTGGTACCGCTACATTATTTTCCGCCTCCACCGTCTTGATGGCCTCCACCAGCTCGGGCGGGTCGTACTTGTGCAGCGCCTGCCGCCACTTGCGCACGATCCCGTCGAACACCTTTTTGCCCATCCGCTTGGTCTTGTCCGGCGTCATGGGGTGCTTGCCGGGACGCCGCTGTAGCCTCGGCACCTGCGCGCAATAGCGGTCGTAGCCGATCGTGTTCTTGCCGTAGTCGATCTGCTTCTGGCGCTGCGCCAGTCGGTGCGGGTCCGTCTCCTTCTCGTCCGCCAGCGTCCGCACGGTTGCGCCAATCGCGCCAGTCGAAGCATTGCCGCTGCCGTTGCGAGGACGGCCTTGGTCCGCACGCCGCGCGCGTTTGTGCTCTGGCCGATTCCAAGCGCGCTGGTCGTCGCGATCTCTGGCGTCCATTGCGTCCGCCCCGCGCTTCATTCTGGCCTTTGTTTGTCAAAGGCAAGTGACTATTCTTATTTTTGGCGGGAAGCAAATGGCTGCTGTCACCAAACGGTTGCACATACCGTACAAACAACCGTACAAACGGGATGTTGAAGTTGCACAGTGTTGCGAGGTGGTCATGCGCAGAATGCTTCCTGCGATGTCTGCTACTGCTTCAACGACTTGGTCAAAATATGTTTATCGTTGTGTTTGTTTATTGGTCAGTGTTGCGCAGGCAGCTTCCTGGGCTGTGATGTCTTCTACTCTTCCAACTCGGATCGTACGAAAGGATAGTGCGATGTAGGCATGCAGTATCGTAACAGCGAGCGCAGCACGCAGCGGGGCTGAGGCGAGGGGATTACAGCGAGATAAGTTAGTCGTAATCGTCCTCCTTGGACCACTTGGCGCCCCCGGAGCCCTTGGCGCCGGATCCCTTTTCGTCCGCGCGACTGGCGCCGCCCTTTGCGCCGCTCTTGGCGTCGTCCTCGTCGTCGCTGTTATAGTAGGACTTCTTGGCCTGCGCCCTGTCCTCTGGGATGTACTTGTACTCGGCCTTGTTGTGCATGATGAGCTCGTCGCCTACGAAGTAGAAGCTGTCGGAGACCGTGGCGTAGGGCTGCGCCACCATGTCGCTGATGAGCTCGTCGTCCAGCGGCGGCATGGCGTAGATGGCCTCCCACGTGTTCACGCTGGACGGGATGCAGAAGCCGAAGTTGAAGTCGTAGCTCTTGACGATGTCGTCGCAGAAGTAGTGGCGCTCGATCATGCGCAGGTTATGCACCTCGTGCGGGCCCACGGAGAACTCGAGCTCCGTGGCGATGGCCGGCAGTCGCAGCACGTCCTCCGAGAACTCGTAGCGGATCGTGCGGTACGCGCCTTCGCCGCGCGCGTGCGAGATGTCCATCTTGGGCACGGCCTTGCCCGGCCGGTCCTTGCCGATCTCGAAGATCTTGCGCTTGGACTCGAAGTCCGAGATGGAGAAGTGCAGGAACTCGATGCCATACTTGTTGGCGCTCAGCGGGCACAGGAAGGCTGCGGACAAACGCAGAGTAGAACACAGTTAGGCCAAAGCGTTCTAGTACTGTCACGAATAGTGCAGTGCATCGTACAGTCGGTGGGTGCTTCGAGCTCGAGGACGTCTTCGGGTGTGTATCTCTGACGGGACATGCTCTCTCTCTGTCTTACTCCTCTCTGTGCGTCTCGGGGTGCGATATGGCGAGTGCGTCGGCTGTCAGGTAGCGTCGGAGGTGGGGCTCAGCTCCGCGGCGAGGACTTCGGTTGCGAGCGCGCCGAGGAATAAGGCGAATGGAGGGCGCGAGCGGTTATGCGTCTCCTCGCGCTCGGGGCCGATCTTTTCCGGGCGTGGTGTGCGGCACATAAAGGGAAACGACTGAGCCGACTGACGCACTCGGAAGGACACCATCGGCTTAGTCGCAGGTCATGCTCATGCCAGCAGTTGAAGTTGAAGGCGGTTGCCTACCGTGTTCGCACGCTAAGCTCGGGATCGGCGCGCGTCGCGCGTCGAGCGCGGCGGATCTGCTCACGTCTGAAGTCGCGCTACACGTGTAGTGCTAGGATCTCCGCGACGATGCCGTAGAGGAGAGGCCGGGAGACCGCAGCGTGTGTGTCGGCGCCGAGTACACGTGTAACCATCGCTACCATCACGTGAGCAGTGAGTCCAGCCTCAGCCATTACCAATCTCCGCCCCAGGGCAAGTGCCAGGCCGCGAGAGCTCCAGCACAGCACCGCAACGAGCAGGTTTGTCTCTCCAAAAGGCAGGCAGCCCTGGAAGTTCAGAGCTGCGGTGTTTAGTACCGGTATGGCATCTTAGTCCTCATCGAGCGCGCCGCCAGCCACTCGTTCGTTTGCGCCCGGGTCGCTCCAGCTCCGTTTGATTCTTTTTGTGGCGTCTCCGGCAATCGCAGCGCGCGTGGTCAGCCTGTGCAACTCGCAGAGCCGGCCACGGCGCTCACCATCCTTGCCGCAGCGCTGGATGACGAGGGCTCCGACAGAGCGATTTCGCTGCTAGACGCTCCGACCCCAACCGCCGCTGATTCGCCGAAAGTGTTTCCGCCGCCCATTGGCCGAAATGCCGCTTTATCAGCGTCCAGGCAGCAGGGGGGCCGCAACGGCCATTTCCGCCGAAGCCTCCGAGCACGAGAGAAGCGGTCGATCGCCGCCGCATCGGCCCCGGACCGCAGCGCAGCGCAGAGCAGACAGACCAGGGCCCGACAGGCATGCTGCGCTTCTAGACCGGCGCCTTCCTTTCTCTCGTCCCCCCCGTGCCCAATCGAAGAGAGAAGAGGGAAGCCCCGACCGACCGTGGATGGCCGACATCGCCATGACTGGAGAAGCCGGCGCCAACCGCACGTTCCGCTCCATCTTCGGCGACCGGGAGCAGCGGCACGACGAGGTGCTCAAGCTGGAGCTGGAGCAGAGCGACGGCAGCGCGTCGGGCGCCGGCGACGTGGGCGCCCCGGGAGCTGTGGTGCTGGCCATGGACGACGACGACGAAGCCATGTGGAGCGACGAGCCGCCGCTAGACGGAGACGCTGCGGACAACAACGACCTACCGGGGCTCCACTTTGCAGTACGTTGGGCGCAGACTGCGGGCGGATCTAACTCTTGAAAGTGTTGGAGTGATATTTTGCTGACCTTGTGCCTGTGGCTGTGTATTGGTTGCAGCAACGCAAGTCCATGGAGGAGTGGGCAGACGACGACGACGAAGAGGAGAACTGGAAAGACGCACTGCAGGACCGCGTCAACCAACTGGAGCTCGCCTTTCAGCACAATAATGACGCTGCGGCGGCGGAGTCCAGGCGGAGATTCGAGGAGCAGCAGCAGCAGCACTTGCAGCAGACCCCAACACAGCGTGTCGACTTCAGCCAGTCTCTGCCAGCGTCGACTCGGTTCACTGCGTCAGGTGGGAGCTCGGAGCGACCTCGACAAGGTACTCGTCACAAGATGCAACGCACATCTTCGTCACATGCGTGCATCACTGGCGACAATGGGTCGTCAAGCCGTCCAAACCATCTCTGGAACTTTCAGCGTAAAGTAGCGGGAGCGCCAGCGCCGTCACCGATCCAGATTGCCCAAGATTCACGCAGGCGGTCAACCTCCATAGATTTCGTGGCCCGCAACATTCAATCGGTCGAGCACCATCGCAAGCGCTCGGGTTCTATGAGCGGCATTTCCAGCAGGACAGACTCGCCCCGACATTCGCTCTCTCGGAAGGACTCGCAGGAGAGCAAACGGAGCAGCCTCAGCCGAAGTAATAGTAGTAGTAGTTTCCGCGGGAACAAGGCAGCTGCGCCAGCCGGGGGCACATCATCAGGCGCGGCGGTATTTATCCTGAGCGACACAGAAGCCATTCGCCGATTCGTGCTCGACGATGTCAAAACCGTAAGTCCACCGCTTCTGTGTTTGTAGTGTGCTGTGATCAACTCTAACATTGTGATCGTCCTGTCTGCAGATGTCCATGGAGCGACTCGTAGGCGATGCCCAGCGCTTGCATTTCTTAGAGGATTTCTACCAGAATCACCACCCCGCGCCCGCCGATACGATCGTGGCTCCACCGTCGCCTTCCTCCTCTTCACCCATGTCGACGTCCTGACCGCACTCCGCTCTATTATATTCCTTTGCTTACTTTGCTGATCGGATGCGATATTTTGCTGCATGCTTATTTAACAGCTAGTATTTCGCTGCACAAATTGTTTGGTGTTCAGTCTTTCTTTCGTGTGTGTGTGTGTTGATCTCTCTCGATGCGGCTGTGTGCTTTGGACGCCACTTCATGGATATGTAGAAGTGAGTGTTAATCATTGAGCAGAACACTAACAACAAAAATGCCAAGGTACTAAACTAGTCTTTCTCTATGATTCACTGAGCTGCAGGCGATTTCTCCTAGCAGCCAGGATAAATACTCATCACATGCTATCTGCATCACTCTCTGTCGAGCGTCTTCATCTCAGCCCACTCCTCTCGGTCATCGTGCATCGACAAATGCCGCAGCACCTCTAGCGTGAGCTCGTAGGTCGCGAACGTGGAGCTGGCAGCAACCACGGACTTCAGCAGACTTGGCACAGTGCCCTTGTATAGTCCGCGGATACCCTCCTGCCGCAGTACGTCAAGGAAGCACGCCCAGCTGGAGGAGTAAACCGGGATGACACCATACGTTTGACAGCGAGGCACGTGGCGCATCTGCATGCGTTTCTTGACTGTATCGAAAGGATACACCGCCAGCTTCGACACCAGTCCAGCAACAGCACCGCTCCCGACGTACGAAAGGGCCTTCGACAGCGACATCCACGCGTCTGGGTCGCCCTCTTCTTGCTCGTTGCGGTACTTCACCGCCACTTCGTTCAAGCTTGAGTAAATACCAAAGCTCAAACCCATGTACGGTGCGATCTGGAAGATCGTAGCGCCCAGTCCACTATAGAAGCCTCGCACGCCCTGAGTGGTCCACATGTGCATCGCCAAGCTGTGCATGGTCGGGAAGCGCTTGGGCATTCCCTGGCCGGCAAACGCCGTCCGGAACAGGTCCAGCGGGTACGTGATGAATGTCGCGGTGACGCCCGCCACCGCGCCATTGGTGGCGCTGATGACCGCCGACGGGACGGCTGCGCTATCTCCGTCTCGCTCCCAGCATCGGGTCAGCACGCGGTAGCTGCCGAACTGCAGCGCCGAGTAGCCGATCCAGAGCCCGGAGGCGGCCAGGTTGCCCCGCCAGAAGCTGCGCAGACCTTCCTCGGCGTAGATGCTGCGCACCGCCTGCAGCAGTCCGGCGTACTTGGCTTCGGCGTGGCCGTTGGCGATGGGCGCGGGCTGCACCTGGAAGCGGATCTTGATGAGGTCCAGCGGCGCGGCCAGCAACCGCGTGGCGCCTGCAAGCAATGGGAAAAGTGTGTCGTTAGAAGGAGCGGCGAAACCCATTGGCATACACGGTCTGCAGCTAAGGCGCACCTCCAGACACGGCGCCGGCGAAGGCCGCCTCTGTGGTGGACGCGCCGCGCTTGCCGTCGGTCTTGCCGTCTGCACTCGTCATCGCCTCGGTCGTCTGCTGCCGGCGGTTGATGGATGATGGCTGCGAGCCTGTAAGAACGTGTACCCTGTATTATCCGCCCGATCGACTTTTACAATAGAGTGTAAAATGAGCTATGAGAACGAATAGAGTTCAATATCGTATATTTGTCAAATAATGTTATGTTGTCTCGAAGGCTGGTGTCCTCAGATGTTTACCACATCAGCTTTACACCAACTGCACACAGTGCACACACGGCTGCTCACAGGCTGTGAGTCACAGCGCCTTCTTCTGCGATGGCGCCGCAGTCTTGCTCGTGGTGGTGGTGACGGGTTTGCTGGCGATGTCGGGCGCGCGACTCCCGCTCGGTCTCTGTTGCACCTCGGATCGTCGACGGTAGGCTTCTGCGCGCGAGTCGCTGCCGCGGCTGTGGTAGTAGATGGAGGCTCGCGCGGGCGTGGAGGCCTTCGGAGACGCAGCCGCTTCGGCGTCCTCCGGCACCCGGAAGATGAACGCCGGCGCCAGCACCACGAAGACCACGAGGCAGGCGATCAGCAGGTCCGTCCAGACGTCCACGCCGCTGGTATTGATGACAGGTGCAGGCATGGTCGCTCGAGTCCTTTTGTGCGGAAAGTGGCGGCGCACCGAGAGTCCGTCCGGCGACAACAGCAAGTTGAAGCGGCGCGAAACGACCGGTCCTCATTCGCCGCCGGGTCCCTCTCTAAACCGATGTCTCTCACAACGTATAACCATCTGATAATAATATTCAGCTTCCGGATTTTGCCTCATTAAACCCCGCAATAATAGATAGTCGATGGAACCGCATATCCATGCGCCGTTCCTGCGGTCGCCAGTCAAAACGTGGGGCCATCGTCATTGAGCTCCTCGCCGACTCCAGCTCAAGGCTCCGCTCCTCCTCTCGCCTCGATTGACCATGCGCTGGCTGCAGCTGTCCCGCGCGGCCGCCGGCCTGCGCCGCAACGCCCCCGCCACGATGCGTCTGCGCCCGACGTCGTCGCTGCTGTCGGCGCGCAGCTTCAGCGCCGCCGTGGCCGACGCGGACGTGCCGCCCTTCGCCGAGGGCTTCCCCGTGCCCGAGGGCTACATGAACAACCTGCGCAACATCGGTATCTCGGCGCACATCGACTCCGGCAAGACGACGCTGACGGAGCGCATCCTGTTCTACACGGGCCGCATCAACGCCATCCACGACGTGCGCGGCAAGGACGGCGTCGGCGCCAAGATGGACTCGATGGAGCTCGAGCGCGAGAAGGGCATCACCATCCAGTCCGCCGCCACCTACTGCTCGTGGAAGGACTCGAACATCAACATCATTGACACGCCCGGTCACGTCGACTTCACCATTGAGGTGGAGCGCGCGCTGCGTGTGCTGGACGGCGGTGTGCTGGTACTCTGCGGCGTCTCCGGCGTGCAGAGTCAGTCGCTCACGGTGGACAAGCAGATGAAGCGCTACGGTGTGCCGCGCATCGCCTTCATCAACAAGCTGGACCGCATGGGTGCCAACCCTTGGAAGGTCATTGGCGACCTGCGCACGCAGCTCAAGCTCAACGCCTGGGCGCTGCAGGTGCCCATTGGCGCCGAGAACGACCTGGAGGGCGTCGTGGACCTTCTCACCATGAAGGCTCTGCGCAACAAGGGCGAGAGCGGCGAGGTTATCGAGGAGACCGACGACATCCCCGCTGAGACGCGTGCTCTGGCTGAGGAGAAGCGCGTCGAGCTGATTGAGGCTCTGGCTGATGTCAACGACGAAATTGCCGAGATGTTCCTCATGGAGGAGGAGCCGACTGTCGAGCAGCTCAAGGAGGCCATCCGTCGTGCCACGATCGCGCACAAGTTCGTGCCCGTCATGATGGGCTCGGCGTTCAAGAACCGCGGTGTGCAGCCCATGCTGGACGGCGTCATCTCGTACCTGCCCAGCCCGTCGGAGATCAAGAACTATGCTCTGGACCAGTCGAAGGGTGAGGCGCGTGTCGGTGTGCCCTGCTCACCCGATGCCCCGCTGCTGGCCCTGGCCTTCAAGCTGGAGGAGGGCAAGTTCGGCCAGCTCACGTACATGCGTGTGTACTCGGGCACGCTCAAGCGCGGTGGCTTCATCTACAACATGAGCGACATGAAGCGCATCAAGGTGCCGCGTCTGGTAAAGATGCACTCGAACGAGATGGAGGAGGTGGAGGAAGTTGGCGCTGGTGAGGTCGTGGCCATGTTCGGCGTCGAGTGCGCCAGTATGGACACGTTCAGCGACACCAACCAGGGCAAGTTCACGATGACGAGTCTGCACGTGCCCGAGCCCGTGATGTCGCTGGCCGTGACGCCCAAGAACAAACAGCAGATTAGCAATTTTTCCAAGGCGCTCAACCGTTTCCAGAAGGAGGACCCGACGTTCCGTGTGCGTGTGGACGACGACAGCAAGGAGACGATCATCAGCGGCATGGGTGAGCTCCACCTGCAGATCTACGTGGAGCGCATGAAGCGCGAGTACAACGTGGACGTCGAGACCGGCGCGCCGCAGGTCAACTACCGTGAGACGATCCGTCAGCGCAGCGAGTTCAACTACCTGCACAAGAAGCAGAGCGGTGGTTCGGGTCAGTACGCCCGTGTGGTGGGCTACATCGAGCCGCTTACGGACGAGGAGGTGGAGGAGCTGGACAACGAGGGCAACTCGTCGGGCGTCGTCTTCGAGAACGCTATCATCGGTAACGCCATCCCGCCTGAGTACATCACGGCGTGTGAGAAGGGTGTGAACGATGCTATCCAGAAGGGCTGGCTCATCGGCCACCCGGTGCAGCGCATGCGCGTGGTGGTGAACGACGGTCAGTCGCACTCGGTGGATTCCAGCGAGCTTGCTTTCCGCACGGCCATGGTGCTGGCCATCCGCCAGGCCTTCCTCAAGGCCGACCCGTGCATCCTCGAGCCCGTCATGGCTGTGGAGGTGGAGGTGCCCAACGAGTTCCAGGGCACGGCCATTGCCGAGGTGAACCGCCGTCGCGGTCTCATCAACAGCAGCGACGCCGACGACATGCACACGGTGGTCAAGTGCGACGTGCCGCTGCAGAACATGTTCGGATTCTCCACGGACCTGCGCTCGTCCACGCAGGGCAAGGGCGAGTTCACGATGGAGTACAAGACCCACGGCGTCGTCATGCGCGACATGCAGGAGAAGCTGGTGTCCGAGTACGAGAAGGTTCTGGCCGCCAAGAACAAGTAGACTTGAGACGATTTTGTGCTTTCGGCGGCCGATGGATGAGGCAACGCTCTCGTCGACTGCTGAGGACGACACTACATAGATGTAGGGAATAGACCAGATAGACCGTCGGTCTACGACCACGACACATAGCAACAAGCCCCATACATGTATTACCCCTTCATTTGGCCATTCCGCGCGTGTATTCCTGGCTTCTACTGGCAAAACTGGTAAAATACACACCGAAACGTGGCATTTCAGCCCCACATTCCTCAACTGCCCATGGCGGCGATAGACTACTACCGCGTGCTCAACGTCGCCAGGTAGTGTGCCCCCTTGCGCCCTTCCCCGTAGCAGTCCATAGCGCTGTCGCTCACTCTGTGCGTGTGCGTGGCTCAGAACTGCATCGACCAAGGAGATCAAGGCCGCCTACTTCCACCTCGGTGCGTGTGTCGACCACAGTCTCAGTCAGTTCACGCATTATTGCACGCCGCTAACAGGGAGTTTACATGCGCAGCCAAGTCCCTGCACCCTGACGTGACCGGCAACGATGAGACCAAGGCGGAGCGCTTCAAGCACGTGAGCGAGGCCCATTCGGTGCTCTCGGACCCGCAGAGACGGCGCGAGTACGATGCCTCCCGTCCAGTCGAGAGCTTCCGCTCGTACGACACGTCCGGGATGACGCAGCACCCGTACGCAGCCACGGGGGGCGCGCCGGACCTCCGGGCGCGTCCTCTGTACGGCATCAACGAAGAGATCTGGCTCGCGCACCACTACGGCCCGGAAGCTGCGCGACGCAACGGCATGCCGCCGCGGTATTACGGCATGAACGTGGTGGAGGAGAAGCTCGAGCAGCAGCGGGAGCGCATCCGTCGTCGCCAGCGCCACTTCAAGTTGAACCGCACGTCTGGCTACTTCTTGCGGCGCGAAGCGAGGCTGAAGAAGCATGAGGAGGAGCAGGCGGAGGCCCAAGAGAAGAGCGAGAAGGCCAAGGGCAGCGACGGCTGTGTCATCAGTTGAGCGGCAACCACTAGAGTTGGTGAATATCTATCTATTGAAGCTAATAAAGTCTACAAACCTCCAAGCCCAGGGGGCAGGGCGTGCAGACCGAGAGCGTACGAGTACAGTCTGGCGTCAATTGCATCCTTCTCGCGGAGTTTGCGAGCTTCCAGCCAGTGCACGAGCCCTTCCAGCGGTGCGTGCACGACCTGGATGATCTCGTCAGGCTCCAGTTGCTGCTGCAATGGCGACTGCTGTTCTTCGTCCCGCACCTCCACCAGCAGAAGTCTGCACTTGCCGTTGGTGACGCCTTGGTCGTTGACCATCGGCGGACCCATGTGCAGCACGCGCGAGCCGACGTAGCCCGTCTCCTCCTTGAGCTCCCGCATGGCAGCCACCTCCGGCGCCTCATGTGAGTCGATAAGCCCCGCAGGCAGCTCCAGCACCCACTGACCCACTGGCGGTCGGAACTGGCGGATCAAGACGACGCGCGTAGGGGCTCCTTGCTTGGTCAGGAACGGGAACACCACCACCGCGTCACACACCTCCTGCTTGTCCTGCTTGTCGACTGACAAGGGCTCTGCAGAGCCGCCTGCAACAGCATCGGGCGAAGTCTTCGGGTAGGTGGTCGTTCGCTCCAGTCCTGTCCAGTGGCGCTCGGAGCCCTTGGCGTCCAGGAACAATATGCGCTTCAAGCGGATCCACGGGTTCTCGAACAGCGTCTGCTCCGAGACGACCCGCGGGAGCTGCCGACTGTCACGTCCGGAGGAGGAGAAGCAGGCCGCTAGAGCTGGAGCTGGACACCTCGAAGACCCTATTGCAGCGTGGCAAGCGGCGGCGCTGCGGCGGACAGAGCGTCGACCAAGCAGCAGCATCACCTTCATGAGCTCACCCGCGTCAACTGCCGTTGTGGACCGCACACCAAACTTGACGATTCGGAGACTAGGGTAAGACGCGATAGTGAAAGTCAAATCGTTGTTGAAGACGACATGTCCTCCCTCCTTCCTACATTGATGCTGTGTTCTCTCTCTCTCTAAGCACGCCAAGTCTAAAGCGAAGAAAGAGCCTAGCGGTTTTCCACCACGACCGGCAGAACGGCCTTCGTGTGCACGTTCAGATACGCCGGGCACACCACGCGCACCTCAAACTCGTACTTGCCTGCAAGAAGTCAAACCAAAATGCAGTTAGAGCTAAGCACCAACACGACAAACACATAGCTATAAGCGCCAAAGATAAATACATGCTGCCTCCGGTCCCAAGAAGCCTGCCTTCTGCGCCACTTGCTGCGATAAGTCCAGGCACTGCAGCAACAATAGGAGCACAATCAGTAAATGAGGAGATAGCTTCAAGAGTGTTCAGGCATGGTGACGCTTACCTTCCAAGCCGCATACAGACGCCCAGTTCCCTTGTCCATGACAAGGAACCACACGTGCTCTTTGCGGAACGGGCTCTTGGGGTCGACGTGGTCGTAGAAAGTAGCAGTCAGCGGTGCCGTTTCTCCAGCTTCCAGGTGCTGGCGTTGCAGGGTGGTCTGCAGAGTGAGCCAGTCTCCAGGCTGGATGTTGGGCTCGTCCAGGACAGCGAGCGTCGTTCCGTCCAGGTGCAGCTTCGGGAGCACTCCACCCACCTCCGCAATGCGCTCGTTCTGGTCACGAAGCGCCACCTCGTCCGGCACGAAGCTGCCTTGAGCAATGCTAGACAGCAGCGACAGCGCGCGCAGCAGTGGGATGGCCGGGTACGCGCGCTTCACCAACTGCTCAGCCGCCATCGTCGCAAAGATGTCCACGAGGAACGGCAGCTCCAGCAGCACCTTCTGGAACCTCTGGTCCACCCACGACGGGCGCGACACACCGCGCAGCTTGTCCCGGCGCAGGTACTGGTACAGCGCCAGCATGTTTTCTCGAGCCACGGGGTCTGGGTGCTTGCGGATGCGCGCAATGACTGCACTCGGCAGCGCCTTGGCCGCCTCCATCTTCTTGGCCAGCTTGTCGTGGGTCTTCGCGCGGAGCCCCGCCTCGTTCTTGGCCTCGTCCAGAATGCCCGCCGCGGGCCCCGCCATCTCGTCGCACGACAGCAGCAGCTCCACCACGTCGTGCACGCTCATCTTCTCCGTCAGAGCCTCGACGAAGCTCTCGCGCGTCCTCCTCGACACCTGCGTGCGGTCGCGGCGGCCCGCAGTCTTCTGCAGCCAGTACACTAAGTACGCGAGCCCCGCGAAGATCGCGCCGAAGTACAGCAGCACAAAGACCGAGCCGGTGCTGCCGCTGGTGCCGCTGAACGCGGACGCAAAGGCGATGTTCATGAGCATCGACTGCGGGCCGTCCGGGTGGCCGAACTTGCGGTAGTTCTCCATGCTCTGAGGGTCCGTGAGCGCCTCGTACGCCTTGGTCACGCGCGCGAACTGCGCGGCAGCCCGCGGGTTGTGCAGGTTCTTGTCGGGGTGCAGCTGCCTGCCCAGCGCCCGGAAGGCCTTCTTGATCTGGCGCGAGGACGCCGAGTCGCTCACGCCCAGGATCTCGTACGGGTCGAACACGCCCGACGTGTCCACGCTCTGCAGCGCCGCCAGGCAGCGCCACAGGAGGGTGCCGGCCACGGCCAGCAGCGCCAGGTGCAGCGCAAACCCGCGCGAGCGCAGCTTCTGGGGCGTGCGCACGACGCGGTAGAGCGTGAAGAGCGTGGCCGGCACCACGTACAGCGCCAGCATCACGCCGGCGAACGCGTAGAAGGCGCCGTCCGCCTCGGACAAGAGCTCCGTCGCCATGCTGCTGCTTGGAAAATGGCGCCACGTACATGCGAACCTAGCTGTCACTATAAAGGATCGAACTTAGATGTCACTATAGCACCCGCAAATGTTGAAGTTGCCTTTTTCCCCCGAAGGGATTGCAAGTCCCAGTGTAATGGGGTCGACGGCCCCCTGTTAGTCTTGTTCTAACTGAAGCCGCACCATTGAACTACATGTCGACAGATAGACGTTATATATATATGGCAGGAGTGGTAGGTACCACTTGAACGCTTTTTTATTAGCAGGGGGCGTTCATGAGATGAAAGCGCTTCAGGCTGCAGTTCAATTGAGGGACTGTTCTGCTGTGATTAGCGCGCCCTCAACGTTGTCCAGTATTCGAAGTGACTCCGTCTTAGAAGAGCGTTGCAACATTGCGAAGTGTGCCTAGTGTGGTCAATTCGACACACGAGCGAGCCGCTCTACCAATAATTGGATGCCTGGATCACACAAGCATATTGAACTGATTGGTAACGACGAGACTGCGAGGGATCGAGCTGAGCCCACTACGTCGGAGCAACGTCAGTTGAAGTTTCAGCTCGCCAGGAAGGATAGGAGCTGCCTTCCGACCCCGAACGCACTCTCAAGCGTAAATCAATCCCCGAACACTAACTTTAGCTCCGACACTCAAGTGTCTTTCACAGGGCTGCATTGTTTGTAGTTGGGCCTCAGTGTCTCACAGCGCTCGGCCTGGAATAGCCTCCTCCTCTAAACGCGTCGCAGCGGATATACACTCCGCCGCAAAACGACTGAGAACGAGGAGCTATGCATCACACGAACTCGAAACCAATGCGCGCCGTCAGTTAATTTGTCCTCTCGCAAGTGTTTGCTGCTCGGATCCGAATAGCGCGCGACACAGCTTTTTATGGCTCCAAACGTTTCTTGTCGCCTTTTGGGCATAACCACCGCCTAAAATGGCCGTGCTGAGCTGTGTCAGCGCTTTATATAGACGTGGCGTGCCCGCAGTCCCAACATCCGAGCCGCAAGGAGGTGAACTCGCGGGCGGTTTGAAGCTTCATTCTCCGTTCTCCCGGGCAGTCGTCATCCCGCTGTTTTGTTGACTCCACTCCAGTGCGCTCCTGTGCCATGTCGACTCCGCTCAAGGCGCTGATCCAAGAGCGACTGCGGGCGAAGATGGTGTGCCGACGACCCCTGGACGACGACTTCGAGGGCGACTCAGGCCGACTGCTCCGGCAGCCGGTGGACGTTACCGCGTACGACGTCTCCAGCCGCGGGGACGACGAGGACGAGGCCCTCGCGAATACCGGCGCTCGTGGATCCACTGCCTCTCGCCGCAGCAGCTCAACGCAGCCCTCGTATCCCATTCGCCTGCACACGCACATCGATCCTTCGGCCTACCTTGTCGACGACAGATATTACCCCACTTCGACTTCAGCGTCGGCTTCAGCAGCCTATGGATCGAGCAGTAACAGTCACGGTGATCACTCTCGACAGCGTTATTCTCGTTACCCACGTGAGCAGTATCGTGACACGAGCGTGTATGATCTGCCTCCTCGTCCCGAGCAGCAGCAGCAACACGTCAGAGATCACCGCCGACGTCACCACGCGCACACCCACACTCATCACCGCGTCCGTGAGCAGCCGCAGCAACAACAACCGCGGTATGATTCGCCACCTCGCGGGAGCTACTTAAGCCGACAGCCGAGTCAAAATCGTGCTGCAGTCTCTCCGTGGCATCGCTCCGAGTACACGTCGGTGCCCGCCGAGGGCAGGCCCATGGCCCGTGCCGCTCCCAGCCCAAGACACTCGCCAACAGTGCGAACCCACCGCAAGCCAGACTTCGACTACGCAGACCACTTCGACGACGATTTCGCTCGCCACCGCCGCGAGACGAAGAGCACGATGCCGTCTCCTCGATTCGCAGCATCATCTGGCAGTAGCTCGACGCACCAGCTCCACCGGCAGGACTACTTCCCGAACCAGCACTACACCTGGAAGAGTCGACAGGACTACGGTAACCAATCTGCCTACGAGGTGCGCGAGCCTTCTCCAACGCGGCACCCCGACCACAACGCCTACCACTCGTTCGACACCCATTCCCTAGCGTACCGAAGCCACTCCAACCAGCTCGACAGCGACAGCAACATCACTAAGCGCTACCCTGCTGCAGCCACCCCTTCCCCACGTAAGCCTCAGCCCGAGGAGATCATTTCCATCGACGACACGAGCATCGGCCACGAGCCGGAGGGGAGACACTCTCCGCCCCAATTGGACATGGACATCATCGAGCCGCCTGCAAAGACCACAGGCCGAACCCGGACATGGGACGACATAATGTCGCCCGAAAGCCGTCTGGCCGCCCGAGCGTTCGTGGAGAAGCGCCAGCGACGCACCGAGAAGAGCACGCCCCGGACGATGGCCACCCAGCGGTGGCTCGAGGTCATGGACGCCCGAGCCAACCAGCAGCACCAATAGGCCAATTGGTTGAATGTAGCTGAAGATATAGTAGATAGGTATGTACACCAAATTGAAGTCCTTATTTTCTGTCCGATAGAGATCTAAAGATGTCATCGTACGGCTCCAAGCTGCCTCCGCCGCTGCTGGCGCCCGCCTCGTTCTCCCTGCGTGGGGCTGGCTACCTCGTCGCCACAGCGTTCCTCGTGAGCGTGCTGTGCATGGGCGCGATCATGCAGACCGTGGGGGTGGACAGCATCGCGCCCAACCAGCTGCGGAACTACCCCCAGCAGAGATCCCTGACGACGCTTCGCCTCGCTGCGGTTGGCGTCGAGCAGGACACGGACTCGGCGCAGATTCTGCAGCAATGGGACCTCCGGCTGAGTGACGACGCGGAGAGCGTCCAGCTCAGCATCGCGTTCAACTCCGACAGCCCCGTCACTTCGGGCCAGTATGTCCCCATGAGCGAGGTATCAGCTGGAATGTATACTGTGCAAGGCTTCACGTATGTAGGCTAACGTTGCCTTGCTGAGTGTGCAGGCCCAAGAAGCTCCGAGTGTCTCGGTTGAAGGCGGTGCGGACGGCAGCACCCAGCGCTACACGTACGTGCTGGTCGACATCGACGCTCCGGATCCCAAGGCCCCGACGCACGCACCGTTCCTACACTACATTCTGGCGGACTTGACTGTGGACGGTCAAAGCCAGCAGCAACAGCAGGAGGTGGAGGTGGTGCCGTACTACCCGGTCACGCCGCCCATCGGCGAGCACCGCTACATTTCGCTGCTCTTCCGCCAGCAAGACAGCGGCCCGGATGCGCCGGATGCAGCGCTGACGGCCAAACGCTCCAACTTCGACGTCGCCGGATTCGTCAAGACGCACAACCTGCAGCTCGTTGCCACCAGCAGCTTCCACTCGCACCCTGTTGCCCAAGATGCCTGAATTAAGGGTCAGTGCAGCTTGTTTTCAAGCCTTTCCATCGCTTGACAAGGCTGATCTGGTATTCAAAAGCTTAGGTGAACATTAAATGGAGATGCTAACGACGTTCATCGGCTCTAGTGAGTTGCTTTTGTTGCTGCTGCACACTCCGCACGAGCTGCTGATGTTCAATAGGAAGATGCCGCAGCTGATCGGGTGTGGCCTTGACGAGTTTTTCGTATCGCTTGGCGAACTGCACGAGCTCCAGTTGGGCCTTCGGCAGTCGCAGTAGCTGCTTCTCTGGCAGCTGGAGCAGGCTCTGTAGCGTTTTATGTTGATCCGGAGTCAACCTCTGCAGTGACTTCCACGTGGCGACACCATCTAAAGGCATTGTTGGGGTTGCTCCGCTGTTGTTATCATTGTTGCTGCTGCGCTCATCGTCTTCCACGGCAACTGGGTCTCTCGTGCTCCTTCGAGATCGGAGCCGTTGCTCGAGCTGGTCAAGTTTCTGAGCTACCTTCTTGCGTACTAACTGTACGAACGGTGTTCCGGATAACTTGCTCTGCACCATTACCACGTACACAGTGATGTGAGTCAGTAAGCTGAATGTAGAGCGTGTTGCTTCAAATTTCACCCTTACCAGTCGTGCGTGGATGTACTTGTCCGAGAGCATGCGGGTCAGTGCTTCGTCTTCTTCGACCGAACTGGTGCTAGTCGCCACTAGCTGGTCAATCTCATTGGTAAGGTCGCGCAGTACGGCCTTCGCAGCGATATCCGGGTCCTTATCGATATTACTCGCCTTGCGCGAGTTGTCAGCAGGCGGGGGCACCGATGGCGGGGGCGGAATGATCAGGCCCGCCACAGCAATCGCCGGGTTCATCCGTCGTGGAGCTGGTGTCGAAGTAGCTCTGAAGCTCGCCAGTCGGTTCAAACGGGCATCCAACGCCTCCGCACTCTTTGACTCAGCGAGGCGAGTTGGCTGGAGCTGGACCATGCTGGTTGAGCGCGCTAAAGGTGGATACTTCCGCTCCGATTGGTATTGCCTGGCGCCGTAGATCGTCTCAAACGTCTCGTCCAAAATGCCCAGTGCAGACTGCGGGTGGATTGCAGGCACCTTCGCTTTGCTGGGCTTGTCATCGTTATACTGACTTAAATCTGCGGCTACGTCGAACAAACTTGTCATGACAGCAGCAGGAGCTCCACAACATGCGCGCAAATGGAACTGGAAGCTCGATAGACCATCGGACTCGTAGGCCAGACTGCATCGCATGGCTATTCTTGTCGCTAGGAGATCTCGATAAAAATATCGACGCCGAGTGGAGAGGCGATTCCTCCGCCAACTTCGCCATTACGTCGATAGCTGGCCCAGCGCAACACCCGAAAATTGCGGAGTCCAATGTCGACGCTCACTTCTGCGCAATTGCACGTAAAACGCAGCTCCACCCGCCTCCATGCACCCCCTGGCGGTGCTTCCAGCCTCTCCTTCGGTACGGTCGATTAGTATTCGTGAATTTGGTTTGCTGTCGACTGATGTGCAACGTCGTTCTCGTTCTAGGCTGTGGTGGCCTTGGCACCGCAGAACCAGCAGAGGAAGCGCCCAGCAAGGATGAACCCGCGTACCCACGGCCTACCAGTGGTCGGTATGCTCCGTCGACGACCAGCTTCGGCAACAACAACAACAGCAGCAGCAGCAGCAATGCGCCGGGCAGCTATCCAAGCTACGCCTCGCAGCAGCCTGATCCAGCCCCTTACAACAACTACGCTCCTCCCCAGCAATCGTACCAGTACCAAGCGCCATACAACCCCAACAGCCAGGGCGGCTACAACTACGGCAGCAACAACAACAGCTTCTCCAACCCAACCTACGCGCACAGTAACAATGCGTTCCAAGGCGGCCGTCCTCCGTCCTCCACTCCAAGCTCTCGTTCAAGCACGCGCTCGAGTTCGAGTTCAAGCTCTTGGGGCTCTCAGCCGCCGCTCACGTCCTCCAAGAGAGACCAGAACTGGGAGAAGAAGCGCCGGCTTTGGCTAGCGCGCAAGACCAGCAGCAACGGGAGCAGCTACGGCGACCGTCCTGGATCTTCCTCTTCAACGTGGAGTGGTGCCCCAACGGGGCCTGGGGCCGGAATGCTGGACGACAGTATCAACCCTCCGTCTCCGCTTTCCAAGTTCATGCACCAGCATGAACAGCAGCAACAGCAGCCGCCTCCAACTCCCGGCGTTGACTACCAGCGTCTAGGCACGGCCAGCAGCACGCGAAGCAGCAGCAGCAGCTACATGCAACAGCCTCACCAGCAACAACAATATCCGCCAATGCAGTTGCAGGTACCGGGGCCAGGTTACCCCGCGGGTGCGTCATTCTCTCGTGCCGGACTCGCAACGGCATCTTCGACTGCCTCGTCGACTGCTTCGAGCCGCAGACAGCCACCGGGAGGCCAATGTCAGTGGTCACTGGGGTGAAGACGGTCGATTCTGTGCGCATTCCGAGTTAGTGTAGCTGCAGGGGCGATGAATACATGCCATTTCGTTCGAACCATTATTGGTCGACGTGGAATCAGGCGCGAAGTTCAACTTAGATTGTTTGTCCGACGACTTTGGCGATATTTTGTGTCCAGCTGCAGGTGGTCGACAGCCGACACATCCAAGGTCCATTCACTGGTGGGACCATTTGACTATTTTCAGAGTCGCTCAAAAGTTAGTCGAATGGTCCATCTGAATCAGACCAGGTGGACCAAATGGAGGACCAAACTGACGTGGCAACAACACCGGCAACAACAACGGATCGCGGACTCGTGTTGATGCCGCGCCCTGTTGACGCGCTTGTTCCCCCTCCACGCTCGATTGATGGCAATGTCGTGATCGATGGAGCGTGGAGCCCGCGAACCGAACCTCTTCGCGCCGAGAGCGAGACGCAGCGGCACGTCGGATCAATCGCCCATTCTCCCCTCCTCTCGTTCGCGCAGCAGACTTCAGAGTCCGAAGTCCAGACGCGCTGCGCGCACACTGCAGCCTGCCTGACTTCCTTAACTTGCCTGCTTGTTTGCTGGGTCGCAGCCGGCGCTGCATCGACGCGATACACGTATCGGTGGTGTGGCCCCCCTCGGAGCTATTTTTCTCACGCTGGGTCTTGAGCAAGCGTGGCTGCCGCTGTCAAGTGGAGAGACATCAAGGACAGCCAAAGTATTTCTTGCAGGAGCCAGCAACGCAGCGCTCCTGCACCTTGCTGCGGACGGCTCGCGCTCCAGCTAGATTCTCGAGTCGAGAAATGCGCGACTGGTGAGTCGCCCGATCGGCGGACGGGGTGAGACGGGTCTCGGGCGTCTGGAAGTTGCTGCAGACCGCAAGGCTGCTCCAGCCTTGAGCAGCGCGGTGTGTGGCGCCTCGATTGCTCAGCAGCACTGACCCAGTGTCGCAGCCAGCAGGCCTGCTCACTGCTGAGCAGCGCATTTCGGGGCCCGAAGCACCCCATCGCTGACGAACTCTCGTCCCACACTTGCGGTTTGTACTGTATACCGCGCTAACCAAAACTGCCCCCGGGTGGCGAAATGCTGGCAATCGCGCAGGGGTACATGTACTTGCGGTTGAACCTCGCCGATGCGGCCACTTGCAAGTTGCTCCCAGAGACACCGCGGCATGGACCCCGCTAAAATTTAGTGCGGTTTCCGCTGCGATCGGCAAACCCTTGGACTTCATCGCTGTCAGAGGTTGGCGGTGGTGGCGGCAGTGGCAAGAATCGATGTCTGCGACGCGCAGTGCGGTCGCTGCCGGCGCGGTTCCTGCCCTTCACGCTGCATAGGGTGCATAGAGCCCAGGCCAGACCAGGGCTCCATCTGTCGAGTCGACCGTGTCGAGCAACGCAAGCTCCCGTCAAACAGCGGGGGCGGAGATCTGCCGCTGAAAAGGCTTACGCTTACGGGCCAGCCTCGATGCGGGCAAGAGATTCAATCACCGCTTGGTGTTGACCCGCGCCGGCAAGCTGAAGCGCAATGCCCGGGCGGCGTGACCAGATGTCGGGCGCCGCTTCAACTACGAGCGCACGACCTGATAATGCCTGTGCTGGGGAGGATCTCTGCAGTCGCATCGAGTATAGCAGTGCACGCAGCCATGGCGCGGGTGCAACTTGATCTCTGCGCGATCTCGGGCCGCGGCAAATCTCCGTTCTGGGCCCCGCCACTCAGTATCACGATCCGAAGATCTCGATGCCATCGGCTCTCGCAGGAAAGATCCGTGTCAAACAGCGCGGTAACGCCCGACGTCACTTGGTAACGCCACTCGAGAAACAGCAGCCCCCCCTCACATCCTCGCGCCGACCATGACGAGCCACGAGCAGCAGCAGCAGCAGGAGCCGCACCAGGTGGGCGTGGACGACCTGCACGAGGAGCTGGACACCACGCCCGTGCACGCGGCGGCTCGCGAGGGGAGCTGCGCGCCATCCTGCTGTCGGACGCGGCGCAGGCCGTGGCGCTGGACAAGTACGGCCTCACGCCGCTGCACTGGGCCTGCGACCGCGGCCAGAGTGCGGCGGCCAGGCTGCTGCTGCAGCACGGCGCGGACGTGGACGCCGTGGAGAAGCGCATGTTCAGGCGGCGCCCGCTGCACTTCGCCGTGCTGGCGAGCTCGGACGCCACGGTGCGCGAGCTGCTGGCGCACCACGCCGACGTGCTGGCCGTGGACTACCGCGGCTGGGCGCCGATCCACGGCGCGGCCTACAGCGGGGACGTGGCCTCGCTGGCGGCGCTGCTGGACGCCGGGGCCAGCGCCACCACGCAGCTGACGGCGCGGCGCGAGACGGCGCTGCACGTCGCTGCCAGCCGGGGACTCGCGGAGGCTGCTCGCCTGCTGCTGAAGCGGAGCCCGGGCGACGACGCATTGCTGGAGCTGGAGGACGACGAGGGCTCCACGGCGGCGCAGGTGGCGGCTCGCAGCGGGCACGAGAGCATTGCGTGTCTGCTGGGACAGCACTGACGCGGCGGCGCTGAGGGAGCGCCATCCGGCTGGCGAAGAGAACCCTAGGTCAAGTGAACGCCTAGCTTATCAGCGTTGACAAACCGCCCGACAAGCAGATGCACCGTCGACTCACCGCCGCCGAGTGCTTCCGATGGTGCATGCGGTGAGGGCCACTGCTGGCTATTACATGATGCAAAGCGCGACAAGGTGTTGCACACTGCTTCAGCCGGGCTCGGCACAGTATCCGCTTCTGTCCGACGCGCCACCAACCTGTTGCAGTGCTATTGAATTTGTACACCGGTAGGTAGGGCACGTCAGGTTTTCGTCGGCAACTACTGTATGTAATGAGTCAAACACGCCAATAAACTGGAGAAACATGAGAATGAAGCTGCCTCTGCTGTGCGCCGCGGTGTGCTGCACGCCGTGCTCCCGATCGCCGCAACAGCAACTTGCTGTCCGCGGGCTGCGGCCGTCCTCGGAGCACAGCCTCTGCAGGCCAATCGTGCCGCCGCAGATTCAACGACGGACGACGCCAGCAGGCTTGGCCGGACGACGCGCAGGCATCGTCGACGTCGGCGAGTCCGCCGTGCAGCGTCCGTCTCGGTGGTTGAGCGCTGTGCAGCACCGCGGAGAGCCGGGAGCGGACAAGGCTTGCCTCGAGGCTCTTGGCACGTTTAACACCGCGAAGCGTTAGAATCTACGCGTACGGCGCCGTCTCCCGCTGTTGGACACGGCGGACGAAGAGGCGCCGACACCGCTGGAATGGCGGCGCTGGATGTTGCACATTGCGTTTGATGCGTTTGGGAACGGCAGCAGCAAGCTGGTCGGCCCAAGGCAATGGCGTCGACAGCCGGCAAGTCGACGCCCCGGGCAGGGCCCCGTCGGCATAAAGCATGTGTAGCAGACGTTCAAATTGAACGGGGCTGTAGACGACGGGTCTTGCATTTCGTCCAGTGTTGGCCCTATTATGCCGGCGCACCGGAACTTCAACATGCGTTTCGGAAGATCGGCGAATTAGCCAGAAAAAAATGTAAATTAGTCTGAAAGAGCAGAGAAACAACTTATACACCTTTATAGAGCCTAAGCATGCCAAACAACTGTAGCTATCAATACAACAGCCTACTAATCGCTTCTTATTATATCCTGTCTAAGCTGATTTGCAACCGTAGCTCATGCGCGCTGTACTTCGTACAGCCCGGAGCTCGGTCCCGAATTGGCCGCTTGAAGTTGCCGCACCGCCGAGAAACGCCGGCGAGAAAAGCAGCCAGCCCAGCCAGCGCTTGCCCGGCCCCAACGCCGCAGAAGCAAGCGGGGCCCGGGTGCTGGGCAAACCAAACCAGGCCTCCAAGGCGGCCACCCTGTATGGCCATGCCAGCACGTGTTTCTCGCAGCTTGAAGCAGCGCGGCAACGATTTGACGTTTGGGCATGCGCGATGGCAGGTCGCTTCCGAGCGTAGAGTGCGTGGACCCCGCGCGTCGCGCGTCGCAGACATCGGGTCTCGCAGGTCGGCCGTTTCAGTTTTTCGGGTTCAAGTTGCTGTGGTTGAAATTCGCGCGGGCTAGGGCGGCCGCTGATTGGGCGATCCTCATAACTCGGCTTCGCGCACAGCCGGGGCGCACGCCCGTCTGCGCGCCGGGCTTGCCTTGATTTCTTTATGCAAGCGGTGGCCGTCGCCGAACTCGCTCACTTCCGCTTTTCTCCTCTGCCAGGCGCAAGGCTGCCCGCAGCAGGAACGGATAACTCAATACCCAAACAGACACACAGGAATACCCGGCGCTGCAATACATGCCATGAAGCGATCCCGCGCCTGCGACGACCTAGTGGCGCTGGCCGCCGAGGCCTCCACCGGATGCAGCAGCAGCAGCAGCGGCGCACTACGACGCGGCGTGGACGCCTGGGGGTCGCCCTTCGTGGAGGGCCCCGCGCACCGGTTTAAGCGCTCGCGCGCCGCCGAGGACAGCCCCGTCAGCAGCGGCGACGAGGCCGACGACCAGGAACTACAGGAACGCCACTCGCTGCAGTTCACGCTGGAGATGAGCGACCTCAGCTGTCTCAGCGCCGAGGTGACGCTGAGCTCGTCCGCGCCGTCGCGCTCGTCCGTGCTGGACGACGACAGCTTGCCTTTGCGCCGCAACTCGCGCGAGAACATGCTGCTGAGGAAGAAGAAGCAGCGCATCGCCGAGATCACCAGCAGCTTCAGCGACTTCGGCGTCCACGACGAGGACATGGTGCACCACCACCCGACGCCGCTGATGGCCAAGCCGCAGCCCGTGGTCATGATGGAGACGCCCGAGACGCCCGAGCCCCGCATCCTGCGCGGCCTGTGCTTTCCGCGCGAGTCCAGGTGCATCGACCCGCTCGACAAGCGACAGGCCCAGCCCTTCGACATGTCCGCCTTCATCATGCTGTCCATCTCGCCCAAGCGGTGAGTGCGTCAGTCTGTGAAAGAGCACCCCATCCTCCTCCGTATTAGAGCGGCACACCACGAGTGGCAGGATCCAGCCTAGCGACCTGCACTGCTACGTAGCAGTCTCGACGCGCATCCCGGCCGGGCGGCCACCCTCGGCAGCCAGCACTGACAGCCGCCGCCGTCACTCGCCATCTCGTGCCAGCCCCCCCCCCTCGCATCGTAGCCTATTCATTATTCCGGAAGCGCCGCTGTAGTTCGCCGGCTTCTATACACTATTTATTAGAACACGGTAACGCTCCAAACCAAAGAAGCTTACACGCCAAGATCTCTTTTCCTTCTCGATTGGGCTGGTTGTGCGCTCGCGTCGCCGCTGGCGCTGGCTGGATTCTCGGGCGTGCCATCCGCGAGCACCAACCTGGTGCCGCCAAGCGCGCAGGCTGCTTGAAGCAGCAGCGCACTGCGGCACTGCAGCGAGCGCGATCGCCATCTGCACGAGCACGCCTTCTTCAACAGGCTAGTTCAACCATCGATCTTTTTGGCGGCCTTTGGGCGGATTGCTCTCGAGGCTGTCCTGCATCCGACTCGGCGCTACCGGCGCTGCGCGAAGTTGAGCCGCCGTCGGCAGCAGCACGGCCTGAGGCGGCGAGATGCCGGCGGGTGCGGTTTCGCGCGGAGGCCGGTGCATTGGCGCCAGTGGCGGCTGCTTGAAGTTTTTGCATCGAGGACAGCCCTGCCGGACAGAAAGGTGCGCCTCGTCGCTCGAGCTCGCAAGGCATTGCTATCCATGCTATCCATAGATGGCAGTATGCTTCGGACTCGACTCGAGGCCAAGCAGCAGCCCCTGGAAAGCGTGCTGCGCTGATCAGGTTGAAGGGCGAGCGATCGTCAACAGATAGCCGTCGGCATTTCGGGCTTCGGTCCCGTTCGGCAGCGCTTTTCTCTCCGTCCCGAAAGCGGGCTGCGCACCACACATTGCTCGTTCCAGCGGTACGTTCAAGCACTCCAACACCGAGACGGACGTTGCACGGCGGACTCGCCGACGTCGACGATGCCTGCGCGTCGTCCGGCCAAGCCTGCTGGCATCGTCCGTCGTTGAATCTGCGGCGGCACGATTGGCCTGCAGAGGCTGTGCTCCGAGGACGGCCGCAGCCCGCGGACAGCAAGTTGCTGTTGCGGCGATCGGGAGCACGGCGTGCAGCACACCGCGGCGCACAGCAGAGGCAGCTTCATTCTCATGTTTCTCCAGTTTATTGGCGTGTTTGACTCATTACATACAGTAGTTGCCGACGAAAACCTGACGTGCCCTACCTACCGGTGTACAAATTCAATAGCACTGCAACAGGTTGGTGGCGCGTCGGACAGAAGCGGATACTGTGCCGAGCCCGGCTGAAGCAGTGTGCAACACCTTGTCGCGCTTTGCATCATGTAATAGCCAGCAGTGGCCCTCACCGCATGCACCATCGGAAGCACTCGGCGGCGGTGAGTCGACGGTGCATCTGCTTGTCGGGCGGTTTGTCAACGCTGATAAGCTAGGCGTTCACTTGACCTAGGGTTCTCTTCGCCAGCCGGATGGCGCTCCCTCAGCGCCGCCGCGTCAGTGCTGTCCCAGCAGACACGCAATGCTCTCGTGCCCGCTGCGAGCCGCCACCTGCGCCGCCGTGGAGCCCTCGTCGTCCTCCAGCTCCAGCAATGCGTCGTCGCCCGGGCTCCGCTTCAGCAGCAGGCGAGCAGCCTCCGCGAGTCCCCGGCTGGCAGCGACGTGCAGCGCCGTCTCGCGCCGCGCCGTCAGCTGCGTGGTGGCGCTGGCCCCGGCGTCCAGCAGCGCCGCCAGCGAGGCCACGTCCCCGCTGTAGGCCGCGCCGTGGATCGGCGCCCAGCCGCGGTAGTCCACGGCCAGCACGTCGGCGTGGTGCGCCAGCAGCTCGCGCACCGTGGCGTCCGAGCTCGCCAGCACGGCGAAGTGCAGCGGGCGCCGCCTGAACATGCGCTTCTCCACGGCGTCCACGTCCGCGCCGTGCTGCAGCAGCAGCCTGGCCGCCGCGCTCTGGCCGCGGTCGCAGGCCCAGTGCAGCGGCGTGAGGCCGTACTTGTCCAGCGCCACGGCCTGCGCCGCGTCCGACAGCAGGATGGCGCGCAGCTCCCCTCGCGAGCCGCCGCGTGCACGGGCGTGGTGTCCAGCTCCTCGTGCAGGTCGTCCACGCCCACCTGGTGCGGCTCCTGCTGCTGCTGCTGCTCGTGGCTCGTCATGGTCGGCGCGAGGATGTGAGGGGGGGCTGCTGTTTCTCGAGTGGCGTTACCAAGTGACGTCGGGCGTTACCGCGCTGTTTGACACGGATCTTTCCTGCGAGAGCCGATGGCATCGAGATCTTCGGATCGTGATACTGAGTGGCGGGGCCCAGAACGGAGATTTGCCGCGGCCCGAGATCGCGCAGAGATCAAGTTGCACCCGCGCCATGGCTGCGTGCACTGCTATACTCGATGCGACTGCAGAGATCCTCCCCAGCACAGGCATTATCAGGTCGTGCGCTCGTAGTTGAAGCGGCGCCCGACATCTGGTCACGCCGCCCGGGCATTGCGCTTCAGCTTGCCGGCGCGGGTCAACACCAAGCGGTGATTGAATCTCTTGCCCGCATCGAGGCTGGCCCGTAAGCGTAAGCCTTTTCAGCGGCAGATCTCCGCCCCCGCTGTTTGACGGGAGCTTGCGTTGCTCGACACGGTCGACTCGACAGATGGAGCCCTGGTCTGGCCTGGGCTCTATGCACCCTATGCAGCGTGAAGGGCAGGAACCGCGCCGGCAGCGACCGCACTGCGCGTCGCAGACATCGATTCTTGCCACTGCCGCCACCACCGCCAACCTCTGACAGCGATGAAGTCCAAGGGTTTGCCGATCGCAGCGGAAACCGCACTAAATTTTAGCGGGGTCCATGCCGCGGTGTCTCTGGGAGCAACTTGCAAGTGGCCGCATCGGCGAGGTTCAACCGCAAGTACATGTACCCCTGCGCGATTGCCAGCATTTCGCCACCCGGGGGCAGTTTTGGTTAGCGCGGTATACAGTACAAACCGCAAGTGTGGGACGAGAGTTCGTCAGCGATGGGGTGCTTCGGGCCCCGAAATGCGCTGCTCAGCAGTGAGCAGGCCTGCTGGCTGCGACACTGGGTCAGTGCTGCTGAGCAATCGAGGCGCCACACACCGCGCTGCTCAAGGCTGGAGCAGCCTTGCGGTCTGCAGCAACTTCCAGACGCCCGAGACCCGTCTCACCCCGTCCGCCGATCGGGCGACTCACCAGTCGCGCATTTCTCGACTCGAGAATCTAGCTGGAGCGCGAGCCGTCCGCAGCAAGGTGCAGGAGCGCTGCGTTGCTGGCTCCTGCAAGAAATACTTTGGCTGTCCTTGATGTCTCTCCACTTGACAGCGGCAGCCACGCTTGCTCAAGACCCAGCGTGAGAAAAATAGCTCCGAGGGGGGCCACACCACCGATACGTGTATCGCGTCGATGCAGCGCCGGCTGCGACCCAGCAAACAAGCAGGCAAGTTAAGGAAGTCAGGCAGGCTGCAGTGTGCGCGCAGCGCGTCTGGACTTCGGACTCTGAAGTCTGCTGCGCGAACGAGAGGAGGGGAGAATGGGCGATTGATCCGACGTGCCAAAGCGCTGCCGCTGCGTCTCGCTCTCGGCGCGAAGAGGTTCGGTTCGCGGGCTCCACGCTCCATCGATCACGACATTGCCATCAATCGAGCGTGGAGGGGGAACAAGCGCGTCAACAGGGCGCGGCATCAACACGAGTCCGCGATCCGTTGTTGTTGCCGGTGTTGTTGCCACGTCAGTTTGGTCCTCCATTTGGTCCACCTGGTCTGATTCAGATGGACCATTCGACTAACTTTTGAGCGACTCTGAAAATAGTCAAATGGTCCCACCAGTGAATGGACCTTGGATGTGTCGGCTGTCGACCACCTGCAACTGGACACAAAAGCTCGCCAATAATGTCGTCACCGTCCAGCAGTGCAGTGTGGCGGCAGCATGTCGTCACGGCGGATGACCTGGCAAAGGCAGGACCTCACCTGGGCAAGCCGCAGCAGTGGGTGCAAGTAGCCGCGCGTGCATTTCCCGAGCTGGGCACTGTCTCCAAGGCGAAGCGCGCGCGGAAAGCGGGGGGGCTGGTGCTCAACGGCCAGCCCAAAGTGCCCACGCTCACTTGTGCAGCTGTGGACGACGTGCTGGCCTACCGCAGCCCAGAGAATCGAGTCCAATCATCGACTGCTGATGGCGTCCAAGCCTCGGGGTCGCGTGCGTGGCTGAAGGTTTGTAAGACGCAGGGGCTTCGAGTCGTCTACGAGTGCGACAGCTTGGCGGTGGTCGTCAAGCCTGTGGGGATTCACGTCAAAGGCCGGGGCACGCGCAATGTGGAGCAGGTGCTGCCGCTGCTACTGCAACGACAAGGAGCTGTTGCGGACGGAGACTTTATGCTGTCTGCTCCACACGCGGTGCATCGCTTGGACTACCGTGTGGGTGGGCTGCTGCTTGTGGCGAAGGCCCGGAAAATGGAGGTGGAGCTGTCGGCTCAGCTGGAAAGGCACGTCGTCACGAAGCAGTACCGCGCGATCTTGGTGGGGAATGTGGGCGATACGGTGACAAAGGTTGCAGCCAATAGCGCTGTGACAGATTCAGTTGCGCTGCCAAAGGAGCTGCTTGACATTCGAGATGAACTGCAGTTCCTGGACGACAGCATCGATGGAAAGCGGTGCCTAACGGCCATGAGACTTGTGAGCACAACACGCAGGTGGGTTCTGCTTTGTCGTCCACGATACGTCGACATTTGGTTAACTTTGCTTGTTAATGGTGATGTTGTAGCGCTCGGTACGGATGGATATCGACCGTGGACCTGTGGCCGCTTACCGGACGCAAGCACCAGCTTCGTATTCATACAGCGCGACACGGACACCCGATTGTCGGTGACGACCTCTACCACGATACCAGTGCTGTGGAGAAAGAAGAGAATGACCTGGCTGCTGAGAGCGACGTCTCCGAACAGCAGCCGGCCGTGGTGCGAGGCATGGGGCTGTTCCTGTACTCGGTTGGCGTTGCGTTTCGTGACGCGGTCGGCAATCGACGCAGCTTCTGCATTGATGAACCGAACAAGTTCGCGCGCTTTCGGCACTTCTGCGACTTGAACTGGACCAAACACGCAGCGCGTCGAGAGCGAGACAACCGCGAAAAACTCGGGACGAACTGAAAAATAATCGGTGCTTCCCTTTAACTTAGCTCGTACTTGGGGTTAATAATTGATCGCTGTTCGTATGGTACGGTGGCCGGCCATCCCCACGGTATCCCACGCCGCGGGTGACAGCGAACCCGTGCGTCTAGTGTACACGCTCAAAATACGACAAGTGACTCGTCGTGGTATGTACAGCAGCCTGACCGCTGTAACGTAGCTGCTCAACGCATAGGTCTCTACTGCTGCGGCACCACGTTCTGCAACGCCACCAGCAACTGAGCGGCCGTCGGCCGACACCGTGGGTCCGGGTGGAGGCATCCCTGTAAAATCCATCGGGACAGGTCCGAAATCGGTCGTGCGTACCGAAGCTCACCCGTGTACTGAGCCATCGTAGCCTTGACTTCCGCTGGCGTGGACTTGTCGGGGCAGATCGGGTGCTTTCCAGTGACCATCATGCAGTACACGATCCCAACCATCCACATATCCGCCTTCTCCGCAGTGGCCTCGCAATCGCCCCGGTTCGGGCGGAAACACTCGGGCGGGAGGTAGCGCAAAGTGCCCACCGTCGAGTTCGAAGTGGCTGATTTGGCGTTGCGCGTCAAGTCAAAGTCGGTCAGCTTCACACACCCGTCATGGTCGATCAGGATGTTGGACGGCTTCAAGTCATAGTGAGCCACGCCAACCTATGAGGAAGAAGAAAAACGAAGCAGGTCAGTCATTGAGTTCACCAGGCCGAATTGATGATGCGAAGGTATGCCGTACATCTTCGTGCAAGTACTTGAGCGCGCTCAGGAGCTGCGAGAGCACCTTGTAGGCCGAGTCATCATCCAGGTACTCGTACATCTGCAATGCGAACGAATGGGTTAGCAAATAATCTTCCAGCCGGAACAGCGTGCCACCATGTTATGCTAGCTTACCTCAATGAGCTGCTGGAGGTCAGACTGAACGCTTGCGACAGTGAAAGCGGTGTACTGTTGCTGCTGGTACCGGATGAGGAAGGGCACCTCGCCAACCTGGACGATGTTGGGATGGTTGAGTTTCTGTTGATCAACACAAGACCCGTTAGCCCCCAAAACCCCATACAACGGACCACAAAGCGCAAACCATACCGAGTGCGTGTGGTGCTCGCGTTGGGCGTGTCGGATTGAGGTGGAGAGCTTAAGGGCGCAGAGCTGCTTGTTGTTGGCGTAGTCAACGACGTCCCACACCTCTCCGTTGCCTCCTTTTCCTCGCAGACGAAGCAGCAGAAAGCGGTTGCCCAGAATCGGGAACTTGGAGAACGGCGACACCTTTTCAAGCCGCGTAAGCATCAGCTCCTGCTTGTGCCGAGTTTCTTCTCGCTGCCAGCCAAATCAGAAAAATAACGTCAGTATGACGATCCTGCGTCAATCAACTTCAACTTGCAGCAACTCACGTAGAACAGGCGGATCTCCTCCTCGAAGCGAGCTCGTCGCTCCTTGACCCACGTGGCGTTTCCCTTGCCCATGGCGTCCCGCACGGCGTTGTCGTGGAACCGTTTCTCGGCCAGGATGTTCTCGCGTCGTCCGCCTGGGATGAAGAAGACTCGGCTGTCCTGCTCCTCGAGCTTGCCCCACTCTTCGTACTTCTGGCCTTGCTGGAAGTAGCGCTGGAAAACCTGCTCCTGGATGTTCCATCGCAGTTGCTGCAAAAAGACACAAAGAACAACAATCCCTTCAGTTAGTCCACAAAACTCTGGGTCCCGAGGCAACCCAGCTCAACTGCACGCACCTCCATCTCGTTTTCTTCCACGTCCATGGCCTGGTACCGGTACACGTCGCTCATGAGCAGCATCTGCTGCTGCTGCACGTGGTTGGTGCCTGCCACGAAGGTCGTAGTAGCAGTGCTGGAGGAGCCTCCTTCGGGCTCGGCCTTGATCGTGTTGTCATCGACCGTGCCGTCCTCGACGAGCACCGTCATCTGGTCCACCTGCGTCATCTCGGGCGTGGCGTTGAGCAGGCGGCTCATGGGGATGGGGGCCGCGGCCTGGAGCTTGGGCTCCTGCGGCGTGCAGAAGACCTGTTTGGTCATGCCGCAGCTCACCTTGCCCACCTTGGAGAGCGGGAAGCGGTCCGAGATGGACGAGAAGCCGCCGGCCGCGGCGTCGGCGGCTGCGGCGGCGGGCACGGCGACCGTCTTGACTGTGGTCGAGTACTCGACGTCCACCATGGCGCCGTCGTAGGGCGCCACGGCCGCCTCCTGCTTGACCTCGGCCACGCGGGCCACGGGCGCCACGGCCAGGAGGTTGGGCGTGGGGGACGAGCGCGTTAGCACCACGTTGGGCTCGTCGCAGAACATCTCGTCGTCCGAGTCTTGGGCCGCGCCGCTGTAGTTGCCGGCCACGAACTGGACCCTGTCGTTGGCGCCGCTGCTGCTGGCGCTGAAGCCCCCGAACATGGCGCTGGGGGATGGAGGAGGGACTGTGTCTCTCTGTGTCTGTGCGGTGCGGTGCGGGGGCAGCTGCTTCCGCGGAGTTCCTGCGGGTAAGGGGCGAGTACGTAAGTGACGTCCGAGTCGTTTCTCCGTTTCTTCCGCCCTGGGCAGTGGGCGGAGCCTCTCTCCTGCGTTCTCTTCTTCTAGGGGCTGAGGCGGCCACTTGCTACTTATAGCGCGGAACGGCGAATGGGACGTGCGCCGCAAGAACGGGATCCGGCCGAAGAAAAGCGGCGCCTATACTGGGCGCAAGATAAAGCAGCACGTCGCCCCGCCCCGCCGATCCGTAGAAGGGCCGGCAACTTCAACGCCGCGCCATACTGTAGCCAAGTCAAAGGAGAGTGACCGCGCGTTACGCGGGTGCGACGAATGGCCGAGCGCAAAAGGGCAACCGCCGCAAGCAAGCAGTGGTTTCCCCTCCCCCCAATGTAATGCAGAGCGTTTTGCGTATGGGACTTGCTGGTGGCCGCACTCGACGCGGCGCTCCATCGCAGTCCGCAACGTCGGGGTGGCGCTGGCCACTCGTCACCTTTCAGAGATCGTAATGGGAAGGCGGCTGCGGGACTTTGACGCAGCCACCTGGAATAGAGGGGAGGACTGCCGCGCTGCGACTGTGGGGACTTTGCGTTCTGTCTCGCGACGTGCATCTGTGGTGGCAGCGCTGGGATTGCGGCCGGCGTCGTCAATGCTCGCGGGACCGGCGCGCGCGGGCTGCAGCGCTCGTCGCTTCATGTGTAGGTTTGTTTTGGCAGTATCACCGCCGCCCGCCCCAAATCAGGCTGCTGGGCGTTGAAACGTCGACAGAAAGTCGCGAGTTGACTCGTGTGGACGCACTTGACTTGGCCACTTCAGCTTCGCGCTAAAGAAATCGGAGGCAGGTCATGCTTGCCAGCATGGGTGCTCTTCTGGTTGTCTAACACTGTCTAGGCTGACTCGAGGTGGAGGAGATGGTCATCGGAGATCTTGAACGGTTTCCCCAACTCGTCGATGAAGGCACGCGCACGACGCTGGCGTTTGTCCTCCAAAAGGTGTCAAAGATCGCTGCGCTCGCGGCGTCAGAAAGCGGCACTAGGATACCCCTGTCCAGAAGCAGAGCTCTGTGTAATGGCAGAAGACGGCGAGGACGAAGGAGCAAGGCACCGCACAACTCACCACAAAGACGCCTTGAGGTTATAGACGACAGCAATTCCATGTTTCCCTTCTCAAGTTAATTGAACGTCCTTGCCGATCGCGTTGCGTTGACTGTATCGTTCGTTCAAGTCAAGCCACCTCTGTATCTGATTAGTAGAAAGGTAAGCCAATAGGAGGCCAGTGTAGGTACGACTCACCGTATGTATAGTGAAACCAAGTTAAAATAGATATGCAGCTGTAGGGCGGCTGTGGAGGCTTCGCGAAGCTTCCATCCGCCTGAACTGCGGGGGCGGCACTCTTAGTTCCGCACGCCCTCCCCCAAGACAACACTTCTTCCTGTTAAACTGGTAGCACTTGTTGGTCCCAGCAACCTGACTACAAGAAGCCCATGCCGACGAACGCCCAGCTACGAGCCGAGATCGACCGGCTGAATCAAGCGATGGCAGAGCGCACGCGAGTGCCCACCATTCTGCCCAAGTTCACCGGCAAGCGGGGGGAAGACGTTCGCGAATGGCTGTTCCAGATCGAGAACGCCTGTCGCATCTACGGAATCCAAATCGAAGACGCGAGCGCGCGTCTGTCGGGTATCGCCGGGTCGGCGATGGAAAAGCCGGCCTCAGGATGGTTCCTGCACTGCTCATCGACGACGAGAAGTGAGGAGCACACGTGGGGGATTTTCCGTGAGCATGTGCTCCAACACTTCGAAGCTTCGAACTACCAGGCCGTCTTGCGAGAAAAGCTGCAGCGACTCAAGCAAACGGCGGACATCGAGACCTACAATGGCGAGTACTCCGCTCTTATATTCCGAGTTGAGGGCATGAGTGTACTTGACCAGGTGCTAAGCTACGCAAACAGTCTCAAGCCTCGTACCCGTAGCTACGTCAAGCTCGAGAACCCAGAGACGCTGAGCGCGGCTATGGACCTGGCGATCAAGTACGAAGTTACGCACTTTGTGGACGACGTGCGCGACCGCCAGTCCCGCCAAGACAAGAGGAAGATCTTCGCTGATCAAGCTTCCAAGCAAGACAACCCATTCAAAGGGAAACCTTTCCGCGGCAAGGGACGGTTCAAGCCGAGGTCTGACTCCAATCGTACTGAAGGCCGCACCTGCTATCACTGCAAGAAGCCTGGCCACATCAAGGCCAACTGCTTCCTCTGGAAGAAGGAGCAAGTGAAGCAGGGAAACGAGCAACCACGTCAGTGAATGAGGGTCTTGGCGTGGGCGAGAGCGTAACCGGGACACCAAAGATTGAGAATATCAGCTTGAACGTTCTGTGCGAAAACCCTCTGGTCTACAAGTCACGTCCACTGTTCTCCGTAACAGGTGAAATCAGTGTTGGTGACAAGTGTCTCGCGACACGAAGCATGTTGTTGGACTGTGGAGCCACCACGATCTACGTATCCAAGCGTTGGGTCGAGGAGCACCAGCTTCAGACAACCAAGTTCAGCGACAAGAACATTCGTGTCAAGCTGGGAGACAACCAAATTGTCGAGGCGGAGCTTGAAATTCTGTTGATAGCGATTCTGGTCTCGAGGCTGGACGACGCCTACAAGTGTGTGGCAGTAGTCTACCCGATTCCAGACGAATTCGATTGCATTCTTGGAATATCATTCTTCGAAGACATGCAACCACATATTGACTGGAGAGGTCGACGAATCGAAGGAACGAGAACGAGGACTCTGCACTGGAAGCGAACAGGGAAGACCTGTGAGCCGATCGAGGAAGGCGGACCGGTGATTACCTCCGGGCTTCGGAGATCTGTCGAGGCGAAAGGCCTGTCGGCGAAAAGACCCGATTCCTGTCGAGGTGCCGCGCTGGAAACGGATGTGAAGCTCACGGTTGAAGCTGTTGGTGACGCAGTGCAGACGAAATCCCCAAGTGTTGTCCGCGGACGACATGATGACGCGCAAGCTGGCAAGAGTTCAGCTGGAGACGACGACGTTGCGACGTCTGAGCGCGAGAGTACTGTAGTCGAGGCTGATGGAAGCAGCAGTACCAGGGGTGGAGACAACGCCGTGGAGAAGATGTTCACGATGGGAGTTGTCGACGAGAGTGGTATACAGACCAAATACATCACGCGCAAGAAGTTGCGGAAGTTCCTGAGAATCAAGACCAAGAAGAGCGACGAGCCTGACTTCATGTTGGTGCTGTCGAACGAGACGATCAAGCAAGTTGCACGTTCACTGCAACGCCGAGATCAGCCCGACAACGTTGGGAGTGCGAAAGTACAACGCGATCTGGAGACAGACTGGGACACCTTCCGAGAGAATCCAGCTTTCAATCTTCTCATGGAGTATAAGGACAACGTGTTTCGTCCAGAACTACCCGAAGGTTTACCAGAGAAGCGTGACATCGAACACCGGATCGATGTGATGGATCCAAATATGGCGATGTACCGGCAGCAGTGGCGACAGTCGCCGGAGCAGCAGCGTGAAATCGTGCGCTGGGTCGAAGACATGGTGAAGAAGAAGCTCATTCGACCAAGCATCAGTCCCCACGCAGCCCCAACATTCTGTGTCCGGAAACCAGTTGGCTGGAGAATTGTTCACGACTACCGGTACTTGAATTCGAGCACCGTGCGTCAAAGTATCCCGATGACGAGGAAGGAAGACATCCTTGACGCCATGTCCGGTGCGTACTGGTTCTCCACGATGGACCTGATGTCCGCGTACTACCAAGTGCGCATGCGGGAAGAAGACATCAAGTTTACCGCATTCCAAGCGCCGAACGGTCTCTGGGAGTATCTCGTTCTTCCAATGGGAGTTTGCAACGCGCCAGCAACGATGCACAGATTGACATCGAAGCTCTTTCGAGACTTGAAGAACACGAAGTTGTTCTACGATGACATCTATGTTTTCACCAAGTCACCGAAGATCGAGGACCATCTGGATGCACTGCGGAAAACACTTGACATCTTGCGTGATAACAAGTTGTACGTCAAGCTGTCCAAGTGTGTCTTCTGCTCCGAAGAGATCCCGTGTCTCGGAGATTTCGTAGGGCGAAATGGAGTTCGGATGGATCCAGACAAGGTGCAGACCATCAAGGATTGGCCTGTACCTCGGACGCAAGAAGAGCTTCACAGCTTCCTTGGCTTGACAGGTTGCGTCCAGCGATTCTGTCCAGAGTACGCATCTCTGACAGCCTCCATGTTTGCGCTCTTGAAGAAGAAGAACAAACGGAACGTCAAGATTCATCTCAGCGACGAGCAGCTGAAAAACTTCAAGGAGTTGAAGCGGCGACTGTGCAACCCGCCAGTATTGCACTTGCCGGATTTCAGCAGCCCCATGCATCTGCGTACCGACGCAAGCAAGTTTGCTGTCGGTGGAGTCCTTTTTCAAGTGGTGGACGGAGTTGAGCGCCCGATAGCGTACACAAGCCGGAAGATGAAGTCGGCGGAGCTCAACTATCCGACTCAACAGCAGGAGCTACTAGCGATCGTTCATGCGCTGGCAGCGTTTCGGATCTACTGCCTGGACAAACCACCCATCGTCGAGACAGATCACAAAAGTCTCGAAGGACTGTTCACCCAGAAGATGGCCAACCGTCGACTCGCTCGCTGGTACGCCATCCTTGCGGAATACCAGCCGACGTTCTCGTACCTTCCCGGTGCGAAGAATGGCATCGCAGACGCGTGAAGTCGAAGGTCAGACTTACAACCGGAGACGAAGTTCTTCCACGACTTACGGGTGACCAGCTTCGACGACACATCCTTCAGCCTCGCGATCAGCGAAGTAACGGGTGACTCGGAGCTGATTACGCGCATCAAGAAAGTGTACAAGAAAGATCGTGATGTCCACGCAATCTTGACAGCAATCAAGCGACGCAAATCCGACTCAAAACCAAAGCGCGAACACCAGCAGCACAAGAAATACCGCTGCTACTCCGAAGCGAACGGGTTACTGTGGTATCAAACGCCTGCAGATGACGCTCCACGGATTGTCGTGCCCAACGATGTGAAGTTGCGACAGACAATTATCAGCGAGTGTCACGACACCAACTACGGAGGCCATCCCGGTGCGGAACGTACGTACTTGACACTGGCACGCCATTGGTACTGGTCAAAGATGTTGAAGTCCATCCAGAAGTTTGTCGCCGACTGCGAGCCTTGTCGGAGGAACCAGCCGCGGTTGACGAAACCTCCTGGGTTGCTCGAGCCACTCAGTATTCCAGACGAGCGTTGGAGATCCATCTCCATGGACTTCATCACTGATCTGCCGCGAACGGAGCGGGGCGTCGACTCTATCTGGGTCGTCGTCGATCGGTTGACCAAGCGGTGTCATTTCGTGCCAACCACCAAGAAGGTGAACGCCGAAGGTGTTGCTCGACTCTTCATCGACAACATCTGGAAGTTACACGGCATGCCGACGAATATCGTCTCCGACCGCGACAGGAAGTTCGTGTCCGCCTTCTGGCAGCATGTCTTCAAGTCCATCGGGACGAAGCTAAGCATGACCGTTGCACATCGCGCTCAAGGTGGCGGACAAACGGAGCGCATGAACCGAACCTTGGAAGAGTATCTTCGGTGCTTCGTCGGTCCACTTCAAGATGATTGGGACGTCCATCTCGCCAACGCTGAGTTCGCTGTCAACTCGACTGTCAACTCCAGCACGAAGCTTGCGCCGTTCGAAGCCGATCTGGGCTACATTCCGCTGAATCCACTACAACTTGCATCCGAGCAACTTGAGAGTGTTCCCAAGAGTCGACGCGGAGCAGAGTTTCACGAGCGACAGGCGGCGATTCTCTTACGCTGTCGCGAAGCGTTAGCTCAGGCCCAAGAACGGATGCGCGACGTCTACGACAGCACTCCGGCTTGCCCAACTCCACCAAGTTCGGAACCAAGTGGATTGGACCGTACACCGTGGTGCGGAAGATTCATAACCACGCGTACGAGCTCAACATCCAGGCTGGCAACAAACTGCATCCCGTCTTCAACACTGCGTCATTGAAGCCGTACAAGGAGCTGACTCGCTTGTCGAGGCCAAGCGACGTAATCTTAGCGGACGGCAACATTGGCCAGATCGTCAAGACATTACGTGGAAAGCGAACGCGAAAACGGCGGATCCAATATCTTGTGGAGTGGGTGGGCGAGGTGAAACAAACCTGGGAATCAGTGGAGAACTTGTCGCAAGTCCCAGATCTCATCGCGGAATTTGAATCTGCAAGGCGAAAGAATCGTCGAAAACGGTGAAGCAGGATCAGCTGAAGGGGGGCTCAAAGGCCTACATGTATTCCCGTATTACATCCCCTCTTGTTGCAGAACCGGCTGCTTCATGCGCTTCTCCCGCTTTTTCTGCGTCTTCGACTTGCGCTTGCCGTGGCGACACTTGTAGCCTGGTTGCAGCTCCACTTGTGCCATCCATTTCACGTGCTGAATCCACTGCTGGTAACTCAGAGGAAGAACGTCCACCGGCGGGTTCTTGCGGGCATTGAAATTGTCAAGAGCCAGAAGTTGCTTCTCCGGACCACGGTTAACCACGCCAAAGCAGTGCCCGACATCATTGTGGCCAGCGCTGACGACGTAAACACCGGGTGCTTGTTTGCGGCAAACACCTTGAAGCGTCGTGATGTTGGCACTTGACTCTGGAAGAGCGTTTCGGAGAAGGACGTCGTAGTTCAGTGGCACACTCTTGCGCTGCAGAACTTTGAAGAACTCCGTCACGTCGTCGCGAGACACACCGTACTGGATGGCCTCAGGTCGCGTGTCTTCATACGCATCCCACATCTCCATTGTGACTAGATCCGGCTGTCCGAGATAGTACAAGGCCGAGCGGAAAGCATCCATGAAACAAGTACCAGCCTCCGACGCGGAATCACGCTCCGAGTACCAATAACAGAAGGTGCGCTTGTCTCCCGATTCCTTCTAAGCGTCCACCATCCTCATCATGTAGCGCGTCGACGGTTTGTCGAGCTGCTCCATCCAGACCCAGCTTAGCTGTAGCGGATTGCCTTCCCATTCCACCAAGTAGCAACGGTGCGGAGCCTTGCCCCTGACATCCAAGGCACGGACGATGTCAACCTCAGTGTTGTAATCCCAAGGCTTCTTCGGGTCGTAGTAGTTCTTGCGGTTGTTCGACGGGTGCGTTTTGGGCGCCGGAGGTTGCGGCATCGGATGCCACGTCGAAGTCTCGTCACCGCGACACAAGCGCGAGCGGTCAACCTGAGGCAGGCCTTCATCGTCGTCACTATCATCGAAAAGCCCGGATTCATCTTCAGGCGAGGCCTCAAAGGTCGCCCCAAGCGCAGGCTCAGCAGCTATCGCCTCCTCGACAGACAACCCTTCCACATCGAGCATGAAGATCAACTCCTGGAGGCGCATAGGTGGAGAAAAACCACCAGCCGAAGCAACAACCTCACGCGGCGCTGGCAACGCAGGCGGCGGCGCCGGGGACGCCGAGCCCGAATCTGGAGAGCCAAGACCGGGAGAGCGACTGGTGAGCTCTAAATCGTCCCATACACGCACCATTTCTTCGTCAAGACCGGAGTCAGCATCGCTGTCTGCCACAACATCGACAATCTGCGCAAGCGCGGCGGCGCATTCAGAGTCTGCCGGCGCGGCCGGCGTGGCGGTGCCAGGCGGAAGCATGGACGGACCATCGAGATTTGCGGTCGCCAGAGGCGACGCAGACGGCGGAGCCTCAACATCATGATCAGCCGTCGCTGGAGGCGAGGCAGAACGCGCGGAAGCAGGAGACATCATTCCGGCAGCAGTAGAAACCGCTAGCGACACAACTATCAGCCCAAGGAACCAATCCAAGCCTCCAACAACCAGGCCGAGGCGAAATTCCTCAGGCGACAGCCGGAAGCGTCGCGGTTCTCTGTCTTTTTCGGGAATGACAAGTCGGAAGGGCGCGCAGCCAGAGAAGGGGTGAGTGTATCTGATTAGTAGAAAGGTAAGCCAATAGGAGGTCAGTGTAGGTACGACTCACCGTATGTATAGTGAAACCAAGTTAAAATAGATATGCAGCTGTAGGGCGGCTGTGGAGGCTTCGCGAAGCTTCCATCCGCCTGAACTGCGGGGGCGGCACTCTTAGTTCCGCACGCCCTCCCCCAAGACAACACTTCTTCCTGTTAAAACCTCCTTCATGGAGGGAATCTGTAGTAAGTGCTCCCTCGCCTCGGCCCCATGCCAATCGTACTGCCGCCTTCGGTGCCCATTATCCATGGACCAGCGCCGTGAAGATCGAGGACTGCCTTCTGAGGATAAACCTTTGTGAAGGTGCACCAGGCCGACGTTCAGCTAGCTTCTTCTAAACTCACACCCAACGGACCAAAGTCTCAGGTCTCCTTCCAGCAACGAGTTTCCAGTGAATATTTGCGAGCAGCTCGCCAGCCAGCACATCCGAGGCTCGAGAACATCCTTTGCTGGAGCTTCGTCGAGCTGGCCGTGACGTTGTCGTCGTATGGCGTTCAGTGGCTTTACGAAATGTGTGTGCTACGAACCAGCCGATGCCCCCTTGCACCGACGCTGTGCGTCTTGTCCAGCACCTGCTTCGAGGCATTCGGCACGGCCACGGCCAACATGGCAGGAAATTTTGCATCGCTCCTTTCTTCGGCACGAGGCCATGCATGAACAGCAATTGGCTTTGGCGATCGAGCTCACTATCCGTTGAATGAGGCGAGACTCGACTAGAATCCGGTGGACGCCCGTTTAGGGAGCAGCGAGCACATCCCGCCCGAGGTGTCGCACTGATGTCCGCCAACGCGCTGATGGCTTCAAGAGAGCTCTTCCATCTTGCCCTCTGTCGCCACACACTTGATGTGCCGCCGGCGGGCTGCTTGGCGTCGAGCGGTGGAAGCGTGCAATGCAAGTCGTGTTGCCCCAAAAGTCTTGGCGCAATCTTATTCCACAATCTGAGAGGGGTATAACGACACAGTCCAAACCCACTGCAAGCCGCTTTCCATAGAACGGATGCCGTTGCGAGATCAACAGGCACAAGGTTGCTCACCCCTTTTGATATAAACTGTGCACGCAGTCCCTATGCTCGTTTCTACTACCGTCGCCGATCGGAAAAATTCGACCGATCGTGCGACTCATCGGGTCTCTATCTCCATTCCGAATATCGCCTCGAGAACTCGCAGCGCCTCCGAACCATGACGTGCGCGGGCTTCCTGGTGGTGGCCAACAGCCACGCGGCCTCCGTGGAGATCTGCACGGGCGTCCTGGTGTGCTCCCTGGACGTGGCCGGCCGCGCCGAAGCCTCCGAACCGTCCGAGCACTCGCTGCCGCCGCTGGAGCCGCGGCGCATGGCCAAGCTCGAGGTCTGCACCACCGCGCGCGCGTCGGCCCACAAGATGGAGGACAAGCCCCGGCAGCCAGAGGACGAGCTGGAGCCGCAGGACGAGCCGGCCAAGCGCCAGCGCCTGCTGCAGCTCAGCGGCTTCATGATCGAGGTGCTGGACCGGGACGACGAGCTGGACGAGCCGTCGCTGCCCTTCTCCTTCCAGGTCAACACGTACAAGATGCACCTGCGGCCGGACGGCAGCTCCAGCAGCACGCTAAGCGACTCGCTCATCCTCTCGGCCACGGACGAGGAGGCCAAGAAGCTCTGGGTCAAGAACATCAAGTTCTGGAACCGCTACGGCTGGAGAGACACAGTGCAGGTGGCCGCCACGCACGATGACCTCGTCAAGCTGCGGGAGACGCTGCAGAACTACAGCACCCCGCAGCTCCTGGGCGCCTACCCGCGCTACAGCAGTGATGACGCCTACTGCCGAGACCGCAACAGCGCCATGCTCTACGGCGGCCGCAGCAGCTTCCAGTCGTCCTGCGCTACGAGACGCCAGACCAGACGACGGTTCTACCGCACGACTTTGCCGGGATCGTTCGCGCCGCCGTCCTGAATGCAAGACTTCGGTCTGCCACGCCACCGGGTGTACATAACTTATTTCCAAGTACCGCATCGCTAGCTTTTGGACTGCGATGATTCCAAGCTTCCCTAATTACTTCAATTGAACATTTCTTACACTGAAGGCCTGGTCCATGAGTCTCGACGCGCTTGACACAGACGACGACAAGACGCGGTCACTTCGTGTTGACGGAAAACGCATACGTACATTGTCTATCGTGCGCTCCTACGCCCATGCGAGCGCGTGGTTATCCTACAAGCCACCCAGACGCGTGGCCACTGCACAATTTCAAAGGGCCAAAGCGTCAAACTGTCACATGCTCGAGCGAACTGTCCGCGTCGAGTCCAGGTCCTCCGAGAGCAGACGCACAGTGGATCTAGTGGTGGACGTCGTCGACAAGGGCAGACCGTCCTCAGGGATCGGGAGTCGTAGCTTCGCGAGTCGAAGTCGCCGGTCGCGACGCGCCTTAATACTCTTGGCACGAGGCTGGCGCAGAGCAGTACCGCAGACGCGACAGAAATTGGCGTCCTCTTGGTGCAGCCGTCGGAAGCAGCGTGGGCACTCGATCACTTCCGTCAGGATGTCCTGCGATCCCGCCTGGTTCAGCACCAGCGGACAGGCGATGATACCGTAACCCACGAACATCACAATGGTGGCCAGCATGCGACCCACAATGGTCTGCGGCGAGATATCTCCGTATCCGACCGTCGTCATGGTCACCACTGTCCAGTACAAGCTGATCGGGATGTTGGAGAAGTCGTGGCGGTCGCCCTCGATGAGGTACATGGCGCATCCAATGACGAGAATCATCGTGAAAAGCGCCACAAGGAACACCGCGATGCGCCGCTTGTTAGACTGGATGTTGTCACTCAGCGCCGCGCCTGCATCCACGAACCGAGCAAGTCGCAGCAGTCGGAACACGCGCATCACTCGGAAGATACGTAACACCGCTAGATGCAGCAGCGGTCTGGCGTCCGGCAGGATGAAACCCAAGTACGACGGGACCAGCGCACACACGTCGACGAAGCCCATCAAGCTCAAGGCGAACCTGCTCGGGTTGCGGAGAGACACCAGTCGCAAGAAGTATTCCACGGAGAAGACGACGGTGAAGAACGCCTCCAGAGCCAACAAATAGTCGCCGATGTCCTCCCTACACAGTAACCGCGCCACACCACAGTCAATATCCATTGATAATACAACAACATCAGCCGCCACCACTGCAGCGAGACGTACCGAATGTCGTCCACACTGTCCAGCACAGCTGCGAATCCACCACCACACAGACCCCCACCAACAGTGTCAGCTCAGCACCCTGCCCATGCCCCTCTCCAATAGCAGCAGGCACTCACCGACCACGACGCTCATCGAGACCATCACGAGCAGCACGAGCGCCACGCGCTGGCCCGTGGGCGTGGAGCTCTTGAACATGATCTCGTAGACGCCCTCCCAGCCCTTCCTGGCGCCGCCCTTCACCTCGCTGTCCACCACGATGCCGTTCACGCGGAAGCGCACGTCGTGGGCCAAGTTTTCTGTCTTCAGCTTGTCCCTGGCCGGGTCCCTGTCGGCGTCCGCGTCGTCGTCGTCGTCTTCCTCGTCGTCCTCCGAGTTCGACTGCTGCTGCTTCTTGACGCCGCCCTTGCCCGCCTCCACGCTCTTGGCCACGCTGCGCGCGTCGATGAAGCCCCCGGGACTCATGTCCACGGCGCTGTCCACGTGGCCATAGCTCTGCTTCTCGGCCTTGCGCTCCTTCAGGTGCGACAGCATCGCAAATGAGGACGAAGTCGCTCCACGTGGTAGCCCATTGGGCGAAAAGGCACCACTACCAGCGATGCGCATTGACCAATCAGACTGTTGAAAGGGAACAACTTCAACTTGACCATCAACTTCGACATAGAGAGAGGCGGTATAGCTGCATTTATCGAGAAGGAACAGCCCTTATTGATGCATCCTTCGACGGCAAATGCGAGCAAGTGGAGACATACGCAGAAGTACTGCTGGATTGTGCGTCAGCGTGGTAGCATCGAGCAGAGTTGCTGGGAAAGAATAAATAAATGCCTGCCTGAAACGGCCAAGTTTCCTCTAATTCCGCGCAAGAAGCAGTGCGTGCTTGCTCGCAACTCCCTATACGGCGACTTCCATGAACGGAGAGGCAGACGTCTTCCAGGACTTCGACTCGGATGCCTCCGACGTCGACGATGATGTCGACTGGAACTTTACGGACGGGGAGAGTGCGAGCGCCTTGCAGCTCATGGGGGGCGCAGATTCGACCAAGAAGTCGCAATGTGAAGGAAGGAATATCACCGCAAAAGTACCTGCGACAACGGAAATGTCCGACACCACGGACCCGCTGAGAAGTGAAGATTGCAGCACCGATAGCTCGATAGTAGACGCGCCAGTGACCAGCTCCTCTGATGAAGATCTGCTGGCAGAGCTGTTCCCCGAGGTAAAACTAGAATCCACACAAAAGTCAGAGGTGAAAAGCCATGCCAAGGAATGCGAGGTCGAGTGGGCGTTGATGGCGCTGGAGGAGCACGAGCAGCGATCTCCTTGCGCCACTGCAGCCAATGCAGACGCAGCTTTTGTAAGTCTCTTCGAAGAAATGTACGGCAGCGATACGACCATCACGCTTTCGACACCGCCGCCTCCTACGAAGCCTACCGGCCCTCGACAAGAGAGTTTCAGACTCTTGTCCAACGAGAAGATGGAAACTGCGGTGAGTGACGACGACGAAGTTTGTTCAACGCCCAACCTTGTGGAGGGTATCGATGGGAAGATTCACCCTGAAGCTCTGGAAATGCTGCGGCTAGTGCACCAAAAAGCCATCGAGGTAGGTGCTAATCAGGGCATTTTGTTCTGCTTGCGAGTGCTAACCTGTATACTGCTAGACACATCGGGACTTCTCGTCACTTTTCAGCGATGCTAGCAGCAAACTTTGGCTCCCCGATCCTGTTTCTCTAGGCCAGACTTTCGAGTCGAATTGTTCATTGGACTCTTTCGTAGAAACCGCCTGCTCTCTGGAAGAGTGCCTCAGTAGCCAAGAGCATGTCAAGTCGCTCGCTACAACTCGAGAAGAAAGGTGCGCTTTAGCACCAAGTTCGAATTGAAACCCTGTTCACCGTTTAATTGTTACTGATTGTTGCTACGTGGCCAGGCTGGAACTCGTGCTTGTTGCTCTCGACGACAATAATGACGCCTTACCACAAAGTCTCAAGATCAAGTGGGCGAAGACACTCGCTGTGTTGCCTTTGCTAGCGAAGGTGAGTCAATTGATGGTTCTTCCATTCACGTTCAAGTAGACTTTTAACACAGGGGGTGCCTTGGTTTTTCAGATGCGGGAGCAAACTTGTCCTCCTGCCTCGACGTCCAAGTCCGTGACAGAACACCCAGAGCCTCTGCTGATAGACACCACACTATCCCCTGCCCCGCCACAAATCCAAAGCAAGAAGGGTTCACCCTTGGAAGGCTGGGCCACTTTCCACCCGGAGAAGATGCCTGTACGGCGATGTGAGCGTATGAACTTCAGGTCGAAACAACCTGGACCTGGCCATTTATCCACTACAAAGAAGCCCCGTGTGCGCATCCGCCAGTACCTGCCCGCGAAGCTCCGAGTGCGCTGCAAAGTGTACAACCCCGAAGACAAAGAGCTCACGTTTCGACCGACTATCAACAAGAAGAGCTCGCACCTTCGCATGGCGGGACCGAAGCAGCCGAAAGAGAACTTTGCCGCTCGAATGCAGAGAGACATCTCTAAGCGTCGGTCGCAAAAGCTGCAACTCGAACGGGAGCGAGAGCAGCAGGACCAGCAAGAAGCTGAGAGTGTGTCGGCTGTCAAGCTGATAGACAAGGGCTCTCAGCGCATTCTACTCAGAAACGGGATGTGGGCCGAGTCGCTGGAGGAAAGAATCAGCAGGTTGGCAAAGCATCGGACCAACATTGAGGCGAGTGACTCACGATCCAAGAAGCGACGCGAACGCCATGAACAGCGGAAGCGAGAGGCCACCGCTATTGCCTCCAAAGCCTGCGAGTCACTGTACCAACGTGGAATCGAGCAACGGAAACGAGAGCAGGATCGGTTGCAGGAGGATCTACACGACCTCGAATTCCAGCGGAGTCGGCCCAAGATAAGCAGTCGATCGCTGCGAGTGATGAAGACGCGGATCCGCCAGGAACTCGCACAGCTCTGCACGGACTCTCGGCGTACTGAAGGCTCAGACGAGGAGGGGGACGAGATTCATCCGTCGTCCGTGACTTTCATCCAGTTCTCCTGTGCGCTTTTGTACTTTGGGTTCGTGACGGACTTGGACACACCGTGGGAAGGCGGTACTGACGGCGACCAAGGCAACGAGATCACCTTGCTGTGGCACTCGTGGACAGTCTTCACAGGAGATAACGCTGGTATCCTTGGCTCAAAACTGGCAATCAAAGTGTTGGAGCGTGTGCTCTTCTCGGTCATCCTCGGTGGGCGAGCTGGTGAGCATAAAGCTCTTCAAGGTCGCGACGTACAAACATTGCTCCGACTGTACCGAGCCAACTACTACGTGAGGAAACACACGCAGCTTAGAGCGGAGCCGAGCGATGACCGCAACCAAAATAGTATCGAAGTTGGAGCTCAGTCTACTAAGAAGAAGCGGAGTTCCTCTCGACGACAGCGAGTTCGCTACACGCTACACGGGAAGCCCATCCGAAGCAATGGCGCACCCGAGACCGACTTCCTAGGCGAGCGAGAGCAGTTGCTGCAGGAAAAGATCGATCAAATGCGGGAGGCGAAAGTGAAGCAGGAGCTCGACGGCTGCACCTTTCACCCGCACATCAACCCCGGGCCAACCGAGGCAGCCGCTCTGCGATCAACTCGTCAGTCCTCGCCACCAAAGTCCGATCGTACTTCATCGGCCACTGCGTCGACTTTCGAGCGACTTTACAGCGATGCCTTCCAGCGTCAGAACAATGTGCTGGAGAAATACTTGGAGGCCAAACAGCACCGAGAAGAGCTCGAGAGGCGAGAGGCCAAGGTGCATCCGAGCTACGTCAACGGATTGACGATCGAAGAGCGCCTTGAAAACCTCCACGTCGCTCTGGCAGGCAACGCTCTCCCCGTCGACTTCCACAAGAAGATTGGCGCGATGCGTAGCGCCACGGAGATGAGAGCACTGGACGAGCAGGTGAAGGAGCAGAAGCTGCTGCCGACTCACTTTAAGAGAGCGAAGGACGGACGCATTATCGTCCGCCCATTCCAGTTTGCGACGGAGATTCGAGCGGCTTTGAGCACAGATCTCAAGAAGCAGCGGACGAAGTCGACGCTCCGACCTCGTGACCACGTGATGAAAGACTTACGGCCAGCAGCGTATGAAGAGGAGCGAGAGATGACGACACAACCTCCACGACGGAAACTCTATGAAGATATCGACCGCAGTGACCAAGTTGAAGCGGATTTGTGCCTCGACGTTCATTTGTCCCCGTCGGAAACCCGCCAGCTCTATTTGAACCTGCACGATGACCCGCGAGAGGTGGTCGATGCGTTTGCTAGGCGGTTCTCGCTCACCAATACGCAGCGACACTTCCTCGTCCAACTCGTCGAGGCTCGACTGGAACAGTTTGCAACGTTCTAAGTGGAGTCGCTATCAGAAAAAAAAATATAGCGAGCTCCGGGCCTCATCCTAGCAACGTCAAGAGAAAATATGACTAGCGAGTGTGTGACTACTGATCCAACACAGGCGGCTTCAAGACGGAAAGCTACTCATGACAGCAGAAGTTGGAACATGGCTCCGGCGAATGCTACAATTTATCGTTGGCTGGACAGGCACGCATTGCCGTATTACCCATGCATGGAGCTCGGGATCGAAAGTGCGATCGCAATCCAACCTCGGTGGCGATGATGTGCAAGTCCAATTTTCGACAGCGAACACGCCGCCAGTCTCTGCATCTGTCGTGCAACTAAGACTGCAATGCGCCGCCCTGGCCGAGGTACTCTATCGACTGCAGCGCACCTTGAAGGAGCTGTGACGCAGTTTGATCCGCTCGATAAACAAATAGATAGGATACGTGCATACTGTACTGTTCAGCTTTGACTCGTGAAGCCAAGAAACCCAGCGTTTGGCGGGCAATGAACTGCGGTGCATGTAGCACTGCAGCGCTGACGATGAGCATATTGATCCGCGTATTTTGTAGCTACCCCACCGCCCGCCAGCGCAGCCGAGAATTCAGTCCGAGCTTTCACTGTGCAGCCAGCGCTGCAGACAAATCCAGTTGCGGTGTGCATCATACATGTATTCATTGAGTTTGATGAGCTGGGCTGAGCCCAGTGGGCTCTGTTATTCGCAGCGTCCACGCTGGCCGCTCGGAGATGTCGGCGCCAACATCGGCATAGTCTTGCCGGAAGCGGACGCGCTGGACGAGCGGCGTCTGCGCGGACACCGAGATCCGATTTGTGGCTCTTTCGCAGCCTCTCAATTGAGTCATAGCGCGGTGCCGCGGCACCATCGCCGCCGCCGTCGCCGTCGCTGCCACCATCTCTCTCTCTCTCTCTAGCTCGCGGGCTTCCTTCCATGTTAGAAAAGTTCTCGAACCTCGAGGTCCAGCTTGGTCGGCGCCTTGCCCGCGTCCGGGCAGCGGATCGTGAGCCGGCGGCTGCACTTGTCGGCCGAGAGGTCGATGCGCTCGACGACGACCGTGTCCACGGCCACGAGCGGCGCGTCCAGCTCGCGGCGGTCGCTGCGCAGCAGCAGCTCGATGTCCTCGTTCGCGTAGAGCCCGAAGAGGTTGACGGACTTGATGCGGCACTTGAAGCGGTGGTCTGCACAGCACATGCACATGCAGCAGGGTCAGACGAGTCCCGGAGCCCGTCTGCTTCTCGGCATTGAAGTGCGTCGGAGAAGGTCCGAGCGCAAGTGACGGCAATGCAGCGGCCCCGCATCGCCGGGCCAGCGCGAGGTACCTGTGCAATCCCGTCCGAGCGTCACGTCCAGCGGAACGGAGCCGCTCGCGCGCGGCTTGATCTTGCAGGGCGGCCGGTCGGAGGACAAGCCAGACGCACGGCAGCAGGCAACACGGCAACGAGACACACAACGGCAGAGATAAGCGGCGCGAACTCTAATCGGCATGATGGGAGGGGGCCGCTAACGGCAACGGCAATGGCGTCGTCGTCGCCACCGCGCACGCAGGCCTCAGCCTCAGCTGCGGCCGGCGCTGCAGCGGCCCCGCCTCTTGAGTCGACTCACCAGCAGCTCGGGCGACGCGAAGAGCTCGTGCACGGCGAAGAACGAGTCGGCGCCGCTGAGCGTGCGGCTGCAGCCACGCATGACGCGGTCGGCCACCAGCAGCGCGCGCTCCGGGTGCTCGTCGCCGCCAACGTGGTCTCCCACGATGCGCTTGACGGCCGCCACGAAGGCCTCGGTGCGGTGGTCCCCCACGAAGCGCACGCCGTTGAGCATGATCTCCTCGCGCGTGGCGTCGCGGAAGGCCTGCGCCGTGTCCACGTCGCACCGCACCGGCAGCGGGACGGCGGCCAGCGGCTCCGCGAAGGTCTCGAGCACCTCCACGTAGTCGGCGGGGCGCGGCGCCCGGCCCAGCGCGCGACGCACGGCGCGGACGAGCTCCACGTCCAGCAGCGGCGGCGGCGGCGACGGGTCGCTCCGCATGATCGTACAGTAATTGCGTGACCGGGAGGGTGGTCTTATTCGGCGTCGACTGGGCAAAGACACACGGGCTGTTTGGCCCGCCGCCTTGAAGCGGGCGCCGAGGGGGGAACGATGCACGAAGTTCTCTTGTTCTACTGTAGTCTATACTCTCTAACCTACGGGTTGACACGCTGGCTGCCCGCGCTGGGCGCCACCAGAGCGGCTTTAGCTTTACGCACGCACGCACGCTTGGGCGAACACGACTATTTTCTTGACTTCCATTGCCATTGGGTTCATTAAATACCTCTCCGAGGGCCTTACGAGCCGCAGCGCGTGGTCGCTGGTCCGAGCGTGTGCGGGCGCCGATGGGGGTGCCGGCTCGGATCAAGGGCCCGGCCGGCCGGGCCGCGCACCCACACACGTCTTGTCCACCGCGCACGCCGAAGAGAAACCGGGTCGCTACGCTGATGTTGCTGTCTGTCAGTCACTGCCGCTGCGCTCGCTCACTTGATGACGGCGAAGCGCTCGCTCTGCGCCAGCAACAGCAAGTCCGCCGGGTCCTTCTGCTCCGTCACGTCGTAAATATTCACATAGTAGCCCTCGGCAATCGGCATGCCCCAGTACACGCGGCGCCAGCGGTAGGTGCCGTCGTTGGCCACGCGATGCGCGATGGTGGTCGGCACGGTCCACGCCACGTTGCACACGTCGATCCGCACGCACTGCACGCTCGGGTCCAGCGCCTCCCACTGCACTTCGGCCGCTTGGCCTCGTACCCAGCCGGGGAACCGCGGCCCGTCGGGCACTGTGATGCGCAGGCGCTGGTTGAGGTTGCCGCCCGCGGCGGCGGCCGCCGCGGCCTGTCGGAGCTGCTCGTCCGCTCCGGAGAGCGAGGACGGCAGCGTGGCCGACAGCGACGAGGACGAGGAACCTGTGGGCGTGCTGTTGTTGCTGTAGCCGGCGCTGGGGCCGTGGATGTTGCTGCCGCTGCTGCTGCTACTGCCGCCGAGACCGTGGTTGTAGTTCTCGCTGACGGTGCGTCGCCGGCTGCGGCCGCGGCTGTGCCGCCTCCGGCCGCTCACCCAGAGCGCCGGCATGGCGTGGATCTGGTGCGACGGCGCCGGGATGGTGGCGGCCGTCACGTCGAAGTGGTCGTCTTCGCTGTCTCCGGCGGCGTCCACGGCGTCCTTGTCCCAGTTGCTCGACTGCGAGCGGCACCGGGCCGACTTGGGCGCGGCGCGCGCGCGGCCGGCCTGGTTGCCGGCGAGCAGCGACTCGACGCCCGCGCTCGTGTCGATGGCCGGCACCTTGCGGGGCGGCGCGGCGTTCCAGCACTTGAGGGTCATTGACACGCGACGCGCTGCGGCCTCCGTCGTTGCTGCTGGCGCTGCTGCTGCGTCCGGCTCCTGTGCTCTGCTCTGCTGCGTCGTGAGGGGGTCGCGCGAGACTCGGTCGTCGTCGTCGAGTCCCGTGCCCGGCCTGCCTGCTACCTGTCCGACTGCTTTCGTTCGTGGGCCGCCCGCTGCCTGCCTGCCAGCTAGTCTGCTTGCCTGCCTGCCTGCGCGGGGGGGCCGTCCAAACCTGAGTGAGTGAGTGCCTTGCTGCTCCGGCACTGCTCCGAGCCGGCCAAGCCCCAATCGCGGAATGGGGAGCGGATTCGACTTTGACGCCAGGCCCGGAGCCCGCGCCCGCAGTGGCGCCACTGCAAGGGGAAGGTGAGGAGGAGGGAAATGGTTCCAAATTTGACTCGCGGCGCGGCGCAGAGACAGGGCGCGCGCCTGGCTCTGCCACGCGGGCCGCGTTTCCCTGCCTCGCCGGCCCGCCCGCCTAAGCTGATAAAGCTCGGTCTCCCCACCGCGGACACTTTGGCCCGCAAAGCGGCCGATGCCTGCATGGGCAGCGTCCGCCGCCGCTGTTGGCCTCGCGGCTGCAAGAAAATGGGGGCGATGCCACCCGCCTTGACAGCGTCCGCCGCCGGCCGCGTCCGCTGCGCGCGCCAAAAACGGTTCTGGCTGTTGTCCGCGGGCTCTTCTGCCCAAAAGGCAACTTGCTCGCTGCGGCTGCGGCCGCCGCAGCCTGCCTGCCTGCTTGCAGAGGCGCCGAGCCTTCCGAAGCCGCCTCCGGCGCCGATCTCGCCGCTAGCGCGGGCGCGGCGCGCTGTCGTCGCGGGCCACGCCAGGCGAGGATCATCTGCGCGGCGTGTACGTGCGCCGCTGGCTATCGGCACGAGCGAGATTTGCCCCGCCGGATTGGCGAAACGCGGCGGCGGGCCCTTCTGGCGGCCCGGATTGAGGATACCGCGCTCGGCCAGTTGAGCCGCAACCGCCGCCGAGCATGTAAACGAAGCCTCAGATGTGATATCCAGGGCCCGGCGCAGCGGGCCAGAGAGTGCGCGGACGGCAGGTAGCTCCATCGCAAATTTCCGCCGCCACGTGCGCCAGCACGGCTACGGAGGCGATGCGGTGCGGATGCTTCCTGCATCCAGCGGCAAAACCACCGGTATCCCTTGCTCTGCTCGGCCAGGAAGCGTGGTCGCGGTCGTCGGGCTGTTGCGCGCTTTCCGCCGCCGCCGCCGCCGCGGACTCGCATCTTCAAGGTCCGCTGCAAGTGCATTCGCCTTGCCTTGCCCTTGCCTTTGCGTTGCACGGCGGCAGCGGCGGCAACTGCGGCCAGGGCAGGCAAAGGTACAACCCTCCGATAGACGATGTGAACACCTTTGCAAAACGGACTCGCCCGATCTTATCGAGTTACGCAGAGCTCCTATCAGCTCTCGCAGGTTGAAGCACGCTGCTGACGTACATGTCGAGGGCTAGGGCGCCGTGGGCTGCAACAGCGACTTGCGGCGGAGGTGTCCGCAGCTCTGCTCGCCATCCTGCTCGGCCATGGGGCGATACATGTACAGCCTGCCGGCATGGCGCGCTCGACTGTCCATCTGCGGCCGTGCGTCAGCGCTGGCGCCGCAGAGATCTGAGGCGGCGGCGGCGGCCGTAGACGAGCTTGGCGTGGCGCCAGGCGATGCGAAGGCGCTCGAGCGGCCAGAATGGAGGGCGCCGGCCGGCGGGCCCGCGGCAACCTCGGCGCAACCGATGTTGAAGCTGCCGTGACCAGCAAGTCGATTCCCAGAGCCAAGTGCAAGCGCTTGGCGCGTGGACCCAAGTTGGGTCCCCCACCACCAGAGCCGGCTCGACCAGATCGCGCTGCGGCCGTAAACGCGGTCTTCATTTGCCACAGCGTTCGTCGGCTCCAGCGAACGCCAGCAGCAGTGTACACTGGCGTGGTGGCAACAGTCGCCAGCAGCTTCGTAATCTGCGTTACAGCGCCGTTAGGAGCACGACAGGGTCGGCTACCCTCGCGCCAGCCCGAGTTCTCGTGGCTGCGCGCACGAGGCTACAATGGCGTAACGTTAACTTAATTGCACGCCCCCCCCCCCCCCCCCCCTGCCCCGCCATGTGGCCATCGTCAGCGCGAGCTGGATTTACGAGGCGCTGCAATGCAGCACTTGCTACATGTGTACACGTAAGGAAGATAGCAAGCTCCGACAGATAGCAATGCTACGGCGCTCGGAGCGGCACTTTCTGAGCCTTGCTCCGGTTTCAAAGCGGTGATTGCGGGCAATGCCGACTGTCTGAAAGTTAAACGCTGGCTTTGGCGCCGCGCCGAACCGGATTGCTATTGTCACTTTTGCTATCGTCAGGCCAGCACAGGTGTGAGTGTTCGTCGTCGTTGTTCTTGAGCTGTTGGCGCTGCTGCTGTACCAGCATTTCGGAGTGGCGCCGATGCAGTTCCCCTTCAATTTACAGTACGCGGGCGACCTTACGACCAGCGAGAGTGAGTTCTTAGTTTCTTAGTCACGACGTTTTCCAGCGCCGACCGGACCAGCCTCCGCAGTGCACTACCAAACGCTGTTAGCCAGGCTGCTGTGTTGTCGATGCAATGCTGCCCTCGTGGGCAACGTCTCAGCGGGGGGGCTTCAAACACCGACAAAAGGCTTGCTCTGCTTGGTCTGCCGACAACAACTGCGCGCTCCATCAAAATGACGAAGCAAATCGCAGAAACCCCGTCGGGTCGTCGGTCGCTGCTGCCCGCGTTATCACGAGGACGACCGAACTGCAGCGACGTCCTATCATAAGAAGTCGCTGCGCATGCGTGCAGTACTCGTGGGATATCGGTACGGCTGCTCGACTTCAAGTTCACACTCGCGGCATCCTGACTTCACGAATGCTATTAATAACTACTGTACTTTGAAAAACTACTTATGTAGCACGCTGGTTCGGGATCCGAACTTCGGATCCGTTTGCGTTTTACCGCAGCAAGGGCTTGTCAAGGAGGTGTATACATTGGTATTCCTTCTTGATCAGCCTTTCGCCGTCTTGTGCGTGTGGTGACGCGATCTGCGCTGCATATTCGAGAAGGACATCCTTCGGGTGTGCATACCGATATGGCTTAAGCATGAAATACACATTTGTCCCTACCGAGGTAAGTTACATGTACAGCATTCGACCATCGAGATGTTGTCTTTGAGACAACTCTTGTCTTGACACGGGGTTGAGGTGTTCTCTGCCATTAGATACAGTACTGCGCAATGGCAGCTAGCCCCGCAGTTAGATTTAGCATGGCAGAGGTCCCCCTTTTGGTCGGCTCTACCGTCGGCTTCATGGGTCGGAGACTTCATCGGAGAAGAAGGCGCTGCGTGCCTTCGTCTCCTGCAAGCAGCCACGAAGCGGTTCTCCACCAGCCAGCCATCTCAGCTACAGCTACGCTAATGAAGACTCCACGCCGCCGATGGAAATGCGCACGCCAGGGCCCGGCAGCTCCGCCACCGCCGCCACCAGTGCCGTGCAGCCCAGCGCGGTCGGTTGTCACATGCCCCACCTGTTGGTGGTTCCGCGCGAGGCCATTGGCCCGTTCGAACTGTGGTGGCTGGCGGCGCCCGTTTTCTCGCGCCAATTATAATTTGAAGGCGGAATACATATTTTCATGATTTTTCGAGTTACATAGATCCGACGTAAACTGGAGCCATCCTGCCATAATGAGTGTAATTCGGCTAGCAGTCCAAAATTAAGCGACGCAGGATATAACAGTATAAGGCTATTTAAAAGGCGCAATCTATGCACACACCCGGTGCAAATCAAGCCCTACCATCCGTTTCCACGATCCCTCCGTTATCAGATTATCGGCTCAGGCGACTTTTTAGCAGCGAGTGGGGCTGTCCGTGCGTGGCCCAGCACACAAGTCCCAGCCCCAGCGTACGCTGCCCGCTACAGTGTATCCCTTCCGGCCACTCTTCCATCCGCGCGCTAGCGCGCAAGACCCCCACGCCGTTTGACGATGGCGTCCCCCCGCGAGCCCTCGGAGACGGACGCGCTGCTGGCGCCGCCCCCCTCCGCCGTGCGCGTGTCCATCTCGGCCGCCGACGTCGAGGATGACAACGAGAGCGACACGCTGTCCTCGGGCCAGGACGTGGCCGTCGCGGACCCTCCGCGCTTCCCGGCGCTGGCGCGCACGGCCTCGGCGCTGCGCTCGCCGTCCTCGATCCTGCGCTCGCCCATGCCGCGCTTCATGCTGGACGGCCCGCGCTCGCCCAGCTGGAAGCCCAACGCGCGCAACGCCGCGCCCACGCCCTCGCAGTTCGGCGCCGTGGACCAGCGCGACCCGTACGCGGGCACGTACGGCGTGCAGCGCACGCACTCGTTCCCGAGCGACCTGTACTCGGGCGCGCGCTTCTCGCGCTTCGAGATCGAGGAGGCGCTGCGGCAGCGCAACGGCACCACGCTGCTGGACTGGCTCAAGGGCAAGGGCCGCAACCCGTTCTCGGCCGCCTCGCGCAAGCAGCAGATGAAGGAGAAGGACAAGGAGAAGCGCGCCAAGGCGCAGCACCGCGAGTCCTTCAACTACGACTTCTTCGAGAGCCGCGTCAACATGCAGCATGACCAGGAGCAGACGGAGAGCGCCGTGCGCTCGCTCAACATCGCGCGCTGGGTCATGACCTTCGGCGTGGGGCTGGGCACGGCGCTCATCGCGTGCTTCGTCGAGTTCTGGACGTCTCTGCTGTCCACGTTCCGCACGGCCACGATGGAGTCGCTGGTGGCGGCCGAGATGGACGGATCCCAGGCCTTTGGCACGGGGTACCTGGCCTACTCGATGATCAGCGTGGGCTTTGTGGCTGTAGCAAGCTACTGCGTTGCCATCCTGTGCCCCGTCGCCGGCGGGTCCGGTATCTCGGAGATTAAGGCCACGCTCAACGGTATCAAGATCCACCGCGTTGTTCGGCTCAAGACGCTGTTCTGCAAGGCCTTTGGCATCCTGTTTAGTGTATCGGGCGGACTGCCAGTGGGCAAGGAAGGACCCATGATCCACAGCGGCTCGGTCATCGGTGCCGGGCTGTCGCAGGGCAAGTCCTCGAGTTTCGGGCTGGACACGAGCTGGACTAAGTTCAAGGGCTTCCGCAACGACAAGGAGAAGCGCGACTTCATCTCGTGCGGAGCTGCGGCTGGTGTGGCGGCCGCCTTTGGCGCCCCCATCGGTGGAGTTTTGTTCGCGCTGGAGGAGGGCGCCTCGTTCTGGCACCAGAACCTTACGTGGCGCACGTTCTTCTGCGCTATGGTGTCCGCCTTCGTGCTCAACTACTTCATGTCCTTCATGGAGGCCAACGAGTCGAATGGCCCGACGCCGGACGTAGAGCATGTCTTCATTGGCGGCACCCTAGGCACGCAGACGGGGACCTTCACGTTCGGCCAGTTCGTTGGCAGCAAGGCCTACGAGGTGTTGGACGTGCCCATTTTCATTGTGATGGGAATGGTGGGCGGCCTGTTCGGCGCTGGCTTCAACGGCGCCAACACGGTGCTGACCAAGTTCCGCAAGCGCTACGTGACCCACCGCTTCCTGCGCTTCGGCGAGGCGCTGCTGATCGCGTTCAGCATGGCCACGGCGTCGTTCTGGCTGTCCTACTACTTCGGCCAGTGCCGCGACCTCGCAGGCGACTACAGCGACTCGCTGTCTCGGTTCTACTGCCCGGAAGGACAGTATAACGACTTGGCTTCGCTCTTCACGGTGAACTACGCGACGAGCATGAAGCAGCTGCTGCACTTCACGGGCGACGGCAGCTTCACGCCGTTCTCGCTGTGCATGTTCTTCGTCGTGTTCTACATCTTCGCGTGCTGGACCTACGGTATTGCCGTGCCTTCGGGTCTCTTCGTGCCCAGTCTGCTGGCCGGTGCTGCGTACGGCCGTATCTGCGTCATGATCGTGCACTACCTGGGCTTCCCCGTGGGCGCGCAAGACGGCATGTTTGCCCTCATCGGCTCGGCCTGTATGCTTGGGGGCATGGCCCGAATGACGATTTCGCTGACGGTCATCATCCTCGAGTGCACGGGCGTGATCGAGTGGGGTCTCCCCATTATGGTGTCGCTGATGGCTGCGCGCTGGGTGGGCAACAGCTTCAACGAAGGTCTGTACGACATCCACATCCACCTGAACCACCTGCCGTTCCTCGAGTTCGATCCGCCATACTACGCCCGCTTCCTGCGCGCGCTCAACATCATGAGCTCGCCGCCGACGTGTGTGCCGCAGATTGCCAAGGTCGGCGAGATCTACGACGTGCTCAAGAACTGCAACCACGGCGGCTTCCCGGTGATCGTGCCGCGCAGTCAGGACGCTGCCGGTGGGGGCCACCGACCGAACCTGGGCGCCAAGCGCATCTCTCCTCGTTTCGCTGGTACCATCTACCGACACCACCTGGCTGTGCTGCTGCAGCGCAAGGACTTCTTCATTGAGAAACCCGAGCCGTTTGTGCGTACTCCTGCGGGTGACACGACGCTGCTGTACAATGACCAGTACGCGCTGTCCTACCGGGACATGGAGGGCAGCTACCCTCGATACCCGTCTATCAACGACATTCAGCTGGACGAGGAGGAGCGGGACCTGTGGATGGACCTCACTCCTTACATGAACCCGACGCCCCACACCGTGCAGGAGCAGACCCCCGTGCCGCGTGCATTCCGGTTATTCCGCTCCCTGGGACTGCGCCACCTCATTGTGCTGAACCGGCGTAACGAGGTGCGCGGTGTGATCACACGAAAGGATCTGACTCCGGCACACCTCAAGTTCTGTCTGGAATCTTTGAGCGAGACGGAGAAGCAGCGCATCCAGGGCTACTTCCACCGCGATCGCTCTGGATCGGAGCGCTTCGAGGACGTCGAGAAGAAGCTGATCAGCATCACCGACAACTCTTAAAGCCGTGGCCGGCGGTAGTAGCCCAGTCGGGCGCTGCTATCGGTGGTTCTCTACACCCGAAGGACAAATTAGACGCCGTTGGCCAGACGACGGTCGTCCTGCGAGGCGAGGACCCCAAGACCACAGACCACCCCCAATTTCCGCTCGGCAATGACCATGTGACTTGTGCATACATGTTCTCTCCTGTTCATAATCACTTGCCTAAAAATATTCCTCTGACGTGTTCCTGCTTTTGTGAGTGTCCTTGCTTTGATTTACAGCTCTGTAGTGCAGGTTCGAAGCATTGAGAAGAATGGCAAGTCGAAGCAGTGCTGGGCCTCCACCCCCTGGACAGGGACCTGGTCGATTCACCTCGCCAAGGAGGAATGTAGCCGTTCGTCTGCCGACCAGCGTGCCGGCTAATACAGTCCCAGTGGGGCAACGCCGAGGGGTTCTGGACAGCTCAGTGTACCCGAGTGCTGCGATGCTGGCCGCGGCGACGCCAGCAGCTCCGGGAGCTCCGAATCCACAGATCGCTGAGATTCAGTCACGAGTGGAGGAGTTGGTGCGTCGCTATGACGATGCTGTGGCTACTGCGGAGCAAGAGGAGCTCCGAGAGGAGGAAGAGGACACTTTCGGCGACAAGGTGCGGACTCCTGCTAGGTGGCGTGTGGGCGACATCCTGCTCGCAACACATCGCTCCATGGCTCGCACGAGTACACACACTGAGCGAGCCATTATCGCCGAGTTTGGCGATGATCCCGAGGTGAGCGCAGCTATCGGAAGCGAGGCGCAGAAGGTGGGAGACGCGTTCACCGAGGCGGCGGAGCAGGCTGTTCGACGGCATCAGCGGCTCTCACACATCCAACAAGCTCTGCACTCGGCGGCAGCTAATGGAATGCAGCTCGACGACAGCAGTGGGGACGATGCAGACGATAAACCGCCGTCACATGCCATCCGCGAGCGCCAGTTGAGGAACACAATTGACGCGCTGCATCGAGAGAAGGAATTGATGGCCAGTCAGCTGCAGGAGGCTCTGAAGGCGCAGCAAGAATCGCGCATGGCTACTGAACAACAAGCGCAGGAGCTTGCAAAGGCTCAGAGACAACTTCGAGCTCAGGCTGAGGAGCTGCGTATCACTCAAGAACACAACGAGAAAGCTGCCGAAGCAGCGAACACCCTAACGACATCCTGGCGGGACAAGTTTCAAGCAAGTGCCAAGGCGGCAGCCGCAGCGGAGGCGAAAGTGCAGGAGCTCGAGTCCAAGGTCCGTGCCCAGAGCGAGGAGATCGTCAAGCACACTTTCGTGCTTCAGGCCGAGATTCAGGAGATGGAGCGCTTCAAGGAGAGTGAAGCCGCTCGAAGTCGAGCCGAAGCAGCAGCTCAAGCTGCAGCCCTAGCTGAAGCTGAAGCCGAGGCCAGGAGAGCGAAAGCCAAAGCAAACGAGGAGAAACGCAAGAGCAAGCTGAGCGCGGATGGCAACAGCAAGGGCATGCAGGAGATGGAGGACAAGGTCCGTGAGCTGGAGGGGGCTCTACTCGCCGCCGAAAGGATCAAGGAGCAACTGGAAACGGACAACACCGAGCTCTTGCAGCGTATGCGAGAGCTCCAAGCCCGTTTTGGGGAACTACGCCGAGTCAAACCTTCGAAAGAGGAACCGACAAAGGAATCGGAGACGCCGACTGCCCCCGTGTCGACGTTCGCCTTAAGGTTGCGCGAGAACACGCCCCGAGTGAACGCTCGCAAGCGAAAGAGGGGCGGGATCGTGCCCAAACCCAATGCTCGGCCAGCCCCCAGTGCGCCGGTGGCCCCCGCGAAAATTGACGAAGAGGACGATCTGTCGAGTAGCGACAGCGAAGCGGGGGACAGTGACAACGAAGCCGAAATCGACGAAGTGGAGAAAGACGAGCGGGAGCTGAATCGGGTGATGCAGCGAGTCGTGGCAACTGTGTTCCCGATTCTCTCACGGGCGGAGAGTGATGAAGCTCTGGACGAAAGCATCGCTCACTACGAAGACCCGGAGCGATCGCCTCTTAGTGAGATCCAGCCGAGTCCAGTTGATGCGTCTGCACTTACGTCGAGTGGAGGAGATATGGTTCCTCGCTCGGAGCTCGACTCGCTGCGCAACTTATACGACCATGAAGTGGAATATCTCAAGCAACAATACGTCGATGGCTTGCAAGAGTACAAGCGGTTGGTCCTCGAGCAGTACGGGAGACGCCAGGCGATCGAGCGCGAGCGCCACCGGATGGAGGTCGAAGGTTTGCTGAGGTTGATCCAGACGAAGTTCCACGCGGAGCTGGCGCGACGTAGCGAGCGCTTGAAGTGCGCCAAGGAGTCGCTCAAAGTGCTGTACAACGCTCTTCGCCAGCATACCGGTCCTGCCATGGAGCCCCAGGACTATGAAGAGGACCCGACGCAGCCGTACAACCCAGCCATGCCGCTCAAGACGCTGCTGCGTGCAGCCATCCTGGCCATGTCGACGTCCGCCAAGCGCAACGGCCGAGGTCGATCCCAGATCGAGGCCATCCACGACCAACTGGCCAAAGTCCTGCCTCCACCCGACACGCGCACGAGGGCTGTAGCAGCTGCGATGACCATCCACTCGGCCATCCGAGAGGACAAACCGCGCGACGTCGTGGAGACTCAAGACGCCTGGAGTCAGACCGACGCTCTGCCAGCACGAGAGCGAAGAGTGGAGGCGGCTCCTGCAGAGCCACGCGTTGTTCCTGAGTCTTTGGACGGATACGTGCTGCCTGGCTCGCCCTGCTTCCCGACGCACAGCAAGCTCCAACCGGCCAGGCAGAGGCAGCAACAGCAGCAGGAGATGGCCGTCATGCTCCAGTTGGTGGTGGGGACCCCCATCTCTGGGCCGCTGGTGGCGGAGCTGCGACGTTGTCTGCCCAGCCTCCCGCCTGGCAACTACTACGTCTCCAGTGCACTGCGCGTTGCGCTCTTCCACGAGCTCGTGAGGTTCTACGCTGCCGTGGAATTCCACGCCGAGACCAACAAGACGCGGCCAGCAACTCGCCCCAACGGGTTGGTGGAGAGCGAGGACCAAGTGCAAGAAGCCGAGATCGTGGTCGGCAGCCCTCGAGACACGCCGTTCCTGCGTCGCAAGGCACTGGAGACCATCGAGAGCAAGACGCGGCAGCGCAATCGCCGCCACCTCTTCGCCTCGGGTGGTGTAGCCATCTTGCAAGCTTCAACTTTCACTTCAACTACCCATAACTCACGCTAAGTACGATCGCAATGATTGGCTAGCGACGTTGAAGTGAACTATACCGTTATCGTTCGTCATGCCAGCTCTCCTCCTTCCTTGCACCCTTATTCGGCCAGGGAAACGTATAAATCGGAACCATTTGGACATGCATCTGCTTGCCTCCTTTTGATGACGATGACCGCCGCTAATGTTAGCCTTTCTAGAGCTCATCCACCAAGAGCTTCTGCTCCAACTCCCTCGGCTTCGTACCAGTATTAATAGCGACGCGTTTGCGTACTTCACCCCGCCCCCCCCCCCGATAAACTTAGCGTCGCTTTCAACGTTTACCAGCGCATACTCGCGTCGTGGTCAAAAGCTTCACGCGAGACTGCAGGAGAGCGCGCGACCGGCGGCGATGGGTGGCGCCGTGTCAATTGGCAAGAGCGACTCCAACTCCGCCAAGTTTAAGACGGCGACTGGCGTCCTCCCTACCACCGGTGCTGGGAAGCCTCGGCTTCCGCATGGCGGAATGGGGTCCAAGCGGAAGCTGACGATGCGGCACACGGTTCGCTTGGACACGGAGACGGCGCAGAAGATTCAGACGATGGTGCTAGAGATGTCACGCACGGGGAGGGTGGAGCTCACGTCCATGGTGGAGCGCGAAGGCTCCGGGGTTTCCACCGGTACGCTGACCCAGAACGGCTTGCTTTCGTTACACCACGTCCCGGAGATCGTCTTCTCCATGCCGCACCTCACGGAGCTCAACTTGAGGTGGAACGACATCTCGGAGCTGCCGAAAGAGATCGACGCGTTGGTGGCGCTGCAGGTCCTCGTCCTGTCCAAGAACAAGCTCACGGATCTCCCTGAGAACTTGACCAAGTTGACCAAGCTTCGCGTCCTGGAGGTCGCGAGCAACCAGCTGACGGCGCTACCGGAAGCTTTGGGCAACATGGAGGCTCTTGAAGTGATACTCGCGAACCGCAATCAGCTCGCGAAGCTTCCAGAGAGTATCGGCCGCTGCCAGAAGTTGCGGGTCCTCAACGTGTACAACAACGTGCTCACCGAGATCGGGAAACCTGTGAGCATATTGGGGGAATTAGTGGAGCTCAACGCAAGTAACAACCATCTCACGAAGCTGCCGAACGAGCTGCCGCTCTGGAAAAACTTACGGCGATTGCTGCTGCAGGTGAATCGTCTTCGGTGCTTACCAGCGCTGGACGCTCTGAGTAATCTGGAGGTGCTGCAGTTGCAGCAGAACGAGCTGAGGTCGCTGCCCAGCATGAAGAACCTCGTGCACCTGGTCAAACTCGACGCCAACAGTAACAACATCACCTCACTCCCCGTGGACGGCATCTCTCACATGACGGCGCTTGTACATCTCAACTTCCGTCGCAACCAGCTCAAGGAGATCCCGGCTCAGCTTACCCGTTGCTTGGCTCTGGAGATCCTGGACCTGGGTGTGAATCCTATCGCTTCCCCGATACCCCGCACCTTCGCTGAGCTCTGCAAGTTGCGTACTCTGTTGCTGGATGGATGTGAGATCAGCTTACTGCCCATCGAGCTGATAGGCCTCTGCAGTGTGGTCCGCGTACACTTGGGCTCTTGCTTACGGATGGACGACCCTGAAACGTGCGAGGTCGTGCTGGCACTTCGAGATAGCTGCACACGGAAAGGAGGCTGGCTCAAAACGGGCCATTGGAACACCGAGCGCCGGACCGAGAGCATGTCTTCAGACTTCTGGGAGCTTTATGATGAGATGGAGGGCCGGATACCGGACGAACCTGAACTCAAGAGTAGATATAATGGAGGAGAGAGCACTGCCAATAACCTTCCTGGTCGCACGTCGTTCACAAAATGTTAATAGGATCGAATAATATCAAAACCTCGCGCGTTTGCAAACATCCGTAGTGATTCGGTGTCTGTCTGCTCCACTCTCGATTATATCTGTCCATCGGGAACGAGCTGTTAGAGTGCAATGGACACGCGACACTCACCCACTCACTCACTCACCCAAGGCAAACGACCCACCTGGTGCGCCTGGGTACAAGGCGCCGTGCGCAGTTGAAGCTCTTACCGGTTGTTTCGTTTGCAATTGTTTGATCTTGATGTGTTCTACGACTACACTACACCGGTCTAGCTCCGTGGACTACTATGGTACGAGGACGCCGCGAGCTCCTGCTGTTTGGCGTGTATTTTCTGCACGAGCGCCAGGCACATGAACTGCTTCCTCGAGAGTTTCCGTACCTCCTTGAGGAAAACTGACAGTTCGATCTCGTCGTTGCTCAAGGCGCGGTCCATGTAGTAGAGCGCGTCCTCGATCGAGTAATGCTCTGCCAAGGTCTTGATCATCCTGCAACACGGTCAACACAAGTTAGATAACTCGAATTTCATCCGCTACAAACCAGAACCAAGTGATTCACGACGTACTGTTTCGACAGAGCATCGCCTTCGACCAGAATTGTGTCCGGGTCGACTGTATCTTTGCCCTCGTTCTCCTCCAGCCACGCCGACACCTCCTTGTCCTGCGTCTCAACCACGCCCTGTGCTCGACTGGTGTCGTCACGCAAGAAGCGCAGCGACTGCAGCCCGCGCTCCACGTCTTCCCGCGACTGTGTGAGCTGAACCTCGTGCTCGAACTGCAGGTCGATGTCGTCCCGCACGCGCTTAAACGTCTTCTCCAGCTGCATCTGGACTTTGCCTGTGATCTCCGCCCTCAGCGCCGCAGCGCGGTCCTCGGGCCTCAGCTCCCCCGACGCCCGTCCAGACGACGACATGGACGACGGCGCTGCCCCCATCGACTGCTGGCTGCTGCCGAAGAGCGATTCAGCGGCCTCACGCGGCCCGCCCGACGCCGACAGGTCCTGTGCTCTCGTGAACTGCGACGAATAGTAGGGCGACGGCTGCGGCGGGTGCGACTGCGCGTAGGAGCCCTGCTGGAAGTACCCGCCCGTTCCGCTGCTGCCGTTGGCTCTGGCCGCGGGCCTGCCGGACGCGTTGGCCGGCCGACGGAAGACCGGCGGCATGTTGCCGAAGATGGAGCACATGTGTGCCACCAGCTCCAGCAGCGTAAAGTCCGGCCTCCAGTCCGACGTGTAGGGGATCTTGACGTAGCCGTCGCTCGTCACGTGCGGGTGGCCGGGCTTGACCATCATGTCGGCGGTGGGGCGCACGAAGCATACGGGCGGGGCCAGCGGGTACGTCTCCACGACCCAGAACTCGACGGGGATGTTGTACTGGCTGCCCCGGTAGAAGATGGGGATGGTGCCCTCCAGGTTGAGCAGCGTGCTGGTCGTGCCGTCATTGTGTGCTGGTAGGACGCACGTATCGGTTAGGAAAGTCGTAGAACAAAAATATGAACTATGGGTAGAATGCCCTACCGAAGGTGCCGCAATTGGGCTGCAGCGACGGGATCTGGCCCAGGAGGTTGTACACGTCGCCACGCACGCGAGAACTTTGCTAAAAAGGAAGGGAGAAGGAGAACCGCGTGAGACGCGAGGTGGTGTGCACGGGTAGAACGAGGTAGAACGGACCTACCGGGTAGCACTGCAGCGACGACAGGATCTGGTCGAGGTTGCTCACGTTGTTGGCGTACATGCTGCCAGGAGAGAGCTAGCGGGGCCTCGCCGGTCGCGGCTCTATTGTGTTTGATACTTGTACCCTGCTGAGCTTCTGCTTCGAGCTCCCCTCCCCTAACTGAGCAGATCTGGAAACGTACAGATCCTTTTTACCAGATCTGACTCTGAAGTTGCAACACCTCAAACAGAAAATGGCTCGTAAAAATCCACTTTTTGTGGCTTATGTTGCTCGTAGGGGTGTTTGTTCGCTTCCAGATTGCGTCTAATTAGTCACTATTTACGGCTATTATCTTTAGTGACATCTCCCAGTTTTCGTACTTAGTAGCATGTTAACAAAAAACAAAGTAATGTCAAAGTTGAAGTGAAGCATGCATGCACTAAGATCGAAGCCGAGCAGACCAACAGCGGACGAGGACACACCAGCTATCCCCCCACCACCTGCTCAAACTTTTCTCGCTGGGCGCTGGCCTGTAGCGCGCAGAGTTCGTCGATGTTGTACGCCTCGAACTGCTGGTCCTCGTGGTGGCGGGGCGCGTACGGAATGGGTCCGTACTCGGGCGTGAAGGTGGAGCTGTCCCCGTCCGCCTTGTGCCGCGCCCAGATCGCGCTCCACAGCCGCTGAAAACGCTGCACTTCATGGCGCGACAGCTCATCGTCGTGAGGATATGGCAGCTGGGCAGCTTGCTCCGTCCCCACTCGCCCGTGAACGTGGCGAACTCGCGGTGCGACCTTGTTCAGCAGCCACTCGTTGTCCTCCGGCGCGTCCAGCAGCCGCTCCGTCACCACGCACCAGTGACTGAAGTCCAACGTGAGCTTCAGGCTCGGGAACTCTTCCAGCAGAGCCAGCGTCGGCCACGGCGAGTAGAACATGCGACCGCGATGGGTCTCGTGCGCCAAAATGTCGTCGAGTCCGACCTGCCGCTCGACCTCGTGCGCGCGGCTTAGAAACTCCCTCTGCTCACTCGGACGCCAGTGGTCGCTGCCCGAGTGAGCGTTGACTCGAACGGGGCGTTGAGTGAAGCTGGCGACGGTCTCGAGCTGCTCTCGGAAGCGCTGGACGTGGGTCTCCACGCCCTCGAACTGCTGGTGCAGGTTCTGCGGCTCGTAGTCGACCCACCCGGAGTAGACGCCGACGATGAGCTCCAGCTCGTTCTCCGCCAGCAGCGGCAGCACCGCGTCCGCGCCGCCCAGAGCTTCCAGGTCCCCGAGACTCGCCTCGATGCCGTCGAACCCTTGGCGCCGGATGTGAGCCAGCAGTTGCGACGCGTACGACCCGGAGGTCGAGCCAGCGGTGCTGGCGCTCGCGAGCTTCAAGGCGCTTGGCGAGCCCCACAGCGACCGGAAGCAGCGGAGACCCTGGACAGTCATGGTCGAGATCGAGATCCTTTCGCCTTTGAACTGTTTTTGTATGGAACGTGCACCACTTCACTTCTCGACCTGATGAGCCCTGCACGCTGCCGTTCTCGACCACGGAGAAGTGCCCGAAATGCGGCAGCCCGGTGCACGGATCAGCGCGCCAAGAACAATAGCGGCAAGAAACCCACTAATCGTCAAAGGTCTGGTAGTATGGCGTCGAGTGAGGCCTCATCGGACACGGGATCGGAGTCGCCGAATCCGGAGAGTGAGCTACTTGAGACGGAGCGGGAGCTCGCTGCAGGCACCTCGCAGACTCTTTAACTGCAGCGACTCAAGTTGCTGAAGGCTCCGAGCGAAGGTTGCCAAGTACCAGGCCAGAGCTATGGAAGCGCACTTTGCCGCCGAGTCTTTCGCTGCGCGGGTGTCCGAGAGCGACGTCGATTCATGTCTCCCCTCTCTGTAGTAGCTGGGAACGCTCCGAGAGAGATCAGTCAGTGCATTAGCCTCTGCTGGTGCAACGCCATGCCGCCCGCCATAATTGAGAATCACACGCAGTAACTGTCCTTGATGACCCCAGATCGGACCTCACCTTAAAGCCGCCGGCAATATTTCACTTTCACTTCCCGATTGGCCTCGTGGAGCTCGCTGCGATGCCGGGGAGACACGCGGTGTGGGCGTGCTTCGAGGAGGTTGAGGCGCGCGCCAACTCCAAGTCGCACCCGATCGCTAAGTGCAATTACTGCGGCGAGAGAGTCCGCGGCCAGCCCAAGAGCTTCATGATCCCTCACCTGCGGAAGTGCTCGGTCGCGCCGTCGACCGTGGTGCAGCAGTGGGAGGACGACTCGGTGGCGCTGTCCATCGTGGCCACTCCACTGACGAGCGTCACGCCACTCAGCGCCAGCAGCTCCGTGTCGGAGGCCTCTCTCGACATGGGATCGGACCACTCCGAGCTGACACCGGAAGGGTTGGAGCTGGTTCCTCACACGCCACAAAGAGCACCTCCTCCAGCCCAGTTGCAGCACCTCGAGCTGCTGAGACTCAAGGCCAGAGTCGCCGAGTGGAAGGCGAAGGCTGCCGAGGCCCAATTCGTCGCGGAAAGGTACGCGGCGCGGATCAAGCTGCAGAGCCTCGGGGTCCCGGACTGCGAGATCGACGCCAGCCTGCCGTCGCTATAAGTGCCTGGGTATAACAAGAGTACCCGAACGAACTTCGTTGCAATGGGAACGACGTAGTGTTGCAGGGTACGGATAGCTCCCGTCCCAAGCTTAAGAAGAAAAATAACCTAACGGCAGTAAGTTAGCATATTAGTACGGAGGCAACAATGGCACGCCGTGGACGTCGTAAGGGGCTCGTGTGGGCGCATTTCGAGGAGGTTTTGCCCCGCAGAAACCCCAACGCGGACTCCACTGCAGCCTGCAAGTACTGTGGCAAAGTGACCTGCGGCAAGCCGAAGCGCAACATGATCCCGCACCTACTCCAGTGTTCGCAAGCCCCGTTGCAAGTCAAGCAACGGTGGCGGCAGGGGCTGCAGAATTCGACGGTGGCGACTACGATTACGGACAACCCGCTCCCAGGGGGTGAAAGAGCTGCCCCCACTGAGATGGGGTCTTTGTCAGTGACTCCGACGCCTGCTGCGCGCGCTTCGGATGCTCCTCCAGCGGAGCCCGAAAGCTCTCCGACCCAAAAGGAGCGCCTTGAGCTACTCAAGCTCAAGGCGAAGGTCGCACAGTACCAGGCGAGGGCGATGGGGGCGCAGCTAGAGGCGGAGACGTTGGCTGCTAGGATCAAGCTGCAACAAGACGGAGTCCCGAACAACGAGATCGAGTGAGGCTTGGCCTCCCTTTGAAGAGCTGTGGGGTGGGCAGCGCATGATTCCTCTGGCTGGTGTGTTTTGGTGGTTGCAACGGTGAACATGAACATGGATGACGTTCCTTACTCACACACTTTCGTGGCGATGAATAGAAATAAGCACTCACAACTGCTCTACGGCATCATCTATCGGTCTGAATCTGTTACTCCGCTTGGTCGTGCCCCTGCATTGCGAGCACACCACCAACACATCTACCTAAAACCTACTCATCACTCACTTCTGCATGTCTAGAGATCGCTGGTAGGCCGCGATGGCCTTCTCGTGGTCGCCCTTCTCGAAGAGGATCTTGCCCAGCAGAGTGGAGTTCGTGGCCGACGGCTCCAGCTCCAAAGACCGCGCGATCGAGGCAACAGCAGCGTCCAGGTTCTCGTCGGCGTAGTACGCACGGCCAAGCAGCGAGTGGAGTGCAGGGTCCTCCGGTCGAATCTCCACGGCACGCGTGAAAGCCTGCACCGCTGCGCTCACGCTGCCCTTCTCCATCATAACGTGGCCCAAGTTCACCAACACGTCCACTTCTGGCAACGTGTCTCCGCCCACTCCGTCTCCGCTCTCATCTTCAATCCCGTCTACTACATTCACATTCGCAGCCTTGGCCGCCTCCACCACCGCTTCTTCGTCATCGTCGTCGTCATCATCCTCTTCATCATCGTCAACCAGATATTCCCGTGCAACGTCGTCCAGAGCGTCCGCCTCGGCATCGTGAAGATCCCCAATATCCGTCTCGCGGCCCTCAATGTCGGACTCGGAGTCCGACCCATCGATGTCGTCGTAAGTGGACTCGACGGCGGCGATTGTGTTGAGCGCGTCCTGTAGCCGCGTAGTCCGCTGCAGAGCAGGATTTACCGCCGTCGAGTTAGATCGCGACGGCTGCTGCTGAGGTTGCTGCTGTGACTGCTCGTTACCAAAGTCGGGATTATCGATATCTATCTCGCGCGTGGGTCGGAAGTTGCCTGCACTCTGCGTCCTGTTCAACAGTTGGCCCGTAGAGCGATACATGGCAATGCCAGGGTTCGGAACGGGCCCGGGGTTACTTGGTGGAGCTGCAGTCGTGGAACCTGCACGCATTTGCATGGGCAGCGAATTCTGGCGGTCCCGGGACATCGGCATGCCGCCTGCGCTGCCTCCACTTGTGTTGCTGCTGCGAGAACCATTCGTGAGTCGGTCAGGGTCGTTCAGCATCTCGGCCTGCACACGCAGCTGCATTTCAGCTTGCTGCTTCTCCTCCATAAGTTGCGAGACCTGCTTCTGCAGGCTCGCGACCTGCTCGTTAATCGCGGCGTCATTTCCAACCCGGTACGGTCCAGCGGCGGAGTTCGACGCGCGCGCAGGCGCCGAGACGTGACGCTCGAGCATGTTTGGTGGCGAGCGCTGCGCCTCGTCCGAGCGACGCGCATCACCGCCGACGGCCTGACTCAATCGCGTCTGCGGAGCCACGCGCTGCGCAGCCTGCATCGTAATCTGCTGCTGCCGCGCCTGGCGACTCGCGTTACGCAGCATGTCGTGGCACACCACGCAGACTCGGTGGCGGTCGCTGAGTCCGTAGTGCGGCAGCTTCATCCGCTCGCGCGCGGAGTGGTCGCGGCAAATGGACTGGCCGCAGTTACGGCAGTGGTGGCGCTTCTTGAAGGTGCCGAACTTCTGCGCGCAGATGCTGCAGCTGGGCGCGTTCATCCAGCGCGGCGGCAGCGACACCGTGTTCCGGTTCATCGACGGTCTTTGCGCCAAGGACTGCGGCCTGTTGCTCTCGGTCGTTCGGCGCGGGGACCACGGACTCGGGCCAGCCGGGCCGTTGGCTCCCAGCGTCACGTTCACCTGCTGCGAGTAGAAGTCGTTGTCCGAGAAAGATCGCATCTTGAGCGAGGCCGTGCTGCTGAGCCGGCGCTGGCGCTGGCCATACTGCACGGCGCTGACCCGCTGCGGCACGGGGAGGTCTCCTGCGATGGCCTGGAAGCGCTCGGAGGGCCGGAGTTGGCCCTCCTCCTCATGCTGCTGTTGCTGTTGCTGCTGGGTCTCCTGCTGCAGCCTGGCCTCCTGCTCCTCGATGGCCAGCTGGTCGGGTAGCCCCTCCTTGGCGCACACGTGGTGGTACATCTCCTCAAGCAGCTTGACGCTGCGGCTGGGCAAGCCGGCCTTGCGCGCGAGCTGCACGGCGTTCTCGCCCGAGGGCGACTTCTTGAGCACCGCGTCCGGGTACGAGGCCAGCAGCGCCTGCAGCCACTCGATGCGCGCCTGCGCCTTGATGGCGATCTGCAGCGGCAGCATCTCGGCCGTGTTGGGCGCGCGCGCGCCCTGCGGGAAGGCCTTGAGCAGCGCCAGCAGCACGCCCTCGCCGATGGACTGCGGCTCCGTGCAGGCCCAGTGCAGCGGCAGCATGCCGTACGAGTCCACCTGCTGCGCCGTGGCCGGCTCGGCGTCCACGAGGCGCCGCAGCTCCTCCCAGCGCGAGCTCTTGGCCAGTTTGACGGCGTCCAGGCGCTTGCTCGCCATGGCGCTGCGGTCACTCGGTCACTCGATGCTGCCGCTGCTGGCGGAGATCCTCGACTGTAGGTATGTACGCGGGGCGGGGCGGGGCCGAGCTGAGCTGAGCTGGCGGGGGACTCGAGGCCTCGACTCACGTGCGGACGACGGAGCCACGAGGCAGCGAGATGCTGGGTTTAGTATGGAAGGGGGCGGCTCGCAAAACGAAATGGTACAGTATTTGCCTCACTAAAGAGGGCATAGAAAATAGTAACCTGTTGTAGTAGATTCATGAATAACAAACATTGTTAGTTATTTGCAACCCCTTACCTGATTACCTTGGACAGTCGATACATATCAGGACTTCATTAGTGAAAAAATACTGTAGTAAGAAACGTGGCCTCCGGAGCTGTCCTCGCAGTGAAGACGCCGCCCGCCGCACGCAGTGTCCGCAGAGAGCGTGCGCACAGCACGGCATGACGGCGTCACTGTAGTTTGTTGAGCTCGGTGTGGCGTCGATGGCGGCCAGGATCCGCAGTTGACCAAACTGGTAAGAGACCCAATATCTTGTCATACGACGCCGCCGAGCTCAAGTGATGTAAATCCATCCACACCTTCGCTGCTGCCAGGCTCGCAACTCTCAGCTGCGAGCTCCCATTGCGCCAGACGCATTGCTGCAGCCTGCGGGCATTGCCACCGCCGCTGTTCAATTGACCGCTTGGGCGGGCCGCTCTCCTTTTCTCTGCGCTTTGCTAATCAGCGCGGGCGAGTCGCAGTTCCCATGAAACGGATTGCTCAGGCAGCAATCGCACTTAGGCGCATCGTCACTTGGTGGGGTCATGTTTAACCAGACCTGCTAGCTAGCATTCCAGGAAACGCCTCACTCGGTCAACGCTGGCCGGCCACGCCCCCGTCCCCGCGCTAGGCGCCCGAGTCCAGTGCGCGCCCGTGCACCCCTCGCCCACCGCAAAGCTCGCCGCCATGGACGCCGTGGAGACGGAGGCCGACGGCTCCGACCCCATGGAGCTGCTGCACGTCCGGCGCCACGGCCAGCGCGAGAGCTTCACGCGCTACCGCCTGCAGGAGACGCTGATGCTCATGGGCTGTCGGCCGAAAGACGCCGTCACCGTCACGCAGGAGGTCTTCGCCGTGTTCGCCAAGCACGTGGCCAGCGGCGATGGCCATGTCATCATCATCATCAGCAGCAGCAACAGTGGTAATGGCAACAACAGCGACGAGGAGCGCGAGAAGCAGCAGCAGCTGGAGGAGGAGCGGAAGCTGCCGGTGGCGCTGCCCTGGCACCTGCTGCACCAGTGCATCTACTCGTCGCTGGCCAGACTGGACTACGTCAAGCCGCACCACCTGCTGGACTTTGAGGTGGCCAAGGAGATCACGCAACGGAATCAGTCCTTCGCGGTGCTGCTCGGAGGCACGTCGGGCACGGGCAAGTCCACGTTGGCGTCGCTCTTGGCGGCCAGACTGAGACTCACGACGGTGCTGCCGACCGACTCGGTGCGGCACGTGCTCAGATCCTTCACGTCCAAAGAGGAGAACCCGTGCGCGTTCGTGTCCACGTACCAAGCTGGCGACGCCCTGTCGCCCGAGATGGTGGCGGCGATCCAGGGAGATCGAGGGGACATGTCGGCTGCGAGACTGCACAAGAAAATGGTGCTGAAAGGCTACAAGATGCAGTCGGGCCTGGTGCTGGAGAAGCTGGATCGCGTGCTGACGATGTTCGAGGAGCGCAAGCAGTCGCTTGTGGTGGAAGGCGTGCATCTGAACACGGACGACCTGCTCACGCTGGTGAAGAAACATCCGACGTGCGTGCCGTTTGTGATTTATATCAGCAATGAGAACAAACATCGCGAGAGGTTCGCGGTGCGTGCGCGCCACATGACGATTGACCCGCAGGAGAACAAGTACATCAAGCACTTCGACAACATCCGCATCATTCAGCGCCACCTCTGCAAGCACGCTGATCGGTGTCTCATCCCCAAGATCGACAACACCAACGTGGATCGCAGTATTGCCACCATCCAGAGCACATTGGTGCGTGTGCTGCGCAAGCTGGATCGAGGAGAGAAGCTCGCGGATGAGAAGATTGGCAAGTTTGTCATGCTGTCGCGAGAGCACGAGAACTCCATCAAGAAGGCCTGGTCCAGTAAAGGTGTGCGGAAAGCCATGCGTCCTCTGCTCAAACAAAAGGTGGCCAAGCGGCTACTGCTGCGTCGGCTTCTTGCTGAGCAGAATATGGATACTTTTGGGGTCCCAGATCCCCATCAGGGGGAGGATTCGTCCAGCAGTGAAGAGGAGGACGACGAAGACACCGGCCGAGAAGCAGATGACGAAAGGAATGCTGATGAGGACGACGAAGATGAGCAGACGACGGTCGTGGGGAGTTTGCTCAGCGGTACAAACACAAGGGATCATTCGTTTACTGTAGGGCAAGCGTCGCCAATGGCCCCCCAGGGACAAGCGACGCCAACCCGCGTGGCTGCGCAGAAACGAATGTTCCTGGACGAGATTGAAGAGCACGCGGCTGGCACAAGTGACAATGCCCGATTGATGCGCTCGCTTTCGCAGGCGATCCGCCAAGCTGCGGTCTGGCGTGCAAGCCAACCTCTGACAAACTACACAGGCTGGGAGTCCCACGTCCCGCCGCCCAGTCCTGAAGCGACTTTTTCGGATGTTATGGAGAACATGCCAGGTTTCGCGGCAGCGGTCGAGAAGCGAAAGCGAGCGTCATGGAACTTTGAAGAGCGGCGCAAGTCGTGGATGGCTGGAGACCAACCCGCAGACGCGCCCAAGAGTCTTGCTGCTCAAATGGGCGCCAGCCGGACCCCACCTCCAAGCGCCTCACGCCAGTTCAAGGCGTTCATAGAGAGCCAACGCGTTGAGGGAGAGGCTCAGCTACAGATGCAGCGCACACATCAACAGCTTCAGCAGCAGCAAGTGCTTCCTGTGTCTCACCAGCTTCCACCGATCGGAAGACGGACAAAGGCGCTTGCTCGGAGGGTGCAGTCCTTGCCCCCCGAACAACTACAGGATAGCTCCAGCAGCCTGGACTTTGACTTCGACAGCGTGTCGATGGCGGATGCGAATGAGGATATGGACCATGTTTCGCAGACGTCGTCCCCACGAGATGGATGTAAGTGCTGTTGCAGCGGATAATGACAGGGGGTCTCTTGTGTGTACTAACTAACCTGCTGTGCGCACAGGCGTATCACCACTGGAGCACAGTTATGCCGACACTGACAGCCACTTCGAGGTCAGCTCGCAGAGCTCTATTGAGTGATCGATGATTTATTGATACAGATCGTCTCTAACCTGCTAAAATGAGATTAAACCAAAATGACCCTCTTCGTCCGTCTATCATCTATAGCTGCTTCTGGTGTTGTGGCGGCGATGGCCTCACCATGGCGCGGTAGCGAATGTACGAGAACGAGTACGCACCAATGAAGGATAGCGCGACTCCGACGAAGTTGGCGGTGTGAGTGGGTGCGTCGTTGAATAGGAGATAGCCGCCGATAGTGGCGATCAAGTCCTTGATGTTCCCCGTCACTGACGTAGTGAGCGCAGAGGTGCGTAGCGTACAGAGCTGCACCGAAAACTGGTACAGCACGCACATGCTGCACATGATGACCATCCCCGCGATGAATCTTGCATCACCCTAGTACGGGAATGCCAGCACCTCGTCGCGTTCAAATATGAACCCGAGCACGGAGCAGCACACCGCACCAGCTGTACTGTTGAGGATCACGAGCTGGTGCGGAGTCAATGCACTCTCCTGGGAGAACGCAAGCGACATTGCAGTGCACAAATTCTGCAGTAACACGAGTGTGTATCCACCGCGCCCGTCGGACATTACGTCCGAACTGCCTGCAATCAAGCTGCCCGCAGAGCTCACTATCCAGTACATAACGAGACCAAGAGAAGTTAGCCAGCCATGCCTGCAGAAACGCTTTGATGACATCACTCTTCATCCACAAAGTCGTACCGAGAATCGCCACCTTGATCGACCCGGAAATGGCCTACACAGGCAATAAAAAACCATCACCACGTCAGTCTATCATCATACCGTAAATACTAACTACTGCACGTAGCTGTTGGAGATCGTCCCACCTTGTGCAGCACAAGCCACTCGATCAGCATGACCGTGAAGGTGGTCAACCGCCGCAGAACCAGGTAACTACACCCCCAGCAACAGCAGCAAAAACTACGTTAGTCTCCCCAAACGGTTGACGAGGAGTCAGCGGTTGTCTGCGTATTCTTGGCGACGTACATGGGCAGGTTCACCACGCGCAGACTCGCGAAGCCCAGCAGCATGTTGCTCAGATGCAGCGGCAGCAGCACACGCAGCACGTAGGCGCTTCCTCTGCGCTTCGCCTCGACGGGTCGGTCGGCGCCGGGCTGCTGCTTGGCCCCCGTCACGAGCGCGTAGACGCGCTGCGCCGACGTCAGCAGCGTGAGACTCGTCAGCGTGAAGATGCTCTAGATGGCGCCCAGCGTGTACACGGAGCGCCACTGGAAGGTCGTCACCAGCGTCTTCGTCAGCAGGTTCATGGTCAGCGAGCACAGGAAGTAGAAGGCGCACGGCCACAGCGCCCCCAGCAGCGCCGCGAGGCCGCTCGGCCGCGGCGACGTCTTCTCCATTGCCAAGCGTGTCTATGTTTGTCGACTGGTGGGACTTTGTGCGGCGAATACCGGTGTCGCGACACAATGAAAGAGTGACAGGATAGTGACGCTGAAGTGGGACGACCAATCAGCGACGGCGAGTTGACGAGCGAAAGCTCCATCGAAATGGACCCATTCCCCATCGGAAACTAGTACGACAGCATGCTGGGATACACTTGCTGCCTGTAGGCACCTTCATCTCAACGTCAAGAGCACGCAGCAAAGGCGCACCTGCACCTGTTCAAAACACCCTCATACCCCCACATCCACACACAAAGATGGACACATCTCTTCTTCGTTTAAGGTTGATCACTCAACCGTCACCTTCTCAATTGCTCTTCATAAGCCAGCTCTGTCCTCGCCGCCAGTGGCTTTTGCTCTTCGGTATGGTTTGTCCAGACGGCGTCGTTCGCGGCCAATTCAGACTTGCAGCGCCGTCCCAGGGGCGATTGAGCAATGCACGAGATACAAAGCACTACGTACTTGACCAGGCGGAGTGCTAACGGGGTCCAGTGTAGAGTTGTTTTTTAGAGGGAAAAAAGTGATATTAACGTTAATATCAGTTAATCACAAAATTGCGCGCAGTTATTAATAATTAAAAGGCAAGATTTGGCTGAACCCATTTGAGGCAGCTATTCTGTATTTACAGCCATGCACTCAATTCTCAAAGGAGGACTCTATCAGGCCGACGAAGTACTCCGCGCAAGCGTAAGCCCCGCGAGGACCTGACGCAGAACCAGCGCGCCAAGGGCTATCGTCTTCGGTGCAGACGTACGTCGGCGCCGCGGCCTTACGACGTCACCTCTGATCCCGACGTGGACGCCGCCCCCTCGATTCTGACCTGGACGACGACGACTCTACCATCTGCGGCTAGCGCCATCTTCGCGCAGTACCCGTTGCACTACGTGCTGTCCCCCCCCCCAAGGCACGGATACTCTGGCGCCTGATACAGCCGAAGAAACTCGTGCAGGATCATTGAGTTCGAACAAGCATCCGTCTCCAGGACAGCTAGTGCTCGTGTAACCGGTTTCGTCAGCCGAACGACAACCTTCGCCTTGATCCAAAACTGCTTATCGTTGACAATACCTTGAACTTCGTCCAGCTTCACCTGACTCTCTTTGTCCGTGTAGCGCTTCATAAGCTCCGAGTCCGCCAAAGCTGCCTTCAGCGTTGTCTTGTTGCGAACGACGCTCTTGATGCATTTTTCTTGAGCGTACCATCTCGTTGACACAGGGACCGCTAACTCGCCTGCCCTTCTGGCTTTTTGTAGCTGGCGCCGGTAACGCCGAACTTGATCGAGCAGCAGGTGTCTAGCGCGCACAAACTTGACGATCTTGATGGCCTTCTTCAGCACGTCTCCAAACAACTTGATCTTGAAGATATCTTTCAGGAGCAGGTTCATGGCGTGCGCCGAGCATCCGTTGAAGACCACGCTTGGGTGCTTAGCTTCAACCAGTCGGCCAGCCTTTTTCATGTTGGCTGCGTTGTTCGACACAATGGGGGAGACTTTGCCAGCGCCGGCCACGCCTTCTACCTCAGCAATGACTCGCAGAAGCTCCGATGCCATGTAGTCCCCCGTGTGTGCTTCAGAACCCGTAGTACCCGATGACCACATCATTGGACGCATGGCGGGTGACCACAACACGTAGTTCACGATACTCTCGTGGTTTACGTTGAACCAGCCGTCAGTGATGATAACCAGAAACGTTTGCTTTGAAAGAAGCTCAGCCAGGTTGGCCTTCTCCAGTTCATAGGCTTTAACGAGCAGGGTGGTCGCTAGCGCCTGCCGGGTTGGGAGCTTCAACGCAGGAGTCAGACGCTTAAACAGCTTGCGCATGTACGCATTCTCGATCGCGCGGAACGGGATTCCAGCAGTGTAGAAGACCATCGCGATGTCCAGATGAATGCTTGATTCCTCCTCCTTGCTGAGTACGATTGGGGAATTTGTTGCTGGAGAGCCACTGTAGCTTGTGCGACGGCTCTTCGACGGCGAAAACATCCCAGGCCTTGCCTTACGCTTCTTCTGCGCGTCGTACGTTGCCCAGGTGGCCTTCGTTGTCGCTGGGGCTCTGGAGCAGAAGCGGATATGTGGATAGGGATGACGGCCGCGCTGGGCATTCATGATCAATGCACCGCAGTGACGGCACGACACATCGGGGTGGGGCTTCGTCGGCTTGTGTAGCCCGTAGGAAGTTGACTTGTGAAGCAAAGACTTGCGGGGATTTCGAGACGTGCTGCGCGTAGCGTACGAGTAAGGAGAAGATGGTGGATGTGGTCGAGCAACCTAAAGTCTACACTGTATGCCCTTGGCAGCATTCCCCTGCACTCGGTCAGACAGCGCGGGAAGCCTTAAGCACGGCCCCCATCGAGGTATTCGAAGCGCTTAAAAGTGGAGTGTGTGAAGGTCAACTTCAAGGGGATAAGTACCTCGATAATTACGAAAGTGACCGCACCATTTTTCATCTCGCAGAAAATATTTAACGTATTTAACGTTGAAAACATTGTTTGCAATCATAGCTATTAACTCATTTTTAGCAGCATAACAACTCTAGTCCAGTGCCATTGCTCTGCGGCTGATATGTCAGTGGACAACGGCAACTCCTTGAAGCGCACCAAACATCGGCCATGATGACTCTGGCAGTCAAACGGGTCAAGCTGAGCTGAGCTGACTCAATTGCCCTCGCCGACGGTCTCGTCGAGGTCTCGTCGCTCGAGGCGCCATGGACACGAGCGGCCCACGACTGAAGTCACGCCGGGCACGTCTGTACAGTAGATGTATGTCAGGTTTGCCCGCGTTGGACCGAGAAGCAGCTCCGAGCTGCGAACCGCAGCAGTGCGGCGGCAGCACGCACGCCGCAAGGTTCCTCGTCTCCGCGAAACTCGAAGGGACCGGCCAGCCTCGAGGCCACGGTTCGTCCGCACTGTGGTCCCTGCGGACCGCAGGGACCGCAAAGCGGAGACCGCTGGATATCCAAGTTGAAGTGGACGGGGATGTGCCCCAAGCGGGCGCGCAATCAGCAAATTATATCAGTCTGTTTAACAGGTCTTGGATAACAGAGGTACTATCGATCACGTACGTGAAGAATCATGCTTCAAGGCAGGATATGCAATGTAGCAGGAGTCGTAAGCTCGACGAATGTTGTCGCCCAGGGAAGGCGCCAGCTGGTTGTCATTGTCGTCATGGCGGTCAGCGCGTTTGCACTTCGGTTGCCGGCGATTTAGTTTAACAGCCTCTTGGTGCTGCAGCCTACAGGCAGCCGACATGGCAACCCTCGCCGACGGCAAGCTTCTTTGCTGCTGCTGCGGCTGCGGCTGCACGGCTCGTGGCGTGCCACTGCTGTCGCGCCGCGAACCGAACGTTGGCCCGGCCACGCGGGGGTCTTCAACACCATCAACCCAGGCGTCCGGGCCGCAGCCTGTGACTGGTCCTCCCACTCTCGCTCGCTCTGCTCCAAGTCTCCAGTCCGCGGGTGACAAGCATGCTTCGGCGCGCGGTTGAACGGCTGGCCGGCCATAAAGTTTCCGCCGGCATTGCTCACCTGTGCTTGACCTACGGCAAACTGGAAATTCGCCACCGCCACGGCTGCAATTATGGCTTCCTTTTCTTGCCGTAAGCTGGGTGCTCCTGTCTTCCTGTCTTCATGTCGCCGCGCCTCCGAGCGGCATGAGCGCCCCGCGAGGCTTTGCGCCGCGGCCAGGGTATCCGGCGGATCGGAGACCGAAACGCCCGGCCACGCACGCGGGGCGTCGCTGATTGGCGCAAAAGCGACTTGGGGTTTCTGCGGAAGTTGCACCCCATACAAACTTCAAGAGAGCGGCCTGGTCGAGGTTTCAGTATGGGCCGCCCAGACTCTCGTCGACCGACGCCCAGTGCGGAATTTGCGACAGCGAACGCAGAAGCCCCCCCCCTGGAGAGAGAGAACGCCCTCCCCCCGCTAGCCCCCACACAGAGCACCATGACCACCAACTACACGGTACGACGGCTGCGGCCGCACGAGGCGCACCCTGCCGACGCCGCTAATTAACGCGTTGTCGTGTCCACAGACGTGGAAGATCGATGAGGAGGTGAAGATCCGCGTGACGGAGTCGGGCGCCGGCGCGCGCCCCGCCATCACGGCCCCGCAGGCCTTCCAGAACACGCTGGCCAAGTACGGCTCGGCCAACGCGCTGCACTTCAAGAAGGACGGCGAGTGGTACGTTGTTAGTCATGCGGGGAGTGGGGGAGTCCGCAGCTGTTTAACACTCTCTTGCCTTGGATCGCTTTCCTGCAGGACGTCGTACTCGTTCCAGACGTACTACGACAAGTGCTGCCAGTTCGCCAAGTCGCTGCTGCACGTCGGCCTCGAGCGCTACCAGGGCGTGAGCATCATCGGCTTCAACTCGCCCGAGTGGGCCATCGCCGACGTCGGCGCCATCTTTGCCGGCGGTGTGGCTGCGGGTATTTACACGACCAACAACCCCAAGGCCTGCGAGTTCATCGCCAAGCACTCGGACTCCGGCGTCGTCGTCTGCGACGGCATGAAGCAGCTGGAGAAGTTCCTGGCCATCGAGAAGAACCTCCCCAAGCTCAAGGCCCTCGTGGTCTGGAACGACGTCGTCCCGGAGGGCATCCAGAGCAACGTGCCCGTGTACTCGTTCGAGGACTTCATGGAGCTCGGCAAGGACGTCAAGGACGAGACGCTCAAGGAGATCATGGACTCGCAGAAGCCGGGCAACTGCTGCACGCTTATCTACACGTCCGGCACGACCGGCGACCCGAAGGCCGTCATGATCTCGCACGACAACGTGGTGTGGACGATCATGAGCGTGATTGGCATGATCAAGCGCAACTTCAACCACCAGATGCACAACGGCGACCGCCTTGTTAGCTACCTGCCGATGTCGCACGTTGCCGCTCAGCTGATTGACATATGGCTGCCCATTTGCGGCGGTCTGCAGATCTACTTCGCCCAGCCGGACGCCCTCAAGGGTTCTCTGGGTGTGACGCTCAAGGAGACGCGCCCCACGTTCTTCTTCGGTGTGCCCCGCGTGTGGGAGAAGATCGCCGAGAAGATGTGGTCGATCTCGGCCCAGACCACGGGCATCAAGAAGCGCATTGCGACCTGGGCGAAGGACAAGGCCGCGCAGAAGACGGAGCTGGCGCAGTACGGCAACTCCGGTGGTGCCCCGTGCGGTTTCGGTGTCGCCAACGCGGTTGTGCTCATGCGTGTGAAGGAGGCGCTTGGCCTGGACCAGTGCATTGCCAGCTTCAGCGGCGCTGCCCCCATCAGTCGCGAGGTTGTGGAGTACTTCGGCTCTCTGGACCTACCCGTGTACGAGTTCTTCGGTCAGAGTGAGGCGTGCGGCCCGCAGACGTGCAGCATGCAGGGCAACTGGAAGATCAGCACGTGCGGCCGTACGATTGACGGCTCGGAGACCAAGGTGGTGCCCGGCACGGAGGAGCTTATCTTCGGTGGCCGTAACATTATGATGGGCTACTTGAAGGGCGAGCAGCAGACCAAGGATACGATTGACGAGGACGGCTGGCTGCACTCGGGTGACTGCGGTAAGATCGACGAGGACGGTTTCATGACGATCACGGGCCGTATCAAGGAGCTGATTATCACTGCCGGTGGCGAGAACGTGCCGCCTGTCATCATTGAGGACACCATCAAGGAGGAGCTGCCCCTGCTGTCGAACGTCGTGGTTATTGGCGACCGCCGCAAGTTCCTGACGGCGCTGTTCACGCTGCGCGTGAAGGTTGACAAGGAGGGCCACCCCACGGACGCCCTCGACGAGAAGGCGCTCAGCGTTCTGAAGGAGATCGGCAGCTCGGCCACGACGGTTGCGGAGGCCCGCGCTGATGAGAAGGTGAAGGCGTACCTGGACGGCGGTCTGAAGCGTGCCAACGGCCGCGCTACGTCGCGTGCGCAGAACATTGGCAAGTACACTGTGCTGGACCACGACTTCTCCATCAACGGCAACGAGCTGACCCCTACGCTCAAGCTGAAGCGCAAGGTTGTGTACGAGAAGTACGAGTCGGTGATCGAGGGCATGTACGCGTAAATGCTGTCCCCATCTATGCCATAGAGTATGGCCACTTCCCGAGTTGATACGTGAGCGAGCAAGAGCGTGTCCGTGTCTTCCAGGACATTGCGTTGCGCCAGTACCATCGCGCGTTTAAGAATCTACGCGAGGATTGTCGAGACCACCGACGATGTACACGCGTGCGCGCGTGCGGGTCGTGTTGCGGCACCCTGCGACGGTTGTGCCGCGTCTTAGCTGCATGTGGACTTCATTTTTCTAGGTAGCTCGCTTGTGCTCGCGACTAAGTAAAGGGAGTATAAGCAAAACTTCGTGCACGTCTTGTTACGGTACGCCAATGCAGCAGCAGCCAGCGGGGTGATGCCTCCCCTCGGGAGAAGGAGCCTATGCGCGCTTGCTCTTCTGACGCAGCCTGAGCTGCTGCTCCTGCAGTTCGTTGTTCCTCTGGATGGCCTCGTAAATGGCAACCAGCACGATTACCACCGCCATCATCAGCACGTGCGAAACATTGAACTTGAATGACGACGCCTTGCCTGCAGGTGGCAGATAACAAAGCCCGTCAGCTTCTAAACCCTCTAGCATATCAATAGCTTCTTCTGTCGTACCCAGCACTTGCTCCAGAGCGTAGCGCAGCTTGTCGGCGTCTACAGAGCGGGGAAGCAGCACAACAAACAGTCAGCAATTGGATAGTACATGTAAGCTTGGCAGAGTCTGCTGCTGTAAGCTCACAAGGCTTGAGCGACTGCACAGCGGGGATCGTCATGTAGCCCTTGAGGTCTGCGGATTCGACACGACGTTAGATAGAGAGAAGCACGATAAGCACGAGATACGCGGCCGACGCACTCATGGTGAGGAAGCGGAAGACGTTCTGGAAGTTGAAGAGCGTCAGCCCCGACACCAGCAGCAGCACAGGCGGCAGCAGCAGCAGCTGGAGAGCGCTCAGGTTCAGGATCATCTTGGCTTCTTCGGTCGATTTTCAAGTAAAAAAAAAAGCGAGGTAGTCCTCGACGGAGTGACCATTCACCCCACCATAATGACATTGATTGCCAGAGTGATTGTCACTTCAACTTCCGCATTCCTTCGGCGACCAGCGTCCTCGTCCGCGATGCAGCCGCCGAATCGCTCCCTGCAGACGCTCCCAGCCGACTTGCAGCTTGTCAGCTCGCTCCTCAACTATAATATCTCGCGGCTCATGCTGAACGTGGAGCAGCTGAACGCCAAGCTCCCGCGTATCGCTCGAGGCTTGCAGTTCCTGCGCGAGGACACGACCAACCACCCAGATGACGACGAGCGACGCCGACGCAACTGCCGGGCGAGCGAGCTGCTTCACGCCCAGATCACCGAGACGGAGGCGGGGATCGCCCAAGCACACGAAGATTGCTGCCGATTAGAGGCCCTGGTTGATGTCTACCAAGTGTTGGTGACGCACACTTAAGACCTAGCACAGTGACCACGTGCCTCCGCCCGATAATGTTGAGGCATAGGTGTTTAATTTAACGAGCCGAAGACGGATCCACCGTCCTCTTTGGCGTCACAAGTCACCGTTGGCCCATTCAAATACCTGGTCTGTTTTGTTGCGTGCTGCAGTCGAATGGTGAAGCAATGGCTACATCCGTTTTGTGGGCCGGTAGTCTCTCAGACCCAGGTTTGACTTGCTGTTTACACGCTTGTTTCTCGACTTTTGCATCTGCGTCCTCAGCTTATCACCTCCACCTTTGCAGACTCGAAGGCAAAAGACGCCCTTGACACAGCTCAAGATATATAAGTACGATTCCAGCCTCCTCATCTCTTTCATCCGATAACATCACCTCAACTTCTGCCCAGTCCATCCATGTGATGCTCCAACGACGCGCGATACACCTCCATCGGCAGCCACGGCAAGGGCTCTCTTCCGTCTCGGCATGGAGCTCATCTGAATCAATGCAGCATCAATCTAGAATCTGTAAGTCTCCAGCTGGGATCTGGATCAGCATCTAGCATCTGTATCTTTCCAGCTCGAGCTGTGGTCCACCCCGTGTCCCATACAAACGCCCATACAAAATCGCGCGCGAAACCCACCGCGGAGCTCCAAATAGCAAATTACCGTCAAGAGGCAGAGCTCAGCTTAGCGGAGATCGTCGCGCCCTCTCCTCCCCAGGCCCATGCAGACCCCGCAGCGCGACCGCGGCACGGGCGGCGGAGGCGACGGCTTCGGCGGTGGCGACGGCGGGCCGCTGCACCTGACGCCCGCGCCCTCGCGCGACAACTCGACGCTGCTGCGCGAGCAGGAGGCGGAGCGCGAGCGGCTGCGCATGGACAATTTCAACCAGGCGCTGCGCATCAACTTCCTGGAGGAGCGGCTGCTGCGCATGAAGCAGGGCACGGACTTCTGCAGCGAGGACCTGGAGAGCGAGCTGGCGCAGCTGCGCATCACGCTGGAGGAGCGCGACCACGAGCTGCGCCAGCGCAACTTCAGCATGATCCGCGCCACGGAGGCCATCGACATGCTCAACGCGCAGCTGCACGAGGCGCAGGCGGTGGCCGCGCGCGCGCGTGAGGAGGCTCAGCGAGAGGCGGAGGCGCAGCTGCACCAGCACCTCGAGGAGCGCGGCGGCGTGGACGCCGAGACGGCCGAGCGCTGGCGCCTCGAGCTCGAGGCAGCGGTCAGCAGCGAGCAGCAGAGCCAGCAGAGGCTGCAGGAGCTGGAGCAGGAGCTGCAAAAGCAGCGCGAGGCTGTGACCACGCTCACCACGCAACTGCAGGACGTGCAGGACGCCCGCGCCAGAGACCAGCGAGACGTGGAGCTCCGCAGCCAGAGAGAGCAGCAGAACATGCAGCAGGTCGAGATGGCCAACGTCAAGGCGCTGGCCGAGGCTGAGCACTGGAAGGCGCTCAGCAAGCAGCGCGAGGAGCAGCTCACGGCGCTGCAGCTGCAGACGGAGACCATGAGGCAGGAGAAGCAGGCGCAGGACGCGCGCTTTCAGGCTAAGCTCAAGCGGATGGAGGAGCAGGTCCAGCACCAGATGGAGCAGCTGCAGCGCGAGAGCGAGAACTACCGCGCGGAGCACACGCGGCTCCTGACGGACCGAGAGAAGACGCACTTTGACAAGGAGCGTCTTGCCATGGAGAACGAGAGCATCAAGCAGGAGCGCGCCAGACTTCAGGCCGAGATGGAGCGCATGACCAAGGAGAGGCAGCAGCTGGCTGGTGAGACGGAGAGACTGCGACTGCAGAACGTGAAGCTGACAGCCGCTTGCGAAGAGCAGAACAAGTCTCTGGAAAGCTACCGGGCGGATCGCGAGGCTGCTATGGATACGATCCACCAGCTCGAGTCGGAGCTGCACCAACGTCGGAAGCTGGAAAATGAGCACGAATTGACGCTGAAGACGGTGGAGAGTCGGTTGGAGCTCGCGGAGGCTGAGGCTCGTAGGATGAAGGAGCAGTGCGACTTGGCTGAGTCCCGTTGCCAGCAAACATCCAATGAACGGTTGCTGGCGCTGGAGAAAGACCGACAGGCTATGGAGGAGGACAACCGGCGTCTTCGTGCTGAGCTATCGGACTTCCAGTTGGATCTGGAAGCTATGGAGCGGAAATTCCAGGCGAGCGAGGAGAAGTTTTCGAATGAGGCGGCGAATGCACAGGAGCAGCGCCAGCACCTTTCGGCGTACGAGGAGGAACTGGAGAGGCAGTCTGCTCAAGTGCAGGAGTACCAGAACCAACTTGCGAGCTACGAAGATGAGCTAGGTCGCCGGGCAGCACGTCTGCAAGATCTCGAACGCCAGCTGGCAGAAGCGGTCTCGACTAGTTCCTCGACGAGTACCGCAGCACGGCAGCAGCAAATGGAGTGGCAGAATCAGTTTGCTATGGAAAAGAGTGCGCTGTTACGACAGCTGGACGAGGAGCGTCAGCGGGTGAAAGAGGTGGAGCGAACGGCATCTTCCCTACAATTGGAGAGTACTTCGGCCCAGAGAGAGCTCGAAGCTGTGGAAACGGAGCTTCGATCGCTTTTGCTGAGTCGCAACCGTGCTTTTAGCGACGGCCGAAACCAGACGGTGGTGAATCTCGCTAGGGAGGCTATCTCCAATTTGAAGAATGAGTTTAAGGAGGAGGCGGCTGCGATGCAGACGCGCTGGAAGCAGGAGACGTCCCTGATGGCCTCCAAACTTGATCGGCTGTCCACTCAATTGCGCTCCAGCCAAAGCAAACTGGAAGTCCTGCAACGCTCGTCTCTGCACACGAAGGACTCAAAGCAGTCATTGGAGAAGACGTGGTCTGTTCGATATGAGGAGCTACGTCTGGAAAAAGAGATTGAGCGGCGGACACTTGAAGAGGAGATCAGTTACTTCCAATCCAAGGCAGCAGACGCAGAGGCGGCTCTTTCTCGAGCAACAAGCGAACTTCAGACGCTGAAGAGAGACCAAAAGAGTTCGCGCGAGACATCACAGCGTGACTACCAGGCACTTGAAGAAGAAGTCAATTACTTCCAAGCCAAGGCAACGGAGGCAGAGGAGGCTCTTTCTCGGACGAGAGGCGAGCTTCAGGCGTTGAAGAGGGATCGATCTGGTTCTCGTCAAGCACCACAGCGTGACTTCCAGGCTCTTGAAGAGGAAGTTAACTTCTTCCAAGCCAAGGCAGCAGATGCAGAGGAGGCGCTCTCCCGAGTAACCAGTGAACTTCAGACTCTGAAGAGGGACCGGGAGGGCTCGCGTGAGGAATCCCAGCGAGAACTTCAGGCCCTTGAAGAGGAGATCAACTTCTTTCAAGCTAAGGCGACCGATGCAGAGGAGGCGCTATCTCGGGTGACTAGCGAGCTTCAGACTCTGAAGAGGGATCGGAAGGGTTCGCGTGAGGAATCGCAGCAAGACTACCACGGTCTTAAAGAGAGCAACCGCCTGCTGTTTGAAGAAGTGCAGGAGCGTCGACGATCCGCCGAGCATGCTCGCAAGCAGTACATGCAAGCAATCCGCGAGAACAAGGAGCTGTTAAAGGCCATTGAAATGTACAAGGACGCAATCGCTGGCCGCGACAAGGACATCGACAAGTACAAATCTGCGGTGATGAAGTACGCTCAGCAGCTGCAGCGACGTGTCGAGTTCGGCGAGGTGAAGCAAACGTTGCTGGAGCAGCTCGAGCAAACCCAGTACATGATTACCGAGACCTACAAGCGATGGGAGGACAGCCCAATCGTTCGGGGACCGATTGTTAATGCCGGTCGTAACGTGGAGAGTTACGAAGCGGCTATTCTGCAGCTGGATGAGTACATCGGGCGGATGCAGTTAGTGTCGAAGCGCTGGGGCGAGTTCATGGCCCAGTCTCAAGAACTGCAGCGGCGGTACGGCGATGCGTGGAAATCGACGTCTCGTGGATTTGATCGCAAGAAGGAGCAACCTCGCTGGGTGGACGATGTCGAGCGGAAGTGCTCTCGGCTTCTTGCTGAGGCTGTGCGCGTGTCCGAAGCAATGAGCGAGGTGGTGAGCAACATTGCCGGTGTGCTTCAGAAAGAGCGCGACGACAAGAAGCGCATCGAGAAGGAGCGTGCGATTGCAGTCGACAACAACGCCTCGGTGAAGCGGCGAGAGGACGCGCCATCAAAGTGGTCGCCTCTGGACGCCGAGTTCTTCGACGAACGCGATGGCACACCGCGGTCGCGAAGTGCCAGCCAGCCGCAGTTCGAGAGCCCAGTCAAGTCCCATGTCCAGAACGGTTTCGATGCGTCGCGCCGCAACTCGAAGACGTCAAGTTCAGCTCACCGAAATGTGAACGCCTTGTACCGCAGCTCGCTCTCCTCGCTTGGTCGCGTGGGCGTGAAGGTGCAAGACCTGGAGAAGGAGCTGCGGAATGCTCGCGACTAACCCAACTGTCGTCTAAATAGCCTGCTAGAGTCGTGCTGCTCCTTGGGGGCAGCAGTATATTATAGTGACGCTCGCGAGTGGTGCTCGACGAAGAAGATATGTACTCAGTAGTCAACCATATAAATCAACACGCGAACCCCAAAATGCGGCGTCATTTTCCCCACTTCAAGTTAGTATCTTTTGATTGGCAAGGAGTGATGGTCACTATGTTGAAGTGGACTCGCCACTCACTCACTCCCGGAAAGTCCGACAAGCCCCAGCACCAAGCACTACAGCATCGGCCATGGACGAGAACATGCAAGGCGCCACGCAGCCTCTTCCCAGGACTCTGGGCGAGCAGGCGGCCAGGTTTGCAGAGCTGCAGCACGAGAACTTCAACCTCAAGATGCGCGTGAGTTACCTGGAGGACAAGCTGCTGCAGTATCTCGGGAACGGCGCGACGACCCTGGCCAGTGAAGAGCTGGAGGCCGAGGTGATTCAGCTACGCAGAGCGCTGGATGAACGCGATCACCAACTAGCAGAGCAAAACGCGTCGATGGCTCGAGCCAACGAGGCGATTGACGCGTTGATGCAGCAGCTTCGCGAGTCGCAGGCGAGAATTCCACAACGAGGCGAGGTGGGACAGCCCGGTCTTGCGGTACAGAACGCTGTTCAAGCAGCTCAGCGCCGAGTGTACGAGCTGGAAGAGGAAGCGGAGAGGCTGAGTCTGGAGCTGCAGGAGGCTCACAGCGCCCATCAGAGAGATCTGGGCACCTCGGAGCAGTGGAGGCAGCGCTACCTGGAAACGTTGGAGTACCTCAAGAGGGAGGGCATCAAGGCCCTGCATGAAGTGAAGCACTTGAGAGCCTTGAACAACTCCAAGGACGAGATGCTGGCTAGGTCACGAGAGCTGCTGGCGGACGCTCGTCAGCAAAAGCGGCGGCAAGGCAGTGAATTCATCATCAGGCTCAGAAGGTTCAGTGAGGAGGCCAAGCAGTTGGGAGAGCAGGAAGAACGGCTGCATGCCAAGTACCAGGCAGACTACGCGAGACTGGAGAGCGACTGGATGAACGACCAGACTGGGCTTGTGCAGCAAAACGAGTTCTTCCGCGACGAGATCGCTTCTCTGCGAAGGTGAGAAGCCCTGAAGACCCGGTCGCGAAACAACCGACTAATCATTTAGTGCCCCAGTGAGATGAGCCTCAAAATGTTTTCCTTCGAAGCCAGCTATTGACGAGCGACGTCAGCACACCACTGCGCTACTACATTTCAAGTTAGCATCTAGCAAAATCGGCAGCTTGCCTACAGTAATCCCAACCCAACTAGGCGTCGTCCGCGTTGTGCTTCATTTCGCGCAGTTTCTCGTAGCTGAGGAACGAGATGACAGTGGACGGCAGCGCCTTCACTGCGTTCACGAACAGACCGCGGTACAGTGAGCGCAGGCCTCGCACACCACCTCCTTCCTCCTGTATCGACGACCGCACGCAATCCCACGCGCCCTCGTAGGTCGGGAATGCGAGCTCCGGGTGCCACTTCGCGCCCTGCAGCTGCACGCGTCGCCGAATGACGTCAAACGGGTACGAGATACACTGCGAACCGAGAGAGGCTGTGGTGGCGCACAGGATCTGGCCAGGGACACTCGGGTGGCCAAGCTGGTTGCTCGTGTCCTCCGTGTCATAGAGCACAAACACCGGCCGAAACGACTCGTACAGAGCGAAGTTGCAGCCGATGTACGTGAAGACACCCAGGCTCGCAGGCACAAATCCTCGGTAGAACCCACGCAAGCCTTCCTTGTCACGGATCGACCGCGCGCAGTCGAGGATGCCAGTCGACGGGCGGTTGGCGTTGTAGTACTGCTGCACAGTCAGTCGTCCGCGGACGACGTCGAGCGGGTAGAACAAAGAGTTAAGCGTGAGGCCGGCGAGACCACCCACCGCAAGATTGGCCATACTCGCAGACACGCGCGGGTTGGCCACACCAAAAGGCGACGAAGACTCGGGAAGCATACGCGCGAGCTGCTCTTGGTAGAAGTGGCACAAGACGAACTTTGTGGGCACCGACGGCACCACCCAGATGCAGTGCGCGAGATTTCCACTGAAAAGACTGCGCGGTCCGCTGAGTTTCACCATGTTCCAGAAGCCTCTCGTCAGGGACGTGTACGGGGCTGAACCGGTTAAGAGCTTCGTGGCAGTAGCCGCTGCAGACGCCGTCGGCTTGGGAGTGGAGAGCTGCATCAGCATCTTCAACCTCTCCAAAGGCGCACACACAGTACGAGCCAGAGCACCGGCGGAAATGGCAGCAGCGAACGACGTGACTTGCCCCATCAGTTGCTGTCTTCGGAGTGTCTCGCTGGTCTGGTTGAAAGCCGTGCTGCTTCGACTGCTATCCTCCATTTCCGGATGCAAGTACTCCCAGTCACCGCCCGTAGGGTTTTGCCGCAGGGCTGAGATCCACCCAGATTTCAGGTTTGCATCAAACGTGAGCCTCCGCTGGTCATTCTCCATGTCGACGCGATCACCAACATGCACCTGCAGCTTAGCTGCTCGCCAGATCGTTCGCAACGAGTCAATGTCGGCCTTGAGAGCTGTCAAAAAGGCGCGGAACTCCTGCTTGGCTGCTGCGACGTCTTCAGATTGAGGGTGGTCATCATCATGCTCGTCCCCGGATCGAGCGTCCTCCACTTCGAACGCTGCAATTCCCCGGACAAGGTCATCGTGAGTGACATACTGGTCGCCGAGCTGGTGCACAGGCAAGTCGAACAAGCGCTCGTAGAACGCCAAGCGTCCAGGCGTCATCTGAACTGGTGTCTCCACGTTATCCACAGCAGCCCCCGCAGCCTCGCTTGTGGAAATCCATTGCCTAATCGCACGAGGAAGATCATTCAACTTGATCATAGCCTGGTCCGTGTCATCCTGATCAAATCGAGTCGACGAGGGGGTCGGAATACGGGTGTTACCGCCGTCATATGAGTCTGTGACTGACTTCAGTACGCGAAACGCAGCCTCCGGAAGGAGTTGGTCGATGTTGGAGGCACCCAGCGCGATGTGAAAGTGCGCAAACTGCGAGAAGTTTACGAGGCCAGATGAATCGTTGAGTAGAAGCGACAAAGCGAGTTGCACCGCGCGGTCGTAGGCCTGCGGTGACGGCAGAGGCGCAGGATGAGCCGCTGGACGCTCCGATTCACTATCCATGTCTTCGTCTTCGTTGGCGCTATGCCTCACAAGCTGCATCTGCTGGGGATCTGTGAGCATCCGACGCAAGTCGCGCTCCGTAGCGAAGCTCTCGTTTGAGCCGGACACGACTGTGGTTCCCACCTTGCGGAATAGTTTGTGCAGTGCAGTCGATCCGCTGCGCGTGATCGTGAGGAAGCTCGCGCGATCCATGCACCAGATTTTGGCATCCTCGAGCGCCTTCACCGAGGCCCCGCGACGGCTGTTGTACAGCAACGCAGCCTCTCCGAAACTAGCACCACGGCCAATGACCCGATCTACAAAAGGTTTAGTTGCCTTGGGTTTGCGACGCGACACCTCACATCGACCGTTCTCCACCAGGTAGAAGTAGTCACCAGGGTCACCCTGTCGAAGAATAGTCGTTCCGGCCCGCACACTCAGAGGGAAACACTTGCGTACAGCGAGTGCCTTGGCACGATCATCCAACTCAGCGAAGAGCGGGTGGTCCTCCAGCGCCTCCAGCAAGAATCGTCGCTCCTCTAACGATTGCTGGCTACCCGGGTGCTGTGCCAAAATCTCACGGAACGTGCGCTTATCAAGTTGCCACAGTACGACAGCTTCGTCGTCATCGCCCGAGTTCGACGCGCTAGCTTGAATCGTGGCACGTCGAGGGGTGTCGTAGATCAGCGCCGATTCTCCAAACGCATTACCAGGTCCATTCGTAGCCACGTGAACGCGCTCGTTCTTACCAACCAGACTCGACGACGACTTGAACTCTGGCAGTGCAATGGTCTTGCGCTTCCGCAGCATCATGCGCCTATGCAGCTCCGGGTTCGGTGCATTGTCCGAGTCCGCAGCATGCAGCGCGGTCTGCGTCTTCAGTAGGTGGTCGTAGTCGACGAAGACATCGCAATCCCCCCGCTCGATGATGTAGAAGCAATCACCCGGCGCTCCTTGGTAGAACACCACCTCGCCCTTCGCTAGCACGCGTCGTCGGAACTGCGACGCTGTGGCCAACAGCTCCGGTTCACTCAGCGTGTGGAAAAGCTGGTGACGTCGCAGGCAGTGCACGATGGCAGCAGTCTCACTACCCGCGCGCGGGCCCCTCTCCTTAGCCTCCTGCACACGCGTCGCGTACTTCTCCGTTTCCTTCTCCAGCTCCTGGCGCAGCGAAATCTCGGGCAGGAAGCTCACTCCTTGCTGCAGCTTTAGAAAGTCTCCGCCGTCCCGCGCGCTGAAGTGCTTGGGCAAATAGGAGTTCGCCGACGGGTACGGCAGCAGCAGCCCCAAGTGCTGGTACATGCCGGCTACCAGCTGCGAGCAGAACATCTTGGTCGTCTTCACTTCGTCCCCCTCCACCACCGCGTTCTCGAACACGGAGCGCTCTCTGCTCCTCAGCTCCGCGCCCAGCGCTTGGTACCGCTCGTTCACCGCCTCGTGCTCCTGCAGCAGCGCCTTGCGCTCGAACGCCGGCATCTTGTCGCGGTGGGCCAACTCCGAGTCCAGCCGAGCCAGCTCCTTCTTGGTCGCCATAAGGGCCGCGAAGATCCGCTCGCGCGCGATGCGCGTGGGCACCGACACGCCGGCGTTGAAGAACCTGGCCGGGTTGTCCTCGTACGGCGCGTCGAGGCTGTCGAGCGCGAACTGCAGCGCCTTGTTCTGCAGCTCCGGCGAGCGCTCCACCTGCAGCTTGCGCACCGCGACCTCGTGGCCGCGACTGCGCAGCACGCGCGCCACGAGCGGCCGCAGCTTGACGCCCGTGAGCGCCGCCTCCAGCAGGAACAGCTCGTCCTCGGGGCTCGCGGCGTCGGGCGCCAGCGACGGCGCGCGCACCACGATGCCGTTGTGGTCCCACTGCGTCTGGCCGAAGAACTTGGCGCACACGCAGATGGCGCCGCCGTAGAGCCCCATGCTCGAGCACTTGCGGTCGAACAGCACCACGTCGCCCGTGTCCACGCGCAGGTCGCGCAGCAGCTGCCGCACGCGCTGCTCGTCGGCCGAGGGCGGCGCGGAGTCCGCTGCCGACGCCATTCGAGCCCTCGAGTTACTTCTTCACGATGGACTTTGTGGTTGTGCCTTGGCAGATGGGCGAGAAGAGGGGTTAGAAAAGGGGCGTAGGATGGAAGATGGCTACATCCTCTTGTTGTGGACGCTCGCAATGCCGGTGGTCGGTCGACCGACAACATTGCCGGCGGTGCTGCGGGTGTGTGTGTGCTTAGACTATGCGTACTGCGTCTTTGGGTGGCTGGGAGAACATGTTGAATAGAGCCCAGCTGCTGTGTGGTGGTTGCCTCAAAATGCAGCAGCAGCACACAGCAACGTTGGGCTCGCACGCTACGTTCTCGTTTCATCAAGCAAAGCGTGTGAAGACGAAAACTAGCCTTAGCACCTCCGCGCTCGGTTCTTGAACAGATTTGATGTTGAAGGTGGCCTTCTTCGACACATAACTGTGGACAACACGAGGACTTTTGACATGTGAAGCTGGATCGAGGGTGATTGACTGACCAATTTGAATTTGGCGCCAACGCCCGAGTACATTACGAAGATCACATGCGAGCACTTGCTGCGCGCTAGGGTACGCAATTCCTGTATTGTTACAGCACCGCAGCGTGGTATCCAAGCTTCTATCATGGCTTTCTGTGAGCTGCCACCTTCTGCCAGTGAATTGCTGGGAAGCGTTGGTGAAAAGTCGAGTTGGAAATTCCAACTTGGACTTCTCCAACTTTTAAAAAATGAGCTCAGGTTGAGTTCAAACTAGTCGAGCAACCTCTGCGCGTTCAAGATCAGGAACACGAGCTTCCCAGTCGCCATGACAAGCGAGTTTGTGGAAGTGGCAAGACCAGCTTCGCGCGAAAGTCCACCACCACGTTGTTGAACAAGTTCTTCGCTGAATGCGTGCGCGGAATAGGTCTTTCGTTTTACAAACCGTGTGACGCGCACCCGGTCCAATCCGCTGTCGAGCTCCTTCCTTCCTTATCGCATTTCTCAATCCGCCGCCTCGAGCTCCAGCGCCTTCCTTCCGCACAAGCACAAGCCACCATGATGAACGACGTCAAGCCCGCGACACTGCCGCCGTCGCCGTCGCACGAGACCCGCCACCACCAGAGCCACAGCGTGGATGGCATCAGCCCGCGCGCCAGCCACTCCACCGTGAGCTCCGTCGCCACGCTCGCCGCCGACCACGACAAGTCCGCCCACCACGCCCGCCGCCTCTCCACGGGTCAAATGGCTGACGAGGTCGTCCCCAAGGAGCGCATCGACGTCATCTACGACTACCTCCATGAGCGCATCTCGAGTCGCCCGCTCATCGGCGTCGTGTGCGGCTCCGGCCTCGGAGGACTCAGCAACTGCCTGTCCAACACGGAGACCATCAAGTACGAGGACATCCCGCAGTTCCCGCGCTCCACCGTCGAGGGCCACGCCGGAGAGCTCGTCTTCGGCGACCTGGAGGGCTTCCGCGTCGTGTGCATGCGCGGCCGCTTCCACTGCTACGAGGGCTACGCCATGCGCGAGACGGCGCTGCCCATTCGCGTCATGTACCTCCTCGGCATCAAGTACTTGCTGGTGACCAACGCCGCGGGCGGCCTGAACCCGGACTTCAACGTGGGCGACGTCATGATCCTGAACGACCACCTGAACGTGCCCGGGCTGTCGGGTCAGCACCCGCTCATCGGGCCAAACGATGCCCGCTTCGGCGCGCGGTTCACACCACTATCCGACTGCTACGACAAGAAGCTGCAGGATCTGGCCGTGAGTGTAGCGGAGAAGGTTGGCCTCGCGCCCAAACTGAAAAAGGGTGTGTACTGCTTCGTTTCCGGCCCCACCTACGAGACACCAACCGAGTGCCGCTTCCTTCGTCTGGTTGGGGGCGATGCCGTTGGCATGAGCACGGTGCCAGAGGTGATCGTGGCCGCGCACTGCGGCTTGAAGGTGCTGGGCTTGTCCCTGATCACTAACAAAGCGCTCTTCCCAGGAGAAGAGCGCGAGGCGGCTTCCCACGACGATGTTCTTGAGGCCGTTCAGGCCACGCAGCACGACATCGAGACGTACGTGCGGGACCTGATCGCGGCTGTAGGAAAGCAGCACCACTCCTAGGCGAGGCGTCTCTCTAAGTTATAAGTCTACCAGGTGAAATGAACCAGCAACGATATCGATTGCGTTGTTACGTGCAGGGCTCATACGAGCTCATGACTAGACTCTTGCGTGTGGGGATATTCAATGATGGCTACTTTTGCGGGTATATCACCTCCGCTTACTTTAATCCAGGCGTGCTGCATCGTCAGCATCGTCAGCATCGGCGCCGTCGTCATAGCCTTCGTCATAGTCGCTGGAGGCGTCACTGGACTCACTGTCGCCAGCAGGTCGACACGGCAGCACAGTGCAATTAGACCCCCTCCCCTCTTTGCTGAGAAACGATAACAACTTACCGGAGTCTATCGCGCCGAACAATGAGGCATTCGAGCTGCGCGCTTACTAGGAGCTCAAGTTTCTTGACTAGTATGGATGGTGACACGTTCTTCGCCTGGTCTTCCTTCCTACAACAGCGCAACGAATGAGTTTAAACGTCGTTTGCCGACGAGAAGGGAGCAGCTCCACAATTCGTACAGGCTGCTATTGGTGCCCTGCTTCTGGAAGTCCACTTGAGCTAGACCCAACATAGTATGTGACGGAGAAGCCGCCAAGGCCCGCTCTAGCTTCACAACCGGAGTAGCTGCACCGTGCACTTGCGACGCATATTCGTCGGTCTGAAGAACCTCCAAGCCTTCCTCGCAGTCCGATGCAACGTCGAGCTCTTCGTTCTGGATGTCGCGAAGCTTGTTGCTTAGGTGCGTAAAGTCTTCTTTCAGACTCGACAACTCAAGGCGGAGTTGATAGTTCTCTTCGTCGATGCTTTGGCGGTCCTTCTCCAGAACTTGGAATTGCCGATCCGCCGACTGCTGGCAACACGTGATTGCATGCTTCAGCTTCTGGTTGTCCGCCTGCATGGTCTTGACCTGGGCTTGCATGACCGTCAGCATCTCCTCACGCACGCTTTCCACTGCCTTCAAGTGATTGATCTCTTTGTCAGCTTTGGCTTTCGCCATCTCCATTTCGCGAAAACCCTTTTGTTCACTCTCCATCTTCACGAGCATATCACGATTGGCCTCCTTCAAGACTTGTAGCTCGGAGCTGAGCACCTCCGCGGTCTCTTTCAACCACACCCGCTCCTCCTCCAGCTCGCACACGAGTCGGGAGCTCTGCTGCCGCGCTTGAACTGCACTCTGAAGCTCGGCCCGCAGCTGCCGCACGATCTCAGCGTCGACTTCATCATCATCGCCGTCCTCGCGAAGGACGTGACGAAGCATTTGGTCCGCTTCTGCGTCGCGCTGCGCCTGCTCTGCTCGGGCCGCCACCTGCTGCAACGCCTGAACCTGCTGCATTAGCATGGTGATTGTCTGTGTAGCTTGGTCCATGTCGTCGTCCTGTTCTTGGAGTAGTCGATCCCGATCCGCCAGCTCGCTGCGCAGCCGAGCGAGTTGATTATCGTGCTCCTCGTCAGACGATTTGTTCGGTTGCAGCACTTGTGCTTCCAGCTCATCGATGCGCTGCTGTTGCTCCTGCGTCTGCCGTTGCAGTCGTTGGATCTCTGCATCCTGCACTTGGAGCTGCTCGGCGTTAGCGAGGAAGCGCCTGTGCAACGACGACATGCCGCTGCTGTCGTCCTCAGGTTTGCTGCTGCGTTCTTGGTTTGCTGCCTTCATGACGACGAGCTGGTTGTGCTGCTGAGTGCGGAATGCGGAGTGCGGAATCCGACTTCAAGTTGAAGTGACAATCACTCTGACTTTGGTTGAAGTTGGCCCGCCACTCCCAAATGTCACTATTTGTGTCACTCAGACGAGGAAAATTCACAAACTCAAAAATGGCGGCGCGAGTATGGCGGCGCTGCTGTTTGACTCCACGGCGGCGGTTCTACTTGGCACCAGCGCTTGAATCATCCCGGCATGCCGTGCCGCTGCAGAGGTTTCTTTCAAGCTACGCCGACACTGCACCCCCCGTGTCCAGCACCAGCCGGGAGAAGGGCCTCGCGTTCGAGGAGCAGGTCGTGACGCTCATGCGGTCGCTCAACTGCGAATTGCTGGCCACGCAGCAGTCACAGGACGGAGGCATCGACCACCAGGTTCGCAGTACAGCTGTGTCGGGGCAATTTGACGCTAGTGGCGTGGTGGCTGAGCGTTCTTCTCTGCATTTTCTTCTGCTGCTGTAGGGCTCGTGGACGCTGCCGGACCTGGAGGTGGAGGTCGTGACGCAGTGCAAGAACGAGAGCAAGCCGGTGGGCGTCCACTACGTGCGCGAGTTTCACGGCGTGCTGAGCTTCTTCCCGCCCACCACTGTGGGGCTTTTCGCCTCGGCGTCGGGCTACAGCATCTACGCGCAGCGGTTCTTCCTGCGCATGACCCACCCAGCCATCCTGTGCACTGTGGACACAGACTCGGGCCGCATGACGTCCTTCCTGCTCAACGACCGCGCGCAAACGCTGCTGCCTAAGCTCACCGTCGGCTCGCTCTTCGTAAACCAGGAGCACGCGCTCGTGCTCACCTATGGCGACCGGGTGCTTGGCTGAGCTCTATACGCCCAGTCCACTGAATTCTTTTCACGTCCAGTCAATAGAGCCGCCCCCCACCGAGAACTCGAGCGCGTAATCGATCCCCTTGTTGCATTGCTCCACGACGCAGCGGCGGAGCTGCGTCATGTCGCCGAATCTGGTGAGCTCGTCGATCCTTAATCCCGACCGACACGGTACGGCGTCCGGTGGGCGGAACTACATCGCGCTCCTACTGGCCAAAACTCCTCTCTAAATTCCGCCATTGGCCAATACCCAATGTTACTCACGCACACAGCAGCGGCCTCACTTCACATCCCCAACGGCCATCGCCGGCGCCGATCGCTCTCGCTCCGATCCTCGTCACCCGCGGCTGGCCGCCCACTGCCCCGAGCCTCCTCATTCCCATGGCGGCGTCGCTGGACCTCGCTAGTCTGCAGTCCATGGCGCAGACGCTCCGCAGCAGCTTCCTGAGCCAGGCGCTGGTGCTGCTGCTGCTCGTGCTGGTGCTGCGCTACGTGGCCGCGTCCTGGCGCGCCGGCTTGGCGCCGTACGAGGTGCAGATGTGCCCGCCCATCAACCCGCACGTGCACTACCGCTACGGCGTCTCGCAGATGCAGGGGAGGCGGCCGTACATGGAGGACCGCCACACGGCCATGGCGGAACTCAACGGCGACCCGAAGCAGAGCTTCTACGGCATCTTCGACGGCCACGGAGGCGACGGCGCTGCAAAGTACGGACTGCAATAGCACCACTATTGGGTATAGATCTTGTTGCTGATGGCTATTGTGTTGCAGTTATTGTGTGCAGGCCATGTGCCAGAATGTGATCAGGGAGCCGACGATCAACAAGGAGCCGGTGGAAGCGCTCAAGAACGGATTCCTGCGCACCGACCAAGAGGTTAGCTGCAATATTGTTTTAACCTTTTTGGTAATGGTTGGGATGATAGGACTGACGTGCTGGTGTGGTTGTTGGCTCAATAGTACTTGCAGATCGCGAACCACAAGAACTCCGAGGATGGAACGACGGCCGTTGTAGTGCTGACGCAGGGCGACGAGATCTTTGTGGCACATACAGGCGACTCTCGCGCTGTACTGGTGCATCGCAGTGGCAAGGTGTCGGTGCTGACGTCGGACCACAAGCCGAACCGGCCGGACGAACGTCGCCGGATCCAAGAGCTCGGAGGATCCGTGGTGTTCTGGGGCGTATGGCGCGTTGAGGGCATTCTTGCAGTCTCGCGCGCTATCGGCGACCGCATGCTCAAGCCTTTCGTTGTGGCCGAGCCCGAGGTGAAGAAGTTTACGCGCACGGAAACGGATCGCTACGTGGTCCTAGCAAGTGATGGAGTGTGGGACACGGTTTCCAACGATGACGCAGCACAGCTGGTGCTCAAGTACGAAGACCCGCAGACTGCAGCACAGCGTATCATGGAGGAGGCCTACGCGCGCGGAAGCATGGACAACATTTGTGTCATGGTCATTGACTTGAGAGCGTAAGTGCAGCGTTTGTTGTGTCTGTGTCTGTGTTTCTGGAACGAGGCCTTAGATGTTTGTGTGGATGGGTGACATGTGAATACAGGGAAAAGAACGAGTGCTCAGCAAAAGACGCATAATTTGCCTTCATAGCGACCTTGGTGATAGAACAAGAAGATAGCAAGTTGTGGATAATGACGATGCCAACGATCACGGGCGAATCGCCAGGTGCTAATGCCCGCTGGCTATCTGCCGGTAACACGTCGCGCCCCGGTTTGCCTCAAACTAAAAGTGACGAAAGTGATGACCAGATTCGTGAACAGGCAGCTCCTCATTCAAGCCAAGTCCCAAGAAGAAATGCCTGTAGATTAGTCCTCATATTTCGAGCACCAGCGGTGGTGCAGTAACCTTTGTGGCTGCCTAACAGATACGGTTCCTCACTTGAACGTCGGAGGCGAGGGTTTGCACAGCTCCTTGCGGAACTGGGGCTTCACCACGGGATCCATGTTCGCCGAGCTGTCCGTAACGTAGCGCACCTTCACGAGCGCTTCACCTTCATTCGTCCAGCGCTCGCGATGTTTCTGAAGCTCCTCACCGCGCATCGTTCGTCCCTTTAGCTCCCGTGGGGCTGCAAACTCCGTCGGCTGACTCGAGTTGTTGTACGCTGACTGCGAGATCGACTGCCACGTCGACGAGCCTCTCGTCTTGTCAGCGCCAACGAGTTCATGGTAGTTGAACTTGGACGTCTCGTTTGGATTGTGAAGCCCCGCACCAAATTCCGGCACTTTGATGCGCGCACCCTGCTGCATCTGAACGCGCGTGTTGCTGCTGTAGCTGACACCGCCATCCCGTACGTCCTTCACGGCGCCAGGGCGATACGCCTCCTCCACAAAGTTGCCCACGAGGGTCTTGCACTCGTACGACCGCTTGCCTCCGCGTAGGATGTTTGAGCCACCGCCTCCCAACATCCTGCTGCTATATATTATCAAATGAGAACGAAATGCCGCTGGCCTTCCTTCTGATAGCAATCTCCTGCAATCTCCTGCCATATATATCCACGTTCTGATCAACGCCATGAAAGTCAAAAATGGTGTGCCTGTAGGAATGCAAGAGCTCGTAGTCACCAGAATACAGTTCATCGAATTGAGAAGCAATGCGTCAGCGTTGAGACCAGCAGGTCTGAATCCTCATCGCTTGATTAGTTACATGAGCAACGAGCAGCTTTGGCACCTTGGTCGACGGAAGAAAGCAGTCCTGAGGGTATCCACTGTGTTCACGTTGACCAGGGCTGACGGCAAAGGCATTCTTAGCTAGTAGTATTTCACCATGGGCCTCGAGCCTTGCGCCGTTCCATCAATTGACGAGTCGACATCCGTCCAAAGCGCACAACCACCGGACGCGGCGCCTCTCGTAACCGATAGAGCACGCGCGAGAGTCCGAGGCCGCTCACCTCCTGTCCGTTCACAGCGAGAATGACCACGCCACTCTGAATCTCTGGATACCGCTTCGCCTCGGATCCTTCAAAGCACTCCTTGACGATCGCAAACTGCTTGGTCTCGTCCGCGCCGAGCTTCATACCAATAGCCTGCTGCTTGAATACAATATCGAATACGTTCTCCATCCCGTCCAGCGCGTTCTGCGGGCGAGGAATCGGCGGCGACGGGACCGTAGGTACCTGCTGCACGGGGCTTGACGGCGCAGGGATCCGCTGGGGTCCAGCGCTGTACTTATTGGTCAGTGATGACCGCGTCGGGTACGCCGGCACGTCCTCCACGCTGCTGTCGGATCCCGAGTCCGAGAAGCCGCTGGGGTCATGCTCCGGCGGATACACGGGCGACGACGGCACGGTCGCTCGCCTCGGTGCAGTGTAGTTGTTGTCTCTGGATGACTGTACATACATACTGCTAGGCGTGGGTCCGCGCGCTCCATGAGTACGCGCCGGAGGCGCAGTATACCGTCCATTCACTGGTGTAGCTGCCGGCTGCGGTTGGGAGCGGTGGTCCTGGTCGTAGTTGCCCATGACGTACGTGTGCAGCAGCGAGAGGAAGGCGTCCTGGTCCTGCTTCTGCTTGCGCTGCGCCGCCGACACGGGCGTGCGCTTGCCGATGAGCGTGAAGGCGTAGAGCTGCTGGAAGAAGAGGCCGTTGGACGAGTCGATCTTGTCGGACGAGAGCTGCAGCCCGCCCGGGTACGAGCGCAGCCACGGGAACATGGCGCTGCTGTAGGACGTGTCGGGCGTCTGCAGCAGCGTGCGCGCGTCCACGACGTCCATGGCGGAGATGCTGCTGCCGATGGACGCCTCCAGGTCGACCACCTGGCGACTCGTGCGGTTGAAGAGCACCTCCAGCTCGTCCTCGGGCGGCGAGTGCTTCTGGCCCGAGCGCTGGATGGTCTTGGCCTGCATCAGCAGCCACTTGGCGGGCTGCCGCGGGTCGCACGGGATGTCGTACGTCTGCGTGCGCACGAACAGTCTGCCGTGCAGTAGGTTGGTAGGGAGAGAGAGATTGATTAGTTGGTGATGGAACTAGAGGCGCTTCCCCCTCGCATGCTATGGAGTGGGGGGTACGCGCGGGTGCGCGGGCGTCTAGTGGACGTACCTGACGGTCAAGCTCTCGCCCATGGTGTCCCTGTGCTGCTTCAATCGGCGCTGCTGCGGCTCGGATGGCAAGTGAGAGAAGAGCGAAGCGGATATGAAAGTAAAAAAAAAGTGATTTTAGGAATGACTGCGGGTTTGTATGCCCGGGCGAAGAGAAAATCCAATTAGACATGCGTTTCCATAGGTCTGATTTGGTGCTGGCTGTATTGAGAGACCCGCGAAAGGTGAAATTTTAGGAATCCAATATGCTCCTGGAGAGGATTTGGTTGCGTGTGGCCGTTTTTCGGACGCTTGTGCCTCCGCAGCATTCTGCTAATGGAGTCGACCTACGTGAACTTCGAGGCAAAACGCCAATACTGGAGGCTGCCTTTCATTGCTATGGCGATGCGTTGCTCTACCCTTGTCCGTTTGCGCGGGAGAGATGGCTGTGAGTAACTTTGGTGAAAAGCGATCGTTATGGCTTTGCGAGTCCCTGGGACTGGAACAGCATTGTATGTTGCTGGCGTACTTGAGAGTGTGCCATCTATTTAGTCATGTGGGCTTGGCAAAGCAGGGAACCGGTCCCATCTACCTTGTGATTTCAGTTAGAGCGATGTCCAAGTAAAACGTCGATCGATTATTTGGACCTGTGGTTTTTCACGACAAAAATAAATCGGCTAGAATAAATCGTCGGAATGTCCGGTTTTTTTGAAAACCTATCTAATCGAATAATATGCAATCTATCAGTTGTTTCCCTTCCACTTCAAGATGCCGTCTAAGGTTTCCGCACTCGCTGCCTCTGAGGCAACAACGACAAGGCCGCCGCTGCAGGCCGCGATCATCAGTCGTAGTGGAGAAGTGCTCACGATCCTCGGCAGCCCAGGAAACTCGCCAATCGCTACATCAATCCAGCCGGCCTGGTCCAGCAGGATGGACGAGGAAACACCGACGGAAACTTCGACTTCGGACGATACCACTGCAAGTCCGCCCCACAAGAAGGCTCGGTGTAGCAGTGGTGAACAGAATGTCGGATCGTCAACCACTGCAAGGCAAGAACCAAGCTCGCCAAGCGCTGAAACCCGTACCAGTCGGTCCAAGAAGCCCGCCAGAGCCAAGAAGAAGGCAGCAACGAAGACTACCAAGCCGACCTTGACCTCCAAGCCCAAGAAGGGCAAAGGAAGCCGCGGTAAAACTGCTCCAGACACCAAAAGCATGCGTTGGACGGTGCCACTGACACGATTGTCGCTGGAAACTCGCTTCAAGAACCCCAGAATCTTGAAAAAATTCGCCAAGAAGACATCCGACACCAAGAAGATCCGTGTCACATGGGAAGACACCGTGAATGTTTTCCTAAAGCGCGCGCTGATTGAAGGAGCTTGGGGTGACGGTGAAGAGGGACGTGATGTCTCCGTCTCTCAGTTCAAGAACAAGCTGAATACTATCGGAAAGGCTTACAGAGCGAAGCGGACCCGCATGCTGGCCACTGGAAACCGTGCGATGGATACATTCAGCGGGGGTGAAAGTGACAGCGACGAAGGCTCACGCGGGGGACGATCGCATTCAGAACTGCCATCAAACTATTTGCTAGACAGTGATGAAGCTGTCGATGACGCTGGTCGTATCCGGCTCACGTGTGACCCGTTGAATGTCCGCCCCGAATATCGCAAAGAGCTCGGAAATGAGCTAGCTGCGTTATGGCCTCTGCTGTGTGACATCTTCTCCAGCAAGCCAGGCCTTACTGGAGAGACAATCATCGAATCCGGCCTCAATGCAAGTGACAGTGATGAACATGTAGATGACGCGTCCAGCGACTCGGAGGCCAACAGCGACGATGAAAGTTCGGACACCCCCAGTGAGGCTCGCGAAAGAGCGAAAGCCGCCGCAAAAGCCAAGAAACAGAAGCAGGCTCAGGCACAGCAGCAGCATGCGAGCGTGGAGTCCAAGCGACCAGTTGAATTACTGAACGACACGCTTCGTGATGGCTTCACCACGTTTGGACGCATATTTGAAAGCCGACGCTCGAGCCAAATCGACCCCAACATGGCCCTGCTCGTCGAAAACCTAACGTCGGCTATCAGTGCATCAAACGCGCAACAACAGGAATCATCCCAAGCCATTTGTCAGGGTATTGCTTCCCTCCAGCAAACGACCGTTGGCCTCGTCGCGGAGATGATGAAGCAATTGAAGGGGCCAAACGCAGCGTAACGACGTAGTCGTCGAGGTTTACGCCCCGCTTTTTATTCTTCGGTATCGTAGCGGTAGAAATAGCTCGCGTAGGAATCTCGCTTACGTTCCGCTAGCTCGACCTCAGCCTGAGTTCTATCCCAGTTTTGACTGTATGCGTTCATCACTACTTTTGCCTGTTCGCGCTCGTCATCGTTCCGTGTATAGTCAAATTCCTCTTTGTGACCGATATCCACCAGCAGATTGTGTAGAACAGCAGCGACACGTCAAAAATACACGCCACGTCTGGAAAATCTCCGCCACGTGCGGCAAAGCCATCGACCATGTCATCCCACTCTGCATCCACTGTAGGTGCCGGGAAGTAGATGATATCATTCATCATACCGTACAAAAGCTCCTCCAGGTTCTGAATGCATCGAAGCGCTGCTGTTCTTGACATCCCCAACTGGTTTGCAGCTCCTCCAATACCGTCCCCATATTGGCCACAGCCATTACCATAGTAGGTCAACAGCACAGCCAGCCCGTAGTCGAAGGTGTACTGCGTGTTTTTACCGGGGAGCCCGTATTTGCGGTAGCACAGAGGCTCCAGCAACGCCTGGAGCTTGTCAAAGGACTCAGGCGAACAACGAACCGTCCGGCGATACGCTTTCAAGGAGCGATTGGCCTTTAGACGCGGAAAGAAGTCAGAGCGAACGACGACGACTTCTCCTGGGGGGGCGTCGAATTGACCTTCCGTCTAGCTGACTCAGCACAACCACCACTGCGACCAGCAAAAGACACAGTAGCAGCAATTCTTCTTCGCTGACCTCTTCTTCACTCAAGTGGGGTGCAGTGCTAGCGAACCAGTGAGTCTGTAGTGCTGCTCAAAACGTTCACAGAGAGTCCATCATCAGATATGTTAAAACGACGCACACTCAACCTCATAAGGTCTTCTGCCAGTTTCGTGCCGTCCTTCGAACTTGCGGACTTGCTGTGGCATAACTTTTCATTGAATTGTCCATTCTGAAATCTGATTGCACCCGCTAAATCTGCGCGATTGGGCTGAATTTATGTACTTCACGCTGGTCCGTGTATATTTTGCAGAACTTCTTGTTATTGTTTTGAAAAGCTTGTTGATTTGGAGTGAGCTGCCAGTTTCCTGCCTCTTTTTGATAGCATTTTTGTATGCTATGCAAATCCTAGGAGGCTCATCACCGGAAATTGCATGTGACGCTGGAAAAATCTACCAATAGACTACGAGAGTTTAACAAGAAGAAGATGCTAATTGGCTAAAACAAGTAGGCACGGAACTGGTTGTAGGCACGCAACTGGCACCTTACCTTACGCACATTGGATGGCTTCTGGCACCGCTGCGCGCTCCTCCCCATCGTCAACAGGCACGTCATGGGCAGCTGTACTACCGGAGACGGTCATCGCAGCGTCACCATGCCCCACGTCGCTGCCTGGGGCGCTCCTCGCCATCGCGCTCTGGTTCGTCAAATGTGAGTGGATGTTTGAAATAAACTAGCTCCAGTATATATAAATTGGTGCCGCACCAATTACTTTTCACCGAGTTATAAACCGGCAAAAGTGTACCCACTTTCTCCTTCGTACAACATTCCGAAAATAATTCGGCTTGAATAAACAAGTGTTTTTTTTTTGTTTGGACATCGCTCTTAGCGAGGTTTGAGTGTCGACGCCAAGTTGATGGTGCCGCTAATGACATGCAACGAACAGCCAAGTCGTCCTCGCTGTGGGCAACGCACAAACTTGGCCTCTTTTAGCTTGATAATACACTTAGTTAACCTTCGTACGCTTTGCCATCGCTAGCACCTGCAACACGTAGATACCGTATTTCGCATGTAGAAAGCTGCACATGATGTTCACAACAGAAAACATACCTTTAAAAAACGATGTGCATCAAAATATGTATTGTAGAAGCAAGTTACACCACAGCTTCGTCAAGAATGACATTGCGGTCGAAGTCTTGAGTTTGGTCGACCGCCTTGGCCACTGGCCCTACTAGCGATAGGTTCTGCAGCTCTGCCACCAGCGACGCGGCGGCGAGGCACTCCTCGTTGAGGTGTAAGTCGCATTTCTTGTATCCATTCGCGATGGTGTCGGAGCTCAGGCTCTCCCAACTAGCGCGAATCCAATGGCACATCCCGGCGCGGCCTGGTGGAGTCAGCTTAAACTTGGCTTCCGCTTCGCGCGGCTGCACCAGTTGCCGCTGGATGTTCTCGAGCCAAGACCTGCGCAGCCAAGTCTTGAACGGATGATTCCATGCTACGTCTGCAGGCTGGCAAACAGACGTAGCATGGGGAGGCACCTTCAGCAGCACCACCCTAATAGATGCAGCGTAAGCCAGCACTTCAGCGGTCCAGTGGCCGCTGAAGTCATCCCAGAGGAGCAGCACGGGCTCTGCATGCGACGTGCGGTGACCAAAGTGAAAATGTAGGAACCTTAGCGAAAGATCACTGTTCCACCAGCCTAAAAAGAAAAACAATAATAATAAAAAGAAAATGAGATAAATCATTTTGAGCAAGTAAAAAAAAGAAGCGTACCTTTGCCGTTGGCGTAAATCTGCAAACCGGTTTCAGCTTTCAGCTTCCTGATCTCTGGCCACGTTCGCGTGCCAAAGCCACATCGTTTTTCGTTGTTCTCCTTGACAAGGGCTGGTTTTTTTCGATGGCTTCATCTTGAAGACTACGAAGGGGGTTGAATCCCCCAGTAGCATCACGGTCGCACGCTCCTTTGAAGAGCCGGCACATCTCACCCACACAGTTTTGGCGCCGCGAGCATGCACTGTTTTCTTGGTAGGCAGATACTAAAAAAATGCAGCTAGAGAACATAAGTTAAAATATACATTCGCAGTTAGAATAACTAAAAACAAACCTGTCTGATCTGCATTGTAGATTCGCGTAATACCCAGCTGCCGAGCCATTTTCTCGACTTCTGTTGCAAACTCCGCTTTAACCTTGGCAATGTCCTCGGGGCTGATTTGGCTTTGACGAGTTGGAACTCGCATGTTCATGCGATGGCGGTCTCGGAATCCTTGAATCCATTTGTCAGACGATCGGAAGTTCCTGATGCCCGCTTCAGCGCAACCCGCCGTGCTTGTAGGGCCAGCATGCGCGGCGATACTGGCACACCTTCCTTGCGCAAACTGTTCACCCAGAATATCACTTCTAGTTCTACCTCTGGTGGGAGGATCGTCCCAACACCTTAGCTCGCACCTTTAAACGTTTACCTTTGCTATTTTTCATAGCAGCCTCAAGCTTTGCCGATTCACGCTGCCAGCGCTGGATCATCGTGCGCTTCGAGTTATAGAACTCGGGGGCCAGATCGTGCCAGAAATGGGCGATTGTATGTTTCATCTTGGGCTTCGGCGCATTTGCCCAGAAGGACAACACCTCGAGTTTCTTTGCGACGCTGACACTCTTCTTGATGTGCTTGGTCTGGTAGCGGCCTTTGCCATTTAGGCGTGGCCTGCCGACTGGCCGTGGCTTGGTGCGCGCCATCGGCAAAAACAAAATGGCGCCAACCCCCGAGAGCGCGGGCTACGAAGTGCAATGAAGTGAGTGGTGAGCATTTGTATCAGTTTTGAAAGGGTTTTAGTACTGCATCTCTCTACATGCGATTTAGTGCCATGGCAAATGCCGCGCACTGATTGGTAGTTATCAAAGTGCATCTCATATGCCGGTGCAGCTTTCTACATGCGAAATACGGTACAAGGCGCCAAAATGTCGGCACTTCAACTTGTGGCATTTGAATTGACCAATACGAGCGAGCCATTCGACTTCACTCGAGCGAGAGCAAATGCTCAAGGCGAGCACGTTGGCGGGACCACCTACGCGAACAACGTGCCGGAACCACGGGTGCCAATTCATATCGAAGAATCTGATCACGATCCGACACATTTCATCACTGGTGCACGACAAGCACGAGCTGCCCAGCGGCTCAACCAGTCGCTCTCGAACGAAGGTGAATAGCGCTTGCTTGAACGAGTCCGTCGTCAACGGACTCGGCATCGGAAACGGCGGCGGTGGCACGGCGGCGCCTCCAGCTTCAGCTTGGGCACCAGCAGCTACGATCGCTCCGACGGATGCGTCAACCTTCTTCCAGCAGATGATGATCGGAGCTTCCTCTCGGTCTCTCCCCAGCGGCAGGATCGTGTCGTACAGGCGCGCCTCGTTGTGATGGCGCAGCACGTCCTTCGGAGGCACTTCATCGCCGCCCCCCCCCCCCACAATTCCAGCAACGTCAATACTCGACTGCTTTGCCCCAGTGGTGGCCTTCTTCATCTTGCCGCCATCCTTCTTCGTGCCTGCCTCCCTGGTCTTGAGGCGTGTCATGCTATCTCAGGCAGTCTGTAAAGCAGCCAAGCAACCAGCGCGTGCTCTCGATCCAACCGTATGGCTTGGCAAACGGATAAGCGGCAGCAGAGAGTGCAACATCCCGCTTAAATACTGCGTAAAATTCACGCGAAAATAATAGCCTTGGTGACACTGCAAGGTGCATCGGCAGTTCACTGCTGCAGCCAAGCGAACTTGAAGGAGTAGTCGTAGCCTACACCAGAAACGCCAGCCTAACACGTTATAACTCTTGGCGGTATGCAGTAAAAGTCATGTTATCAACGTACCCGAGTGCTGCAGAGAGGCCTGGACGTTGTAGTAAACCCAGAACACCAACTTCAGCTGTACCCCACTGCACTGCTTCTCAAGCACGTACGCGAGTTGGTGAATCGGAGAGAGTCCCAATAGACAATGCAGCAGGAGGAATAACACGAAAAGCGAAGCGAGCTGAAGGGAACAATAGAAGAGGACGCCGTTCAGCGTGTGGAGAAGTTGGTCGTGGTTGATGCCGTGCAGCTGGACGTAGTAGTCGCGATTCGGCAGGTGGTACATGCCGTACAGATAAATCGCTGCACAAAATTCCACAATATATTGTTACCCACACAACAGGAAATCCTCACAACGGGCAAATACTTACAGTAGACGAGCGGAATGATGACCTCGACGTAGTTCAGCAACAGGAGAAACTCCGCTGCATACAGCAGTTGTTGAACTTTATCCGTGTATCTGGTAGGAGAACTGTCGCTGCCCGGGTGTACTCGACCTCGTCCGAGTATCCGCTCGGCGGAAACCCGACGAATCGAGTTGAAGGTTTTCATCATAACTTTAACTGACGATTTCACCTTACAAGGTGCTGGACACAAAGTAGGCGACACGAGCGCGTGGAGCTCATCGGATGAACGAGTTGATAACGTTCCTGGTTTTACGTCGTTGGACAATATCAAACCGGCCCGGTCCAACGTCGTTAGTCTAGCGCTCGAGGACTTGGTGCTCAAACTTCCTCGCTTGCGGAAGCTGTCCCAGCTGCGCTCGTGTTCGATTCGCCGCTCCAATTCTTTCAGACACCGGCGTGCATTTCCTACGTCACGCAACGCGAATGCCATCATACAGCCGTCGAAAACCATAATCTCCAGCGTCACCCAGCCAGAGGGTGAGTTCAGCATGCAGTAGGATAGAAAGAGGGCGTTGAAGACTTCCACGTTGAACACGACGACCTCCGGCATTTGATCCTTGAGATGAACTACCGATCGAGCGACGATGTTCTTCATAACGAGTTTAATGACGGGTAATAGCAGCGCAAACGCGGTTTTGCCCTTCGTCGACAGCATCATATACACGTAGTAGTATACCGGATACGTGAAAAGCAGCGCTACTTCGCACATCCAGAGCTTGGTTGCGTTGACGAACATTGCGCCGGAGCCTGGTGTCAACTTAAACTTCGACCTCCATTCAATAGCCAAAGAAGCCAGAACAAGTGTCGCCCATGCCGGCGCTAGAATAATTGATGAAAATGGCAGCGGGAACCCAATTCGTCGCGAAAGTCCGTAAGAAATACCAACACTTAGCCCCGCTATCGCCACTGTGTTCATAATGACCCGCTTCAAAGGATAAGGAAGCGCAGGAACGCTGATCCGGAATTGGTGGGTAAGCAGGAACGTAATTACTAGAAAAGTGTAGAATGACCGCACGAAGTACATTGTGTTCCCACTGACACCATCAGATGGGTTGTCAAGCGGTAGGAAATCCACGAGTACTGTCACAACCAAACACGGCAGCGGGGTGATCAACAGAATGGTGACTACCCGGATCCAACTCGTATGGTTCGCGTATCGTGTCAGCTCGATGACGCGCTGAGGCGAATGGCTGCCGTGCATCTCCACTTGCGCAGCGTGCCAGACCATGGCTAGTAAGCGACACACAGACCTCATTGACGGTTCAATCAGCGGTGCGATACGGAAATGGGAGCCGAGTCTTGTTTACCGGTAGATCTGCAAATACATGGGACGGCACCTATCAATGCTTCAGTGCTACTTTTGTCGACGAGTAAGTACGCTGACTTTCTCTTCCACAAACTGAAGGACGACATAAATGCAGTGGGTTTGTGAGAGTCCATACACTTTAGGGTTCACTAGCTGCTTTTACTCAAGCACGAGCCAAATGCTGCTGTGAAGTGGGAGGTTTTTGCCCGCATGGCCGTGGAGATATCGCTCTCTTGGTTAAATTCTTACAAAATTACCCCGTGAAGCAAGTTTAGCTTATACGTAGGTGCGCTAACTGGGGCGGAGTGCATTTAACTGTTTTACATGATGTGTCCTGCAGATATCATGCAAAATGGGCTGAAGCATACTCATCACTACCGATACTTAAGATTGTTAGTGGTGATGCCCGCAGCAAATACTATAGTAGGGGGGTTCAGTTAATAATTTCTTCACACGATGGACCCCAGGAATATTCGACAACCCGTGAGAACTTCTCCGACATCATTGGAAGTTGATGCCGCTGTAAACAAAGGAAATCTTGCTGTCCTCAGTGACGCAGCCCATTCGGAATGCAATATCATACTGACGATTAAAGACTCTGCGCACTTACTTAAGTACAGTACATTCATACTTCGCTATTTGATGGAATTTTGTTTTTCTTTGTCACTCGCTTTAGTGATCCCCCTCAGTCGTGAAAGTGAAGATCTAATGGTTGGGCTATGATACCTACGACTTTGGCTGTTCACACACAGCCGCTTGCAGACTGCATGAGCCGAACGCTAAAGACTTAATAAACAGTAAGAACGCGCATGGTTGTTCGAGTGCAAGGAGTGCTCATTAATGCTTCCGAATTTTAGCTACCGTACGCCTTAACTAGGTAGATTTGATCTCATTGCTCCTACTCTTGGACGTCTTCAAGAACCCGGATGCGGGCCTATAGTCGACTACGCGCTGTCCTCACTAAACACCATGGCCAACTTTGCCTGCCTTAGCTCCTTGTCGAGCTTCAAGTTCTTGGCGTGTTGCTGGATCAGCTGGTCGACGAGCCCGCGCTTCTCGAAAGCGTGCTGCTTGAGAAGCCTGTACCTCTCCTCAGCGTGTTGGTGGTGAAGCTTGTGCTTCACTTCAGCGAGCTGCTGGGCGAGCTTGTGCTTCTCCTGCAGAAGCCGATCGATGGTCTTGTTCTGCTAAATGAAGAGTTTGTGGATGAGGGGGTCGTGCAGACCCTCCCACGAACGCTCGTCGTGCTCCTCCGTAGCGGTTGGAATAGTTCCTTCCATCTTGGACTGGGGGGCTTGGGGGGTTGCTGGCGTTTTCGATTGTGAGCAGACTTCGGCGCTAGGCGGAAGGCGTGCTTGAAGGAAACCAGGTCAATCTCGTGGCTGGATTCACTCACTCGGAGCTTCAACTGAGAACCTCCCTTTGATTGCCAGAGATCTGGCGATCGCGCAACTGTATAGCGGAGGAAGGCCATTAGGAAGGTCTTTAGGAAGGTCTTCAGGAAGGTTTTCCGGAAGATTTTACATAATGTATACTTATTTTTTAAAATAAGCTATTATAATAAAATATACTACGTTTTCCATCGGGACAACATGACCAAGCACTCTGGTCCATGATGGACCCAATTGAATGTATTATATTACATAAAGCTCAATTTCTGTCGCGTTTTAAAATAGTTGTTCGGTGATAACTAAGAACTCAGAGCACCAGAGTTACTTGGCCTATAGTTGGCTGAGTGGCCTGCCGCAGCGACACACAACTCTCCATCTACGTTCTTGCGCATGATGAGGACGCGAGTCCATGCTCACACACCGACATCAGAGGGGAGTTCATCGCAGTCACAGCACAAACGACGTGATTTCTCTCACAGTTCTGGCACAAGGTTGCTGCAGCATGGAATCGTTGCCAGATCGGCCACCGGAGTCACTACTCCGTTGAACGAGTTCTCGCTTTGGAGGAGTATATCCAGCGCACCTCCTTCTCTCGCGCGTTGGCTGTGTGCTTCCTGACCCCGATTCCCGCCACGGCGGTGGCCTTACTCATTGACTGCATCCCGTTGCGCTCACCGTCAGAGGGCTGGGAGGCTAACTACATGCTCTGGATTCGCGTGTTTTGGCAATGTCCGTGATCTCGATCGGACTGGTACTGCAAGTGAACGGAGCGGTTGTGAAGAAAACCATCTCGAATGCTGCAGCAGTCCGCATCTGTGTGTGCTCAGATCTCGTGTATATGGCCGTGTCCATTGCGGTCGCTGCGCTGATAAAATTCCCCATTCCGTTTGGTTGGGTGCTCATGGTCGGGCCGTACATCTCGATTTTCTCGACAAATACTGCTCTCTCTATCGGAATTTCTAAGCTGAAGCAGTCCCCAGTCCTACAAAAACAATTGTTCACGCTGCTAATGATTGTGCTCGCGCAGGGACTTGTGGCTATAGCGTATCCAATCTTCAACGCCATATTCATTCGTCTCTCTGGTATCACTCAGACGGTTTTCGTCTTTGTGATGCCCATGATCAAGTTCACCACAAAGCAGATCATCGCGAGCTCAGCGAAGAGTCTTCACGAATACGTGGGGCCGACTGTCGTCTTCTCGGTGGACGTCTTCAATGTGTTTTACGTCGCCATTTGCATGCAAATGGCAACGTCGACGACCACCGCTTTGATATTCATTGCGTCCGAGAGTTTCCACGTCGTGTTGGCTCTCCGCGACATTTTCCACCACCAAACCGCGGTTCTAGCAGGCACCCGCGAGAGCTGGGTGTTCGATAAGCCGCTCACCGAATATTTGCGAGATCTACACACGTTGATCAATTCAACCTTTCGGTAGGTATCAAGAGACCAAACCATCTCGGCGGATTCGAGTCATTTCACCCTTCCCACTCCAAACTTCTCGCGAAAGTCGGGACTTTGGGGAAAACTTGCAGAAAGCACGAGTGTCTTCTCGTCAGCATAATTCTCCAAAACCCACCGCTGTTATTAGCCTGTCCTCGAAGTCGAATGTTGGCGAGAAAAAAAATGCAGGAAACCGGATTGCGGTGGCATCCAAGCTGAACTAGCCAACTTTAATCATGGAAAGTCACCTCGATTCTGACGTTAATGGATTGGCAAAGTTGCGACCGCAAAGCTTTGATTTGGATAAAAAGCGGCAAATTTCTAGCTTTGCTCCTTCGTCTACAACGATCGACAAGGCGCTGCACTCCAATCCTAACGAAGCCGCTGTGTATGAAGCACTACAGACGCTGTTCCACTCGGAATACGTGCTTCTGGCTGAGTACATCGAATTCGTACTGCCTGTGCTGTATTCCTTGTACCTCTCAGCGCTCTTTCATCTGCCGGTTGCAGCGTATTATCCACACACGGAATCTTTGACAGAGCAGAAGCTAGCGCAGACAGTGGCAAGTAACCTGGTGTTCGCGGCGGTGGAGTTCGTAGCGTTCGTGGGCCTGGTCGTTGTACTGAAGCGGAAGTTCAGGTTCTCGCCGCTCTATCAACTGGCGCTCGTGCTCGAGGCTCAGTTTTGTACCATCCAGGGACATCTCATCGTGTGGAACTTTTACATTCTGCATCTGCGGTTGAAGCATTACGGTACTGTGCTGCTGTTGTGAATCAGATCATTAGTAAAGTTCTAGGTCGACTGATCCTTTGCTTGCTGCAGGTGTCGATTTTGATGCGCCGTTCACCTAACACCGTTCATTTGATGGCGGGGAAGTTGAAGTGCTCGATCTCACTCGTCATTGGTCGATTTAAACTCCATAACCTCTTCGGATTGGCCATTAATCCCAATACAAAAGTTGCGAGCTTCCAGCATGGTGCAGCTCTTCGCGGCGGACGGCAAGTTCCCGGACGTGGTGGCGGCGCTGGAGGCGCGCGGGTGGAGGCGCCTGCCGTTCGTGGGCTGCCCCAAGTTCGAGCTCAAGTGGACCAACTACGCCAAGATCGCGTGGCGCCGCGTGACGCCGTCGCAGGTGGTCAACCACCTGCAGCATTCCGTCCTCTTCTCGCGGAAGGACCATTTTACGGACCTACTGTACGCCCACGCAGCTGCGCAGCGAGACGCAGGAGGACAATCTCAAGTGGACAGCTGTTTTCCTCGCACATTCGACTGCAGCCGACCACGAGACCGAATTCTATTGCAGCGCTGGTTCGTTTACAGTCAGGCGGTCGCTGAGCTCAAGCAGAGCCTCCGTGTTGGCTCTACGGCTCAAGTAGGGGCTGCATTGAGGCTGGTGAGAGCTGTTCTTAGGGATGTTACGTTCTTTGAGAGGTGGAGGGAGGACGGAGTTCACTTTGAGACTGAAGCTTCGAGAGAGAAGGAGGGAGAGTCGGCTGCCTGCGCCAGACAGGAGGTCGAGGACGTTTTGAAGGAGTTAGAGCGGCGAGACCCGCAGTTCCACGCGGTGGGCAGTGATGGGGCCAATGTGTGGATCTGCAAGCCGTCGAATCTGTCGCAAGGGCGAGGGATTGTGCTGTGCAGTTCGCTGCAAGAGATTGAGGAGATCGATGGACAAGGCGATCACGACAAGTTGGAGGGTGAATTGGAAGGAAAAGGGATAAGTAAGTGGGTTGTGCAGAAGTACATTGAGCAACCGCTCCTGCTGCAGAATGGCCGCAAGTTTGATATCCGCCAGTGGGTGCTGGTGACCGAGCTCAAACCGAAGCCGATTGTGTTCTGGTTCTACAGAAGCTACTTGCGCTTTTGTGCGCGGAGGTTTGAACTATCCCGACTGCAGGATCGGTTCACGCACCTGAGCAATTATTCCGTTCAGCAACACTTTGTACCGAATCAAGTATCTGACGAAATCGAAGTGGACCGAGGCAGAGATACAACGGGCGTTGGTACGCAGGAGGAGAACGTGGACGTGTTTGAGCCGATGTGGTCGTCGGAGAAGTTCCAGGACATTCTCAGGTGAGTTTTGCACTTATTCCATCGACTAAATCTGCTGCATTCGAGTTCCCCTTTATTCCGTGTGGCACTAATGGACGCATTCACAGGCAAGAGCACGGAAGAGATGTGTGGACGGAGACAATTTTGCCACAAATGCAGAGCACTGCTCGGCTTGCGCTGGATGCCGTGCTGCCGAAGCTAAAAGTTGTCGGTGTAAGTTGTTGCGCTTGCGGGTAGATTAAATATATTTCTTCTGTTTTACAAGGCTACTGTTTGTGTTGAATTCAGAGAGGCTTCGAATGGCTTGGCTTCGACTTCCTAGTGGACGAACACCACCATGTCTGGGTGCTCGAGGTGAACGTGAGTCCCGATGTCAGCCACAGTACCAGCATCACCGCCGAGCTAGCACCCAAGGCTACGGTTGATGCGCTAAACGGTGCGTTATGGGCTTGCCGATCACGATTATATTGCTGAACAGTCCGACTTACATCACTTTGTTTTGCAGTGGTGTTGGATCCAGAAACCTCGCGAACTCCTGACAACGGATGGCTGCCGTTCGAACTCAACTGAGTTTGGCAGCAGTCAAATGCAATCATAGATGCAGTACTCTTTCGACGCATTGCTTCAAATGGTGAGCTAGCTAAAATTCAGGTCCCAGTTCTTTAAACCATGAAGTCACCTCCATTGAGCACTCGACGCTCGCTTGGCGTTTTTACGGAGTGCATCAGTTCTCAGTCGATCAGCTTCGAGCTGAGCAGTCTCATTGAGTAGCCACATGAAGCCCGTGGTCGGACTGAGAGTAGGGGGTGGAAGCACCGCGCGGCGCTGATCAGGTCCAGCATCGGCTGCCACAGCCAGCTCCAAAACATCTCGCAGCAGTCGACTCTTCATGTTGCGGTCCTCCCGCGTGGTGGTCGAGAGCGATGGAGATGCATTCACTTCCACGAGCCACGGCTTGAGGTTCTCGTCCACGATGATGTCGTAGCCATAGCACTCGAAGCAGTGCGGGTCGTTGATAATGACGTTCTGCACGGCCCTCAACGCGTGCAGCATGACTGCGTGGATGTCTCGCAGTAGTTTGTCTCCGGTTCCGCGACCGCGGGTGGCCTCCACGTAGAGGCAGAGGTTGGCCACGCTCCACTTGCCTCCGTGGTTGCTGTTGTAGTCTTCGTTGTTCTTCTGGACAGCGACGTTCGTGAGGTGCATGAAGGGGTTGTCCATGTCGTCCGCCGCTGCCGAGTATTTCACGTTGCAGAAGCGAGCGAAGCCTTCGCGGTACACCAGCGCCTGCATGGGGCGGTACGACAGCACCAGCACGTACATGCGCAGGTCGAACTTCTTGCCCCCGACCAGCAGCGGGTTCTCAATGTAGCGAGACACGACGTATCCCTCTTTGATCGGCATGTTGGTCCACCGCTGGTTGGCCCACTTCTTGGTCTGAGAGAGCTTGTTGATGATGAAGATGCCCTTGCCCTGCGCCTTGGAGCAAGGTTTCATGATCCACATGACGTTCGGGTTGCGGCGGAACTCCTCCACGAACAGCGAGTAGTCTGCGGGCAGCGTGTACGTTGTGGGCAGGAAGTCGAGCGCTTCGGCGGACGATACAGACGGCGATGCACCCGGAGTGGACGCTGGATCTGATGCTGTAGTTGATGCGGCGCTTGTGGCCGCGCTCGCTAGCATCTCCTTCTTGTAGCGCTTGATGTTCTTGACCATGAGGTCTTTGCGCGTGAGCTCGTAGTGGTTCGGGAAGTGGTTGACGTACTGGCCGTCCACTAGCCGCACCCCGTTCTCGGGGTTGAACATGTTCTTGATCGCGGTCTTGTTGGCCCAGTAGATGTTCCAGTCGTCCCCTTCGGTCTTGGTCCAGCCCCGACGCTCGAAGTTCCACACCACGACGTTCTTCTCGGAATCCACGCGCCATCGGAACTTGCCGGTTGCTCCAGCACTGCCGCCGCCACTGGTTGAGTAGGACGTAGAGGAAGAGGACGCAGTTAAACCACCAGAGACGGCTGAGGCTGCGTACGATGGAGTCAAAGCTCTAGTAGCCATCGTAGTTCGTAGTGGACTCTACAAAACGAGACTTGGTTTGGTCCAGGATGTGCGACCGTTCATGTGCAACGTCCTTCACGGAGATCTACACTTGTCTTATCACAGCAATTGTCAGGCAAAGAAATATACATTCACTTCTGCTATTAATATATGAATTGCACATATCGTCTCTCATCTTCAGATGTCGCCCATGGGCAGCTCAGCAGCACTCGTCTCCGATGATGCTGGAGAGCAGGACAGGGAGGCAGCCAGTGCCGCCTTGTCGTCCATCGATGCCAGATCAGACGTCTCGGACATTGAATCCGGCGATCGACTCTTGTGACTTCCACTGCGTAGCTGGCGTCCGCGGCGCCTCATGGTCGAATAGTAGCGGTTCTTGACAGCGTTGTCCGTCCGCCCAGGCAGAAGTCGAGCAATGTCCGCCCAGCGGTTCCCGATGCGATCGCGCGTCTTGAAGATGAGTTGGTCCTCCTCCTCTGTCCAGGCCTCCTTGTTCACTGCTGGACTCAAGTGGTTCACCCACCGCTCCCGACACTGCTTGCCGCACCGACCTGGGAGGAGCCGTGCGATAGCCGACCAGTCATTCGCTCTTGTGGTCTGAACAGCCAGCTCCAGCGCACCATCTTCATCAGGACTCCATTGGCGCTTGTTCAGTTTACTGTTGGGCGTACCTGCACTCGTCGCCGAGATCTTGGCTCGCTTGCAGTGCGGCGACATCGACTCCTTCACCAGCAGCGTCGGATCGTGCGCCGGTGAGATCAGCGCTGCCGCCGTCATCTGCATTTGTCGAGCAGCCTCGTCATCATCTTCAGCTGCACGTTTCATGGCGGCAGCTCTGTGCCCAGGTGAGACGGACGTCGGACTCATGCCCATGTACCCTCGGGCAGCAAACCTCGGCGACACTCCGCGGTAGGCCATGTCCATCCCAGCCATGGGGGACATCTGCATCATGGGCATGGACATGGCTGTCGGGATCTGCATCTGCAGCTCGACGATGTTCATGAGTCGCAGGAGGTCCTGCTGCAGGGACAGCACGCTCCTCTTCATGTACTCCCGCTCGGCCTCCCTCTCCTGCTCTCGCTGCATCAGCTGCTGCGTCAGCAGCTCCTGCGCTGCCAACCGGTCTCGTAGCTGCTGCAGCTCACTCGCCCCGTCCCCATTCTGCAAAACTGTAGCGGTATCTGCAGCAGCGCTGCCCTTGTACTTGTGCACCAGCTCCTGCATCTTCTTGACCAGCACCTCGATGGACGACGAGGGCGACGTCACACCCAGTCCGCTACTACTCGACAGCGCCGCCGCCTCCACGTCCACCGAGATGGCTGCAGAGGCTGCTACCTCCTCCTCCTCCACCACTGTAGAAGCTTCAAATCCGGCCGACAGCGTGCGAGCAGCGTCGTCCTGCGCGTCATCGGCCTCTGTAGCGACTTGCTGCGTCTTGGTCGTGGCTCCATCCAGCTGCTCAACCGGCTCACTCTCTGGTTGCACCGCGCTCGCCTGCCCTTGCGTCTCCATTGTGTGGTCGCCGTACGCCTCGGGCTCGAGGCTTGGCGCTTGGTCCTCTGCAACCCGGCGTAACTGGAACTGGGCGAGGCGTTACGGAGTGCCCTTGTGATCACGAAGCGTCGCGAGCTCAAGATACTATATGCCGTTCTAGAGGTCGATCTATGCGTTTCCACAGGCTGCATCCAAATCAAACAATTCTCAGAAAATAAAGTGACAAAATGGCCGAGGCCGACGCCTTCATCTTCGCGGCGCTGCAGCAGAGCGGCTGGTGCGTACACCGGGCGATGGAGATATCCACAGTGTTGCCCTTTGTCTTGAGGGTGTTCTCATATAAAATTATAATGTTTCACGGGTGAAACTTCAGGTTGGAGCCGGCAGCGCAGGAGTCGTCCTGGACGGTGGCGGAGCTCTCGTCCGACGCGTTTATCGTCGTCGTGCTCAAGTTCCTGACGCGTCTACAGGGCGCAGACGACAGCGCGACCTTCACTGTCCCGTCCGAAGACGCGCGGGCTCCTGTGGGCGTCGCGGCGAGGCACCGCGTGGGCTCCAAGCTCGCGAATATCCTCAAGGTTTGCGATACTTAGTTGAGGCGTGATATTGTTATATTTCGACCTCTAATGTTATTTTTATTGTTTGTTTTAAATTAGGAGCTGGGGTATGCTGGCGACTGCGGCTACAACCACTTTCTGTATCCGAGTGAGAAGGAGACGCGGAACATTTTGTCGTGGCTCGTGGGGAAGCTGCCCAGGTCGAAGCTGGAGGAAAATGACGAAGAGGACAACAAGAGTGAAATTTCGGGTAGAGTGGCGGCGGGGACTGATTCTGCGGGGTGGCAGGACTCGGTCCTGGAGAATGAGCGACTTAAGAGCATTTTCTCGGGTTGGAAGCGCGAGAAGACGCTGCATGTGCTGCCGAACGAGGACATTAAGGGACTGAAGGGCTTCCAGCGACTGCCGCTGCAAACTTCTCCGCTCGAGTTGCCGTGGGCGCGGCCTGGCAAATCGACGCGCAAGCTTTTCGACAACTTTCCTAGTGACTCGGTCAAGCCGGCGTCACTTTTGGAGGCTTTGGCCGCGGCGAAGCGTGGGTCTACTGTCCTGCTCCGAGAAGAAGAGTTTGAAGAGGAGGCTGAGACGGAAGAGGCTGGTGTTGCGTTGAAACGAGATGAGATCGAGGCCGCGCTTCAAGGTGCAGGAAGTGCTGGAGAATCGGAGTTTCTCGCTCCTCAAGAAGCTGAGACGGAGGACGACAAGTTCGCGGCAATTCAACCGCAGTCGTTCCTGGCGAATGCACTTCCGGACGTACCGCTTACGTTGAATTCGTCGGGCGGTGCTGTTGGTGCTGAAGCGGCTGTTGAAAGGGGCGCATCAATGGCGTCGTCGGCAGGGTCGAGCACCGTCGATTCGAGCAGAGTGGAAGGAGAGATGACCGGGCAGCAGCTAAGCGACGAGCAATCTCTTGAGGAGGTGCAAAAGCAGGTTGACGATACGGAGCGTCGTATTACTGCCATGCGCAAGGTGCTGGATCGCGAGCGTGGCGAGCTCCAACAGGTCGAGCAGCATGTCGTCGAAACCCAAGCCACTGGGCAGGAGATACAGAAGCAATTGGCCCGACAAAAGCAACTCGTCGCCATGCTTCCTCAGGCCCAAGCCAATATTGCAAAGCTGGAGGCAATCTGCCAGACAAATGGAGAAAAGAAGGCGGAGCTAGCCCAGCAAATGGAGATCGCTCGTGGTCCTCTACTTAAAGAGTACGCCGAGTTCGAAGGGCAGAAATCGAGTCGGAAGGCTCGGTGCCGACAGCTCATCCGCGAGATCAAGGCCTTCCGAGCTGAGATGCAGGAGATCACCGGCGTCATTCACTCGAAGATGGAGAGCATGCGGGCGCTGGAGAAGATTCAAGAGCGGCAAATGACCAAGCTTGGCAAGAAGAAGAACGCTGAAGGTGGACCGATGACACGCAACATGTACACGTCGCGGATCATGGACATCATCAAGCAGGTCCACAAGCAGAAGCAAGACATCGCCAAGATCTTGGATGACATCAGGGGGCTTCAAAAGCAGCTGAACGCGGCGTCCGAGAAGTTGAAGCGGACTGAAGCCGTCGCAGAGGAGAAGCTCTTCAGCGCGGCGAGCAAGAGCAAAAGCTCCATCAGCGCGAAGGCTGACGCGTACGTCGAGTGCTATCGCAAGTTCGCGCAAGTGCGCGAGCTGTTCGAAGAGCTCATTCTGGTCGTCGGGGACGTCGGGAAGAAGGAGAACGCAGCTCGCGACCTGCAGAACTGGATCTCTCAGCTGGAGGCGCGTGACAGCAGCAACCACTTGGACAAGGTGCTTGCCGATCTTGAGAGCGTCCGCCTCGAGAACGGCACGCTCCAGCAAGAGTTGCGTGCGCGAGTCGCGTAGGATTTTGTACTGGGCGTAGTAGTGATAATGATGTTATCTTGTTGGCGATAGATGTCTTCAGTTTGCTCAAGCATTGAGCACCATGCGGCCGTTTCCGAGCAATGTTTGGACAGTTGGCAATGTTTGACAGTTGGAAACGAGTCCCTATTTTCAAGAGTGCCAAAGCGTCACAGTTAGCGAAGCAGCGCAGGTAGCAACGCGATGGGGTCGGAGCGCAGGCTGGAGAGGAAGTTGCGTCGGAAGGAGGAGAAGAAGGGGCTTGTCGATGGCACGGAGATCTCCAGCAAGGTGGAGGTCGCACCAGGTGAACTGGAGGACTCGACTGCCCCCGTTGATGAAACTTCTCCTGCATCCAGTGACCCGGCGGAGGGAGTTGGCGACCAGGGCAAAGCACAGCGTGTGATGCCGATCGGAGAGCTGCCATCCCGTCAGAAACCCAAGACCAACAAGTCCCCGCGCAAGAAGAAGAAGAAGCCCGAGGAGGAGCTGGAGGCCGAGCCAGTGGAATTCCGCGTCAACGGCATTCTGGTGGATCGAGATGTGAAAGGAGGCGCCAAGAAGAACTGGATGGGCGTCTACATGGTGCTCTTCCGGACCAGCACGCCCATGGGCCAGCGCGTGGCCTTTATACTCATCGCGTTGGTGACGATCAGCGTTACGGTCGGTAAGTATTTCCGCGTGCTAGGAAAGTGTTGTTGGTGAATAAATACTAATGGCGCGTCCTTGATGCAGCTGTGATGGATAGCGTCAAGGAAATTCGGTACGCAAAGCTCGAGTTTTATGCTGTGGATGCTGTTCAAGACACCGTCTAATTTGTCTCTTGCTTGTGTTCTCACGTTCAGAGACCAGATCGGCGACTATCTGCTGGCGATAGAGCTCGGCTTCACGATCCTGTTCACGATTGAGTACGGACTTCGCGTCGCATGCCTTCGCAAGCCTGGCAAGTTCATCTTCAGCTTGTTGGGCTTCGTGGACATGTGCGCGCTTGTGCCGTCGTACGTGGGCTATATCTTCCCGGAAGCTCGGCCGCTGCTGCACTTGGCCGTGCTGCGGATCTTCCGCGTGATGCGCGTGTTTCGACTGATGCGCCTCGCTCGCTTCGTGGACGCCAGCGCTGCGCTGACCGACAACATCGAGACGAATCGACGGAACATTGCCGTCTTCCTGGTCGCATTGTTCACGATCATCTTGGTGATCGGATCGGCGATGTACCTCATTGAAGGGGATCGCCAATTCGGTAACATTCCGGTGAGTCTTTACTGGACGGTGGTGACGATCACGACGGTGGGGTACGGAGATATCTCCCCTCAGACGATCGTGGGGCGGATCCTAGCCACCATTGTCATGTTTGTCGGCTACGGAATCATCGCCAGTCCGACGCTGCTGAGCGCCCCACCGGCTGCACCAGCCACCTCGGAGATCGTCGATTGCCCCAAGTGCACGAAGGTGCTCGAGTGCACACGCTGCTTCCAGAAATTCCACCAGGAGAGCGCCAATTTTTGCTGCATGTGCGCTGAGCCGCTTCGGAAGCCGGAGCTCAAGGCGTTGAAGGCGAACGGAGAAGAGCGCAAGCGGACGCCGAGATCACGCGCGTCGATCACCGCTGCTGCCGCTGCTGAAAATGGGTTTCCAAAGACCTCTGAAAGTACTGAAACCCTTCCCTTGGAAGTCGAGATGAAGCCTGCAATACCCGTTGATGTGCCTTCCGAAGAGATGAAACCTGCGGAGCCCACTACCATGATCTGCTAACAGGTTGCTGCTCGCTACGATGGTTCGATACAATGTGCAATACATCGCGGTCGGATGAAGGAGGAGTTGTGAACTAGAAGGTTACCGCACTCGAGGTATGTCGTTCCATGGCTGTCTATGAAGTCCAGCGCCATTAGAGATATTGGATGTAAGCATCATGCATTCGTATGGAGTTAGTTATTGCTGATCCTGGGGGTAGAAGCTTATGGAGCAAGCATGACTGGGTCTTCTTCGGTGCGGAGCATGGTGAGGGACGAGTCGAGGTTGATCACGCCTAGGAGCTTGCTGAGTCTTACTACGTAGACCTTCGTCCACGAACTCATGGCCGCGATCTTGTGTACGCGGTAGAGATTCACATCCTCGCTCACCTGTGCCCAAGCAATGAGAGCATCGTTAGCCACAACTATCAGCACTTGCTGCTGTTAAACTGAACGTTACCTGAGGCGGATAGCTTTCCACAGGCACCGACGTGAAAGTGTAGTCGTGGAATGGCGGGCCTAGCTCCAACTGCACAGAAGCAACAGACATGATCGTCAGTCTTGGAGGAGTCGCAGTCTAGGTCATTTTAGGGGGCTTTCTCTCACCGGACTTGATAGCGATGTAGCATCTTTCGGTTGGAAGTCAACGAGCGAATAGTCCTCGACCACGGCGCTCTTCTTCTTGTCGATGTCGAGAATCTTCGATACCAAGTGCTGGACTCGTAGGGACACGTTGGGGTCCTTGGCATCGGGCATCTGCAGGAGGAACAGTGCTCGTCAGCACAACTTGTCCACATATCGGACTCGAAATTCCAGTGACCCCTTACCTGCTTCCGATGAGCTGCAATGAATCGCGCGACGGCAATTTCAAGATCGTAGCGTCGAAGACACCCCTGCAACATAACAAAAGTAGCGTGAATATCATCGACTCATCCCTCGAAGACAAACCATTAACCCCATGCTTACAATCAATAGCTGCGTTTCAGCGCCGTCGCACACAGGGAAGTATTCTTCCTTCTTGTGCGTATTCTGCACGGAAGACCACGCTTGTCAGCTACAGACCTCCGAAATATACTCAGCACATCGTTTTGGTCACTTACCAGAGCCTGGATCGCCTCCTCGTACGTCGTCTCCTTTGTGAAGAAGACGGGTGCAGGACTCATGTAGTCCAGGGCGTACTTCTGACTCAAGACGTGTTCATTCAGGTCGTAGCAGACAGCGTGGAGCCCCGCCCACCCCGCCAAGACGTCGTAGATCGAAGGTGAGATGGCGCCGCAGACGAAGTAGGACACGGTACACGCCGTCATAACGGGGACCATGTGACTCAGTTGCGACGTGAGCTCGAAGAAAATCACAGCCGTGGAGACGGTCTGCGTGGCTGACGCGGCAAAGCAAGCAGCCCCCACGACGGCGTAGGTGGCTGGAGACTGCGTCGGGCTCCAGTACCTCATGAGGGTCTCGCCATACAGCCGCCCAACGCCCGCGCCGATGGTGAACAGAGGTCCGAAGACACCCACCGATATGGGGGCACCACACGGCAGCAGCGACGTCAGGAACTTGAGAATGATGTAGACAAAGAGCGTCACTTGCGGGTAGTCCGAGATCTGCGTCCACTGCGGGAAGCTCAAGTTCTGGTCGCGGAACACCTCGTTGACGATCGACCGATCCGACAGACGCATGATGCCGAGCGGGTACGTCAACACAGCGGTAGCCACGCAGATTGAGACAATGTGGACGGTTCGGCGCTTGAGCGAAGGACCATTCAGGCCAAGCTTGGCGAACAGCCTCATCTGCGTCCACCGGAGCAGCACTGCCATCCGACAGAAGAGTCCTGCGCCAATCTGTAAAATAAAAACAAAAAATGTTTTAGTGGCCAAACCTTTGATGACAGGGTTTGTATGATACTTACGCCGGTGACGACTCCAAGCAGCACGAACGCAAAGATCTCGTAGTCCATGTCGAAGCCGGCGAACGTGGTCCGCTCAAAGAGCACGTCGCGCTTGATGAACGTGATGACGTTGAACACGAGGATGCAGATGGAGGAGCAGATAATGCCTTCCCACAGACACTTGATCTCGTAGTACTTGGCCGTCACTTCGATGCTGAAGAGCAGCCCGCCGAGCGGCGCTCCGAAGTTGGCGGTCGTGCCGCAGGCCACAGCTGCGCGGATGAAGTTGTAGTTCTCCTGCCCGAAGTTGACGCGGCGGAACAGGGCCAACTTGTTCATGAGGAAGCCGATCATTGCCATGAGGTGTGTGAAAGGCCCCGCTCGACCGACCGACAGACCCGAGCCGGAGGCGATCACCGTGCTCAGCGACTTGGCTACGAGCGTGCGGAACGACAACATGTCGCCCGGGTTTTGGTACACGCCCGCGAAGAGCGCCCGCATGACGGGGATCCCCGACCCGTCCGACGCGGGCGAGATGAAGTGGCCGCAACAAGTCGCCAGCATGGCCAGCGTGATGCACCAGCACAGCCAGCACAAGAACCCGGCGAAGGAGTCCGTCCCGACAGACTCGATGATGATCCGGCGGAACCTGAAGAGCGTTCGGACCCAATTGTCGACCAGCAAACTTTACATTCACAAAAGCAGCGTTAGGATGAGGCTGAGGATGTTGGCGGGTGTGTGGGATGAACTTACCCGTAGGCTGCAGCCATGGAGCCCAAGAGGACCAGGAAGAGCCAAGTGATCGGAGAGTTGGGGAGCTGCTTGCACAGTCGAAGCGAGCGAACGCAGAGCTGGCGCATGGTCAACTCCACTAACGGCCGCTCGCCTCGCAGCAGCTTGTCGTAGTGCTCGGGCGAGTTCGCGCGGTACCACACATCTGCTCACAGCAAGAGGAGCATTGGAGTTAGTGCAAACGTTTGACCCAGTTAATTGACCAAGCCGTGTCGACATGCATACCATAGTTGCCGCGCGTGCTTGACATCCGTCAGCTTGTCCCCTCGACGATACCCAAAGGCGTCGAGGCGAGTGCAAGTGGATGGATCGATCGCCAATTACGCTCGCCGGGATCGGGAATCGCTCTGACAATTGAAAGGTCGGAGGCAAACCAACCGCCTGGCACATGAGCTCGCCTCGACTCTTGGAGCAAGTCGTCCGTTTCAACGGATGCCTCGATGGATATACAGAAGTTATCTCCTATTCTTTTTTTCTTTAGTTTGAATCTCTGGTGTATTTTGTTAGGGCGGCAAGACGAACCTCGTGGTGGTGCCACTAGAAAAAACCGAGCTCTTAGATTTCGGTGTTTTGTCGGAACTTTCTCGATTCGAAAGGGCAAGCTTTCGTCAAAGAACATTTGTGATCCACTTGATAAACCCTTATCGAGAGGTGTAATTCTCGTCGTGCGTGTTGTCTTACTTGCACTAGCCACGGGTGTTTATGACAACTTCGTGGCAATAGACTTCCAATAGCAGCTGAAGTCGGAAGGATAGCTCTAAACTCGGAATATAATCCGTGCTTCGTGCTGAAGCATGGGACCTTCTTGATATTTGAACGAAGTGCATTTAGTTTAACATGCAACATCTCACTCACACACTGCACTCTACAACCCACACAAGTAGCGACACCTGCTAGAACCACTCCACATCAAACCCCAACCGTCAACAGGTTGTTCATGACGTTGACAACCAGTGCGGAGTCGCGACTAGCAAACTGCGTCACGAGCTCCTGCAGCTGCAAGTGGCCCCGTTCGCCGATAAAGTTCTGGGACAGATCCAGCAGGGCCAGGTTGGACGCGCCGGCAGTAGGATCACGCGGAAGGGCGACGGCATCGTAGAGGTCCATGACACCGTCGTCCGAGATGCAGTTGCCCACGAGCGACAAAGTGTGCAGTCTCGGGAACCTGCTAGAGGGGCCAGCCAGCACGTTGGCCACTTGGCCCGTGACGTGGTCCTTCAGTCCTTCCGAGTAGCAGAAGTTGAGCGAAAACACCTCCAGCTTGGGCATATGGACGTTGCTCAGGGCGTGCAGCACACTACGAACCAGCACGTTGCGTGCCACCAACGTCTTCTCATCTTGGAAGTTGAACTGCTGCGCTTGCATCCGGCCGGTCAACTCGAAGCTCTCAAGGTTGGGGAAACGGCCGAAGAACGACGCACGGACGGTAGGCGCCAGCTCGGACAGCGCCACCGTCGTCACTTCAATGGACGTGACTAATGCCGGCAGTTGAGTCGCAGCCTGCGAGCACGTAGCCGCGCAGTGCAGCACATCCGGAGCCGCCAGGAACGAGCACACGTGCTGCAACAAGTCCCGGTTACCGTCGAAGAACAACGGACTGGTAGCATTAGCCACCGCCGCCGTCTCTACGGACTCGAAGCGAGCGCGCTTGCCGGCGCCCGACTCGTTGATCGCACTGCACTTGCGCTTGCGCGACGCCGCAACTTGACAAATCTGCGCTTGCTCCATGGCAAACGCCGCCTCTTCCATCACCGCGAGGTTGTTGAGGTGGAGCTTGACCACCAGCGAGTGGAGACGTCGACTGAGCGTCTGCGGGTTGCGGTACTCCCAGGCCGAGAAGGCCTGGCTGTACAGTGCCAGCTCGGCGCGGCGGCCGATGTACGAGATCTTGGCGTCCACTTTGCCGTACTTGGCCTTCAGCAGCATCAGACTGCAGTGACAACATCACAATAGTCACTACCCTGCCATATTGATACAGGCGTAAGGAGACTCAAACGTACATGTGGAGGAGCACGGAGCGTCGGGCGCTGAGGTCGATGGTGGCGTGCCAGCTCCGCTTGGCCGAGGGGCGGACCGTCGACCATGTTGAAGTGGCTGGGGGCGCGAAGGTGCTGGCGCTCATGATAATTGATCGCGTGGAGGTGGAGCTGTGGGTGGGTAAGTACTAACGCTGCTGACACAGGCGCAGTAAGTAAGGAGAGAGGACTCCGGCGAGTGGCGCGGACCGGAGTAAAGCGGAAGTGGCGGCACCGGAGCTGAGCCGAGTGAGCCCAAGCGTTTGTCAACGACAAGACGCGAGTTGACCAGCGCCATTTGACGCAGCACTCTCCCACCAGCAGGTCTGCCGCCCAGAATGCACGGAACGAGAGCACGGGAGCTGATCCCACGTCCTAGAGCGCTCACACGTCACAGATTGCATATTTCGGGATCCTGCTATCCAGCGTTGTATGATGGATTGTAGGGCCTGCTATACTACATAGTTGTACATTGTAGAGTACTATAAGTTTACGGATTGATATCGTTACAGAGAGATGTTTATACGTGCATTTATGTCAACACATTGGCGTATTTACTAGAAAATACTTTAGCTATCAGAGGTTAATAACCTATTATCATGTTTTACAATTTTGAGAACCCTTGCACCAGCTGGCCGGATGTCATGTGGCTCCGGCGAAAAAGCGGAGTCGGTTGCTGACACATCTATCGGTGGGTCAATTGTTACCCACGCAGCAAGCAGAGAACGATACTGCCCGGCTCCCTTTGGTCACCCTCACTGACCGTAATTCACGAGGATGTCTGCAGATGTTACGCTACGGGCGCAAAACATCACGTCCCTGGCACTGAAGTGGGCACGCCTCGAGATCCGCTCGCCCAGCTGAAGGATGATCATCTTGAAGGTGACCCCTTCAGAAAAATGCCCACCGTTGGCAGTGCACGGCGGTGGCCACTTCTGAGCCCACTCGATCGACTTCTCCTTCACCCACTCTCTACAACATAGGCTCCCAACGAAGTGTCGAGTACAACGGCGCGCAGCTGGGTCGTGCTCACTAGCCTCGATCGCCATATACATCGACGTGAATCACTGGCGGAGACTATCTTATCTATAGCCTGTGATCCATGAGGGCTTAGGTAGTGCGATACCGTAGGCAAAGGTCTACTATTGCGCGCCGGTTTGGATGGGCAACTTGAAGACTTCGTTGCCTTCTCCACCACAGAACCAAGTATAGGAAGTGCCCAGATGAAAGCCAACTCTTCACGCTATGATCAAGCGTACAATGGCTAGCGCCCACCAACCGACTGATAAGACAGTCAGACTCGCAGCTAGCATTGTACCTATAGGCCAGGACGCTATCAGTGGAGCAGTGAATCGTTATCATAGCACACGTCCATCAGCAAAACTTGACAGGTTGAAGTGGTATTTACGGACTCGCGATTGGCTGAAAGGTATCCTTGATGTGGTGAACACAACTCACACAACAAAACTCGGCGAAAATGGCTGCAGTCGATGGTGTCGATGCAGACGGAGACGTCCACGCGTATCTGGGGACGCTGGAGGCTGTGGACCACCGGCAGCTCTTCATCCACCCGGACGGTAAAGTCCTGACGCTTCCGCTCATTTACCTGCCGGACATTGTACGCCCCAGCTGCGAATCTCCACGCTTAGAGCCGCTCAAAAGGTGCTAACAGTTGCTGCGACCGTGTCCGCTCAGGTTTTGTTCCCAGGCGATGACCTGCCGCTTCGCATGCTGTCGGACTCGACGCTCGGCGGCATCTGCGACTTGCTGTCGACGGAGGGCGTGCTGCTGGCTGTGCTGCCTCCACACCAGACCGGGACGCAGTTTGGCTCGACGGTGCGCATCGAGAGGTTCAGCGTGGAGGACCGCAGCGCCCGGATGACGGGCAAAGCGAGGCAGCGCTTCCGTCTGAAGCAGCGACTGCGGGCGGAGCCGACCGCCTCGATCCTGTGGGGGGAGGTGGAGATCCTACCGCAGGACCGAGCGCAGCCGATTCCGTTTGATACTTTGAGCTGGCATCGCGAGGACCAGCAGGACGATCAGGCGGAGCAAAGCAGCCAGCAACGCAAGAAGCGAAGTCTGCGCAGACTGCGGGGGCGACAGTTTCCGGCGTTTTGGGGCCGCAACACCTTTGCGTTGTACGATGCGAGTGTGTTGGTCCAGAAGATCCAGAACATGCTGCTGTCCAATATCCACGGTGATTGGTTTCGCAAGCCGCGAGCGGAAGGATCAAATGAGGACGGAGATGAAGAGGAAAACGAGAAGGCATCGTTGGTGCATTATCTGGCGTTACCAAGTGATCGGCAGGACCCGAATTTGTTTGCGTACTGGGTGGCTGGGAACCTGCCGCTTGACACGACCCAGCGTCTGGAGTTATTGAGTATGAACTCCACTGTGCGAATTCTGCGACGTGAGATTGAGCTCCTTCAACAAGTCGAGGAGGATATCTTCTGCTCCACGTGCGGCTCTTTCCTTGCGAACACTCGCGAGATTTTCAGTATGACGGCGCGTGGTGCAGCTGGAGGCACTTTCGTCAATCCTGGTGGCCACGTCTTCCAGGTGCTGACACTGCGCGAGGTGGACCGTGCGCATGTGTTTGTTGATATGTACCGGAGCACGCAGGATACCTGGTTTGCAGGTTACGCTTGGAGTATTACGCATTGTGACTCGTGCTACCAGCACCTTGGATGGCGCTTCGACCGTGTGGATTCAACACGCCTACCGACAACGTTCTTCGGCTTCAGGCGAGCAGCTCTCACGCGATCCCGGGAGTCTCGGCGAGTAGATCCTCGATCGCTGGGCTTAGACGGATACGACACCGACGACTACGGGGAGTCGGTGGCATCCAGTGAGGGTGACTCGAGCGCGAATAGCGAAGAGATGCCATTGCTGATCAGTGCCGAGTAGAAGCAATAGTTTGCTCATCTCCCTTTAAACGAAGAAACGCCAAGCGCCCCCGAACGCCCAGGAGAGCTAACATGTACTACTAACGTTAGTAGTATAAGCACTTCAATGCACCCGCTACCGTAGTGCCCAACAGCACGTTCGTGATGCCTGGGACTCTTGTCAATGCACGAAACAGATCTTCTTGCAATAGCAACTTTTAGCTTTTGGCGTCAATTTTATTGTTTTACTGTATGGGAGCAAGCTACACGAGAGGTTGCGTTGCATGACTTCTGCATTCCGTCAGCAGCCCAGCTTCGAAGTGGTCGCCTAGTTGTCCGAGACGATCCACGAGTCGAGGGCGCGCTCGTAGTTGCTGACCTCCTCGGGCTTGAACCACATGGTGATCTCGTGCTTGGCCGAGTCCGGGCCGTCCGAGCCGTGGACGAGGTTGCGGCCCGTGGAGATGCAGTTGTCGCCACGCAGGGTGCCGGGGGCGGCCTGGTTGGGGTTGGTGGCGCCCAGGATCTTGCGGCCCGTGAGGATCACGTCCGTGCCCTCCCAGACCATGCAGACGATGGGGCCCGAGGTGAAGTACTTGACGAGACCGGGGAAGAAGGGGCGCTCCGACAGGTCGGCGTAGTGGTTCTTGGCGCGCTCCTCGGTCGCCGTCATGAGCTTGAGCGCCACGAGCTTGTAGCCCTTCTTCTCGAAGCGGGCGATCACCTCGCTGATGAGGCCGCGCTGCACGCCGTCGGGCTTGATGGCGATGAACGTGCGCTCCTTGGACGTGCCGGGCACGCCGGCCAGGGGCGTCGAGGGCTTGGCCGCGGCCTTGTTCTCGGCCGCGGGGGCGGCGGTCAGCGCGAAGGCCGTCACACCAGCAGCGGCGGCCACGGCCAGAGCGGCGGGCGTCTTGATGGCCGAGGCGGCGCGCGCCTGCGTGGCGAAGGTGCGGGCGGCGTTGCGCTTGGCGGCGGAGGCGACGCGGCGGGACACGCGGGAGAACATGGGGAGGCGAGGAGGAGGGGAAGAGATGAACGTGCGGCGGCGAAGGCGGAAGCGCAAGTGGAGTCTGTGGTCGCAAATCTCCGGCCGTTGGATCGCGTTCGAGCAGGATCTTGTTGTACCGTCGTGCGTCAAACCGTCGGAAACCTGACGGACTTGATGCAGTAACCGACGCGACGAGTCATTTTCAAAGATTTGTATGGCAATGAACCTGTGGCAATATATTCCCTTGTAAACACGTTTATTATTTACCGGTAACACACCGATACTAGGATAAGGGTCAAGCCCTTTCAAAAGCGATCCGTATCTACTGACCGGTATACCGATTTCGTCGACGTGGATCGGTTGGTCATTCAGTGACTTCAGTGACCTAGACGATGACCGAGGAGGACAAGCAGCAGCAGGCGGCCGCCGAGGCGGAGGCCCAGGCCCAGGCGGGCTCGGACGACGAGGAGGAGCCGCAGCAGGCCAAGAGCAAGCAGGACGAGAGCAGCGCCATGGAGAAGCTCACGGACCGCGAGGAGGAGAAGGCCATGGACGAGAACAAGATGAAGCAGGCCTTCCAGGCGCTGCTCAAGCAGGAGGAGGCCGACAAGGAGGCCGAGCGCCAGCTGGAGAAGAAGCTGGCGGCCGTCAAGGTCAGCAAGGACGACGTGGCGCTCGTGGCCAGCGAGATGGAGCTGTCCACGCAGCAGGCGGACCGCAATCTGCGTGAGGCCGACGGCGACGTCGTCAAGTGCCTGCAGACGCTCATCGCCGCCTAAAGACGCTGCAGTTGGACGAGCTGGAGGGTTAATAGACTGTGACGCCGTTTATTTTGTTTTGTTTGTTCTAGGGGATATTTTTTTCTTGTATTTGGATGGTAGTTGTTAGTATTATTATTTTGTACACTTGATGCTGACAAGGAACGACCCGGTGCGATGACCACTAATTGAGCTTACTGTTGGGAGATGGCCAGGCCCGAGGAGATCTTTTTCCTGGCGTGGGATTTCTGGATCGTGCTCAGCATGCGGTCGAGCTGCATGTGCTTCATGTCGACGTGGCCGGGCCGCAGCACCTGCAGCGAGTCGCGGAAGTGGTGACATGCGGCCACCAGCCGAGAGCCTTTCCGGTTCGTGTGCGGGTCCAGCGTGTCGACGACGTTCTGGAAGTGCAGGCTCTTCTTGAACCGCGGGAAGCTGTCTTTGACCATGAGCCGCATGATCTCGTCGCAGGCCTCGTCGAAGAACGAGGGCCCTATTACGTCCGTCGGTGCCAGCTTGTCCATCGTCTCCAAGAGTCCGTCCCGGATCCCCGCAGGCAGGTTGACTTCCTTTGGGGCGTCTGGCTGGATATAATGCGTTCGGATATGCTTGGACAGTTCGCGCCGCTCGCCGTCGTCCTCCACTACGCGGAACTTCTCAATGTCCAGGAAGAACAGAAAGTTCTCGTCGCTGTGTTCGGCCTCGAGAAACGCCTGGAACCGCTGAGTCAAGACGCCGTGGCGCAACACGCTGGCAAAGTCACACCGCTCCCCGAACCAAGCGATGTTGGCTGCTGCACCGGCAGCAGGGAACTCCTCGAAGAGCTCTAGGATCTTGTGGAAGGGGCAGGTAAGCAGCACTGCAGCAGAGCGAGCGAGCACTTTCCCCTTGCGCAAGTTCAGCCGTTCGAAGGTGAATGGACCCAGATAACACCCGGGTGTGAGGAAGACGCTGTTGTCCAGCCCGAATTTGCTAGGCTTCCGCTGCTTGGACGTGATTTCAAGCGCGCCGTACACCAAGAAGACAAATCTTGGCTCATGTGGGTAGTGCTCATCTGGTTGTCGCAGCACAACGTCGTTTTTGTGGACCTGGTCTTCGATGTCGAGCTCGTGGCTGAAGCGGATCATTCGTTCGCTGGGTATTGACTCGAGGAAGGGCAGCACTCCACTCACGATGGCCTTCAAGAGTAATCTCTCTTTGAGAAGCTTGCTGACGCTTACTTGCACATCGGGGCATTGATCCAGCAGTGTATGGAAGGATTTTTTCTCGATACTCATCAGCATACAGCTCTCAAGTGCCTTGACGGTTGCTGCGCGAGGAATGTTGATAAGGAGCGACATTTCTCCGAAGAAGGACCCCGCTTCTAGCTTCGCCAAGGGGGTAGCTGCTCTGGAGCTTGTCACCTCTACTGACCCTGCCAGAGTCACGAACATTTGGGTGCTGATGCCTTCGTCTTCGCGGAAGATGACGCTGTTGCTCGGGTAGACGCGGATTGTGGACATTTCGGTCAGCAGAGAGAGCTTGTCGTTTGGCAAGTTCGCGAAGAACGGGATGGTACCGAGGAGACCGATGAAATCCGCATTGGTGAGCGCGTTGAGCGACGAGTCTTTCTTGCTCTCTACGACATCAGGCAGAGAGTGGGGAGGCAGCAGCAGATATTGAGATAGGTTCTGCAGCTCCACTTGAGCGCACATGGTCGACTGCAGGACAACCTCGTGCCCTGCACCCTCAGTCACGTATCGACAGACGATTTCCCTGTCAGATTTCCAGAAGAGAAATACCTCCGAAGTGAGGATCACTTCTCCTTCAAACTTGGAGCCAAGAGCGTACGCGGCGTCAGGACTATGGGGCACCATGATCCGAGGACTGCGTCCGAGAGGCATGAGCGCGCGAATGTTGAGCGAATTTTTGCCGTTTGCGTCGAAAAGACTCACGCAGCCGTCAAAAATCACGGCGAGCTGCTTGGCCTGGGCTGCAATCGACGTGCGATGGCTGGGTTCCGAGGCAACTTTACGCACTTGCGCGTGCTGGATAATGGTTTGCGTGCTGTCTGCGCCGATGAGCTGGAGAAACAGACTTCCCTCGAACACTCTGCGGACCTCCACGTATCTGTTGGCTTGGGTACCGCAGACGCCTCCCATGCTCCACAATCGCCACACAGCATGAAGGCACCTCGCTGGAAACTTGGTGATACGCATGCATGCCATGCGCATGCCGTGGGCTGCGTCTGTATTGATAGCTGTTTGCCCGCATGCGCGCTATTTTCGACTTTGTTGGCGAAGACCAGAATTATCGTAAGTTTTGAGTTAAACCTGGGCGTTGGTGGCAACTAACCGGGTATCAACTCTGCTGGTGCAGCATGGTTTGGCCTAATACGCTGGCGATAGAGCGAGAAAGCTGGCGGACACAAACGTTCCACCGGTAGACAGACGTACGCCAAATTGCCTGTAAAGGCTGCATTCGTGTAAGTCTAGCTCTAATTAGCTACACGACTACGCTTGTACTACTACTTCCAAGTATGATGAGAAGCACAAGGCAGCCATTGGGTGATTGAAGTTATTGGGAATGCTCGCATTAGGATATCATGAGGGCTGAGCTGCCACGAAGAATCGTATATTTAGTTGTGTATGTGTCCACGTTTGGCTCGAGCAAAGGAGCAGAACTCGCCTATTCCTGCCAGGCTTGCTCGTCTGGTCGAGCGGCCGTAACTCCTTTCGCTCAGCCTCGTTGTGCCGAATCACCGACCACGGGCATTTCGTGCTACGGTTCAGCGTCCGGGGCCGTCGAGCGTTCGTCCGTCCCGCACGCGCTAGGGCATCGATCAGGCAGAATTAAGCGCGGGTTTGCGGTCGCGCCGACAGCTTCTGGTGGCTCCTTGGAAAAGGATGCGTTTGCGTTGATTCCCGACATTCCCCGCACGACCATGACTCCTCCACCAGAAGCAGGAGCCCCACCGCCAACTCAACAGCCGATGACCGGCACGACACAACACGCTACAGATCTAAAGAGGCGACTCAGAGTCGTCGAGCCGCCAAAGGTACGAGCGATACTGCGACGAAAAGCACCTTTTTAGCGGTACTAACGAACAGCTTGACGATGCTGACGCTCAGAGATTCGGCGCGGACTACGTTATCTGGCACTTTTTGCCACGAGACAACTGGATACGTCTGTGGTGTATACGCGTGGTGACGCACAGATACTTCGACCGCTTCATCATAGCGGCCATCATTGCCAACTCGGTGATACTCGGGTTATCAGACTTTTCGGTGGTGGACAGCGACTTGAACCCCACCAGCTCGGGCAAAAAATACGAGGACGGAGCGCTCGTCGACGCGTACTCGCTACAGAATCACATCGTCGAGGTGTCCGAGCTGCCCTTCACAATCATATTCACGACCGAGTGCGTGCTAAAAATCGTCGCCATGGGGCTCCAGGGCCATGGCTCCTACGAACAAGATGCGTGGAATATCCTCGACTTTCTGGTGGTTGTTTCCAGGTACGAAACTCTAAAAGTGCTGCTAGGTTGGCGTATGAGTGCACTTACTTACACTTTTTCTGTTTGTTAGTCTTGTTGCATCTCTGCCAGGAATGCCAAACGTGTCAGCCATCCGAACGATTCGAGTGCTCCGACCGCTGCGGTCGCTCTCAGTTATCCCCGGAATGAGGCGCCTCATCGCCGCACTATTGAAGGCCTTGCCAGCTCTCGGAAACGTTGTGATTCTTCAGATCTTCGTCTTCTTCATTTTCGGGATTCTCGGCATCCAACTTTTTGGCGGCTCCATGAATCGTCGATGTCGCGTGACGCCACTTCCAATCAAACTACCCCTCGACGATGCGAACGAAACGATCTGGCCAGTCCCCCGCGACTACATTGACCAGGCCAAGGCGAATTTGGCGACTTATCGATGTATCGACGGTCCATTACTAGATTACGAGAGCTCTACTGGCGACTACACGAAAGAGACTTCTCCTTGGAATACCGCTCAGGATTGCTTCTGGCCTGTTGACGAGGACGACGAATTGCTGTGCGCTGCCGAAGGGCAGGCGGGAAACCATGGATGCAACAACGGAATGACCTGTGGCTCTGACTACGACGCATTTGGAAACCCCCGATTCAATCACCGCAAGGCGATGGATTACGCGTTGTATCTCCCTAGCTTGGACTGGGGGCTCACGACGTTTGACAACATCGGGCGAGCATTCTTCACCATTTTCCAGTCGATTACACAAGAAGGTTGGACGAGCATCATGTACATGGTGATGGATTCCTCGCAGCCGACCATCGGGGCGGTCTTCTTCGTAGTTCTCATCATCTTCGCATCGTTTTTCGTGATGAACTTGACCCTGGCAGTCATTTCAGAAGAGTTCAATCTCGACCAGAAACCAGGGAAGACAGCAGCACAGAAGCGCGAGGAAGAGCGAAGAGCGAAGCTGGAGAGGGAAAACGCGGAGAAGCAGGCTCGGGAGCACTGGCTCAATGCTGTTGTGTCGCACAAACTTTTTGCGGGCTTTATTATGGCTGTAATTATGGCGAACACGGCGGTTCTAGCGCTGGATCACTACCCGATGCCCACGAAAATGGACGAAGACCTCGAAATCGTTAATTTTGCTCTCTCGTGTGTCTTTGTCGTGGAGATGGTGATGAAGCTGTTTGGCCTTGGGTTGCGCCAATACTCGCGCGACAAGTTTAACCTCTTCGATGCGTTCATCGTGACCATGGGGCTTCTTGAGACGATAGCATCGCCACCGTCATTTATGTCGAGCAACCCTCCTAAGAAAGGCGCAGTCTCAGCTTTGCGATCATTTCGGCTTTTCCGCGTTTTCAAGCTTGCACGAGATTGGAAATCCTTGCGCGAGTTGCTGGAGATGATTGCGCGAGCTGTCGCCAGTATCACAAACTTCGGTGTGCTACTATTCCTATTTATCTACATTTACGCGTTGGTGGGCGTACAGGTAACTCTGCGTGCGGCAACAGGGTTATCCAAATTCGAGGACACTAACTATATGCTTATGACTGCAGTTTTTTGGCAACACCATGCGCTTTGATGACGAAGAGTACCCTACGCCGTTCACGCTTGAAGGGTTCTGGGATGGCACAGTAAGGAGTTTATCCAGTTTGAAGCTATTGCACCGGGCGACTAACATTATGCACTGACTTGTAGGTCCCGCGCAACAACTTCGACACTCTTTTATGGGCTGCAGTCACTGTGTTCCAGATTATTACGGGCGAGAACTGGAATAGCATCATGTACTACGCCATTCTCGGCAACGGCATGTTTTCCTGCGTCTACTTCATATCGCTGGTAAGTCAACATCGTCTAGTATGACGATACTTCCGCATAATCTTACGATGTGTATCGTATCCAGGTGATTCTCGGGGACTTTGTTCTCATGAATCTGTTCTTGGCCTTGCTGCTCGACAATTTTGGAGACAACGACGAGGAGCAATCGCAGGAGAAGCAAGAAGAGACGAAGAAACTCGCCCAGAAAATGTCCGTCCTGAACATGAGCATGAAAGTGGCCCCCATCACGTCCGAGAACGAGCGCACAATGACCACAAGAGGAAGCTTTCTGATGGTATCGACAGCTTTTGCGATGGGCGTTCGCAAGCAGTCGATACTTGAAATGGAAGAGGAAGGCGAAGAGGAGGACGTTCGTGTGGTCAACATGGAGAAGTTCGCAGACGAGCTCACACCGAGTGTGCCTCTGGCTAAAACGGTTTACGTCGAGCCACCGGGGCGACTTGACTTGGCCAAGACAACCGTCAAACAAGGTAGCCTCCGGTCAAGGTCTTTACGCAACCTGATGAACAGCGCGCGAAACAGCATCATCGCTAGCTCACGGGCGAGCATTGTGTCTGCTATGATAGTGGGCACTGGAGCTCCACCACAAGCTGAACCAGCAGAGGAAACAAATGATGCAAAGCCTCTTGAGCCAGAGGCACCTGAACCTGTTAGCGCCGGAAGATCGCTTTTCCTATTTGCCAAGGAGTCCAAGATTCGGCGACTGGCCTGCTACCTATCGGGTCATCCGTATTTCGACTCGACAGTCTTTGGTCTCATAGTTATCTCGTCCATCGCTCTGGCAGTCGACAATCCTCTCGCTGACCCCTCATCGGGCCTCGCCACGTTCCTGAAAGGACTGGATAAATCTCTCGCCATCGTGTTCGCGATTGAAATGGTCATCAAGATTGTCGCCATGGGCCTGATCCTACACAAAGGGTCCTATCTGCGCAATAGCTGGAACATCATCGACGGCGTCATTGTGATTTCCTCATTGATCATGCTCGTAGCCGAATCGTCAGGGAAGGGCAAGAATCTCAAGTCTCTTCGATCGCTCAGAGGTTTGAGAACTTTCCGGCCACTGCGTATGATCAGTCGACGTCCTGGGCTCAAGCTGGTGGTGAACGCGTTATTTGAGGCCATCCCCGAGGTCATCAACGTGCTCTTCGTCTGCATGCTGTTTTTCCTCATCTTCAGCATCGTGGCAGTCAACTACCTCAAGGGCACCTTCAATTCGTGCAAAGGGGACGTGTTTGGCGCGCTATCTGACGCTCAAGTTGATTTTCTCGTGGCGCCTTTAGCCTGGAGTGCTGATTCTGACCTCCAGCGCAGTTGGTTCAATGGAACGGCATGTGAGACCTCCTTCCCAAACGCTTCAAGCTCCGACTTGACCTCAGAATATGTTTGCGGGTGCTGGGGAGCTGACTGGGGGCCGGTCTTGCCCCAGAATTTCAACAACGTGGGCTCAGCCATGCTCACGTTGTTTGAGATTTCCACCACGGAAGGCTGGGCCGATGTCATGATGGCGGCGATCGACTCGAACGGCATCGGCATGCAGCCAATCCGAGACAACAACATGCTCTGGGCGCTGTTCTTCGTGCTCTTCATCATGGTTGGCAGCTTCTTCGTCGTGAACCTCTTCGTTGGTGTCATCATCGACAACTTCAACCGCATGAAAGCCGCGCTGGGTGGCGACTTCATGCTCACACCCGAGCAGAAGAAGTGGGTTGAGGCCCAGAAAGCGGCATCGCGGGTGGGGCCCGTGCGCATTCTCAAACCCCCGAGGCAGATGTGGCGACGGTATATCTTCTTCCTCGTCAAGGCGCAGGGCTTCGAGTGGTTTATCATGATCTGCATCATCGTCAACACCTTCCTGATGGCTGCTCAGTTCTTCGGCGAGTCGACTCTACAAGAATACGTTATCAACGTTGTGAACGAGATTTTCGCAGTTGTGTTCACGATGGAGGCGGCGATGAAGCTTATCGCGTTTGGCTGGGAGTACTTTGAGGACCAGTGGAACCAGTTCGACTTCTTTGTCGTGCTCGGCACGCTCCTCAGTGTCGTGGTCGAGATGTTTACCGGAGCGTCGGTGCGGTCGCTGGCCATGCTCGTGCGCGTGTTCCGCGTCACGCGCATCCTTCGCCTCGTCAAGGCCTCCAAAAGCATCCGGCAGATTCTGCTGACGCTGTACATCGCCCTCCCTGGACTCAGCAACATCACGTCTATCTTGTTCCTCATGCTCTTCATCTACTCGACGATGGGGGTGCAGATCTTCGCCAAGGTCGCTCTGTCGGACAACATCGACAGCCATGCCAACTTCCAGGACTTCGGTAAGGGTTTCCTCTTCCTGCTGCGCGCTGCAACGGGTGAAGCTTGGAACAGTTGCATGCACGACTTGGCCTCGAGCACTCCAGGCTGCGTCGACGATCCCCCGTACGACGACACCATGTGCGGCTTCAACAACTTCGACGGCTGCAAACCGCTGAATGGCTGCGGGAATCCGATCGCCTACGCGTTCTTCTGCACATTCACACTATTGGTCACGTACGTCATGCTCAACCTAACGATCGCCGTTATCCTTGAGGGTTTCTCGCTCTCGCATGAAGACGACGAGCCTTTGTTCGAGCCGGAGCTGCTTGAGGAGTTCCAGACCAAGTGGGCCGGCATCGACCCCAAAGCGACGGGCTTCGTCAAGGTCGACAAGATGCTACTGCTGGTGAACCTGCTCAAGCCGCCGCTAGGGAAGTTCGGGCTGCCCTTCCACATGGCGCACTTCTTCAAGTACATGTGTAAGTGTTGCTGCGATCGGGTGCCGTCCGGTATTCCTCATGCTAACTACAGTCTTCCTGTGTTGCAGGCCAGCTCGAGTTACCACTGTACGAGGAAGAATACGTCCACTTCCGGGACGTGCTGCTCGCCATGACGCGCGAGATGGTCAAAGTACGTTGACCCTACCTCATCATCTCGGCATTCAACACAAAATCTCACCTTACTATTTGGTCTTCTAGCTCAACGCCGGCACCATCTCCGACATGCCTCCAGACCAAGACCCGAGCAACTCGGGCGTGCCTGGGGCCAAGCGCCGCATCGAGTTCACGGCGCACCAATACTTCGGCGCGCGCCGCATCCAGCGCCAAGTGGCCGAGTGGCTGCGCATCAAGCGGCAGCTCGAGAAGAAGTACATGGAGGAGTACAAGAACAAGATCAAGAAGCCCAGCGGCCGCCCCAAGAAGCAGCGCGACGCGCGCGTTTTCACCATAGGATAGGATAGCATAGGACGCCACAGCCCCTCACTCAGTATGTATAGCACCGTACGCTTGATCGTTTTTTTATTTTTTATTTTTATGCGGTTATCGCAGATTGCAATCAGGGCGAGCTCTGCATCAACCCCGCTGACCGGGCCCACTGGGTACCCGGCGGCTACGGCTGTCCTTCCCTGTCTCTCACTCTTAATCTACTTGGTCTACCCACTTTATGCACTGGAACTCTTCCAAAACTAACACAAACGCTGTCACAAAAGCAATTTATGTGCCAAATATGTCCAAATTTGCGCCGCGTTTGCTACTATGCATCAACCCGACCAAAACCAGCATATTTGAGTACATGGCTACACTCACAGAGTGGCTTCAGTTTTGGTGGAGACGAGCAACTACAGTTCGGCTCCATGCGAGAGACCACCAGCCGCCAGCTTCTGCTGGCAAGCGAGCTCCAAAAAGCTCGTGCGAAGAAGCGAGTGTTACTACTCCTACGGCTGCGGTGTATGCTTCCATTTGATCGCAATGTTCTAACTGTTGATGCGTTGATCGATCCTTCTAAATCGCCTTGGCACACTCTGTATGCAAGTCAGGATCGTGGAAGCTTTATAGCGGTTGTTTCCATTGATCCCCAGTCATTTGAGTGTTTGCTAAAAGCGTTTAGTGTGCATTATGTTGTTAAGAGTGGAGTTGGAAAGTCTGGCCGGCCGCCCAAGTTCATTTTTAAGCATGCTGTGCTCGCTTGTTTGCTGCATTATTACACAGCCGCTGTAGAAAACAAATCTTTGTGCGAGCTTTTTGGAGTTCCTCCGGCTACGTTGTCGCGTGTCCTAGCTAAAGATGAAACTGCACTTTGCGCCTGTCTTAATGATCTACCAGATGCCAGAATCCGCTTTCCTTCAAAGGAACAGCAACTCGAATGGTCACGTTTAACTCAAGCACGGGAGCCGCTAGTTGAAGGAATATGGGGCTTCGTTGATGGCAAGAATTACCGCGTGCAAGAACCGACAAGAGCTGACTTGCAAAACACTACAACGGTTCGTAGCACACCTTGCTAGGAACACATTTTTTAAACTATTTGTTTTGTAGGGTGGCTTCACAGCACTTTGGTGACTGGCACACTGTGCTACGGTGTTGATGGTACATTGGCGTGGGGGCGCCACAATTGCCCGGGTTCGTGGAATGATCGCGAAACAAGCCGGCAATTACAAGAAAAACTTGCCAATCCTGATTTTACTGTGCCTGGAACCGGTGTTGCGACCGACTCCGCTTTTCCAGTGGCTCGGGAGGCAATCGGCAAGATCTTCACCCCTCTAAAAGATGGGGATGTTGAGCGAGCGTCGGCTGACTGCCGTTTAGTAATGCTCGCATTGCACAACGCGATAACATCTCTGCGCCAAGCAGCTGAATGGGGAATGGGACCCGCGTCTAAGTGTTACCGTCGGCTGCTTCTACCTCTTCCGTACAATGCAGACAAACGACATGTGCGCCTGTTGAACGCGTACTGCACGTCTTCCCACTGAGCCGACCCGAGAGGCAGATGCTGCTCTACAAGTGCCAGGAGACCTGTGAAGCACACGCCGAAACGCATTAGTCATTAGCAAACACCAATAAGGAGGTAGCAATCGCACGTACGGTCAACTTGAGCGGTAGTAAAGCCTCTGCCTCTGCCGTTGGATCGGCGGGCCATGGCTTGACTGATGAGAAGCTTGAGAGCGCAGAACGTGAAGTGCCTTAGGTGCTGGCTGGAGCAAGTAAGACTGACTGATGTAACTGGTGGTTGAGATGTGTACCTGAATATTGGTACGCTTCATTTGCGCTCGACGCAATTTGTGGAGACGTCAAATTCGTCTCCACAAATTACGACGGATTTGCTACGAGAAATACGACATATATCAGCAATTATCAAGTTTGCGTGGGTTTTGCTAGAGCTCCACTGCATACACGTGAGGGCGGGGGGACTATCACGTATGGATGTATGCATGATTCTCTTGAATTCGTGTGCGTCTGACCTCATTTTTGTATGAAAACTTTTGCGTTTCATGTGCGTCTGCGCACACACGAATTCTTTTTGCCCGTGGCGACCTTTCCATACAAACAGATATGCAGAGTCCTTACGAATTTGTGTGCGTCAAACGCACAGAAAAACTACTGTGAGCCTCGAAACTCAATTCCACTCCATGCTGATCGGAGCAGCAAGAGTCTTGCTACGGGATTAATCGCTTGATAGAGTGCGCGCGGATGGTTGTGGGCTCTATATCGAGACGATCGAAAGTGTTTGCCGTGCATGGCCACGTTCACAATTCCCAAAAGTTAATAAAGGGCAGACTGGCAGCCGCGTCCTGCATTAGCGCCCAGCCGGCGTCGCCAGAGCGCAACATCAATCCTTGTGCTACTGCATCCACGCTAGGGACGGCACGGTCGTAACTAGGATGAAAGTTAAAACGAGCTGGTATGCCTCTAATTACCGGTTCACACCTGAGGGGAGATTCTGGCCGCTCAGACCGGAAGCTCCTCGTGCAGTTCGCGTGTGATCTCCCTGCAGAGAGCTCACACGCGAACTGCACGAGGAGCTTGTGGGTGGAGCGACTCATACCACCATGTGCGTCGCACGACGGTGCAGAGCTTGCTGAAATCATTACCGCGTGCCGACACCCTGCGTATCGAGCTAGAGCACCCTTATCAGCGACCAAGGAGGATGGCAAGAAGAGAGACGCGAAGAAGCGCTGCCATCGGACATGTTCACGCAGGATGGGAGGACCGTGTGTGGACGTTGCCACTTGTTGGGCTGTAGTAGAAGCAATTACCGACGCTCGCTCGCGGCCTGCCCTTACTGCAACCAGCGTGGACACATCGGTGTCGAGTGCGAAGCTCCTTAGTCGAGACGAGGGGACGGTGGTGGTTAGATCCCCACGAAGGCGCAATACCGCATACGTTGTATTACGTGCAAGTAAAGTGCGTGTGTTAGGTGGTGACGCCAGCACTCACCTACCGGTCGGTACTGCTGCTAGCTCTCTGGTTCACCCACGGTGGATGAACGACTCTGGCTGGGTGGATCCCCGAGTCGCCACTCGAGCGATAGCAGACGCCACGGTCCGCACCTTTAAAATGGTTAACGCGAAAGTGAAAGGGTTTATGAGCTTCTCGGCGCGTCGAGTTCGGACTTAACTGGACGTCCCTTCAACAATGTACGGGAATCTCGGGAAAATAATAAATTCGGTTGTTCCTGGCGAGTCTAGGGATGCTGAAACTTTGCTTATCTACTAATATGTCCGTCAAAGGAGTAATGCCAAAGTGGCTTCTCCTTTTCTTGTCCCGTTCGGCAACGAGGACATGGTGTGTATTCCCCCTTACTATTTGTCAGTCATCTTGTCGCTAGTAATGCGCGATCTTTCACCCCTACCTGAAAGGTCACACAAATACATATAGCTTTTTATATGCTGCATAAATAACGGTAAGAAACATCGCAGAGGCGCCAGGCAACGCCAACTTTGAGGATAAATCGCTCGAGATCTACATACATTTAGCGCTTCATACAGCGGCATTACCCAAACTAGATGCAGGGCTTTCTATCCATGTCGGTCTCAACGGCGATGTTCCTCTTATTGAAGAGTTAAATTCGCCGAAATCACAGGTTTCCGACCTGTCATGTGCATTCATGAAGGGACGCCCAGTTAAAAGACCAGCGCGAGAAGCTTGCCAAGGTGACCGACAAGATCACTTGGCTTGTCGTTGGCTAGTCAACAGTCGCACACCACTTCGACTAAGTACAATCGCAGGTTAGTCGCACACATTTTTGCTACATATGAGAAGTTTTTCACCCCTCTCTCGTGTGTTTGTCGAGTCGACTCGTCGTGATCAGGTTGGGCTCGCATCGACTTGTAGCTGCTCGGAGTTGGTGGTTGTGCCTTGGTCATGGCCTAGCCCTTGGCGCCGCTCTACGTGCCACTCCTCCACATTAGCCTGAAGCGCCTCCGCATGCACTCTTAGCACCGTATCAAGGCGATGCGCTGCTCGTGCGTGTTGGCGGCGTCTAGTTCTGATGGTGTCGTTGATCTCGTTCATGAGGGCCCCTTCACGGGCACTCTGAATTGCCCTAATGTTTGATTGGCACGTGCTGTTCCAATGCGTTCTATTGGCGCTCCACAAGCATCGTAACACGCCCCAATGAAGTTTTGATGCACCCCCAGCCGTAACCATAAGCGCATGTGCCCATCTCAATGTGGTCTCAGTTGCTGAAGGCCAAATCTTCTACCCGATAGGTGCCCCATACAGCTCTGGAAACCGGTTTAGTAGCCAGCTCCGATTTGTGCTTAGCACCATATCCATTCCAGTTGTCGCCATTGCACTGTGCCACGTGATCAGCGCTTGCCGGGCTCCATACACTTTTGTTTCCATTCTGACGTTATCCACTACGAGCCCGTCAATCGAGAAACCGTGACTTAGAGCAGCAGACCACTCAGCAATCCATCGGTGATGCTCCTCGTGGCCACAAGATTGAGTAACAATGCCTATCCACAACCCCCGAGGGTTTTGTGCTGTGATCGCTCGCCTTTCCGTCTTTACGGTTTGTCGTACCAACTGTCTTGTCCTCATTTGCATACAGCCAGCAGGGACGTGTACAAACCATTCGACACCTATGCGTTCTACCGCTCTATGTGCAGCCGAGTCGTCGTAGCAAGCAACCCATATAGCTTTGTGTCGGTCTTAGGACTGGAGATACTTTTCGCAAATGTCCTCCCACCTATCCTCCTCCGCGGGGAGATACGTATCGTCAATCCACATAGCACTGTGACCACTTCCGCCACTACACTTGAGGGCATCATCGTACTTCGGATAACGAGAGTCGAGCACTCCAGTAATCCATAGGCCAGTGATCTGACTCGGATGGTACTGGTAGTGCATTGCCTCGGGGTGGCACGCATGTGCGGCTCGTTGCAACTGCACTGGTAGAAGACGCCCAACTGGACCACGTCGGCAAAGCTGCAGTTCCAACGTAAAAACGTGACCCGCGTACTGCACCCACCGCCAATCCCTGATTAATGCACTAACATGAGCTACGTGAACCCATACTGTGAGGCTAAGTTGCACCATCACTTTCCACGACCCAACCTCCTGTGATTGATACGACCAGCCATTTCGTGGCATCTCCCTGGTACAAGGTATTCTTGATCTGGTATCCAAATTGGGTCACACAAAGCCTCCATTTCATCGTTGACATCGAGACGAAGGCGTTCCGCTGCTACACACTCCTCAATGCACGCGCCGTAGCGGTGGGACTGAGTGTCGAGCCGCGATTCGTCACATAGTCTGCAGTTAGGGTCCCAATTAACGTGGAGTATGTGTTTTCTGACATTCGTGTGCAGCACATTCGTGATTGACCTCCAGTAGAATCGTTTTTGTGATTCGTCCCACGCCAGCAATTTGACAGTGTTCACATTGGTGACACACGCAGTTTCGCGGTCACTGCCACGGGTCCTTTGAGTCTGGATCCAAGCCTCCTTCCGCTTCGTGTTAACTAAGCCTATCATGAAGACTCGTGTTCGCCCAACCACTGGTTTGCCGTCTGAGTCCACTAAATGCACGTCATCCCACTTTATCAGTTCCGAATACGACCTTGGAATTTCTTCGTCGTGACTTCTCGCCGCGTCACCATCCACGTCTGCTAAAGCTTTACGCTCCTCGTTAAGCTGGACATCATCTGAATATTCACATTCCTGGTGGGAACGTATCCACTTTGCGTTAAAAGTACCCCCAGGGCACATTAATGCAACCATTGACCGGATTTCAATTCGATGTCGGTTGCTGTACTTGGTATAAGGAGGCCTCGCTCCGTTTGCAATAGCTCGTGCCGTTTGCAGCGTCACGATGGCTGCTTTGTTGTCGCACAGTTGGGTGCCAGAGTCTCCTGAGACAGCAAGCCCTGCGATAAGCGCATGACATTCACAACGCGTTGACGTGATGTCGGCCCAATTAGGTTGTAGGCGTCCTAACCGCCGCGTTGCGCCGGTCCGCAGCCCCCAACCTCCTCTGGCTGCTCGGGTTCCTCCATCGTGTACACTACCGCCCCAGGCCGGGATTGGATGTGGACGCGATGGAAACTCACTGAAACGAACCCATAGCTCCCGCGACGCAGGTGTTATCGCTGCCTCGCAAGTCCTGCAATTCAAGTGGTGCCATTCGTTGCAAATCACACATAGTTGTGATTCTTTACGTCGGTGGCACTCACAGCACGCTCGGTTTATTACTTGGACCCCTCCAGTCTCCATTACGTGTTGGTGGCGGTGTACAGATCGATTAAACGACTCCAGTATGAACCCCCGGTCCATCAGACCAGTCACTCCCCCGACGTACATATCTGTCCAAATAATCACTCTGTGCTGCGTTATACGTCTTCTACCGCTTGGAAGGCTTACCACTTCAACCGGGATAAAGATATCGGCATACTCTGTGACCTCACCGTCCGGCCGAGGAGTCCAAATTCCACTGTCTGGGTTGCGCTCGTGCCACCACTGCACCCGGATCTCGTCGCCATATCCTAGTGGCTTCTCAATTACCCCGTCGCCAATTCGTTGGCCCAATTCGTACCCGCGTAGCAGAAGACCCTCGTCACTCTCTTCAAACTGGTTGACGATAAAAAATGATCTGGGGCGATATCTAGTCTAGGCATGTCGAGATGTCTCGTGTCGATTACAGTGCATCCTGTCGGTGCGATTAGATTTCTGTAATTGGGGTGGCACAGCTCGCTACCAGGTCATCTTCTAACATGGAGAAGTCTCGTAGTTGCTTGCGTGTCCAGTGATGTATCCGGTCCAGCTTTGACCCCAGTACTAGTTGTTTTCCATTGTTGCTCGCGATATCCCCGACATACCTCACTTTGTGTGCGTACTTGATGTTGTATTTCAGCAACCGCCCGCGTAATTCTTCCGATAGCTCTTGCCAAATTGGTCTATCATTCGGTCGTTTGGGCATACATTCATCTGGATTCACACATTTGACGTCTACCCTTGTGCCAATGGACACGGCCGCCCGCAGCGTCTGGTGGATCCACTGTTGGAGATGACTCGGGGGATTTATTAGGATCTCTAGTAGATGAGATGTGAGTCCAGCTTGTACTTAGTATCTCTCAAAAGCCTCCACCAGTAGGTGATAAGCTGGTAAGTGTTGTGAGTTTAGAACTCTCATTACCAACTCAATTCTAGCGACATTGCTCATGTCCTCAAAACTAGCGAGACCAAGGCCTTGGTTGTGGTCATGGAAGACGGCTTTTGGGGTATTGTGAAGCAGTCTCAGGACCTGTTTAGCGGTTCTTCTTACTAAAATGTCGATGTGCTTGGCAACTTTATGCGAGACGTTTAGCTGCGTTCGGTATTGGACGCGAGGTAGCCAACCGTGGTTCACGATGTACTGGAGCTGACGATGGGACAGCTGCAATCGACTAATCCTCTCCGCTTCCGACTTCAATGTGCTCCAGACAGGTGCAATTGTCGAGCTCCATATATCACCAGTACTTTGGAATATTCCGAGGTGCTTGAATCCTTCTGACGGGCTGACAACAGTCACCGCCATCGGTGTACCAATGCCATTCTGCAGGCACACAGTATTTTCAGCAATACTTTGGGGGTTGCACTGAAGCAGGAACGATTTCGCGGCGCCGAATACTCCTCCAGTGCCATTTATTCCTGTGAACACGTTAGATACGGCCACTCGATGTTGAATTCCAGCACGCGTCGTCGCAACATCGATAACATCATCAACCAAAACTGTTGCAGTGATATTAACAGCCCAGAAGCCGACATGTTCAGGACGGGTGAACCTGATGAATAGTGCCTTGCACCGGTTTTCGACCGACGGTCGTTTGTGGACGATATCTGCTTCGGTGGGCGGACATTCGACGATTGCTTGGGAACGCTTGACCGATTGCTGCAACACTTCACTGAATGCCGCATCAGCGTCAGCTTCCCGAAAAGCATCTTCGCCCAGCCTAAAGTCGACTTCCTGTCACATGGGGTGACCTCGGCTGGAATCCAAGCCGACCAGAAAAAGAAGCTGGCGATAGCCGGGCTGCTGTTCCCGACGACGAAGAAGGGGATGCAAGCATTCTTAGGAGCGCTGAACTACTACGACCGGTTCATCCACAACCGGGCTGTATATGGGGCGGTCCTCTATCAGCTGAAGGACGAAGACTTTGGACCCGGCGGTGATCTGACGGCCGCAAAAGCGGCGTTCGCCGAGCTAAAACAGAAGGTGGTCGACGCACCCATACTCCGCCACTTCAACTCGGCTGAGGACGTCCACGTTATGCTATTCGCCAATGAGTGGGCTCTGAGTAGCACGCCGATGCAGCTCCACGACGGGAAGCTCCATCCAGTGCGGTTCTGCGGCCGAGTTCTCAAGGATAATGAACTCGGCTACCATCCCGCCGAGAAAGAAGTGCTCGCCTTGCTGCAACTCATCAAAGTGTGCCACACGCCGCTCGCCGGGAAGACCATCCGTGTTTACACCCGCTACTCGACTCTCGAATGGGTGTTCTAGTCGAAGTCGCTCTACGGCAGACCTGTCAGCTTTGCAGTGTTGCTATCACCGTTCCATCTCAGGGTTAAGCGGGTCCGTGAACGAGAAACGGACTTTGTCCAGTTGCTCCAAGCGTCCATCACGCCAGCAGAAGGACTGGACGAGCTACTAACGCGTGTCGCTCCGCCGTCCAAGAACTCGGCTGTGGTCCGCATGGACCCAGAGTTGCTGTATGAGCATGTGCCCCGAAACTTCAAGGGGCACGTACTGTCGTTTGACGGATCGGCGAAGACCGCTAAACACGGCGGGTTTGGGAGTTGCTCTTGGATCCTGTGACGTTTGCCAGACTGGAGCATTGAGATCGCTGCGAGCGCGCACCTCCCATCGCCCACGATGAATATAGCCGAGTACACCGGCATGAACAATGGGGTGACCTCGGCCATTGAGCGCGGGGTGTCGGCTTGCGATCCAGCAATGGGGGTGATCGCGTGTAAGAAGGAGGCATTGCAAGTCGAGTTGGCACGCCACAAGAAATTGGCCAGCAAGCTGAATTCAGTTCGCTACCTCCATGTAGTGCGTCTCTACAACTCGGCGGCTGACTCTTAAGCGTCTGAAGCACTGGAAACCAAAGCAGGAAAGGTCGTGCTACGCGCCGGACGGAAAGTCGAGTTGAAGACCCTAAACAGGATCTCTGAGGTCCTGTACGTGGACACGGACTCGGCTACAGCTGAACGTAATGACTGAACGAGATAGCTGACCTCCGCCCGCTAGACAGCGGGTGACGGGAGACTGGTAGCCGAGCTCGGAGAAGCCCGGGAGCCCAACGCCATGGACATCGATCCGGTAGTGGTCCAAGCTGAGCGCCGTCTACGAATAGCAAGAGCTCAGGACGAGGAACAAAGATAGGCCGACTTGAAGACCTACCTGAGAGGGGATTATGCGCAGCTCACACATCACCGAGCTCACAACGCGGGTAAGGTTGCCGACGAGTTTGAGCTCAGCGAAGACGGGCTACTGTACCAACAAGGCAAGGCCAGACGACCTGGCGAACTCGGCGAACTGGGCTTATCCCTTCGGCCGGTGGTCCCGACGACCATGATAGACGAGATCCTGCAGAACGGCCACCATTCCATCGAGGGAGGCCACCAAGGGATCGTGCGGACATACCACAGGGCCAGAGCCGACTACTACTGGATTGAGTTGTACGCAGACGTGGTCAAACATGTCCAAGCGTGCGAAGACTGCAGTACCAGTAAGAGCAAACCGCACCTGAAGGGCTATTCACCCGACAACGTGGTGTCTGAGCGACCGTTTCACGTGGTATCGATGGACTTTGCCATACCACTGCCGAAGACTCGGCGGGGCAACACTGCACTCCTGTTGTTTCAAGACCACTTCACCGGGTTCGTGATTGCTAAGGCGATGAGTGAGACTGGGGCGGGGCACTCGAGGTAGCGAAGGCCTTCGAAGAGAATGTGTTCCGGAGGTTTGGAGTTCCATCACTGCTGCGCCACGACATACATCCCCGGTTCATGAGTGAAGTGTTCCAGAAGTTCTCCGAGATGATGCAGTCCAAGTCGAGAGCGACGCTGAGTTACCGGCCACAAGCCAATGGTCAGCAAGAAGGCTCAGTGAAGACCATGATCCAGGCTGTGCGTGTGTACGTGGAAGACCCTCACCAAGCCGACTGGGATGACGTAGCCGAGATGCTCTTCCATGTCATCAACAATTCGAGTGACTCAACTCGGCGGGAGACCCCGTTCTACCTGGTACACGGATGGGACGCTCGGTCTACACTCAAGGCGATGACCGGGTCAGTCAGGCTCGGCAGGGGCAACTCAGCTGACTCGACTGGGGCAGCCGAATGGCGCAGGGAAGCAAACCGACAGAGAGATGACCTTGAAGCTTGTAGCCGAGTTCCAGTTGAAGGAGAAGCAACGGAGAGCGAAGGAACACAATGCCAGACTCAGCCGAGTCGAACAGAGAGCTGTCCCAGCCGGAGAGGAAGGGACAAATACCCCAGCGAACTCACCCGAGGGAGCAGCCGAGTCGACTGAGGAAGGTGACGAGATAGCCGAGTCGAGGAAGTCACTATTGAAGGAAGGTGACCAAGTTTGGTTGTTCATGGAACGAGTCAGACCTGGCTTGACCAACAAGTTACCACATCGATGGCATGGGCCATTCCGAGTGAAGAAGAAGGTGGAGGATTTTGCCTACGAGCTCGAACTCCCGGACAAGAGCGGATACCGTTTCTACCCTGTGATACATGTGTCACGTCTGAAAGCGGTCACGGGACTCGGCGAGCGGCCGACAACTAGGCTAGTAGCCGACTTAGCCGAGTCGGATCGTCTCGACTTTGACGAGGAACTCCTTCCTGAAGATAGCTGGGAGCCCGACGAAGCAATGAATGAATACGAAGTCGAAGCCATCCTGGACGACGAGTTGCCGCTCTCTACGAGCACCTCCAGAACTCAGCGGAAGTTCAAGGTCAAGTGGGTTGGCTATGATGAACCAACCTGGGAGCCGCTGTCGAACTTGTCGTGTGGTGGATTATTGTCCGACTACTTACGGCAGAAGAAACGTGAAAACCGTCTGCAAATGGTACAAGTTGCAGACGAGGATTGAGGCTATTGCACCAAGATGATGAACCCGCCAACTCAGTGAAGACAGCAGGCTGAGTTGAGACGAAGAAAGCTACTGCGTCAAACCTGTATACATCACATGAATTACATACCGACGAAATGGCAAGAATGAAGGATGGAATCAGGAGTCATGCTGCACATCATGGAGAAGTAGGAGCCTACGAAGGAGCCGTAGCTGCAGCTGCAGCGAGAAGGCTCGTGGCAAGCCCGGCCGAGTTACTTACTGCCTCCGTGTCCCCTGCAGCCGAGTCCACCGAGCCCGAAGTTGGAACAGCCGAGTCCGCCGAGCTAGAATCAGGAGTAGCCGAGTCAGCAGAAACAGACGCACGCAGATCGGTTGGAGATCCAGGCGATGCAGGGCCGAAGAGAGACGCTGTCGGAGAAGGGCCGCACAGGTTGGGCGACTCGATCAGCGGAGACGTCGGATCCACGTCACCAGCAGCCCAGCCGAGTTCGCCGACTTCACAACCTTGGAAGATGCGAATCCCAGCTCGGTTGGCTGGGACTGGAGCACTCGACGAAATCTGGAGAGGAGCTGGCTCGTCGAGACCCACGTCCTCTTCGATGGCATCCTCGATGATGCGCGGATCGAGCCCAGCAGGAGCGAAAACCATGAACTCCAAGTTGCGAGTCCAGAAGCACGTGTTGTACGGATGGGTCGCCGGGTCAGTCAGCCATCAAGCCCTCCAAGCCTCCGATTCATCTATGGACTCGGCTTCAGCACACCAGTCTCTACCCGCGGGAATCCAAGCGAGATTGACCAGCGGATACAACGGGACCGACGGCTCGAAGAAAAGCTCCGCATCGATTTCCGGGGCAGCAAGCCCGCCGAGAAGCTTCATCACTACAGTGAACAGGTCGTCCGGGCAGGATAGTCATGATATTTCGGAGGGCATCGCCTCGACGCTTGCGAGCCAACTTGTACAGCACCCACGTGTCATACATCTCGGCTATCAGGTGATACGGGAGCCCCGTGTGAAAAGCCGGATGGAGCCCCATCAGCACACTCGACTCGACCATCCAGTGACACCGCTCGATAAGCGCTACGAAGAACTTGGTGGGACCCTCTTTGTCACAAGCCAACTTCGGAGCCTCCCCACGGATCTTCACGAACACTTCTGCGAGACGCTCCATCAAAGTCACCGACTTCACCGTGTTCGCCAACCGGCGCTTGGCATCGTCGAGGACTTGAGGGGAGAAGAAGATGGGAGTCTTGGGAAGCAGACGAAGGAGCCGCTGAGCCGGGTGAGCCGGATGGTAGACATCCGCGAACGTTTTAATCCCTGCGAGGGAACAGAGAGTAACCGGCCGCTGCCCTTCCCAGACGCGTCATCCACAGTGAACTTGGCCGTTTGATGACTGAGGATAGCCTCCCAGCACCGCCGAGACCCGTAATGAACGAAGCGGATGTCACGCAGCTGAGCTAGCTGGGGAGTGATCCGGGCATCTCGACCGACCGCCTGGCGAGCTCGAGTGCGCAGCTGAGCGAGCGAATAGCGTAAAGCTGCTGGCAACTGAGGGAGAACGTGGGCGCCAGCATCGTCGTGAGCGGTCACGATAGGGACCGACAGGGTTGAAGCTGGACCAGCAGAAATAGGCGACGGCAAAACAGCCGACCTCGATGTGATACCAGAGCTCCCAGGCGAGTTGCTTGTCGAGCTGGAAGCTGCCGAAAACCCAGCCGGGCCGCTGGCCGAGTCCCCAGTCGAACCTCGCTGACGCTTGGACGGGCGGGGGTCCTTAGCCGAGTCCGGAGACGCAGACCTCTTCGATTTCTTCGACCCTGCCGGCTTGGACTTCGACTTCGACTTTGACTTGTGTTTGTGCTCGTGCTTGTGCTTGCGCCTCCGCTTGCGCTTGCCCTTGCCGCTCTGCTTCTTGGAACTCGGCTGCGAGTCTGAATCGCCCGACTCACTGGAAGGGACAAGAGGAGATTGACGGGCTGTCATGTAGCTCTGAAGTTTCCCGTGCGGAGGCGGAAGAGAAGGGGACGACGGAGTACCGTGGAGATCGTCCGAGTCGACTGGGCTGAGTTCGTCAGCCGACCCAGGGTCTTCCGCTGTGGACTCAGAATCCCCTGACACGGTCAGCGGGTGTGCCGATGTCCCTGGAGCATCCAAGCCAAGAGCCGAGTCAGATGAACCAGAAGACGAACTGCGCCGAAATGAACGGAGAACGACGTAATCCGGAGTCTCCAGCAAATCCAAGCAGTGCGCGTTCAACACTCGTGCGGTGGCCGCAGTCCGGCGTAGTGGACGGCCAGGAGATGTCATCCCAGTCGAGCTCACAGGAACGGTCGGTCGAGTCGACGCTGGAGATAAAGTACCCGGCAAAGACGTGACCACAGTCGACGCAACTCCCGACAAACCTTGACGACCCTGGTTCAGACTTGGGACGGGAACAAGCGAGTAGTCGGTGCGTTGGAGAACCCACGGCAGCCCGGGACACCTGAGAGGCTGAACCACCGGAAGGCCGAGATGTGGTGATGTGAAAAGGCTCGGTGGATTTCGCCACCGAACCCATGTCCAGCTGACCCGTATCAATCCAGGATGCTGACCTGTATCAATCAAACAGACTTCAAGTGCGTCATGGCCGCGATGGATCGGGACCACCAACTGTCGGACACGAGCCGTGCGACGAAGGAAGCTGAGCCCGAGGTCTGGGCGGAGCTCCGCTCAGACTGTGAGCTTGGGCGAAGATTGTCTGAGATCCGAGATGTCTGGTGTTGGGTATCCCAAGTCTGAACTGAGTCCAGGAAGCAGAGAGAAGTTACGCGGAGTTTGAGCTGAGCCTCGAGTGTGATGACCAGAGTCCCCGCCTAGGTCGAGGAGCTGAGCGGAGCCGGGTGGAGTTTGAGCTCAACCTCCCCAGTGGTTGTGGGGCCGTCGCCCAAGATGCCGAGATGAGTCGAGGAGCAGGCGTCCGAACGAGGTCGTGCCGAGCCCGGCTTTTACTGTAATCATGGAACCTTCACCCAAGTCGACAAGCTGGGCAAGGATCGAAGGTCGGAGCGGAGTGACGTGGAGTCCGAGCCCGGCCTCGAATGCGATGTTTGAAGTCTTTGCTCAAGTCGAGAATCCGAGCGGAGTGTTGCAGACCTGAGCGGAGTGGCCTGGGCCCGAGTGGAGTTGTCGGAGTCCGGTTGAAGTGCCGGGTGAAGAGTCGCTGAACTTAAGTCCAGACAGTGGTACTGACGGCGAAGTTGGTGGCACCGGCGAGTACACTCATCCGGTGAATCAGCCATGAGCCAGCCTACATTGGGTGCGACTGCTCAAGATCGCGGACACTTCAAGCGGATCTCAACGGCATCCAGCGGCTCCAAGACGACGCTCGCCGACGTGGAGCCGCCGCATTGGCCAAGACCAAGGATATCGGGCGGATCTTCAAGGGTGCCCGGTAAGCATACAGCCGACGCTCTTCGCGCAGCCAGTCAGTGTGTACCCAGGGGGATATTGCTCCCCCACTTAGTGAGTCCTAGTTTGTGCATGTGTAACCATTTAAACAGAGTTCGTTTTGCCCCGAAGGACGCAAGTGGTGGAGGTGTTTGGCCATAAGGTGTCTTGGCGATCATCCACACAAATTCAAGCTAACATATCAACGTTGTCAGAGTGCTTCGGTGCGACGGCAGTACGGTTATTTCATATTACTGTTACATCTTAGGGTGTACATATTTTCGGGTGGAAGGTGATCCATTCTGAGGTTTAGGCAGGGTAATTGTATTGTGTGGTTGGGGACATTGGCGTGCCCCGGTGCATTGTGTGATTATTAGTATCGGTTCATTGTGGACCTGGTGCGCGGGTAGTCCCAGGGTGTGTGTGAGTGCCTTGGATTCGGGCTAGGCTCAAACCGAGTCGCTAACTCCAGACCGGGTCGTTGCTTGACTCGAAGAGAAGAAAGGAGAAGCTGGTACGAGCCTCACCCAGGCTCAGAGAAATAAAGGCGAACTCGGCCCAAACCCAGGCCGACCGGGAAAGAAGGGGTGTTGTGGTTCTGAGCCGGAACCAAAAAGAGGAAGTGGAGGCTATATTGTGTGTGGTGTTGTGTTCATTAAGCAAAACCCAGGGCATTTCGGGCTGTGGACACGTGCGGGCTGGGACTCGCCATGCGGGTAGCGAGTTTCGTCTGGGAACACCTCCGGAAACCTTCAACATCGACAGGAGCTGGTGTGGCCGACGCGAGTCTGGGCCCACAGCGTAGCCGTGATCAAAACAACCGCCAAGGGGATCGCAGAGTGAGGAACACACGCCTCGCCCGACCCGAGTCGGAGCTGAGCCACGCGTTCAAGCGGCTAAGCCTAGCGAAGTGGAGTGGGAGAGTTCGCTCCGTGGAAGGAGCTGAGTGGAACTCTTGCAGCGCTAAGCTGGGGTGAGCCAAGTGGTGCAAGGGCTGAGCGAAGACCAAGGTCGAGCGGTCTAGCAACCTGAGCCTTTCAAAAGGCACGGACGCTTCGTCACACGTGGTGCGCGCGCCCGGATCAGGGATACGACTTTGGACGGACAAGCTACAGTCATGTCGACTGCTGCTGATTCGAAGGAAACCAAGACTGGAGGTGAGAAGAGCGAGTCTTCGCTTCGGCGAAGTTTGAGAGTGGCTGGATTGCCAGCCGAGGTGGTGCCGACGGAGTCTGGGACGCCCAGGGCGACAAGATCGACTGCGGAAGCCCGGACACCCAGTGCTAAGGGAGAAGCTGCGTCGTCAGGCGAGGTTGCGCCAAGCGCTGAGCCGGAGGTGCCACCAATGACGGAAACTGCTGTGCCGCCACCAAGTTCGCCCGAGAGGAAGAAGTCGGAGGATGAACAAGGTGGTGGAGCGGGTGCTCAGCCGAGTGCTCGTGTTGGTGAAAGTCCAAGCCTGAGAGAGCCTGCTGTGAGTCGAGCGTTGACGCCGCGCAGGACTTCTGAGGTTGCGACTGCAACTTCTCAGCCGCAAGGTGTTAACCCGGAGCCAACTGCTGCGGATCTCCGTAGTGGCCAAGCCGAGGGTGGTGCACTGAGGGTGCTGGAAAGCCGAGAGATGCAGCTGCGAGCTCAAGGTGCTGCTGGGTGACACGATGTGGAAACAGATTTTTGTCTGCACCCATGTCCGACCCCATGGATACGTGGACCCTTCGGTGAGCTGTGATTGGTCGCATGAAATGGAGATCCGGTAGAGACGAGTGTGACGTGTGGATTGTGGATATGTGTGGAGATTTGGTGGGACCCGGCACTTGCAGCAAGCATGGGCTCACAGGATTGGAGATGCGCCCACCGGATGAGCGCTCATATTCGGTGCGGAGTCACGCATCCTGTCCGTCCGCCGACTTCCCTAACTGCAGGATAGGCCCAAGGCGCGAAAGTGGGGCCAGCGAACGTATCCTGGTCACTGCCTGCATTGGCTCAGTCAAGTTGTCGGACCACCCCACTGAATCGCCCCACCAGCCATGATCACACGCGCACAAGACCCTGTTGGATGAAGCCTCGTGTTGTTCGGACCGGATCGTGATGCACCCGGTGACGGCGTACCGAATGGAGAAGTGCCACACCGGATGGGGACGGACAGGATCGTTCATTCGGTCCGCCTCCCGTGCCCACACTGGATGTCGACGCACCAAGAACAAGTCCAGTGCGCGCCGCGTGTGTTCACACAGCGGCGTCGATCCGAACCGAATGAGACCAAGATCCCCCAAGATCCACAGGCGGCACCGAATTTGCCGCAGATCCAAGGGAGAGGTCCAGTTCCAAGACGAAGAGACGGTGTACCCAGATACCTCCGTCATCATCTGATGAGTGTACCCGAACAAGTGTCGCCGTCAACAAGTCTCCGCATACCGAAACCAAGACAAGCATACTGAAGAACTGCCAAGAAGCACAAGCATACTCAAGACAAGCGAAGCATAGTGAAACCTATATTAAAGTCAGCGAAGTGATAGAAGATAGCTAGCCAAACGTAAGATCTAAACAGAAACCAATTTGCCGAAGTACACGCGGACGACTCTGTGCTCGGGGCAGAAGTAGCACCCCGACTTTGAGGTCTTCAAGAGCCCTCCAGGAGACGGCTTGCGCGCAGTCTAAGCCAGTTTAGGGAAGCTTCCAAGGCCTCACTGGTGTAGCGAGCACTGGTGTAGTGGGGACTCAAAGGTACCAAGGCAAAGTCGGCATTGACTGGGGTGTCGCACCCCGGAGTGACCTGTGAGAGCTTTATTTTCTATTTGCGTGCTCTAACCGGGCATCCATTTCATATTCCCTACTGTGTGTCTTTGGTGGTTGAGGTAGTCACCCCCCAGACCGAATTGATTGACTACTGTGTGATAGGACTGAATTATATTTTGTATTGTTCCCTCATTCTGTGAAGGTGGTGCGCGTAAGTGAGTGTGCATCCAGGGCTGGCCAGTGCCTTGGGTGACGGCTCCGAAGTTGACTGGTGTATAGACCCCCCTCAAAGAATAAGTGGTGGCTGTATATTTTGTGACGTTTAGCCTGGCATTGTATTTCTGTGTGTTGTGTTGGTTATTCTGAATTACGGATCTGACTGGGTCCCTTTCATTCGGTCTGACCTTCTGTTCATTCGGTGTGGTTTATCCCAGGAACACACCCAGCAGACTTTATTCTGTATCGCAACAACTCAACTCGGTGAAATCCGGTCCGCCAAAGGTAAACGATACCTATAGAGGTTGACACAAGGACACACGCGAAACACCGGACCGCATTAGTGCGATTCGGTGCGTCCAAGCGGTTCCAGGCCCGGGTCATTCAGTGTCCCGTGGGCTGCTTATCGCGTGGACAATCTCTGGTACTCCGAACCCGAATTCATTCGGTCCGGCATAGTGCGCTGTACACCCTGGACGATAAAGGCGTTCACCCGCCTCGCCTCAGCTGGTGCGCGCGCCCGGATTTGGTTGCCTAGGGTTTCACCGCGAGTTGTTTGTATTGATTTGGTCTTAAGGGGCGTTTCTACTGACTACCTGGACTACCGGTTCCGTTATGACTGGAAGGAAGGAAGCACGTGAAGGTGGACACGGAGGCGGACGCAGTGAGGCGTCGCGTCGGTCGCGTCGAGGACAAGGGCTGCCGCCGGAGGAGCACAAGGCCCTGAACGACGTTGTCCGGGAGGCTCGGAATGCTAGTGCTGAGAAGCGCAAGGCGGCCCTGGAAGAGAAGAAGAAGGTGTCGGCGACCGTTCAAGATCAAGCGGCCCCGGAGTCCTCCGTTCTGGATGCGCACCAAGCAAACCAGGATGAGGCTCCGGAGGCGGACTCGACCGAGTCTGTGCCGGCCGGCACCGAATGTGTCCCAGACCCGGCGACGGGACTGGATGAGGGTAAGTCCGCACAGGATGATGAACCCGCCCAGGCGTCTGTGGGAGGCGCCGATGAGGTTGAGCCCCCGGCTGAGGATCGAGTTTCGGCCTCTCCCCAGACGGATGACGAAGTCGAGATTCTGGATGAAGCCCCGACGATCAAGCACGAAGGCCCGCTGTCGACTGTCCAAGAAGACGGCGTACTGAGCGACGAAGCCGAGACCCGGTCTGCCCCTGCGCCATCCGGTCCGGCCGCGACTGCCCAAGCACCTGCGCTCAAGATTGAAGCCCAATCCAGTCCGGCGCCCTCGGATTCGCGAGGACCCGACGAGACCAAGGCCCAAGTGAGCGAGGCTCAGGCGAAGGCGTATGTGGCCGAGCAAGTGCGCCGCTAGGAGCAGCATCGTGAAAGCGCTGTGGTCCCGCTCAAGGTGGAGTATGCCTGGCCCGAGCCGGTACCCGACTTCACCGAATGGTGGGCCGCCGCGCTGGCGACGTCGAAGTACCTGTCGGACCGAATGGCGATGGCAAGTCAAGACGCTGCATGGATCGCGGAGCTTGATTCGGTACGGCTTGAGCTGTGTCTGGCCCAGGATGTCACGGGTATCGTGATTCCGCCGAGCATTCTCTCGCCGCGCGAGTGCGTTGAGCTCATCCAGTCTCTCCTCTTCGCTGCCGGTTTCAGGTTTCACAACCTGATCCCGATGTGGTTCCAGTCCAAGTCCTCCAGAGTCGCACCGAGCCTGGAGCGCTCTGTGGTCGAAGGCGTCCAGCATTTCCTCGCGTTCGAGCTGATCGAGTGGCGCGAGCTGGCATCCGGTGTGCCCTTCAAGATCGTACTGGATGCGCCGGACGTTCAAGACCTGACCGGACCGAATGCTGGGGACACTGGATCAACGCCGCAGCAACCTGTGCGAGCACCGATCCTGGACTACCATGCTGAAGAGAACGACGGAGATCTATTGATGTCGGATTGCGAGGCTGGACTACTGGGTCGCGAGTTTGTCCTGCGTCAACGAGTGGCCGGACTCCGGCGGACACGGAGCCCGCAAGGGTCGTCCACCGCGAACCGGATTCCAAGCGCCCGCAGTACGGACCGCCTCGCCCGTCGTCCATCCAGTCCGCGTCGTTGATCCCGTCCGCGCCGCCGCTGTCCACACCGTCGCTCTCCTCGCTCCCTTCGTACCATGCATCCAGCGAGTCTGGACGCGCATCCGGTACCGGAGCGGTGGTTCAGTTCGGTCCGCCGTCCCGTTCGCCCTCGGATCTTGATTCGAGCTTGTTCGGTAGACGGCCGGTTCCAACGAGTCGACATTCAGTGCTGCATCGGGAGTTCGGTCGTCCAGAGGCAGCTCGTCTTCGTCGTCGTTGTGGTCCGGACACGATGCTGCGAGGCACATGTCCGCGATTGGGTACGGACCCATGGTGATGACCGCGCAAGCGGGGGTGATTCAGTCCGGCACTGGCGGAGGAACCGTGGAGATCACCCGGAGCGCACTCCCTCGGTCATCGACGGCGGTGGGTCAGGACGATGTCGTTATGTCGGAGTTTGATCGCACCACCGTTCGGAGTGACCGAAGGTCGAGAGCGTCATCCGGTCCGCGAACGACGCCCAGGCGTGCGAAGCGGAGTCCGTCACCAAGCGAGTTGGATTCCAGCGAGGATGACCGGAGTCACCGCCGAAGGTCGTCGAGGTCGAAGCGCGCACCGAGTCGGTCCAGCAGATCGAGTCGATCCGGTCGGTCCAGCCGCTCCGCGATGTCTGTGATGTCGTGGGCCTCCCAAGCCGCGCTCAATACGATGCGCCAGACTCCGGAAGCCCTTGCCAGGATGGAGCTAAATCAGGAGGCGTCCGCTGCGAACACAGCTCGACTGGGTGAAGGACTCCAGAACGCGTTCCACGCGATTCAAGAGCTCGCCGGTCGCACCGCTACTCTCCAAGGCAGTCGGCAGACCGGATTAGGACAGAATGATCCGATCCCGGAGCCCACGATCCTGTCCGGTCCGTCCCCGGTGTCGCCGATCCAGGAGCACGACGTGGCCGCCGCCATTCAGAGCGCCCGCGCCGAGGCGGCGCGCCTGGACCGCGAACGTGTTGCCACGGAGTTCTCCGAGCGCTGGAAGCAGCAGGAAGCGCAGGCCGAAGCCGACCGAGCACGCTGGGTCGAAGACGTCCAGCGGGGACTGAACGCTCAACTGGATTTATTCCAAGAGCAATTCCACAAGCTTGAAGCTGAGCGGGAGAGGGAGCGAGAATCTTCCCGGAACATTCAGCGGTTTCGGGTCCACCAGTTGCACAACCTTCGTGCAACACGCCAGAAAAATCCAGCTGCTTAAGCAACATCGGGACCTGATTCGGTGTCGCAAGTGAAGACAGAGACCGGGCGTGCGACTCTGCACCCGGGTGCAAGTGCGCCTATCCAGTCCGACCAGGCCCCCATCGTGTCTCCGACGCCACGCGCCAACGAGCTTCTAGCAGCCCAACTCCAAGCGACGATCGATGGTGTTCTCAAGGCGCGAGCAACCAAGGCGCGCGCTGCGCAGGCTGCGCCGGCGAAGGGCAAGCGAGATGCCCCCGCGAAGGACGCCAAGAAGTCACCCGTGAAGGGGGAAGGCTCCAAGGACGCGAGGGACACCGGGTCTGGCGCGCGCAAGCGCTCATCTGGTAGGCGGGGCCGCGAAAGCGGTGACCCCTCCGGATCGGACCCGGACTCGAGCTCGGACGACGGCTACGACGAAGGCTACAGCTCCAGCGACTCGGATGACTCGCTGGCTAACGTGCCCACGCACTCCACGTCGGTGACGACACAGGATGGCAAGACGGTGATGAACTTCAGACCGTATGTGAGCTCCGGCTCGCTCGAGGACTTCGACGACAAGGCCCCATACCAGGAACGGACAAGATGGTGGGAGCGATTCCTCACCCTGACGGTTTAAGGTGGCTGGACAGACAGCATGAAAGTCTACGAGCTACGTTTGAAGCTGCCTTCGTCTGCCCGCAACTGGCGCCAACAACTGCTGAGGCACACACGCGACACCTGGAGTCTGCTGTCCCGCGCGTTCAAGAACAAGTAATGTCGGTCGAAGGTGTCCGATTCGGAGCGATACTATACCATGGCTCAGAAGCGGACCGAATCGGCCCTTTCTTCTACCGACTGAATACTGGGGCGAACAAGGCGAATGTGAATTTCAAGAAGTCGCCGAGGACGCCGGAGATGCACATCAAGCGGTTCATCCGGAACCTCTCCGAATCAAGGTTGCGATCCAGTCTGAAGAGTCAGCGCATACACAGCATTGGCGACCTGGAGTTCATTCTGCGTCAGCATGAAGAAGACTACCAGGACAGTGAACGCGACAGCTCGTCCAGACCGCGCGACTTCCGCGCAGACAATCCGCATCGAGATCGTGACCGAGACCGAGATCGCGAGCGGTACAGACCGAAACCTGCGGGACGTGCTTACATCGCACAGAGCGAAGACGAATCGGATGAGTAGGATCGACACGTGCGCTTTCACGATGAAGTGGAGAACCGCGCACTGACGACCGCACCGAAGCATGATCCGGTCCCGCCTGCTCCGGCACGACCAGCCGGACCAGATCCAACCCTGGCGGTACTGAATGAAGACGTTCTGCGCAATGCGGTGTTCCGTGTGATGACGGGTTCAGGATGGAAGCCGCCGCCACCGGAGCAGTAGCCAGGGGCGTCGAGATTCGGTCCGTCTTCCGCACCGCCGTCGCCAAGAGGAAGTAATTCGGACTGGCACGAGTTCTGCGAGAAGTGTGAAAGGCCTGGACATCGACTGGAGAATTGCTGGATGGACATCGTGTGTGACCGCTGTCGCCGTCGAGGACACCCGATGCGGGTTTGCAAGACCATCGCGTGCAGAATCTATAGTCGGTTCCATGACGGACTGTGTGGATTTGCGAAGACCGTGGAAGAGCTGAAGAAGCTGGCACAAGAAGGAGCCCTGAAGGACATACCGAAGAACATACTGTATCAGCTGCTGGACGACAAGGTAGATTCAGGTGGGCAGTTAAACCACTAAGCCCGCTGGGTGGGGACCCAGTACGCGCCGGGCGTAAGCCCCCTGAATTGTGTGTGCTAGCCTATGTCGGACCGGAGCTGAGGACCAACAACCAAGATAACCACCAACAATGCATGATTTCTCTGAGCAATGACGACCCGATTCAGTCTGATCAAGTTGACGACCATTCTGTAGGGAACCATTCTGGATCGCGAGGACCGGACAGGCAGACCGAATTTCGGCTGGAACCCGGTGAGCGATACGGATGGTGGGTTGATCACCAACCGGATAAGGACTCGCATGAGGTGGCTACGGTACATGGTGCAGTGAACGATTTGCGACTGGAGATTCTGTTGGACACTGGAGCGTCGGTGAGTATGATCAGTTTGGATCTTGCGCGTAGACTCAAGATCAAGCTCAACCGACACAAACTGATCAAGGTGTCCGGACTGGGTGGCAAACCCACCTACATCTCTGCCAGCACCCAAGTCAAGATCACGCTCGGTGCGAGAGTGGTCTATGTCATGGATGTCTGGGTCGCGAATATCGGTGAAGGTGTGGGTATATTATTGGGTATGAACTTTATGTTCGGTGCTGGAGTTCGGTTATGCATCCGCGAGGGACTTTTGCAGCTACCGGATGAAGAGCCTATTCTCATGTACGCAGACAAGGTGCAGCGTCGGCAAGAGATGAGGTTGCCGGTCCAAGCGCCGGAGACCCTGTACCTCCGACCTGGTGATGAAGCTGTCGTGCGCATTTGGTTCGGCCAAGCCAACCCGCAACGCGAAGTGGTGTGGGCCGGACGCGGCGACCGATGGGTGACCAAGATTGTGTACGGGACGAAGTCCTGGCCCGAGGCGGTCAAGGTGGTGAACATCTCGGAGTACAATCTCTGGATAACGGTCGGAACGACGTTGGCCTACATTGTGGAGTATGGATTTTTCCCATCAGTGGGGCGTTTTGTCCGTCCGGGATCGAGGGAGTACAAGGAATGACAGGTGCTGATTTACAAGAACACTTTGTCGAAACAGGGCAAGCTGCGCGAGCAGCGTCGCCTACAAGCACTTTGGGATCGTGAACCGCCCGCCGTGGAACCTGCAAAGTACGCTTGGCCGACCAAATTGATGATGCATCCGGACGGAAAGAAGGACGTGACATGTTTCACAGCGGTGTTACAGAATCCAGCAGTCAAGTCGGACAAGATTGTGGAGTTGCCTGAAGATCCAGTCCTGCATAACCTGGTTGAGGAGGAGGAGTCGTTCAAGCGCCTGACCCCCCTGACCAGCGAGGCTGAGTCAGACAGCACATCGAGACCCGCTGCCAGTCAGAATGGTGATGAGATCTCCTTCGACGATACCGAATCGGATGATGACGACGAGTTCTTTGACGTGGTCGCACCGGATGAGAGTGCCACACCGGATGAAGAGGAAGACACCTTTTTCGACGCGGTCGCACCGGATGAACACGAAGTGTCGGAAGACGAACCGGATGAGACCGCGGAAGATGTGTCCGACTTAGCTTCCCAGATTCTGTCCGGCACTCCCGTCCAGAAGCTCAAGATGGAGTACGAACGGGTTATGCGACTGAATGTTGAAGAACTGGATTTTGAGCCTGCCGTGTACATCCACGAAGGTAGCGATCTGTTGTCGCAGTTGCGAGATCAGCTTGCCCTCCTTCCGGAGGTACAGGATCTGAGCCCCGAATGCGACATTGACACAGCAGATGTTGGTGAACCTGGTGTGAGCAGACCGGATGATGAACGCCGGTTGCGTGGCATTCTGAAGTACCACCGGCGGATTTTCTTAGGCGACGGCAATGCAGCACCTGCCCCAGCTCGTGGAGTCGTTTGCGATCTGGATGTGGGAGATGCCAAGCCGGTCGCACAGAGAGCTCGTTCGGTCGCACCGCAACTCGCGATGAAGGTGTATGAGTTGCTGAAGAAGTTGCTGGAGACCGGATTGATCGAGACGTCCACATCACCCTGGGCCTCACCAATCGTGATCGTGCTGAAGAAAAATGGAGTCGACATTCGGATGTGCATCGACTACCGACTTGTGAATGGTTTCATCCAGTTGTCCAACTACCCACTCCCGCTCATCGATGACCTTCTGATTGGTTTCGAAGGTGCGATGTGGTTCATGAGCCTGGACATGGCCAGTGGCTTGTGGGCGATCAGGATGACGGAGCGAGCCAAGCTCATTTCGGCGTTCGTGTCGCCATTCGGTCACTACCAGTGGCGACGCATGCCATTCGGTCTGAAGAATGCTCCTTTGGTCTACCAGCAGATGCTCAACAATTGCTTGTGGGGTTTTGTCCGGTTGCCGTCCGATGAGGAAGCCGAAGTGGACCAGGACGTACTGGATTATCTGGGCTTGAAGCCGCAAGAGGGCAATGTCGCGCTGAGCGGTGCCGAATCTGACGAGGAGATCCTGTCCGGTCGACAACTTCCTGCACTGACGGACCAGATGACAGTGTTCCAGCGCAATATTCCGGCGCCGATGCGGATAGGCCCTGTCCTCGGACGGAGTTCGTACATCGATGACATCGCGCACGGGGCGCCTACGTGGGATCAACTGTGTATCGACCTGGATGCCCTACTTTTCCGGTTGCGGTACTGGAACATTTCGGTCAGCCTGCCGAAGAGCGAATTCGGTAAGCGCTCGATTCCGTACTTATCGCACGAGATCAGTGCTGAAGGGCTCCGAGCGACACTGAAGATCGCCAAGGGAGTACTGCCGTTCCCGTCTACTTTGAAAGGCATTCAGTCTTTCCTGGGCAGTCTGAATTACTACCACAAGTTCATCGAGGATTTTCCGGTAGTGGCCGCAGTTCTGTACGAGCTGAGTGGTGATCAGGTGCGCGCCGGCAGGGACCTGTCGAGGGCGAAGGAGGCGTTCGAGATTCTGAAGCGGAAGATCGTGTCTACCCCGTTGCTCCGACATCCGGACCGAACTAAGCCGTTCATCATCATCCCGCACGCCAACAAGTGGGCCGCTTGCGCAGTCCTTGGCCAAGAGCATGACGGACTGATCCAGCCCGTGCGTTTCACGGCGCGCGTACTGAATGAATCAGAGATTCGGTACCACGTCGCGGAGAAGGAAGTCATTGCGGTCATGAGAGTACTGGATGTGTTCAGGACGATCCTGGAGGGGTGCCCGTTGATTGTGTACACCCGTTATTCGGTACCCAAGTGAGGGATCCAGTCCAAATCTGCGGATGGACGCTGTGTGCCGTGGGGCGTCGCGCTATCTCAGTGGGATCTGGAAGTTCGCCGTATCCAGCGAGACAAAGACGGTCTGGCTGCTATATTCGGTGCGGGTATTACCCCCCCCCCCCCCCCGGGAACATCTGGACCGGATCGCGGAGTCGTTGATCCCGGCCAAGGGGCGCGTCAAACCGCCTCCGGTTATCAGCGTGGAAATGCTGGACGCCAACTTTGAAGGGATCGTGCTAAGTTTCGACGGAGCCGCAAAGCCATCGACACGTCAAGGGAGCTGCGGATGCATTCTGTGGAGCCTACCTGGTTGGGACGTACTGGATGCACAAGGTTTCATTCTGAACGACGTCACGGTAAACGACGCGGAGTATCACGGCTTACTGAATGGGTCGACCATGGAACGTGACCGTGGGATCACGGACCTGATTGTGGTTGTAGACTCTCGCATCGTGATACAGCAGGTGCAAGGGCTGATCAATTGCAACCAGCCCAATCTCCAACGACACTTGGCCCAGTGCAAAAACTCTGGAGGGGCGATTCGGTGCGCTGCGACTGGTTCACGTTAAGCGTGAGTACAACTCAGCCGCGGATTACCTAACTTCCAAGACATTAGCGCTTGGTGCCACGTCGACCGTACAGGATGAAGAGGAGCGAACCCACCCGCAGCGAGTGTCGAAGATTCACGAGAAGCTGATGAAGCCAGTTGTTGTGACACCGGATGTGGCCGAAGCTGGGCAAGACGTACCGAATGGAGATGCGACCGAGGCAGCAGCGACACCGGATGAGGTGACACCAGACAGTGCCGAACAGGATCCTGAGGCAGCACCGCTACCCAACTGTGCTCGAGTCATGGCGGTCTTAACCCGGTCGAGAACCCAGGAGCAGACCGAATCCAGCGAGCCATTGGGTCCGCTGGAGTTCCAAGCTGAACGGTGGCGAAGAATTTAGGCGCACCAGGACCAGGATGAGTTCATCGCAGAAGTCAAAGCGTATCTGAGTGGAGACCTGGATCGATTCTCTCCTAGGCGACTACGGAAGATTGCGAAGCTCTCTGACCTGTTTGCGCTTGACGCCAGGGGTGTTCTGTACCGACTCGCGCGTTCCACACGGGACCGACCTCGGGACGTACAGGATGAACCTCGCCTGGTGGTGCCCCAGACTCTGTACGCCGACCTGTTGCACTACGCTCACGAGGACTTCCAAGGTGGACACCAAGGCATTACGCGCACACATGAACGACTCCGGACCGAATTCGATTGGCCCGGTATGTACGCCAACGTCGAGCGGTTTGTGAAAGAGTGTGTCGATTGTACAAGCGGAAAGGGGCGACCTCCCAATCCTGGACCGTTGCCTGGTAACATCGAACCTCGGCGTCCATTCGAAGTGGTGTCTATGGATTTTGTGACGCACATGCCCAAGTCAGCACGGGGAAACACTTTCCTGCTGTTGTTCCAAGATTCATTCTCTGGCTACGTGATGTGCAAACCCATGTCGTCTACGACGGCACAGCATGTGGCTGAGGCATACGAAGAGCGAGTCTTTCGGAATTTCGGTGCGTCGTCGATGATCAGATACGATCAGGACCCTCGCTTCATGAGTGAGGTGTTCACTCGTTTTCGAGAGCTGTTGGGTAGCCGTCAACGTGCGACCCTGGCCTACCGCCCTCAGGCGAACGGCCAACAGGAGCGGTCCGTCCAGACCGTCATTCGGAGCGTCCGCGTCTACATTGCCGAAGCTGACCAGTCTGACTGGGATGACCATGCAGAACGACTTATGTTCGCACTAAATACCTCTTTCGACGCGACCATACTGGATACACCATTCTATCTGGTACACGGTTGGGACGCACAGCGAACGGTGTCGGCGATGCTAGGGCCGAAGCCATCCAGTGTGCCCGAGCGTACAGCGTACGAGTGGCGTCGGAAGTTTCAGCGCGACAACAGCTACGCGATCGCATGTGCCGAGGACCTTCAGAAGCAGGCGAAACAGACACGATCTGAGGAGCAGACACGAAGGTGGAAAGAACTCTCCGAACGATTGAAGACCGGATTCGAGAAGGGAGATTCGGTGTGGCTTTACATCCCCAAGGTCCAGACATGATTGAGCCGCAAGTTACCTCACATGTGGCACGGGCCGTTCAGGATCGACGAGGTTCATGACGACTTCCGCGTGAAGCTCAAGGTTGAGGACACAGGATACCGCGTCAACCCGTCGGTACACATCAGTCGCCTTAAACCTCGAGCGCCGTTCCCGAAACGACCTACCGTAGAGCTCGAACTGGATGACGACGACGATTTCTATGCGGCGTTGTTGCCTGAGGATAGCTGGGAGCCGGACGAACAGAATGCCGAGTACGAAAAAAAGATTCTGGACCTCCGGTGGACTAAGCGTACGCGCACGTCCAAGCGAATTCGCGAGTACCAGGTCAAGTGGAAAGGATATGATGATCCGGAGTGGTTGCCAGTAACCCAGCTCAATTGCGGTGCACTTCTCTATGAATTTAACCAGAGTGCCCGCGCTAAGGCTCGGTTCCAGTCTATGCAGGCTGGTGATGACCACCCCAGTGTCTAGCACACCGGATGACTCGACCGATCCTGACCGCGGATATGTGAACCGACTGAACCTAAATGTGATTTTCGATTGTGGATTTGATAGTGACGACGCATGGATATTGTGAATGAGACTGAGTGTTAGCAGACAGAATGAACAAGTGATCGTGAAGTGAACGAGTGTGAACGGACCGAATCTGGACGTGGACGGAACGAATCTGGAGCAGTCAGACTGAATGGGTGACAAGGGAACGAAAGACAAGTGATGAACATGAAGTGTGTGGAATTATGCAGTTAGCGGAAAGCGACACCGAATGTGCGACTAGTTTTGGTGCTCGGCAGAGGCCCAGTTGTCGCGCAGCTCGTTTGGAGGCAGGATCATGTCTCGGATCTCGTGAGGACGAGCAGCGACAAGGTCGTTGGTGGACCATCCGGTCCACTGGATGCGGGCGGGTTCCGCGCGGTCCAGGATCGCCAACTGCTCTATCATTGTGTATGGCTCGGTGCCGAGGTTTGTCTCCGACCGGTCGAACAGGATCCAGTGGCACAGCTTGGCGGGGTACACCCAAATGCCTGGTTCGTACAGGATGGTCTTGGGCGCTCCAGACGCTTTCAGCTTGGCGATGAACTTGTTGTAGTCCTTGATGGCCGCGTCATGAAGTTTCTTGCGTGCCACTTGGACCCTAGCGGCCTCCACGCTGTCCGCATCGAACGTGATCCAGTGACCGGCGTGCCAGAAAGTCAGCGCGTTCTCTTTCATGTAGGTCACGACCTCGGACAGAACCTCGAGAGTGCTATCCGCTAGTGTGCTGCGCTTGTGGAACAAAAGGTGTACGACGCGTCGTCGGATCATGCGCCCACCAGGATTGCTATCCAGAATGACCTCATACTCGTCGGGCCGGAACCGCGCCTTCAGAGTTTTCGAACCACCATTGTGGTTCGGTGCGTAATCGGGAAACCCGGGAGACTGGTCGACAGCGTTGACCGTACTGGGTGCGAACGTAGTCAGGATCCCCTTGTGACGCCAAGACGTGACGCCCGGACCCGGCTTCTCGATCACCTTCAATTCTTCCGGTGTGAGCTCGGTCATGTCCTTGCGGGCCAGGGGCGATTTCTTGCGGTCATCGCACGGCCGGGCCTTCCTCCGTTTCTTGTCTGAGGGTGCACTGGACACCGAATCCGGCTGTGACGACATCGAACTGGTACGACGCTTGGACCTGCGAAGAGGCGACACCGGATCTTGAGTGCTTGATGAGTCCTGTAACAGTACTGGCAGCGCACGCAGCTCATCCTCTCTGACCTTGGCCCGAGCGATCTTGGCTTTCTCTTCCGCACTGGGTTCTCACGTGGCGTCACGACTCTCGCTGTCGCCCTCGTCGTCATCCGGTCCGAGAAGCAAGTCGCTGTCATCCTGAGTGTAGTCGATCAGGTCTGGCCAGTATTCCGGTGTCTCGCTGTCGTCTGCCCACCGTTCCAGTATCGCCTCCGCGCGCAAGTAGTAAATCTCCGGGACGTACGTCGTCCAGTACGTGGAGTCCAAGCGATTCCAGAACATCATGCGCGCCAGCATACAGGACAACTCGAACAGGAAGAACATGTCGTGGGCCACCGTGTCCTTGTCCAGCAGTTTCATGACAGCGTGATACGTTAATCCGGTGCGCATGACCAGCTGGACGTCGGTACGGAGTTTGCGCCACACGATCGGGAGGTTGGCCAAGGAGGCACACGCAGTCTTCTCTCGTCGATCAGGCACTCCTTGCCGACCGGGCGAGCAGCGTCGCCTGACGCATCCCATGCAATAGGGCGCCACTGCACTTGGTCCGGCACCTCACGTTGACGCTTGGCCGTACCGGATGACGGTCGTGCAGAAGCCTGCTATTTCGGTCTGGAGTCGCCGGTGAGATCCACAATGGAGACGCGCCGGCCGCTTGGTTTGGTGCTCCCGCTCGATCCAGAGTTGCCATTCGGCCCGGAGTCGCCACCGTTATCTTTCTCTTCGGTGTCATTTTCGTGGCGAAAGTCGAACGGACCAGGCTCGGCGAACATCTCATCTGCCGAAGTGACGTTGATCAGTGTCTGCCATTCAGGTGGCGGAGTCGTACCGAGCTTGTGACGCTTGAACAGCTCCTCCAGGCGACGCCAGTTTCCGGTCACCTTGGTCTGGTTGCGGTTCAGGAAGTTCATCATTCGGTCCACGTCGAAGGCGTGAGACGAGAGAGACTCGACACACTTGTTGGACGTACCGAGCTTGGCCTCTAGCGCTGCAATCTGGTCCCACAGAGACTGCTTTTCGCTTTCGTGCTCTGCCATCAACTTCTTGAAGTCCGCCCGGTAACGCTCGGCGGTCCTCTTCTTTTCCTCCTTGAGGTGGTCCGTGATGACCTGCCACTGCCCGACCAACTGACCCAACGCGACCCGAAGCTGTGTGTTCTCCTTCTGAGTGGCGAACAGCATGTCAGCCGTACCGGATCCCTGCGTCTCCACTTGGTGCCGCATGAATCGATACTTGACGAGCACGCCGCATGATGGTGGTCATACCGAATATTCGCGTAGCCAAGTCACGGCACTCGTAGACGGACAGAATGGAAGCCATCTCGCGACGCGCAGAAAGAGAATTGAGCAAGGTCTCCAATTCGGTCGGGTTGGGCGAATCGTCGAGAGGGCGAAGGAAGAACTCGTTGACGTCCTCGCGCTCGCCGACCAGCTCATTCAGCTCGGCCAAGTCTGTAGCAGTGAGCCCCTCGATCGACGTCAGCACTTCCAGTCCGCCATACCCTTCGCGGACAAAGTGGTTGCTGCCGATGTGATCTAGACGCACAGGGACGCTGACCATGCAGAATGCGCCGTCCGGCTTGTACTCAGGAGGACGGTCCCACACGGCTGGAGACCCGTTGTCAGCTGGCGCACCGAAGTTGGTCGCTGCCGGGAGACGGGCATGGCGAGGGCCTCTTGCGTGGACAGGATGCGCCCGGAAATACTGCGCTGCTTGCGGAGCACGCGCTGGGTAAAGTTGTCGCCCTCTTGAGTGGGTGGAGACTGCCGACCACTTTCATTGTCTTCGTTCTCGGTGTCTGCACCCTTGTTGGAATCGATGGCGCGCTTGAGCGTCGTAGCGCCGCTGCTCATCTTCTCGGTGGAGTTGCCGCCTTGATTGGCGCTGTCGCTAGACGCGCGCTTGTTGCCGGAGCTGCCGGCGCTTCCATCCGAGCCCAAGTTGGCACCCGCGTCCCCGCCTCCCCGTGGAGGAGCTAGCGGAAGTTGTGCCGGGCTCGATGGCTTGCTACCAGGCGCCCGGCCGCGTCGTTCACTTCGGCCATGGCGCTGATGAGTCGCTCGATGGAGAATGGATTGTGTTTTGAGGCAGACTGCTTCTGCCAGTTGGATTGTGATGTGTGAAGACCCGCCACGGAGACGGGACGTTGGATGACACGCGTTCTCGGAAAGACTCTCTCAACGGTTTTGCGATTCGGTACGACCCTCCATGTGGAGTGGGAGCCATCGTGTATGGGTCTGGTCATGTCCTGTCACCTCGGTGGCAAGATCCTCTGTGAAAAAACCTGAGCAGAGGGGCAGTTGACACGATGTGGAAACAGATTTTTGTCTGCACCCATGTCCGACCCCATGGATACGTGGACCCTTCGGTGAGCTGTGATTGGTCGCATGAAATGGAGATCCGGTAGAGACGAGTGTGACGTGTGGATTGTGGATGTGTGTGGAGATTTGGTGGGACCCGGCACTTGCAGCAAGCATGGGCTCACAGGATTGGAGATGCGCCCACCGGATGAGCGCTCATATTCGGTGCGGAGTCACGCATCCTGTCCGTCCGCCGACTTCCCTAACTGCAGGATAGGCCCAAGGCGCGAAAGTGTGGCCAGCGAACGTATCCTGGCCACTGCCTGCATTGGCTCAGTCAAGTTGTCGGACCACCCCACTGAATCGCCCCACCAGCCATGATCACACGCGCACAAGACCCTGTTGGATGAAGCCTCGTGTTGTTCGGACCGGATCGTGATGCACCCGGTGACGGCGTACCGAATGGAGAAGTGCCACACCGGATGGGGACGGACAGGATCGTTCATTCGGTCCGCCTCCCGTGCCCACACTGGATGTCGACGCACCAAGAACAAGTCCAGTGCGCGCCGCGTGTGTTCACACAGCGGCGTCGATCCGAACCGGATGAGACCAAGATCCCCCAAGATCCACAGGCGGCACCGAATTTGCCGCAGATCCAAGGGAGAGGTCCAGTTCCAAGACGAAGAGACGGTGTACCCAGATACCTCCGTCATCATCTGATGAGTGTACCCGAACAAGTGTCACCGTCAACAAGTCTCCGCATACCGAAACCAAGACAAGCATACTGAAGAACTGCCAAGAAGCACAAGCATACTCAAGACAAGCGAAGCATAGTGAAACCTATATTAAAGTCAGCGAAGTGATAGAAGATAGCTAGCCAAACGTAAGATCTAAACAGAAACCAATTTGCCGAAGTACACGCGGACGACTCTGTGCTCGGGGCAGAAGTAGCACCCCGACTTTGAGGTCTTCAAGAGCCCTCCAGGAGACGGCTTGCGCGCAGTCTAAGCCAGTTTAGGGAAGCTTCCAAGGCCTCACTGGTGTAGCGAGCACTGGTGTAGTGGGGACTCAAAGGTACCAAGGCAAAGTCGGCATTGACTGGGGTGTCGCACCCCGGAGTGACCTGTGAGAGCTTTATTTTCTATTTGCGTGCTCTAACCGGGCATCCATTTCATATTCCCTACTGTGTGTCTTTGGTGGTTGAGGTAGTCACCCCCCAGACCGAATTGATTGACTACTGTGTGATAGGACTGAATTATATTTTGTATTGTTCCCTCATTCTGTGAAGGTGGTGCGCGTAAGTGAGTGTGCATCCAGGGCTGGCCAGTGCCTTGGGTGACGGCTCCGAAGTTGACTGGTGTATAGACCCCCCTCAAAGAATAAGTGGTGGCTGTATATTTTGTGACGTTTAGCCTGGCATTGTATTTCTGTGTGTTGTGTTGGTTATTCTGAATTACGGATCTGACTGGGTCCCTTTCATTCGGTCTGACCTTCTGTTCATTCGGTGTGGTTTATCCCAGGAACACACCCAGCAGACTTTATTCTGTATCGCAACAACTCAACTCGGTGAAATCCGGTCCGCCAAAGGTAAACGATACCTATAGGGTTGACACAAGGACACACGCGAAACACCGGACCGCATTAGTGCGATTCGGTGCGTCCAAGCGGTTCCAGGCCCGGGTCATTCAGTGTCCCGTGGGCTGCTTATCGCGTGGACAATCTCTGGTACTCCGAACCCGAATTCATTCGGTCCGGCATAGTGCGCTGTACACCCTGGACGATAAAGGCGTTCACCCGCCTCGCCTCACGGGCCCGGTCCAGCTGAGCTTTACTCCGGGAGCTGGATACTTCGGAGCGTCAAGTGGTGGCGGAGCCTGGTCAAGTTCACTTTGGCCGGACCAACGCCCCTACCAGAGGCTGAGAGGAGTCCCCGAAGGAGTCGAGGCTGACGGCCGAGCCTTGGCCCAGCTGTCTGAGCTGTCGGAAGTCGAGATGCTCGCGTATGACCGAACCCAGTTCGAGATGTGGATGTCTGTGCCCGCTGGAGTCGTGCACCCGGTGGATGTGGCCTATTCGCCATGCCATGGAGGCTACGATCTCTGGGGTTTCATCCGAGCGGCTGGAGCTACGGCCAGACACTTGATGTCTGTGACTCGGTCGCCCGCTGCGAGATGGCTGAACGTGTTCCATCTGAACGTCGAAGGATCCCTGTCGTCTCCGGCCTGAAGGCAGTGCGCGTGGCGCTGAGACTGATGCCGCCCATTGCATGCGTCGCTCTGTTGCAGACGATGCTGCATGAAGCTGGCTATGAGTTCCTGAACCAACTCCCAGTGTGGCACACGCTGTCTGAAGTAACCGGAGTCCCAGATTCGCAGATTCGGTTTGAGATTGAGCGCATTGCCCGATTCCTCGGAGCTGAGCTCAGTGCATGGAAGGCTGCGGTCGGGTCAACCCCATATTACGTGAGGCCGACCTCAGACCCTCAGCTGATGGCCGCTCAAGCTGCCGAGACTCAAGTTGGATTCCTTCTGGACAAGGATGGAGACGCGATCATGGATGAGGACACTCAGCTGTTCCTGGGACCCGAAGTCGTGATGCGCCTTCAGCTCACTGGTCTCAGACCTAGAAGTCCGACCTCAAGTGTCGAAGGCGAGCCGTCTCGAAAGCGTGCATTGCTGACGAGGGCTTCTGCTAGTGGCTCAATCCCGAGCTACCACAAGTCTGGCGAAGCTCCTGCTGAGACTGCGCTCGGATTCCGTAATGACCGAGTGCCCAGCATGGTTGGTGCAAGCTCTGGTTCCGACATGTCTTTGATGGTCACGGATGAAGGGGGCAACCTGTCTGGATTAAGTTCCTCTGGTTACTCTCTGATGTCTATGACTGACTACATGGTTGCGACTGGGACGCACATGCCCATGTCGACGGCGACGGTGATGCGAGACTCGGCTACGACGATGTCCCGCAGCTCATTCCCGGGAATGATGATCTCGGTCACACCTCAGCTTACTCAGGATGGTCCCGTACCGGCCAGAGCTGAGCAGAAGCCGTATCGACCTGAGCATCCAGCCCAGATACCGCTGCCAGGCAGTCCTGAGTCCAAGCGTCCAGCCCAGAAGCAAGCTGAGACCCGACAAGTGCAGTCCACGGGATTTCGGTTCACGCATCCATCGGTTATCGGCTCCGCTGGGACGACGACGTCGGATAATTTGCCCTCAGTCGAGCGAGACTACCGGCGAGCCCTTCAGCAGAGTGAAGCTACGACCTGGACACGCCTTGATGCAGAGCAGAACCAACGCCGAGCTCTCGAAGCTCGATTGAGTGCCGCTCTGGCCGACAACCAGGCGGAGCAAGCCCGACTGCAGGAGGAGTACCGGAAACTTCAGGCGACCAACGTTCGGATGTCCGAAGCCCAACAACAGGCCAAGACGGAGCAGCAGAAGCGGCTTGAAGCCTTGGAGAAGCTGGCCCAGCGCCGCGCCGCCGAAAAAGCTGAGAAGCGCAAGGCGGACGAGGTTCGAGCTCAGCAACCGCTCCAAGTCCAGAAGGCGTTTCAAGAGGCTGAGTTTAGGGCTATGCAAGCTGAACAGCGGAAGGCGCAGGAAGAACGAGCTGCCGAGATTAAGACTGAGCACGAGTTGGAACTGCTGAGGCTGAGAGAGAAGCATGCGCAGGCAGAAGCAGAGCACCAGCGGGTCATGCAGGAGCAGGAGGAGAATACTCGCCAGCTCCTTGCAGCCCAGGAGCAGCCCGGTCTAAACCCTGGCCCCGTCGCTTCGACTGCTGGACGTGTGCCAATGCCAGCGGACCCCCTGGTCCGAGCACCTGTCGTGACGGCTCGATCGCCGACCGATCCGGTCCTGGCGCAGTTAGCCCAGCTCACGAGCGTGATGCAGCAGTGGGTCCAAGCCAACCAAGTCAAGTCTGAGGTGACTGGTATGAGCCGCAGTGCTGGCAAGACCCAAGGTTCGGCCAAGCGTGCTGAGACCAAGTCTAAGCCTCGCGCATCAAGCGCGACGTCTGGCGCGAAGGGCAAGGCTCGGGCGACCAAGCCTGGCAGGCCCGGATACTCGGACGGGGACGACTCAAGCTCAAGTGATTCGTCGCAAGATGAGCTCGAATGACAGTTTGGTGCTGTGGCACAGCCTAAGGGGACTGACATTAGTTCTGGAAACTCGTGTGGTCGTTCAAGCCATGATTCCCCATGATGCATTGGAGAAGATCGACGAGAAGGGACCGCTGGAGGACCGAGTCAACTGGTGGGAGAGGTTCATGTACTACGCTACGATGGTTCTCTGGGACGAGAAGACCCGGGTGGTCCAGCTACGCATGAGACTCACTGGTTCCCTCAAGGATTGGTGCACTCAGCTACCGGATGACGTTCGCTCGGACTGGAAGAAGTTGTCTCACGTCTTCAAGAAGGAATGGTGCCGTACGCTGAGCTCCAAGACTGAGCGGTACTACTCGATGGAGATGAAGGACTCCGATACACCTCGGATGTTCTTCTACCGTCTGAACCATGCCGCCAAGCAGGCTGGGGTCCCGTACCTGAGACCGACCGTCGATCGCGAGGCTCACATCCGACGTTTTATTAAGGCTTCGACTGACTCAAGGCTGAGGACTACTCTTTAGGGACAGCGTTTCGATACTTTGGATGAATTGGAGAAAACCCTGAAGAGGATCGAGGCTCTACGCCAAGACGAGGGCTATGAGCAGAAGCGGTGCCCAGCGCAATGACTTCAGTTTGGACGTTTCAAACCTCCACAGCGTCGAGGTGAGGGACGTGCGTTCAAGGTGGAAGGTGTGGAAGTTGACCCAAGTCTGGGACGACATGCACACTTCCAGGATGACTACGACCTGAAGTACGAGGCTGATTCTGATGAAGATGCAGACCGCTCGGCTGCGCGATCCGTGTCTCCGCCTGTCCCCGCGCCAGCTCCTGCTGCTGCAAGCTCAGCTCAGGCTGAGCCCAGTCGCTCTACCCCCCTGACCGATGAAGAAATTTTCGGAGTCGCTGAGAGATTGGCCTGGACGCCGAACGCTCAGCGCTATGACCGTGGAGGAGACCAGCACCCAGAGCAGAAATGTGACGAATGTGGAGTCGTAACCACCCGACTGACAAGTGCTGGAGCCGGCTTATCTGTGGGCGATGCCACGATGAGGGTCACCCGACCCAATTCTGTAGGCGTCAGCCGTGTTCCAAGTGTGGTGAATACGATCGCCGGGGTTTGTGCGATATGCGGTCGGCGCTCAAGGCGGTACGCGAGGCAATCCGTACTGGAGGCTCGGTCGAGGGCCTCGCTCCTGAGGTAATCCAAGCTCTGTTGGATAGCCCGGAGCTCCGAGAGAAGTCGTTAAACCACTAGACTCGCTGGTTGGGAGACCACATTGAACGGCAACTACGTCGCGCGGAGCGGACGACGATGACTCTTTTGACGAACCATCCGGTATGCCAGCCGGCAAGCCGGCGGTTGGAGAAGTGGTGCTCAACGTTGTGAATGCACTGGTACGTGATGCAATCGATCGTGGTGTTGTGGACGAATACATCACGAGTCGACTGTACGCTGTGGTGCAGAAGTATGGAGGATGGCGAATTGAGTTGGGCGATGATCCACCCGCACGGGCCCCGCCTCTCAAGATCAAGCTAAAAACTGGTGCAACTCCGTACCGATGCAATGTTCGACAGTACAGCCCCAGTAAGTCGGCGTTCCTGGAAGAATTCAACAAGTACTTAGTGAAACTCGGTTGGGTCTACGAAAATCACGAGAGTCGCTGGTGCTGCCCTACTTTGCCTGTAAAGAAGCCGAACACCAGCGAGTTCAGACAAACGATCGACTACAGGCCACTCAACGCTGTGACTGAGCCGATCGCTGGCGTCATGCTCAGCCTTGAGGTCACCCTGGAGCACTGTAAAGGGAAGATGTTTTATGCGATGTTCGACTTCTTGAAAGGGTTCTGGCAGCTGCCATTGGATGAGAGCTGTCTGGAATTTCTCTCATACATGACGGACAAGGGGGTGTTTACTCCTACCCGTGTACCGCAAGGCAGTACCAACGCAGCTTTACACTTTCAATCTACAGTGGAAATGGTGCTTGGATATCTTGTGAACAAGTGTGTTATCGTCTGGATTGATGATTTGTTGGTGTTTGCCGACACACAAGAAGAGTTAGTGGATGCAATTGAAGTTGTGCTCACTAAGCTCGACGAGTATGGTCTGATACTCAACCCGAAGAAGAGCGCGCTGTTTCTGACAGAAGTACGATGGTGTGGCCGAATTATCAACAAGCATGGGATCGTCCACGACCCAGAGCGCATTCGTGCTCTCCGTGAGATGCCGGTACCAACGACTGCAGCCGAGCTACAACAGTTTTTATGCGCAAGATATTGGATGAGAGCTGGCCTTGTTGACTATGCTCGGGTTGCACGATCATTGCAGGAACGACTCGACCAGGCATTGGCAAGCACGAAAAAGACAAGCGTGCTGCAAGTGGAGTTCAGATTGACTTGACGCCAGATGAACGTCAGGCTTTCGAGGCAGTGAAGGGCCTTCTCGGTAACTCAGCGATGTTAACGTACCCGGACCCTGATAAGCAACTCGTCCTGCTTTCGGACGCGTCGGATAGAGGCTGGGGGCTGGTGGTCTCGGAGGTGGCACACTGGCAGCCCGATGTACTCATCCATGAGCAGCACCACGAACTACTGGTGTGCATGGGGGGCAGCTTCACGGGCTCGGCGCTCAACTGATCTGTGATTGAGAAAAGAGTCCTATCCGATTGTGCACGCCTGTGAAAGATTGGAGTATCTACTGCTACGGCCACAAGGCTTTAGGCTCTACTGCGATCGCCGGAACATCACTGCCCGAGCAAGGAAATGAAATGACACGTGCGAGGTAAGCTGCTGCGGTGGTCAACAAAACTTTTGGAGTACCGATACTCAATTGAGCACATCGAGGGCGTCCACAATGTCTGGGCTGACTTGATCTTGAGGTGGGGAGGTAAACCACAACCGACGGCGAGGATACATTCGGCTAAGCGCATCACGCGTTCCAAGCGTCGTTGTGAGGACACAGCTGCGGAGTGAGGTCAGCCCGCTGCGACCACTTGACCAGGATGGTTTTGTGTGGCCGACGGTCGATGAGATTGGTCCAGAGTGCCTTTCGGAAGGTACAATTTCCCAAATGGGTAGTTTTTCCACAAAGAATACCAGCTAGTAGTCCACATGCGCTGGGAGCGCAGGAGTTGAATGAGTGGAGAACCAGTTGTCGCCCAAACTCGCTGACTCAGATGAAAACGTGGTTAGACACAGGTTGGAAGCTATGGAAGCGAGTGCTCCGTACACGCCGATGCTGGCGGCAACGTCAGAGAGGGAAGATCGCTCGGAATAAGAGAAAGCAGTGGATGGAGGAAGAGAAGATTCGACAGTTTCTGAGGGCAACGATCAGGCAGCAACTTCCACCAGTTCGTATACAAGGAGGATTAATTGGCGAAGCACCGAACTACGAGTACGTCGAGACGCGTGAAGCTGTAAAGCCAACGATGATCGGGCTACTGAATAATTGGGTCCCCCCCGAATGAGAAAACAAGCGAGCCACCAAACCTACTCACAGATGCAGTCGACGATGAGCAAGAACTGCCACGATTTGTCCGAGAATGGTTGCTAGATGATATCAAGGAAGGCAGAACGCATAGAGACGCGTTCAGAGGCCCCGGAAATGAATGGAGTGATATTCAGTATGACGAGGCATTGCAGCTTCAGGTGGATCGTATGGTTAACCCCTTGGACGCGGAGGGGTGACATGGACGACATTAAAAAACGATTAAACCGTCCCGGACGGCATAAGAAATCGGATGATACTCAGTATGACATAGTGAACGCGAGTATAATTTTGGCTTTTCTTCACACAGTATGCTGCTAAGCTCCCTGGTAATTATTCCGCTAGAAGGGACTGGTGTGATCTGCGGATAAAAATCCTCCAATGAGCTGCTCACAGTGCATTCTATGCAATACTGATATTTAGAGATACGTTGCGCCTGAACGGGTACACATTCCGCTCTATCTTACATGTATCACAATGGATGCTATGGTATTGTCGCCTCGACGGTTGCTACAAGTGATAAGCCCTCTAGGACCACCACTACATTGCAAACAGCCCGCTCCAACGTTACCAAACAATGCAAAAGAAGAAGAGCAACTACAGAGTAAGTTGATGTTGTCTTCGCACACCGACATTGAAGCAGAGATGGCACCACACTTCGATCAGTCGAACAGTATGAATTATGTGTGTGAGCAAGATAGGAGCAACATGAGAGCAGGCATATTGCAATGTAATGTACGAGACGATCTATATTCGCGTGCTAGTTTCCTGCACTATAGTGTGACTCGCATTGCTACGGTTGTGGAGGATGTGACTTGGTTTCAAAGCGAGAAGGCATCCTGTCCTGATCCTGTCTGCATAAAGTCAAACTTGTAAGCGGGCCAAGTCAGCATTCAAGTAAAAATTAACTTTCACCCATACCTTCAATGCAAAATCGGCGTCCTCTCATCTTGAATGTAAAACTTGAAGCCCACAACATTCCTTACTTCAGCGGCGGTCGATACCTCAATTTAAGCAGCAGGCTCCTCTTCAGCTCGTCTTCAGCGTCGTCCGTTCTTGGGCAGCACTCAAACACTTATCACGTTGCCACCGGAGGCGATGCTGCTCTTGACCTGTCGTTCATGTAGACATGTCGTCGTCTCAACAGCCAGCGTAATGTACATCTTCGTAAAACATTTCAATAAGCAGAAACCAATCTCAATCAGTATAAGCCATTCCGTCAGCATAAAGCGCATATAGTATACCTTCCACGTCAGCAAGCCATGGGCATTCATCGTAACCGACGCCTGTTGGAGATACTCGAGTCCCCATCCTACCACGACCGCCTACTGAAGGCAACAAAGGTTAGTCCAGTCGCAGCAATCATCCCAACGATGCAACGTATACCTCTAGCGTCCCAACGCCCATGAGGATTCCTCGCGGCACAGTCGCGCTAGGCAAAGATGACGCATACAGTTCTGTTAGCAAATAGTAAAAACGCAAGTGGTTAGCATGTATTCGAACCAGCAGAAGTTGTGCGCACACGTACAAAGCAGCACGAAAGGAGGGAGTGCTTGCGCCGCGGTGCTTACAATCAGACTTCAACTAGCTCGCGCTTCAAAGCGATAGTCGCACTAGTTAGTTTGGGATCTATACCAAGATACTTAGCGTACGTACCGAGCCTTTCGTCCGTCTGGGGCTTGCACGGAAGCAGCCCCACCGCGCCGATGTCATCCCAAAATGCCACTTCGTGTCTTGCTGCGCCGAATAAAGAATGAGTGGCGGCAGCAAGAGTGGAACCGATGTTTGATATGTTCTGAAAAATGGTTCGTGCTTGTGCGTGGTAGTTCAACTACCCTGATAGTCATATGTTCTTGATGCCCAATCAAATGGCCACGTTTAGATACGTGGGCCAATGATATCCAAGCTACATTTGGGAAGGGACGATAATCACTTTTTGCGGATTTAGAGGTATAGTAAAATCAAGTGTTTCCTATGCTGTTCAGAACAGCATAAGGTGAATTTCCAACCCTCCGCGTCCAAGGGGTTAATAAAGGAGTATCGTCAGGATATGGTGGGATACCACAGGAACTGTGGATTGCAGCGCCACCTCAAATCCGAGAACGGGAACGACTGATCTTTAATCTTATCTTCCGCGCGGGGGTCGTGTCTGCAATTTTAAACCATCGTCAGATGGTATTCCTACCTAAGAGTGCACAGGCTACTGGAGTGGGAGCGCAAAGGGCTACCCCCTTGGAGGCCGATTTTAGTACAAAGTTCACTGGCGACACGCTTATTTACTGCTATCAGTACTTACTTAGAGGCTCGAGTACCAAACCACTCTATGCAACATGGGTTTCAGAGAGATAATAATGTCCAGGACGCAGCTCTGACGACCACACTATTGCTCGATCGTGGAAAGCAGGTGCAGGAACCACTCTATCTACTCAGCAAGGATTGCGAAAAGTACTACGACCGTATTCCGCGCTGGGTGATGGCTTATATCTACAAAAGTATCGGGGTACCGCAAAAGTTATACGATATTCTGATGGGTTTCCTGGGGCCAGGCGAGATCGACATTCGGACAGCCTTCGGATGGATTCCGAGTGGAAGACGCGAATTTGGATTAGGTCAAAGGTCTGTACTCTCGATCCGACACATTGGTTACTACATGGATGTGCTAATGGAGAGACAAGAAGCAGGTCCCGATGGTGTTGAGATCCGCCATCATCAAGGGTCCACACCGCTTAATGAACTCTTCCAACGGGTCAAACTCAGCTTGAGCTCGGCGGTCGGCTTCAAACTAGGTCTGTCCACTGGCTTCAAAGTCGATGTCGACTGCGAGTCGTTTCCGCTGAGCTTCTGAGGCGGTTTCCGCTTGTTGGCTGCGCTTGGCGAACACCTTCCAGCCGCCCTTGGGTTGTGCGTAACCCCACAGAGCGTTATCAATAAGGCGCTGGTAGATTATCGGGACATTCTTTAATCCGAAGGGCATTCGCAGCCACTCGAAGTGTCCAAGCGCACAGACAAAAACCGAGATTCAACGCGCACGTCGAGTCATCATGACCGCCCAGAAGCCGCTAGCAGCATCCAAAGAGCAGAACCATAGGTATGCTTCCAACTCCGTGAGGAGACCGTCCACTAGCGGCATAGCGTACTCCATGAGCAACGTAATCGCGTTCACCAGCTTGTAGTTCATACACAACCGAATGTCGACCCCATTCTTCTTGAGGACAATCACGATGGGCGATGCCCATGGGCTGCTCGAGAAGGCGATTAGCCGAGCTCGTAGCAGCGCCTTGAGCAGCTCGTACAACTTGCCGAGATACTTCAGCGGAACTCGGCGGGCCCGTTGGCGGATTGGCTGATGCCCCTGTACGTAGATGTCGCACACTTCGCCATATGCTGGTGGAGGTAGGGTATTACCACTGGAAATCATGATCTTTTCATGGCTCTTCAACACCTCCACCAGCTGAGTAGACTGTGGCCGAGTGTGCGCCGAGCTCCGAACGTTTGGCGCTTCATGGTCGTGTTGCGTCGACACTGCTTCAGTCAAATCGGGCAGGAACGCCAACTCGCGAGCATAGTCTTTGAGCTCCAAGTTCGTTGCTTGGTGCTCGAACTCAGCTGAGTCTCCTGCCGAGTCGCCTCGGTCATCTGTCACTTCCTCGTACTTGGCTGCCAGGAGGTAACGTAACCGCAGGCCTTCCTCCGGGTCCGACAAAATGGGATCTCATCTTCCAGCCTCGGACTCGGCGGCTTGGGTCCGGGGTCATCGATGATCGTCCAGTCAGACAAATCGCTGGATTGCTCACTTCCACACTCATCTGCTACACAGGGGTTTTGGCTGGGCGCTTCTTGACCAGCCGTCACTGTGATCTCTGCTCGACTAGGCGGGTCATTGACCAAGTCAGCAGTAGGCTCCGCCCTCAATGTTACTTCCTCAGGCGCTAGGGTAGCGGTAGCCGAGTTCGCTGGCTCTGTCAGAGTCAAGGGTGGACTATCGACTGATTCTGCCTCGGCTCGCTCCTCCGACTCGGCCAACTTCTCCCATTGCTGGGCGCAAGTTAGCGTCGAATCCCGCTTCTTGGTAGACGGCCACGTAGTCACCCCTTTCGGTTCAGGGTAGTTTCTACGGTCCACAGCTGACGGCTGTCGAGCCAGCCACTCGGCGTACAGCTGTTGCTCCTTTTGCAGCATATCCTTGTACATAGCTGCGTCGTAGGCCATGACTTGCCAATCTTTGTACTTCGCCGAGTGCAGCCTGACATAACCATCGGGCAGTAACACCCCATGCGACGCCCAGGCAACCAGTGGGAAATGTGCTGGGCACCACGTCCAAGTCGGCTTAAGGTTGGTCAGATGAACTCGAACCACTCGGTTCCGCCGGTCGAGTACCACGGTCGGTACCCAGTCTTTAGTCCGGCGTACCCAGAAGTCATGTGTTTCATCACTCGGTTGATTCCTCATCAGCCTGAACTCGGTGGGAACTCGGCTCTCGAGGTTCACCGGTTCGGTCGGGCCGTCTGTAATATAGAGGCCGCCCTTCGGTTCAACCGCTGAGTTCTGGGACTTCACGAGAGGTAGGACAACTTCATCTGGCAACTTCGCCACCGAGTTGTACAGATCCAGTCGGATCCCAGCCGGAATCATGAAATCCGTACCGAGAATCAACTCGACTCCCGCGTGGTGATCGAGGATCCATACTTCAAATTCATACGTGACCTCCCAGCCGAGCGTCACCTTCACCATCGCTCGTGACATCGTCGCCACTTTGCCTTTCCCAATACCTTGAACGCCAATCTGTTGCTCCTGGCGTGTGAACCGCTTCAACCGCAGCCTCTTCGCGAACCCTTCGCTTGTTGCCGACACATTCGCACCGGTGTCGAGCAATATCTTTGTACGCTGGTCGTTCACTGCTCCCATAACGAGAGCTCTCATCCGAACTCGGCGGTCAAACTTTTGTGACGACCACCAGCCGAGTCACTCCCCAGGGAGCAGCTTCATAACTCTGGTGGCTGTGGTCACATCCGTCAATCACTGAGTTGCAACTGCACTGCACAATCTTGCTCGGCCTTCTTCTCCACTCGCGCCGAGCTCACAATCAAGTCCTTCGCTTTCACAATCCAATACGTCGTCTTCTCCTCGGTCCTCGGGCCTTCCTGCCTCACCCACAAAGGCAAACACAAAGTCCGCCTCTACTGCTGGCTCGGCTGACTGTGGCAGCCCGGTATCGTCCAACCCAGTCAGTGTTGGAGGGCCGCCGAGTTTAAATCACTCGGTGTGTAGAGGTCCTGGAGGTCTTCAGGTAACTTGGATTTGTCAACATTGGACTTGACAAATGCGGCGAGCTTCTCATAGCGCTGGAACAGCTCGCATTGACCGACATTGTGCAATTGTTTCCAGAACTTGCAGCGGCGGCGGCAGTAGTGAACGGAGTGGTTCGCACCGCCGCAGGCAGCACAAGGTCCATACGATGAGCGTTCACGGGAGTCACCGCGCCGCCCAGTCTGGTCACGCCGATCGAATCCTCGACTGGCGCGGTCAGCCGAGCTCGGCTGACCCCTTCGGTGATCACTCCTTGGTGTCCCAGCTGAGTTCCCCCGGCCCCCCCGATCTACGGTCGCGGTCGCTGGTGAACCCGGTGTCGATGTAATCGGCTTCCGAGTCTACAGCCGAGTCGGAGTAGCTCAGCTGGCTGCCGTCGCTCTGATCGCTGTCCGAGTTGTAGAGGTTGGATCGCCGATTGGATTGGCGTTTCTCGGCCAGCTCGTACGGGTCGCCCTCCAGCAGCGCTGTCGCTAGTCGGCGGTCTCGACCATCGTCGCGTCGGCTTCGTCTGTCATCTCAGCGATCATCTCTGCGTCGTTCCCGGCGGTCGTCTCGGCGGTCATCTCCGCGCGGCTCACTCCGCCGAGCTTCCGAGTGCCTTGGCGAATCGGTGCGCTTGGCATCTCGGCTGCGGCTTCCGATGAGACGGTCGCGCTGTTTCTTCCGGCGCTCCCCCAGGATCTTCTGGTTGATGATCTTCTCGACCTTCTTGATGTCGGTGAGCTGTTGCGGATAGGGCAGATCCATGATGTCATCATCTCCGCAGTGCAACAGGAAGTGTTCCACATGGTCAGCAGCATCCGCTCCACCGGCCTCGTACTGGATTTTCGCCGACTTCGCATATCCGTTGAGACGAACGAGGAAGTCACACACCAGCTCGTTGTCTTTGCGCTGAGCCGAGTAATAGCGAGCTCGTGCCGACTGGTCAAACTGCGAACAGTAGTAGTCGGCGAATGCCTCACTCAGCAGACTCCACTTCCGTTGCGTTTTATTCGAGAGCTGACGATACCAGCTCTTCGCGCCTCGCTCCAGCTTCAGCGAGAATGGCTCGTACCAGAGGTCTTGTGCCAGCCGAGTTCCTTTCATCTCGTAGATGAACCGCTTACGCCACTGGAGAGAGTCATCCGGTCGGTAACGTTTGCCTTCGAACATAGGGATCTTGTCGAGGGACGCATGGGTGCGAACCTCCAAGTATTGCGTCCGACCACTTTCAGCGTCATCGAAGCTAAGGTGCTTGATGACGTCCTTCACCGACTCTTCAGCCGAGTTCAGGTACTCGCGCCCATCGTCGCTGTCGCTGAGCTCGGCTGCGTCTGCAGCGTCAAACAACTCAGCGTAGCGTCCACTTGGCTGCTTGCCACGCGTTGGCGTCTTCATATGCGAATCTTCGAAATACGGTGTACCCTCAGTCGAGCGGAACATCTCGGCTCTCTTGCGTTCGGGAGTCTTCGGCAGGGGAATCCTGCTGGGGTCTTCGACGGTCTTCGGAGTATCAGCCACTCGTTTCGCAATAGTCTGCCGAGTTCCGATGGCCCCCCGCTCGAGGCCAAACGTGACTCTCAACCGGCGCTTGCACTTGAGGATTTCGCGTGAAGCTCGGCTGGGGTCACAATCGCCGAGTAGCAGGCTGTTGGGCCCGCTCGTGCACCCGAACCCCATCGCCTTGAGTAGCAGCACCGTGTCTTCGACCAGTTGGTTGATGTCGGTGCTGTTCACCGGCTGAGTCAGCTCGGGTCCCAGCACCGGCCATCTCGCCTGAGCCATCGCCACTGGGGCAAACATCATCATCCACTCTCTCTGAGCTTGCATCTCCTCTCCGAGCCTACCCAGAACCTTGTTCGCACTTGGCGTATCCGCATCCCTCGTCGCTCGCGGGATCAGGGGCGGACGTTCCCCTTGAGCGACGGCTTGATCTTCGTCGTCCGTATCATTGCCGAGCTCGGCCGCCAGGTTGCGCACAACTGGACGTGGGGTACCCATCCGTCCGACTTGCAGCAAGAACTCGTCGACTTCGCCGAATAGCTCGGCTTTCTCCTCATACTCATCCTCAACATCTTCCTCACTTCCTTGGTCATGGATATCCTCCTCATCGAACAGGACGGTGCGCGCCTCGCCCGCCGTCGCGTCCGTGATCATCGCATTCGCCGAGTCCGCCGAGTTGGTCAGTCTGACCGAGTTACTTCCAACCGTCGCTGGACTCGGCGTAACCATTCCCTTGACCATCTTCACACTCTCTTCTCTTCTTCTCAAACCTTGGTTAGCTGGTACCTACGAAACACAAACACACCCCTGTTCCCGGGTCGCGGCACCAGTTGTTGTATAGCAGCACGCACAAAATCGTCCGTTGTGGTAACTTGGCTACAAACACAACAATAGTCGAGCTAGTCGGCTTTGTTGGCCTGCGCTGGGTTGTCCCCGAGCGGTTCGGCCCAACCGGAACAGCGGGTGCCTCGCCTCTCGCCAAGACCTACCAACCAAGATCACTCCTCCGGAGAACCGCTGAGTTCGACGGTCCCCGCTCGCTCAACCCTGTGCCCTCCACCAAAGGATGGACGACGGCGCACGGAGCGCTTTTACAGGTCGCCGAGAGCAAAGGCTTCTCGACTCAGCAATCCGTGCCCGGGACGTACGGGAACACCGGCGCACAGCGGTGGCGAGACTTTTCCTTCGCGCTTTGCGAGACACGAGCCCAACCCGGGCCGACCTTAATCTCTTGGTGCTGCCAGCCGAGTACCCTACAAGCTATGCCTCTCGGGTACCGGCAGCAGACATAATCCGACCCCGTGCAGGGACTTACCGGAACGTGTACACGTGCTTTAGGTCTAGAAAATTCTGCTCTGTTGGTCTGTCGGGCGCCCTGAAGGGACGCCTCCATTATTCCTAAGTCTCTATACAAATACCAAGTGAAAGTGGGCGGTTTTGGATCTCGGTCAACCCTTCCTGAGCTCGACGACGCTTGAGCTCGGCTGGTCCGGATAAGCTATCCGGATAATTCTTCGAACTCAGCTGAGCCGGATAAGGTGTCCGGATAAGCTGGTGAACTCGGCTGAGCTCGGCTACCGGTACAGTGTACCACTCCAGCGCGCGGAATCTGGTGTTTCCTACACCACATCCCTCTATTATCAAAGGAGACTTCGTCCAAGAAAACAAGATTCTGGTGACTCCAATCAATTGTACTTAGCTACTGCATAAACCGAAGAATGTCAAGTTCCTTGATGTGCATTGCTCTCCGTTCCAGCACCTTCCACGTCAAGCCTCCGTCGTGAATAATTCTCCAAACACTGGTCTTCGAGATGTCCAGATGTTGCGCACGCTTGAAGGCGGATTGAGCTTCATCGATGTATGCAAGCGGCTGGGTGTGATAGAAGTCCATCAGCCACTGGCGGTCGCTCGCATTAAATTTCTTGTCCGCTTTGGTCCTGGCTCGCTCGAATGTCCCCGTCCTCTCGTATACTTTTGTGGTATAGCAATTTCTGAGTCCGGAGGTCAGTGACAGCAGCCGGTCCGGCCCGAGTGTGTACACCGGACACCGACTGGAGGAGTTTCGCCGACGCAGGATCCCAAAGACCTCAAGGGTCGCCGAGCGAAGAGTCGGCGAGCGAGCAGACTTGGTTTTAGTATTGGAGAGGTCGTAACAGCCCATTTTCATTAGATATTTGTATAGGAACCCCAGGTAAGGGCCTTTCAACCCAACAAAGCAAAGATAAATACAGAGTGGAATTTTCGAGGTCCAAAACAAGCGGCACACGGCGTCTCTTCAAGGTACGACCGCCCCGTGGGACTAGATCATGACCACCGCTGAGATCGGCTCTCCGAAGTGACGGAAGAGTTCTCGGCCGCCCGGCGAGTCCAAGAGCGAGTGCGTATAGTGGTTATCTGGATTGCGCCCCTGGCGAAGAGCTTGTCGAGCGTACGAGCGCGGGTTTCCGGCCCGCCCCCGACTTAGCCGGTGCGGTTTTGCATCGGCGCCCCGTAAAAGGCGAGAGCCGCCGTCCATCCTTTGGTGGAGGGCACGGGTCAAGGAGAGAAGAAGAAGGAGAAGCGACAAGAGAGGTCGGCGAAGGAAAGAGAGCGTGCTGTGTGCTCGTGGCACAGCTCCTGGGACGACTAGGAAGGTGTCTGGGTAACCACTGCACCGCTGTAAACGGACTGGACGATCTTCGGATCACCCGACAAGCCTGCGCTCCCGTTAGTGTAGGTGTTGTTGGTGTGGGAGTGGGAAGCTAACGAGTTTTGGCACGTCTGCTACACCACACTTTGATCCAGTTGGCAATAGTTTTATCTGTCTTGTTGTACACCTGGGCTAGTTCGTGCTTGCTGAAGCCGATGCTGCTTCGTCACAGCCTCTTCCATCGTGCTGGGAGGGCAGAGGATCCTGCCAGCAACTTCTGCACCAAGTTCAACGCCGGCGAGAAGTCCAAGAAAGTAGCGTGACAGAAGCGAGATCGCCGGTTCCACCAGCAGTCAGAGCACTTACTCCAGAGAAAGCACCAACGATGGCAAGTTCCACGACTACGTTGAGAAGGGGCCATAACAGCTGCGAGAGCAGTGTCAACAGCAAGAGACCCGTCAGCAGCGAGAGTCTCCTCAGCACCGAAGGTTTTGCTGCCAACGAGAGTCTCGTCACAGCGTGGACAGCGAGAGTCCCGTCAACAACGACAATCCGTCAGCAATGAGAGTCTCCTCAGCACCAAAAGTCTTGTCGGCAACGAGAGCCCCGTCAGCAGCGAGAGCAGTGCGGACAGGGAGAGTCCCGCCAGCAACGAGAATCCCGTCAACAGCGAGAGCACCGTCAACAGCGAGAGCCCCGTCAGCCGTGAGAGTACCGTCAGCAGCGAGAAAACCGACACCAAGCCCCAAAAAGCACCAAGATCTCCTGTAAGTGCTTCAACCACAACAAAATCTTCAACTGCAGCTAAAATGCGCACTGCGAGTTTTCAAGCAATACTCCAGCGAGAGCTCCAACAACAGCGCGATGAGATCCAACAGCAGAGAGAGAGAGAGCCCCAACAATAGCGCGATGGGATCCAACAGCAGAGAGAGCTCCAACAACCAACTGCAGCAAGATACACGCCGGACAATCCAAGAGCTCCGAGAGCATACAGAAGCGCAAACACTCCCTCCGAGAACAGCAGCAATAGCTCCAAATCGAAGAGCCCAACAGCAAGCGAGAGCTTTGAGAGCAGCAGAAACCTCGCTCCGCCAAGAATCCAATAGCTGTGAGACGGCTGCCGATAGATCCAGCGAGGCGAAAACAACAGGGAGGGTGAGTTCGCCGACTCCAGTAAGAAATTGAACACCGCTGCGTAACTCAATACCAGAAGGCTGTCTACACCAAGGCAAGCCGTATCAGTACCTGCCGGACACCAGCACGAGATGGTTAGTACTGCACCTTACCGCGGCGACGCGTCCAGATAGCCTGCGCGACCCACAGCGCCAACTCTAACAGGAAACCGAAGAATGCGCACTCTGTGAAGTTGCCGCGAGTTCACTCCTCGATGATAGGATAAAAAGTGAATCAATAAATTGGTTTTGACCAATGATATTTCTCTGGCGGTTTGCTGGCGGTTCCACCAAACTGACCCGATTCGGCAAATTTGGGCGGATTCCACAATATTGTTATTGTTGCCTCGAGAAACGCTTTGATTCAAGACCCCATGGCGCAACACGCTGGCAAAGTCGCACCGCTTCCCGAACCAAGCGATGTTGGCTGCTGCACCGGCAGCAGGGAACTCCTCGAAGAGCTCCAGGATCTTGTGGAAGGGGCAGGTAAGCAGCACTGCAGCCGAGCGAGCGAGCACTTTCCCCTTGCACAAGTTCAGCCGTTCGAAGGTGAATGGACCCAGATAACACCCGGGTGTGAGGAAGACGCTGTTGTCCAGCCCGAATTTGCTAGGCTTCCGCTGCTTGGACGTGATTTCAAGCGCGCCGTACACCAAGAAGACAAATCTTGGCTCATGTGGGTAGTGCTCATCTGGTTGTCGCAGCACAACGTCGTTTTTGTGGACCTGGTCTTCGATGTCGAGCTCGTGGCTGAAGCGGATCATTCGTTCGCTGGGTATTGACTCGAGGAAGGGCAGCACTCCACTCACGATGGCCTTCAAGAGTAATCTCTCTTTGAGAAGCTTGCTGACGCTTACTTTCACATCGGGGCATTGATCCAGCAGTGTATGGAAGGATTTTTTCTCGATACTCATCAGCATACAGCTCTCAAGTGCCTTGACGGTTGCTGCGCGAGGAATGTTGATAAGGAGCGACATTTCTCCGAAGAAGGACCCCGCTTCTAGCTTCGCCAAGGGGGTAGCTGCTCTGGAGCTTGTCACCTCTACTGACCCTGCCAGAGTCACGAACATTTGGGTGCTGATGCCTTCGTCTTCGCGGAAGATGACGCTGTTGCTCGGGTAGACGCGGATTGTGGACATTTCGGTCAGCAGAGAGAGCTTGTCGTTTGGCAAGTTCGCGAAGAACGGGATGGTACCGAGGAGACCGATGAAATCCGCATTGGTGAGCGCGTTGAGCGACGAGTCTTTCTTGCTCTCTACGACATCAGGCAGAGAGTGGGGAGGCAGCAGCAGATATTGAGATAGGTTCTGCAGCTCCACTTGAGCGCACATGGTCGACTGCAGGACAACCTCGTGCCCTGCACCCTCAGTCACGTATCGACAGACGATTTCCCTGTCAGATTTCCAGAAGAGAAATACCTCCGAAGTGAGGATCACCTCTCCTTCAAACTTGGAGTCAAGAGCGTACGCGGCGTCAGGACTATGGGGCACCATGATCCGAGGACTGCGTCCGAGAGGCATGAGCGCGCGAATGTTGAGCGAATTTTTGCCGTTTGCGTCGAAAAGACTCACGCAGCCGTCAAAAATCACGGCGAGCTGCTTGGCCTGGGCTGCAATCGACGTGCGATGGCTGGGTTCCGAGGCAACTTTACGCACTTGCTCGTGCTGGATAATGGTTTGCGTGCTGTCTGCGCCGATGAGCTGGAGAAACAGACTTCCCTCGAACACTCTGCGGACCTCCACGTATCTGTTGGCTTGGGTACCGCAGACGCCTCCCATGCTCCACAATCGCCACACAGCATGAAGGCACCTCGCTGGAAACTTGGTGATACGCATGCATGCCATGCGCATGCCGTGGGCTGCGTCTGTATTGATAGCTGTTTGCCCGCATGCGCGCTATTTTCGACTTTGTTGGCGAAGACCAGAATTATCGTAAGTTTTGAGTTAAACCTGGGCGTTGGTGGCAACTAACCGGGTATCAACTCTGCTGGTGCAGCATGGTTTGGCCTAATACGCTGGCGATAGAGCGAGAAAGCTGGCGGACACAAACGTTCCACCGGTAGACAGACGTACGCCAAATTGCCTGTAAAGGCTGCATTCGTGTAAGTCTAGCTCTAATTAGCTACACGACTACGCTTGTACTACTACTTCCAAGTATGATGAGAAGCACAAGGCAGCCATTGGGTGATTGAAGTTATTGGGAATGCTCGCATTAGGATATCATGAGGGCTGAGCTGCCACGAAGAATCGTATATTTAGTTGTGTATGTGTCCACGTTTGGCTCGAGCAAAGGAGCAGAACTCGCCTATTCCTGCCAGGCTTGCTCGTCTGGTCGAGCGGCCGTAACTCCTTTCGCTCAGCCTCGTTGTGCCGAATCACCGACCACGGGCATTTCGTGCTACGGTTCAGCGTCCGGGGCCGTCGAGCGTTCGTCCGTCCCGCACGCGCTAGGGCATCGATCAGGCAGAATTAAGCGCGGGTTTGCGGTCGCGCCGACAGCTTCTGGTGGCTCCTTGGAAAAGGATGCGTTTGCGTTGATTCCCGACATTCCCCGCACGACCATGACTCCTCCACCAGAAGCAGGAGCCCCACCGCCAACTCAACAGCCGATGACCGGCACGACACAACACGCTACAGATCTAAAGAGGCGACTCGGAGTCGTCGAGCCGCCAAAGGTACGAGCGATACTGCGACGAAAAGCACCTTTTTAGCGGTACTAACGAACAGCTTGACGATGCTGACGCTCAGAGATTCGGCGCGGACTACGTTATCTGGCACTTTTTGCCACGAGACAACTGGATACGTCTGTGGTGTATACGCGTGGTGACGCACAGATACTTCGACCGCTTCATCATAGCGGCCATCATTGCCAACTCGGTGATACTCGGGTTATCAGACTTTTCGGTGGTGGACAGCGACTTGAACCCCACCAGCTCGGGCAAAAAATACGAGGACGGAGCGCTCGTCGACGCGTACTCGCTACAGAATCACATCGTCGAGGTGTCCGAGCTGCCCTTCACAATCATATTCACGACCGAGTGCGTGCTAAAAATCGTCGCCATGGGGCTCCAGGGCCATGGCTCCTACGAACAAGATGCGTGGAATATCCTCGACTTTCTGGTGGTTGTTTCCAGGTACGAAACTCTAAAAGTGCTGCTAGGTTGGCGTATGAGTGCACTTACTTACACTTTTTCTGTTTGTTAGTCTTGTTGCATCTCTGCCAGGAATGCCAAACGTGTCAGCCATCCGAACGATTCGAGTGCTCCGACCGCTGCGGTCGCTCTCAGTTATCCCCGGAATGAGGCGCCTCATCGCCGCACTATTGAAGGCCTTGCCAGCTCTCGGAAACGTTGTGATTCTTCAGATCTTCGTCTTCTTCATTTTCGGGATTCTCGGCATCCAACTTTTTGGCGGCTCCATGAATCGTCGATGTCGCGTGACGCCACTTCCAATCAAACTACCCCTCGACGATGCGAACGAAACGATCTGGCCAGTCCCCCGCGACTACATTGACCAGGCCAAGGCGAATTTGGCGACTTATCGATGTATCGACGGTCCATTACTAGATTACGAGAGCTCTACTGGCGACTACACGAAAGAGACTTCTCCTTGGAATACCGCTCAGGATTGCTTCTGGCCTGTTGACGAGGACGACGAATTGCTGTGCGCTGCCGAAGGGCAGGCGGGAAACCATGGATGCAACAACGGAATGACCTGTGGCTCTGACTACGACGCATTTGGAAACCCCCGATTCAATCACCGCAAGGCGATGGATTACGCGTTGTATCTCCCTAGCTTGGACTGGGGGCTCACGACGTTTGACAACATCGGGCGAGCATTCTTCACCATTTTCCAGTCGATTACACAAGAAGGTTGGACGAGCATCATGTACATGGTGATGGATTCCTCGCAGCCGACCATCGGGGCGGTCTTCTTCGTAGTTCTCATCATCTTCGCATCGTTTTTCGTGATGAACTTGACCCTGGCAGTCATTTCAGAAGAGTTCAATCTCGACCAGAAACCAGGGAAGACAGCAGCACAGAAGCGCGAGGAAGAGCGAAGAGCGAAGCTGGAGAGGGAAAACGCGGAGAAGCAGGCTCGGGAGCACTGGCTCAATGCTGTTGTGTCGCACAAACTTTTTGCGGGCTTTATTATGGCTGTAATTATGGCGAACACGGCGGTTCTAGCGCTGGATCACTACCCGATGCCCACGAAAATGGACGAAGACCTCGAAATCGTTAATTTTGCTCTCTCGTGTGTCTTTGTCGTGGAGATGGTGATGAAGCTGTTTGGCCTTGGGTTGCGCCAATACTCGCGCGACAAGTTTAACCTCTTCGATGCGTTCATCGTGACCATGGGGCTTCTTGAGACGATAGCATCGCCACCGTCATTTATGTCGAGCAACCCTCCTAAGAAAGGCGCAGTCTCAGCTTTGCGATCATTTCGGCTTTTCCGCGTTTTCAAGCTTGCACGAGATTGGAAATCCTTGCGCGAGTTGCTGGAGATGATTGCGCGAGCTGTCGCCAGTATCACAAACTTCGGTGTGCTACTATTCCTATTTATCTACATTTACGCGTTGGTGGGCGTACAGGTAACTCTGCGTGCGGCAACAGGGTTATCCAAATTCGAGGACACTAACTATATGCTTATGACTGCAGTTTTTTGGCAACACCATGCGCTTTGATGACGAAGAGTACCCTACGCCGTTCACGCTTGAAGGGTTCTGGGATGGCACAGTAAGGAGTTTATCCAGTTTGAAGCTATTGCACCGGGCGACTAACATTATGCACTGACTTGTAGGTCCCGCGCAACAACTTCGACACTCTTTTATGGGCTGCAGTCACTGTGTTCCAGATTATTACGGGCGAGAACTGGAATAGCATCATGTACTACGCCATTCTCGGCAACGGCATGTTTTCCTGCGTCTACTTCATATCGCTGGTAAGTCAACATCGTCTAGTATGACGATACTTCCGCATAATCTTACGATGTGTATCGTATCCAGGTGATTCTCGGGGACTTTGTTCTCATGAATCTGTTCTTGGCCTTGCTGCTCGACAATTTCGGAGACAACGACGAGGAGCAATCGCAGGAGAAGCAAGAAGAGACGAAGAAACTCGCCCAGAAAATGTCCGTCCTGAATATGAGCATGAAAGTGGCCCCCATCACGTCCGAGAACGAGCGCACAATGACCACAAGAGGAAGCTTTCTGATGGTATCGACAGCTTTTGCGATGGGCGTTCGCAAGCAGTCGATACTTGAAATGGAAGAGGAAGGCGAAGAGGAGGACGTTCGTGTGGTCAACATGGAGAAGTTCGCAGACGAGCTCACACCGAGTGTGCCTCTGGCTAAAACGGTTTACGTCGAGCCACCGGGGCGACTTGACTTGGCCAAGACAACCGTCAAACAAGGTAGCCTCCGGTCAAGGTCTTTACGCAACCTGATGACCAGCGCGCGAAACAGCATCATCGCTAGCTCACGGGCGAGCATTGTGTCTGCTATGATAGTGGGCACTGGAGCTCCACCACAAGCTGAACCAGCAGAGGAAACAAATGATGCAAAGCCTCTTGAGCCAGAGGCACCTGAACCTGTTAGCGCCGGAAGATCGCTTTTCCTATTTGCCAAGGAGTCCAAGATTCGGCGACTGGCCTGCTACCTATCGGGTCATCCGTATTTCGACTCGACAGTCTTTGGTCTCATAGTTATCTCGTCCATCGCTCTGGCAGTCGACAATCCTCTCGCTGACCCCTCATCGGGCCTCGCCACGTTCCTGAAAGGACTGGATAAATCGCTCGCCATCGTGTTCGCGATTGAAATGGTCATCAAGATTGTCGCCATGGGCCTGATCCTACACAAAGGGTCCTATCTGCGCAATAGCTGGAACATCATCGACGGCGTCATTGTGATTTCCTCATTGATCATGCTGGTAGCCGAATCGTCAGGGAAGGGCAAGAATCTCAAGTCTCTTCGATCGCTCAGAGGTTTGAGAACTTTCCGGCCACTGCGTATGATCAGTCGACGTCCTGGGCTCAAGCTGGTGGTGAACGCGTTGTTTGAGGCCATTCCCGAGGTCATCAACGTGCTCTTCGTCTGCATGCTGTTTTTCCTCATCTTCAGCATCGTGGCAGTCAACTACCTCAAGGGCACCTTCAATTCGTGCAGTGGGGACGTGTTCGGTGCGCTGTCTGACGCTCAAGTCGACTTTCTTGTGGCGCCTTTAACCTGGAGTGCTGCTTCTGACCTCCAGCGCAGTTGGTTCAATGGCACAGTGTGTGAGACCTCCTTCCCAAACGCTTCTAGCTCCGACTTAACCTCGGAATATGTTTGCGAGTGCTGGGGCGCTGACTGGGGACCAGTCTTGCCCCAGAATTTCAACAACGTGGGCTCAGCCATGCTCACGTTCTTTGAGATCTCAACTACAGAGGGCTGGGCGGACGTCATGATGGCGGCGATCGACTCGAACGGCATCGGCATGCAGCCAATCCGAGACAACAACATGCTCTGGGCGCTGTTCTTCGTGCTCTTTATCATGGTAGGCAGCTTCTTAGTCGTGAACCTGTTCGTCGGCGTTATCATCGACAACTTCAACCGCATGAAAGCCGCGCTGGGTGGCGACTTCATGCTCACACCAGAGCAGAAGAAGTGGATCGAGGCCCAGAAAGCGGCATCGCGGGTGGGGCCCGTGCGCATTCTCAAACCCCCGGGGCAGATGTGGCGACGGTATATCTTCTTCCTCGTCAAGGCGCAGCGCTTCGAGTGGTTTATCATGATCTGCATCATCGTCAACACCTTCCTGATGGCTGCTCAGTTCTTCGGCGAGTCGACTCTACAAGAATACGTTATCAACGTTGTGAACGAGATTTTCGCAGTTGTGTTCACGATGGAGGCGGCGATGAAGCTCATCGCGTTTGGCTGGGAGTACTTTGAGGACCAGTGGAACCAGTTCGACTTCTTTGTCGTGCTCGGCACGCTCCTCAGTGTCGTGGTCGAGATGTTTACCGGAGCGTCGGTGCGGTCGCTGGCCATGCTCGTGCGCGTGTTCCGCGTCACGCGCATCCTTCGCCTCGTCAAGGCCTCCAAAAGCATCCGGCAGATTCTGCTGACGCTGTACATCGCCCTCCCTGGACTCAGCAACATCACGTCTATCTTGTTCCTCATGCTCTTCATCTACTCGACGATGGGGGTGCAGATCTTCGCCAAGGTCGCTCTGTCGGACAACATCGACAGCCATGCCAACTTCCAGGACTTCGGTAAGGGTTTCCTCTTCCTGCTGCGCGCTGCAACGGGTGAAGCTTGGAACAGTTGCATGCACGACTTGGCCTCGAGCACTCCAGGCTGCGTCGACGATCCCCCGTACGACGACACCATGTGCGGCTTCAACAACTTCGACGGCTGCAAACCGCTGAATGGCTGCGGGAATCCGATCGCCTACGCGTTCTTCTGCACATTCACACTATTGGTCACGTACGTCATGCTCAACCTAACGATCGCCGTTATCCTTGAGGGTTTCTCGCTCTCGCATGAAGACGACGAGCCTTTGTTCGAGCCGGAGCTGCTTGAGGAGTTCCAGACCAAGTGGGCCGACATCGACCCCAAAGCGACGGGCTTCGTCAAGGTCGACAAGATGCTACTGCTGGTGAACCTGCTCAAGCCGCCGCTAGGGAAGTTCGGGCTGCCCTTCCACATGGCGCACTTCTTCAAGTACATGTGTAAGTGTTGCTGCGATCGGGTGCCGTCCGGTATTCCTCATGCTAACTACAGTCTTCCTGTGTTGCAGGCCAGCTCGAGTTACCACTGTACGAGGAAGAATACGTCCACTTCCGGGACGTGCTGCTCGCCATGACGCGCGAGATGGTCAAAGTACGTTGACCCTACCTCATCATCTCGGCATTCAACACAAAATCTCACCTTACTATTTGGTCTTCTAGCTCAACGCCGGCACCATCTCCGACATGCCTCCAGACCAAGACCCGAGCAACTCGGGCGTGCCTGGGGCCAAGCGCCGCATCGAGTTCACGGCGCACCAATACTTCGGCGCGCGCCGCATCCAGCGCCAAGTGGCCGAGTGGCTGCGCATCAAGCGGCAGCTCGAGAAGAAGTACATGGAGGAGTACAAGAACAAGATCAAGAAGCCCAGCGGCCGCCCCAAGAAGCAGCGCGACGCGCGCGTTTTCACCATAGGATAGGATAGCATAGGACGCCACAGCCCCTCACTCAGTATGTATAGCACCGTACGCTTGTTCGTTCGTTCGCTGGCCCTTTGAGCCTCCTCGTGTCGTCTCCTAGATACTCACTCTACCGCCGGTTGGCTCGGCGTCCGGCGCGGCGGTCTGCCGACTCCTTCCGGAAGGCCCAGTCCACGTGGATGGTGCTGCCCAGGATCTCCTGGCCGTCCATGCGCTCCATGGCCGCCTTGGCGTCCTCGAAGTGCTCGAACTCCACGAGCGCGTAGCCCTTGACGAAGCCCGAGCGCCGGTCCAGGTTCAGGTGCAGGTCCTTGACCTGCGCGTCCTCCCCGAAGGCGTCCATCACGTCCTCCTCCTGCGCCTCCTCGTGCACGCCCGTGACGAACAGGATCCAGCCCTCCACGGAGCGGAGGGCGCTCGCGTGGTCCCTAGAGGACGAGGAGGACGAGGACGAAGGCTTGAGCTTCTCGAACACGCCGCTCTCCGCCGGGTAGCGCGCCGCGTCCATCGCTGCCGAGCCGGAGCCGCGGCCTTTCAGCACGCGCTTGCTGTCGTCGCGCCTGGTCTGCTGCGGCTTGTCCTCCTCTTCCTCCACGGCCATGGCCGTGTCGCTCTCGTAGTCCACCTCGTCCGCCATTGCTGCTGCAGTATTGGAATTGCTGCTCGAACTTAGGTCGGACTTAGTGCAGATGGATGGATACATGTAGCCATTTGAAGGTTGTTCTAGGACGGTAAAGTGTCGTTGCTTTGCTGGTTAACTAGTTAAATACCTCCGAAGAAGCAGGTGAGCCGATGAAGTTAGGCGAGAATGAGGTGGAAGAAGTGTCTGTCTTGGCTGCAGGACGGGCTGTGATGTGAGTGCGCGAAGCTAATACCGGTAGTCACACCTCCCTCGACGCGCTGAAGCGCTGTAGGCAGCGTTGCAGAGGCTCACCTTCGTGCAGGGCTTGGATGATCTTGTTGTCCCGCTCCTCGACCATCTCCGCACGGGCGGCGACCTCCTCGGCGCGCTCGGCTGGGATCACGACCACGCCGTTCACGTCGCCGCGGATGACGTCGTTGTGGCGCACGACGCAGCCTGCCACGAGGATGGGGGTGTTCACCTCAGCGATCGTCGTCGACCCCGTGTTGCCCAGCACCGACGTACCGGTCGCGAAGGCCGGGAAGTTCATGGTGCACAGCTCCTGCACGTCCCTCACACGGCCGTCCGTGACGACACCCGCCACGTTTCTCGTCTTGGAGGCCGTCGCCAGCAGACCTCCGAACATCGCCTTCCTGGTGCCGGCGGGGGCGCTGATCACCACGACCTGGCCTATTTCCGCCGTGTCCATGTAGTCGTACGACGCGCCGGCGACCGCCGCGCCCGTGGTCGGCATCATCTTGACCGTGAGCGCGGGCCCGCAGATGCTCATGGCCAAGGGGGCGTCGTAGCCGCGGACCAGGCTCACGTCCACCAAGTGGCCGTGGATCTTGAACTCCGCCATGGCGTCGGCGATGACGCACGTGGACAGCTTGGCCAGGCGCAGCAGCACCTCCGTCAAGTCCGGGGGCGGGTCGTTCTCCGCCTCGAGCATGTTGCGGAGCAGCTGCTGGTCCGCGCGCTTGAGCGCCAGCGCCGGCGTCGGCTCCGCGGCGTAGGGCACGGCCAGGGACGCCACCGTCGCGGCCATCGAGTCGTCAGCTACCTCCGTCTCGTCCTCGTCCTCGTCCGGGTTGCTGTGCGCGCTGGTCTGTGGCGGGCGAGCCGGCATGTTGATGGACGCGGGGCGGGACTTCTTGCGCGGGTGCTTGGCCTGGTTGTTCACGAAGCCCGGCACGCACACCATGCGCAGGTGCTCGGCAAGGCGCGTGGCGTTGCTGGCATACTGCTTGTCGCACTTCTTGCACTGGTAGCGCACCAGGCCCTTGCCGTTCTCGGGCTCCAGCCGGATGTAGTAGTCGTACACGTTGCTCGGCTTGCGCCCCATGCTTATTGCAGTATTTTACGGGATGTGACGCGATTTTTTTTCTGACGCGTCAGGAAAACCAATGATGAGTTTTGGCGAATGAATGGTGCTTATGACGATTTGTTTCAGCCAATGAAAAGGTTCTACGAACACTAAGCCTTTGTATACTGCCAAATGAGACAACGGCAACAAGAATGTTACTTATCAACCATTTAGAGTTATCGAGATAATCGCCTTTAAAGAGGCCAGGTTCAAAATCGTAACTAAACAAAGTCGTGAGAAAACGAGGAGTTTTGATTTTAAATAATTTGAAGGGGGTGTATCGGCACGGATACCATGTCGAAAAGCCACTCGAACCACTACAATGCAGACACCACCCACGACGTCGACAGCACCGACCTCGCGAGCTGCAGCGCCAACTGTGCAGCCTGCGCAACCTCCAGCGCTGCCTCTCCCAGCCTGCGCAACCTCCAGCGCTGCCTCTCCCAGCCTGCGCAACCTCCAGCGCTGCCTCTCCCAGCCTGCGCAACCTCCAGCGCTGCCTCTCCCAGCCTCGCAGCCGGCCACCTCGGCACCAAGCCCGCCAGCCACGGCGCCAAGCCCGCCAGCCACGGCACCAAGTCCGCCAGCCACGACGTCGCCCTCCCAGGCGCTAACTCAACCGGCTACGACGTCCCCCTCCACGCCGCTGACCCAGCCGGTCACGGCACCCCTTGTTGCTCGGCGTCGCGGAGCAGACAAAGCGCCTGATTCTGCCGACGAATCTGTATGTGGCGTCGATCCCACTGATATCAGCGACAGTGAGGTGAACGAGGACAGCAGCGACGAAGACTTTACGCCTGATTCGGAGGCGACGACGAGTAACCGCTCATGGCAGAGAGCGAGCAGTGAGGCCGAAGAGGAAGAGGATATAAGTATCTTTTTGAATGACGCGAGTCCTCGTGCCCGTGTGACTGAGGTGATTCATGCGGACGCGTGAGTGCGTCAAGGGCAAGGCCCGTGAGTTGGAGTTCTTGCTGTGCTCGCTGGACCAGATGACGAAGCAAGAGCGCACCACGAGCTTGTACACGCTTCTGGCTGTGTTGATGCAGACCCCCACGGTTGAGCGTAAGAGAAGACGGGGTGACCGTGAGAAGTTCCCGTACATCCTACCCTACGTAGGTCATGTGTGCCGACCCACTTTCGCGTTCTGCTATGGAGTAGTCCCCATTTCCTTGCAGCGTTACAAGATGCGCATCCGTGACGGTAACATGTCGATCAAGACGCATGGTAACAGGCGCAACACCCATGCAGCTCAAGTGAACGTCGATTGGCTGGTGAAATGGTTCCAGTCGTTTGCTGAGGAGGTCGGCGAGGTTATGGCAGTTCGAGTGCGGATGCAGAAGAAGAAAGACGGAACTACGCAGAAATACTACAGCAACGAAATGTACACGTTACTGTGGTGTAGTGCCCCGCGAAGAAGTGGGCACGCCGGGCGCCGGAGGAAGAAGGCGCCGAGATGGATGTCGGCGGACGTGAGTGATGGACGTCGACGCGGCTGATACGCGACGCGGATTGATGGGCGCGACGCAGGGCCGAGCTCGACGGGAAAGTCGGCGCGGGTGATGGGCCGTGAGACACGGTGCCAGAATCCAGTGCGACGCGTAACCATCCGACGGGTCGACCAGCGCGCCCGTTTCCCCAATACCCGTCAACCCTAAACCCCGTCGAGAAATCCCGTCGAGAAACCCCGTCGAGGAACCACGTCGAGCCCAAGTCGTGATTACGTTACGCAAATCAGGTTGAAGAGCGGCAGTGCAAGCACGAAAGACGCAGAGATACGCTTAGGGTGGTAGGCTTAGCAAGCAAGTAGTAGGGAGTAGCCAGTAGCAAGGACATAGGATAGGGTAAGGACTCAGTCCCGAAATTTCTCTGAACCACTCAGACCTCTCCCCTCTGGAAGATCACCAGGCTCTTGAGAACCACCAAGTGTCGGCAAGCAGAGCCGCAAGGAATACGCGGCCCCCCGTCGCTCGCTGGCTCGGGCACTTACCCCCCTCAAACCCTGTGTCGGAAACGAAGGCACGTAAAACGTATACCGGTTAGGAGGCGCTCGATAACGCGCAGCCTAGACGAAGGACCGCACGGCCCGATAACGCCACGCAACAACCCCCAGGAAACGCCGGCCCGATAACGCCGCACGCCCGACGGGATCTCCGAGGAAACGCCGGCCCGATGAGTCCGCACGCCCAAGGAACAACCGACGCCCTAAGACAAGGAACAAGCGTCCACTCAACCCCCCAACTCTGAAGCTTGCGAAGACTTGGGCTCTATATTCGAAGATACGTTTCTCGAGATCCGGGAAATTGCCCGTCGCGACCGCAGATTGGACGCGTTGGGTTTGTGCGAGGACGAACTCCGCGATTTCTGTGAGGCCGCTACTCCACATTACTACCGGCACACTTCACCCGGGATACCATCTACGACGAAGTGCACAAGTTTGTTGAGGCGGGCTTGCGCGTCCGTGAACCCGCTCGGTCGACAATGAGGAAGCTTTTGACGCTTCACTGTCCAACCATTCGAATTCGGTCGCCGCGTAGTAACGTGCGCGACGTCTGCTCCATTTACCACGCTGGTATGCGCGGCGGCGTAACCAGTGCCAAGACGGAGGCTCTGGGGCGACACACAGAATCTGCGCGTCGAATGCGGTAAGTTTTGTATACGGACATAAGTAACATTTTGATTTACTCGGCAGATTTACCTGGATGTTAGTAACATTTTGTTTGATTGATAACAGGCGGGAGTACAAGACGGACAAGACTTCTACCGATGCCAACCCCGCTGTCATCGTGATGGATTTTCCCCAGAACTTTTTTTCATTTCATTTCAAGGTTGAGGTTAGATTGAGTTCATTTATCCTGACTAAGATAACGACCGACGCATCCACCGTCAACACCGAGCTCATATCTCCCGATGCCCCGCCGAATAGTTGAAACGGTCTACTCGACTTCCGTCGATTTGGTACCGCGGACAGCGAACGCGGTCCCGCTGCTCCTTCAGCAGCGCCTGCCCTCCGAAGCTTGAGTTCTCCACTGCATTTTCCTGGGCCGACTTGCGTTCCTTCTTCCCAATGTGTTGCAGGCCACCAGCGAGCGCCCCAGCAGCGCTTTATGCGACGACGTGTCGTCACCTTCCCCGAGTTAGCCGTATCTGGGTCTCTGCCACTGCGATTTTCTTCGCTCCGCCGCGCCATGAGTGCACCATGAGAGGACCACCCCGTCGCAGCAAGCTCCATGTAGCGCATGCCACGTTGACTGACAGCATGCTCCCGCGCGTCACTACGAGTGCTGTGGAGGGTGTGCGCACGTTGGAGAGCCGCACACCCGACGATCTGGTGACCTGCCAGTATCGCACGCAACCTTTGTAGGCTATGACTACCAGGAGGGCCCACGGCGTCACCCGTGGCCTGGTTTGTAATGGGAAACGGCGCGATGGGCTACATGTAGACCACCGTGGACCCCCACAGGCCCCGCCTTCCGGCTGACGGTCAAAAGACCGCCGCAATACGCCGCCGCACGCAGCGACGCAGAAATCCAGCTTGGTCCGCGGCTTCACCCCCGAGCTGCCCAGCCGTGGCGTGCACGCACGCCGGCCAGGTGCATGCCTTTTCGCTGGAGCTCCGGTCGCCAGGAACGACTGGCTCCACAAGGGAGTCGCCGTCGTCCAGTCGTGGCCAATCAGAGCGCTCTCGATGCTCACCGGCGCGCTCGGATTGGCCGGACCGCTGGGTCAGCTGGCTCTATCGCTGCACTGCCCGCTGATTGGTCCTCCCGGCGACTTGAGCTCCACGGCGCAGATTGACGAGATTCCCCCCCCCAGAACTTGACACTTCCGAGCGTGTCAAACACCCCCTCGCAGTCGTACTTTTGCGCTCTGGTCTCTGTGAGCTGCTTCGGCATCTTTTACGAGAACTAAGGAATCCAAACCAACTATCTGTACGACGAGACATCGAGCGGTAAAGGGAGCGACCAGATTAACTCCATACTGGCTCATTCAGCACCAAGATCATACCGGCGGGGAAGACTCGGCTGACCGTGTACACCGACAACTGTTCGGGGCAAAACCAAAACAACTACGTGATCAAGTTTCCCTTGGCGCAGGTACACATGGGAGCTCTACAGCACGTGGACTACATGTTCTTTGTCAAAGGGCACACGAAGAACTGATGTGACCGTGGTTTCGGCCACATCCGCAAGCACGTGGCCAAAGTGGATTGCTGGACGATTGACCATCTCGTAGAGGCTGTTAGATCGGCGTCCAAGAGCTCAATCACGGTGCAGCTAAGAAGGCACAGAAGATCAAGAAGCACAAAGCTACTGCGGATCTGCCTGCTGAGCAAGAATAGGCAGTCCAAGGTTGTAGTCAATCATTATGATACTTATGTCCACAGTTCAATCAAAATGTTACTTACATCCAGATATCAAATTTCTAAAAAGACAGAAATATACCCCTGGTGATTATTGTGAAAACCGATTAGAATGTCCTATTATATTGTTAATCCGCCGATTTAGTGACTTAATAAGACCGATGAACCCCGATTAGATAAATCCGACCTCCTAATTAGACTGGAGTACCTGGATTTATACTCAGATTACTACCTAGGACGACTTACAGAGTAAGATCATATGAGTCGGATTTACATTTGCTAATCGGCCGACTAAGCCAGAGCCGGCCGATTTGCTTTCTATTCAGACGGAATGTCCGATGTGCAACCCGCATTCGCTCTTTGTAGGCTAAATCAGCCGCCAGACAACAGTCGCTCTTGGCTAGGTAGTCAAGGCTACAACACTAACATCAGAACTAAGCAGGAAAAGCCGCACGCTATAATACATGTAACTGAGATATGTAGGCGACGCGTTTAAGCGCGGTGTTGTCGCTGCTCTTGGAGAGTCTCGGGCCGAGGGTACATGCATGTTGATTGAAATTGCCAGGCTGCACATAATTACGAGACCGATGAGCGATTTATACTCCGATTATAATTGAGATATTCCCGATTTATTAGTCTTCAAATCCGCTGTGAGCGATGGATGTTTAACCGACTAATTCAGCAGGACAAACTAATCGGTTTTCACAATAAAAAAGACGGTACAAAATTGAGATTCTAACACTGTTAGGCTTCGAATTAGCTAAAACGGACAACATTGTCGGATTCGCTGACTAATTTTACACCGGTTCAGCAAAAAAATCTTTTTGGGGTTGAAGTCGGACATATATTTTTTTGAAGGTCTCGTTCTCGGTCATTTCTTCATACCCGAAGCTCGGGAAGCTCTTTCCAATTATGCGCCTAAATCGCGATTCGTACTTAGGTTGATAAGTAACATTTTGTTTGCCGTCGTCTCAAGTAGAATTTGGCAATACACAAGTGCTAAGGCAGTGAAGAAAAGGTTCTGTGCCGAAAATTTATAGTGACATGATTGGATAAAATGTGATATGAATTGTACATTTTTTGCTCATTCGTGTTCCCGGAGCTCGAATTTCAGAATCTGAGGGGCCGATCGCCCGACTATCGCGATAACTACCCGATCGGGTGCCAGATCACGGTCGAATCCGACTGTTATGATGGAGGAGTTCGTACGAGGATTACGGATCGATCGAATTCGTCAGGCGCAGGACGAAGAAGCATGGATCGCGGGCATGAAGAAGTACCTGATGGGTGAAGTGACCGAAGACGAGGCTCGATCATATGGTAATATCGCAGCGGACTATGAGATCGACTGTGATAATCTGTTGTTCTACTGCCCACTTTCGAAGAAGTCGTAAGCAGATCGCGACGGATTGATGAGGCTTGTTGCGCCAGAAACGCTGCACCAATATATCCTGCACCACTATCACTCAACCCTGGAAGGGGGACACCAGGGAATCGGACGCACCTATCAGCGGATCCGTGATCGCGTCCACTGGAGAGGCCTCTTCAAGACTGCGCAGAAATACGTCGGTGAATGTGTTGATTGCGAGACGGGTAAGGGACGGCTCACGATCAGGAGCGAGTCGCCGGGGGAACATCCAGGCGACATAGGTCATAGCGATGGATCACATATCTTCGCTGCCCAATTCGCACAAGGGTAATACCAAACTGTTGATCTGGGTCGATCTGTTCACGGGATACATGATCGCGAAGGCCAGTTCGTCCCGAACGGCGCAAACAATAGCCGAGTCTTACGAAGAGTGCGTGTTCCGGCGATTTGGTGGTAGCGAGGTGATCATGATCGCAAACCTGGATTTATGGCCGACTTCTTCCGCGCCTTTAACAAGATCTTGGGAATGCGACAGCGAGTGACGATGACATTTCGTCCTTAAGCTAAGGGTACGGCAGAGCGAATGGTACAGACGGTGACGAGATTCTTGAAGATGTTCGTGGAAGATCTCAATCAGAGAGATTGGGACGAATATGCAGAACGATTGACTTTCACGATCAACACGGCTCAAGATCGGATCCGTGGAGATTCGCCTTTCTATCTGGTGCATGAGTGGGATCCAGGATCAACGCTCGAAGCAACGATACCCTTGGGCAATACGCGGACACAAGATCGGGATCCTCGACGGTGGAGGTATCGAATCCAGAAGCATTACGATCAGACCCGAAGTCAGGTGAACGCTCGTCTACGTGAGGCGATTACGGATCGGGCCGATCGACACTACGGAAGGGTTCGATCGCATCCGATCGCGACTGAATCTCAGGTGTGGTTGTACCTGGATCGTGTGAAGGAGGGGTACACCCGGAAGCTAGCTCATCTGTGGCACGGCCCGTTCCGCGTCGCCGAGAAGATCAACGAGTACATTATGAAGCTACAGATCGCTGGCACGGACTATAATCTGTTCCCGATCGTACATGTGTCAAAGCTGGAGTTGGTCAAGGACTTCCCCGATCGACTGCTGATCGCACTCACGGTGAACGAAGCAGATCGACTTGATTTCGACGAAGGCTTACTTCCGGAGGTCAGCTGGGTCCCAGATCGAGACGCGAACGAGTACGAAGTGGAGAAGACCACAGATATGAGGACGGGTCGAAGGACGCGGTACGGCCGGACTTATCGAGAACTCCTGGTACACTGAACGGGTTACGACGAGCCTGACTGGGTCGACGAAGGTGATCTCAACTGTGAGGCCCTATTGCACGAGTTCATTCGAGATCGCGTGAACCGGAACCGATTCAGTGCTATTCAGTCTCATGGAAGAGTAAGATCGGACCGCCAGGGTGAGCTGGTCGTCTTGGTGAGCGAGATGGGTGACGGATCGACGGGTGGCCGTTGATCGGAGGAGGGGGTTGAATATGAATGTATACATGAGAGGGCAGATCGGAAGGTTATGGAGCGATGACAAGGTGTTATCATGGTGGATCTCGGCTAATCGTGTTAGATATAAGTGGATTGATTCAGAACAGTTGGCACTCGGCGGGGGAAATGAAGTATTGCAATGGAATGGGTTGATCTGAAGAGGTCGGGTGACGATTAAAGAGGATCGGCCTCCGAATGACTACGACCTTGGGCGAACTGACTAACCGACAGGCTGATCGCTGGAGCTGACCGTGTGATTTGGACTGACATTACGGCTGATGGATGCCGATATTGGGGTAGAACTTGTTGCGGAGCCGCGGTATCGGCCAGGCTGAGTGGTCCTGGGGGCGATCGCGATACTGGTTCCGCCAGGGATCGTCGGTGTCTGCCTCGATCAGAGCGGTCCGAAGATCTGTCGGCTCACATTGTTGCTGCGCGGGGTCGCCGGCGTTCACAGTACGGGATACGACACCTGGATACCAGTGTACGGAATCACGCAGGTGCACAGGGATCTTCAGGAGCAGTAGATCAAGGTTCGTCCATATGTCACGCATCACTGGCAGTGTGTCACGGAGGAGTCGGCGCCATCGGTCACGGAGACGGGTCCGTCGCGTTCGACGCTCTTCATGATACTGGTTGACAGCAGGGTCGGCATCACGCTGCACAGCGATCGGTAGGTAGTGAGAGGTCTCCCAGAACGCTTGCCGATCCCGCTCTTCGAAACGTAGGTACGCGTCGGCGATCCGGTCCAATCTAGCCCCGTTTTGTCGATGAAGTGCCAGATCGAAGGTCAGGGGATTCGCTGGGTTCCGGAACATATACCAGGGGCGATCAGCCATCAAGGCAGCGATGTTGGCACCCGTGATCAAGTCATCTCGATAGCCGATCCCTGCAGAAAGCTGCGCGACGCTGCGAGCCCAGAGTGGAAAAAGACACCCCGCCGGCAAGACTCTGTCCCGCCGGGATGTTCACTTTTGCAGGCAGCTGGCAGGCCAGGGTCGATTGGATCATGGCTGTAATCTGCGGTTGGCTCAATAGTATCGCAGGCCAAGTCTCGGTGTCCGCTTGGGTGAGCGCCCGGAGGACGTTGAATACGGGAATCATGATGCCAATTGGGAATAGTGGCGGGTTCAGAGGACGCGGCCCCGTCGATCCAGGTGGAGAACCGGGCGGGGATCTCGGCAGGGACGATCTCGGCGAACCCCCGGCCGATCGAGATGTACCGCGAGAATGTCGAGAGCTTGATCGAGAGTGAATCGACTGGACAGATGGCGATCGAGATCGAGTAGGTGACGTAGGACGGATAGGCGAGACAGACTGATGACGACGGGTCTCCTATCGAGACCGGAACAATGTCGCCAGAGCCTCCTGATTGGTCCCCTCGGACTCCGATTCATCCTCATCAGAGGCGGACTCATTCGAAGCCGATCTGTTCGCGTCTGACTGATCCGCCTTGGGTGATGAGTGCGGTTGATCAGACTCCCCTTGATCGGGCTCTTTTTGCTCGGGCTGTTCGTCCGGGATCTTGATGATTTCGCGTCGATCAGGAGGGGGCTGACTCTCGGTGGGCGGTTCTTCAGTAGACTGATCACCAGTACGGTAACGCTCATCGGAAGGAGGCTGTCCCTGCTTTCCGGCAGGCTGATCTTCAGCTGGACGGTCTTCGTGGGGCGGCTCCTAATCGTTGTCGGGCATAGAGAAGGAAGGCGATGGAGTTCGACTGTGCGGATGGGCTGATTGCACCCGCTTACGGGCACGTCCCGCGGTAGTAGGGGGTACGGCCGCGACGGGCGGGCAGGATCGGCGTACACTGACGAAACCCTACCCATCACGTCACTCCGGACAAAGTGTCGGCCATGTTCCCCAGATCTTCTTGGATCGATCGCTGACGCGGCGCAACATGGCGTAAGCATCTTGGGCATCGACGCAGGGAGCATCTTGGGCATGAATTACGCGTTCCGCATCCTCGAGGGTCGATCCTGTGGTATGACAGCAACGTGAGTGATGATCAACGGCAAACAAGACAAAGGGGTTTCGTACGAAGGCCAGCCGGTTCTTGGAGGGCTATGGCGCGATCACGGTTGGCGTGACCAAGAGCTTCGCGAGTTGGCTGGAGTTCTCCCTCGCTCGCGACTACCCGGGCTCTCGAGGCGTCGCGAGCAGCCCGCATCAGGCGCAACTCTCTTTCGGCCCGGCGGAGATTCGCCTGCAGCCACCGGAAATTCTGCCGCCACCGAACTCGAAAAAAATCAGCAATAACTGGTGGCATCATTCGCGTTCTCTCGGCTTCAGTGTCGGATATTTTCCAGGACACCAGTTCGCTATTACGGCAATACACAGATTGTCCTTCATGGAAACTCACGCAGCGCTGCAAAGAGCCTCCTCCGGTACCACAACCAGGTCACCATGCCTATCGGAGCTACAACCAGCAATAATTGTAATTGGGCAAATTATCAGAAATAAATCTTGAAATTTAGAGAGACCAATACAAACTTTAAGTAATACATGATCATGATATTTCAACATTATTTATGAGACACATTTTCTGCATTACATTATTTATGTTCTCTTCTTTCTGGCAGGCCTACCATTATTTATGAGCGAGCTTGGCTTACATAAATAAAAATGCCATAATCGGCGGCCCTGGCTACAACAGTACGTACGAGCTACATCGTACAATAAAACCTGGTACTAACTTTTACGAAGGAGCAAAAGTCCTACACAGGACCTCAAATCGGAAGGCATTTTGACGGAAAGGCACAATACGATGTAAATTTCATCATTGGACCGCAGTCGGCACGCCCCTGTTGACTGCGAGGGTGACTGAAACAGGGATGTCAATCATTTGTGCAAAACAACCGAAAGGCAGGGCGGCATGGTTTCATCTCCATTTTACATGTATCACAATGAAATCCCAAATATATTTTACGGATTCACGCATGCAAGGACTTGGTCGGATATGCAGCAAAACGATCAAATCAAGGTCGAACGTTTCGCTGGTACCATAGCCTCGAACCGCTCCAAATCGTGAAATGGATGGGTCTGACGTTGCGATTTAGCCTTACATATCACTATGTGGCGGCGTTGCAGACCCACTTAGGAAGCCCAAACTGAGTAAGTGTTGAGCCGATGACCATCAACCAAACACTGTACGGAATTTCCTGTACTCGAACGTGCATCAGTACATGTCCCGCGCCTAAGAGCCCGGACCCCCCCCCACCCACCACCACCACCACACACACACACAAGAAGAGCAAAAGCGCCTGCAGCGGTATACCAACCTGGATTGGTGGGGCGAGCCGGAAGAAGATGAAGATCAAATTGGATTGAACGACTTTTGCTCGGCGTCTGAGATACTGACAATGAATTGTTATTATGCACTGCTAAGACGGGCGAGGTTATTTTTTAAGTGATGGAAGAAAGGAACAGTGACAAGGTATCTGGATGGCGTCCTGGCGACCACCCAAAGGTAGCCGTGGATGTCGTGGAGGCCGCAGCCAAGAATGGACACTTGGATGTGCTGGAGTTGCTTCTGGAGCACGACGCCGGTCGTAACAGGGTTCACAAACAATTGCCGCTGCCATCGCGCTGGGATCGTCAGGGACTGAACACAGAAGGCTGGTTTTTTAGTTTCCCAGATTTACCACCCGAGTACGGGCATGTAGTCGGCTGGGGAGAAGCAAGCATCGTTAATGCTGTTGAACACGGTCATCCAGAAGTGGCAAGATGGCTCTACACGAACGCACCACACGAAGTAAATGGTCAAGAGCTTGCGCGTGCGATCCATGCGTCTCTAAAAAAGGGGTAGATTCAGTTTGCCAATTTGCTCCTGCCAGAAGGGGAACACCTCGTCGACTATGGGAACATCGAAAGCTTTCCGGCGGACGCAGCTCACCAGCCAGAGTCAATCGAGATGTTGGTGGATGCAGGAGCTCTGTGCGAGAGTGAGAAAAATGCAGCAGTAGCGATTGTACGCTTGGGTGATACCGGGCGCCTGGACCTCATGCAGCAAATTATGCTGCTGCATTCCCCTCCTCGATCACCAAGCGACCGCCGCGATAACTGGCTAAACGCTTGGTGTGCTGCTACAATTGTTGCTTGTGAGGCTGGAGATATGGGTGTGGTCAAGTGGATGGTAGTGCATCCGCTGGGACAAGAAACGCGCGCTAGGTTGGTACTCGGACCGGACAAACACCCTCTACGCTGGGCATCTAAGGCTGGTCATCTAGCCGTTATGGAGTTTGTTGCCGATGAAATAATGGAAGATCGTGTTTTGTCCGAATCGCTACTCCAAGCGACCGTATACGGTCACCTGGACGCAATGAAGTGGTTGATGGAGCGCTACCCATCCAGCTATCGAGAACAAGAGGACGTGATTTTGGAATCGGCAGTCCAACATGGTCATTTGACGATCGCTGATTTTCTTAGTGGCTTGAACGCACCGTCGAAGACAACCACGAAGCTGATGGACTTAGCCGCTGAGAACGGCCATTGGAATATGTTGGAATGGCTGCATGGTCGCTGGGGCTGCAGTTGCTCGACCGACGCAATGGATGCTGCGGCAACCAATGGGTATTCGGAGGTGGTGAAATGGTTAAATTACCATAGAACCGAGGGATGCACAACCGCTGCCATGGATGGTGCAGCACAGAACGGGCATTTGGAGGTAATCAAGTGGCTTTATCGTCATCGATCCGAGGGCTGCACCGGCGACGCAATTGTTAACGCTGCATTTGGCTATCTTGTCCGCGTCGTCGCGTGGCTGCAAGACCACTATCCGGAGTTTGAGCTGTCTCGCGAACACGTCAATATGTCTCCGTTCGAGATCCTCTGCGTAACATCGCAGAGAACGTAGATGTGGTGTGGACAGAAGCATACCTATCATCATCCGTTTTACCATCGCGTAGTAAGATAGTTGCGCCGTGCCGATGGAGTATACTTCCAAATAAAACATGATGAAAACTGGACTAGCTAGTCCGTAAAACCGGAGGGGAATCAGGGTCTACTAGAACTACAGCAACGGCTCAGCGTCACCGCTGCCATCCCCAACAAAGTACAGAGGCCATGCAAGCCCTCACCTGTGCAACCCTCCCTGACAAGGTTAACTATAAAATGAAGGGTTCTCCATCTCATAAAAGTTCAACTTCACTACCGCTGTGGGTCGTGTAGTCAAAATTGCCATGTCATGCGGAAACATATCGTACATATCCATCGCAATCTTGGAACACCGGGTACCGGGGGAGGTTTTCAAGGAAGATTTTGCGGAAGGTCTAAGGGTGACTGTGAGGCAATAAACATGAGACACAGTCCACAACCAGGCCATGACGATGTACAGGGGCACCACCCCATACACCAAAGGCATATCATGTACCTCGTGTACCACGACTACCATCAGTGCCTCGTGCACTTCAACTGCCACGTGCACGACAAGTACCGTTTGCACTGCGAGTACCTCGCGTACTCCAGATGCCCTGCGCACAGTGAGTGTCGTGTGCCTTGCGCCGCGACTACCTCACAGACTTATCTGCCATAGACACGCGTATGCCTTCGCGCCGTACAAGCATGGCATGCACTGCGCTAAGTGTGAATGCCCACAAAGACTGGAAGGCTGCCTCGGTCGGGCGAGGATATAGCAGCTAGTCCCACAGACGAAGGCGTGTGCGCTTACGCGTCGCCGTACCGCAGCGCGTTGCTGTTGCTACACTAGGCGCGGAACGTCTACCGACTAGGTAGCAATCAGCACCATGCCATAGCACAAGTGGCACATCTGCTAGCCAGGTAGCGATCAGCCTCAATACCTCGAGGGGCAAACCCCAGGGAAAGCTCCATGCTGTTGCTACGCTGGTCGCGGCACGTCTACCGGTCAGGTAGTCAACGGGAAGGCGGTTGTAGCGAGCGCTCCGTCATCGGTCCAGCAGCGGCAGTGTAACGGGGTTACACGAGAGTTACCCGAAGGGTTACGAAGTGGGTACACACTGTCTAACCTAAATCAGTTGGAGAAGCAGTACACGGCTTGAGAACCACTGATTATGCATATAACTAGGGTTCATTATGCTAGATAGTGAACCGGATACATTTACACCGTAGGCGGCTTGGTCACGCTAAAAGGATATACATCCCGTTTGAGATTTACACACTTACGAGTTAAGGGTCGACTCTTGGAGTCCGTCAGGTGTACGGAATCGTACGTTCTGGTATTAGAACGGGCTATCTTAATCTGAGACTCTGTGAGTCTGTTTCATCTTCCTCTGACGCTAAAGCTATGGTAGCTCCGCTCCAGGCAGTAACCACTACCGACGTTGCTGGCCATCGGACACCATGACCATGGGACCTGAGCAGTGATGCATCAGGTCCAATACCTTCGTGCAATACTTCGCACCATGTAGCCACTACATCGGCTTCTCTAACGAAGCAAGTCTCATTCCAGAGACGTCGGGAGGAAGCGCACTTCCGACCCCCTTCTCCACTTACGATTAGAACCCCGGCGGGTCAGCCGGTAGCCGACCGCCTAACCTCTCGCCGCCCTGCATCGCCGAGTCGCTATACGAGCCGACTCTGGTGGCGCTTGCAGCTACCCTACTTGGACTCCGGGTCAACATCGTCGACCAACGGTTGGTATTTACCAGCCTGTATGCAGTTTGAGTCTGCGTGGCTTGACGTGGTACTCTGGTACCCAAGTCTGCGGGCGAAGGCACCTATGACAGCGTACGGCTTGTCCTGCGTTTAGAGTAGCTGTATCGCATACACGCATAGTCAGACTTAGCCATCTCGGCACCGAGTCAAGAACACTTGTTGCCCCAACGCCGCGTAGGGTTAGCCGCGCCAGAAGATACCAACGATTCACTGCTGCACTGTGACCACGGCATCCGCAGTCACAGCGATCATGCTCATGCATGTGGTCAATGAAGGTGTCACCATCCGGCACACTCTAGTCATGATCGATCGTGCACATGTAGTCGGCGGCGACGCAACATGCATCGCCGTCGGCACTTCATGTACCAAGCCAATCTGCAACCGAGAACTATTATGCCTGGCGTGTGGGGTTGCCTCAACATGCAACTCCAGCGCTGAGAGTCATTGATCTGCAGGATCATTGACAAGGGTGGTGTTCGATGACACTACCAGGTGGGTAACCAAGGACCACTGGCTAGCAGGTAACTTAGTTCCCTACAGAGCATGTAATGCTAAGGAGGTCGCTCAAGGCACCTCCGGAATAGGTAACCAAGTACCACGGACGGTAATAGTAAGAGGTAGCGGTGTCAGCGTTTCTCCGTAAAAACGTTTTTTGTACTAAATAACTGAAACGTTTTTCTGAAAGGCAGTTGGTTTCTCCAACTGCCGCCAACTGGACCCAACTAAGCCTCCCCCATTTTATACATACTGTATAAACCGATATTCGCTTCAGACGGCACGAACGGCTGGTTGCCAGGAGTTCGCACTGCATTCCAAGGTCTCAGAAACGGTGAGCATGGCTGACGGTGGCCAGCCCGAGCATTCTGACGAAGCGCCTTCAATTCCAATTGATCCAGACGGCCCCAGCTCTCTACACGATGAAAGGAGCACACAACCGGCAATATTGGACAATTCGACTGGGTGCGAAGTACAAGTATCGTGATATGCCTGTCAGAAAGCTTCGCACTAAACACTGCGTGGTCGCATGGTGTCTTCGGTGTGACGAAGAGGTTGCATGCCAAGTGGGGAAACGCGATGCACGTGAGCACATGGAGCAGCATCACGTCGCCGAGCTTCGACAGTACAAGAGTGAAATGGCCGCCCAAGAGACATCACAGCGGGGGACAGTTAGAGCGCTAGTTTCAGCGTTTGACGGAGCTGAGGAGCAACAGCCAGCGCAGAAAAATATGAAGAAAAAAACGGACGGACGAGCAGCAGCGACAGCTAAACAACCTAATAGCCCGATGTATTGCAGTCAGACAACGTCCGCTCTCACTAGTTGGCGATGCTGGCTTCAGAGCTATTGTAACAGGGTTACACGCACAAGTGGCTACAGTCACTTGTAACTCTAACAGACACGACGTCTGTTAGAGGTTCGAAAGACTTTCTCGACTTTGGTGTATACACACCAAGGGCTACATACATTTACGATCACCACGACGGGTGGTCCACAGAGACTTAGGATTCCTACTGGCTGAAACCAGCATCTTTTAGCCAACGAGCGACATGCATAGCGTTGGAATTCTGCCAGCCAGCCGTTGGCAGATTCCCAGTTTAGAATATTACATTTAGAGGAAGTCAGAAACATAAAACAAAAATAGCAGTTATCATTTTAACCCAAACACATTTTTGGATCGTTTATTTAGATTAATCTATACTCGGAGGCCCGAGTATAATTAACTCTAATTTAAACTAAGCTACGCTTCCTCACATACACGCGCACACGTGTAAGCTAAAGTAGTGAGCCAAAGTAGGTCCATTACACCTGGTAGCACTTTGTAGTCCGTCCAACAACCGACTACCTGAGTTCGTACGTCACCGCACGAACGCGGAGCTGTGAACCTTTCCATGGATACAGAGGTGCCCATGGAAAGCTCCACTACGCCTGTAACTCACATTGGACGCGCTGACTGTCCCCACCTGTCGGACCCAGAGTGGGAGGCCCTCCAACGACTGTAAACAGTCATTGGTGAGGCGGCTGTAGCTACGATGCTGCGTACGCTAACGCCGACAGAGCAACACAGTGTTGCTCTGGGTTTCATCCTGAAGGAGCAACGCGATGTTGCTGCTACTACCGCGGTGCCGTCCGGGACGACACCACGCGCGCAATCGCTACAGCTCAATGTGAGTAACTATGTCGGAAGAGAGGGTGAACCTCTCCTCCGTTGGCTTGTCGAACTCGACACTGCCATTGCGGCTCGACGTATCGTCGACCCGTTGTCGAAGGTTGCGTTCGCCTTGTCATGTCTTGGCGGACGTGCAAGAAGTTGGGCGTATGGACGCCGACTCTCGGATCCTACTTGCTTTAGCACGTACGAGGGTTTCAAGGAATAGCTCATACAAGCGTTTGAGCCACCGCAAAACGAGTTCCGGTCGAGGGCGGAGTTCCTCGACCTGCAGCAGGGCAAGCATGATATCCATGCTTACGCTCAGAGAGCACGGTACGATCGACGAGGCGACGAGGCGACCAAGGTCGTCACGTTCATGAAGGGGCTGAGAGATGGGTCTGTGAAGACCTATCTCTTCCGTGAATACCCAAGTACTCTCGAAGCTGCAATTACTCTTGCAATGCAGGAGGAGTTTAGCCTGCGGCAGGCTACGCTGCATGCACATGTGCCGAGGCCACAGCCACGCCCGGTAGTGAGGACGGGAGGCCCAGAACCCATGGACCTCTCGAGTGCTGCAACTGCTGGACCCCAGCAGTTGCAATGTGCGATGCTACCGTTGCGGTAGAGTCGGTCACTTTGCCCGGGAGTGCACGGCCCCCGTGCACCAGCAGGGTGGCTATCGCGGCGGTGCCGGGCACCGTCGCAACCAAACAAAAAACGCTGGACGCCAGTAGGCGCGGGGTGCCCTACTGGTAATGCAGTTCCGCGTGTCGACCTTGGACACGCGACACTGAGGACTGCAGCCCCCAGTGAGATTCATTCTCGCTGCCAGAACCAAGATGACAAGCTTGACCTTGTGATCCTGAACGTGAACTCGAGAAGAGCAAGCGGCTCTCTCCGTGCTTTGGTAGATTCTGGTGCGTCAAAGAACTTTGTTCGACTGCGAAGTCTATCAAGGCTTGACTTCGAGGATTTAAATGCGTCCTGGATCTGGACGATAAGT